CTACTTTTAATAAAAAAAACATTTGAAAACATATAATAAATAACCTTATTAATAATTAACTTACTTAAAATTAATATTAAGGAGATTATATAGCATATATTAAGCTATAATTATTATAATTCTTTTATAATAATTATTAATAAATTTAATAAAAAACCTTATTAATTTTAAGTTTTGTTATGTGCACTACCTATTTTTGCTATTGGGGCCTTAGGTGCACTACCTTTAGGTATCGGTATATGCCTTAAATTTTAAAATCCGGGCCTAATCTAGCGCCTCTAACGGCGCTAGCTGCCTACCTTAATTTAATCTAAATAATCTAAATAGCTTTTTAACCATATGTCTTATTATGATGCAATAATATTTAATTGAAAGAGAATCCAATTATGAATTGATTGATATAGGTCTTAAATTGAGGCGATATATGGTTGTAAAGTTATTTAGGTAGATAGGTGGCAGCTTGGGAGGCACGTGATCCCCTTTAGAGCCACATTAAGAGCTCTTAGGGCCGTATTAAGATGTCTTAGGGCCAGGTTAGGGACCCTTAGAGCCGCCTAAAGGCCCTAAAGCTGCTTGGGGTTATGCTAAGGAGTAACACATGACTATCCTCGAGACAAATATTAACATAACTTTTTAACCACGTATCGCCTTAAAGTGTGGCCGGTATTAATCAATTAATAATTGAATTCTTTTTCAATTAAAACCGGTTGTACGTTTGTAGCTATTTGTTTCAGGGAGTTATCTAAAGTTAAAGCTGTTGAATAAGGTTTGGGTTTAAGGGCTCTAAGGGCGCTAAGGGCCTATAGTGTGGTTCCAAAGGTGATCATATGCCTCCCGTCCTGCCACCTATTTACTTGAATAACTTTGCGACCATATATTGCCTCAATTTAAGGCCTACATCAATCAATCGATAATTAAACGCCCTTTTGATTAAATTTGGTTATATCGTGGTGCGACATATGGTTGAAAAGTTATTTAAAGGGATAGGATAAATAGTTTAGATAAGCCCCGGCTTTTAAGATTTAATAAACTTATGAGATATACAATACTTAATAATAATGCACCTAAAGGCCTAATAGCAAAAATAAGTAATACATATAACAAAACTCTTAATTTTTAAACATTTAATATATATTATTAAAAATTAAGCTAAAATGTTTTATAAAATACTTATTATAACAAATTAAAATTTTTTAATAAAAATAATTACAAATAAAAATTAAAAGTTTATTAATAAAGTATAATAAATATTTTAACGTTATAATAACATTAAAATTATTATAATAATAAGTTATTATATTTAAATAAATAATATAAACGAAAGGTATAATTAAAATATTAAAATTATAATAAAATTTTAATATGTCGCCTTTTTTAATATTCTTTAAAATAAAATGTTAAACGCTTTTTAATATAATTTTAATAACTTTTATTATTTAATATTTAAAAAATCATTAAATAAAGTTATATTAAGTTTTAAACTTTATACCTTATTATTTATTTTAAAAATAAATATTAATATAATAGATTTTAAAGTTTAAAAAGATATATATTAATAAAAAGCTTAAGTTATTATTAAGAGTGTTGCTATCCGTACTCCTATTTTTTGCTATCAGGGCCTTATTCGCACTCCTATACATCCCCTAAAACTTTAAATCCGGGCCTAATCTAGCGCCCCCAGCTACCCACATCAATTGAATCCAAATAACTCTCTGAAACATATAGCTACAAACGTGCAACCAAATTCAATTGAAAGCGCATTCAATTACCGATTGATTGATATAGGTCTCAAATTGAGGCGATACGTGGTTGCAAAGTTATTCAAGAAAGTAGGTGGCAAGCCGGGCGGCACGTGACTAACCTTAAAGCCACACTAAGAGCTCTTGGTGCCACGCTAAGGGCCCTTAGAGCCGCCTAAGAGCCCTAGAGCCGCTCGGGCCACGCTAAGAAGTGTCACGTGACTGCTGTCGAGACAAATACCAACATAACTCTTCGACCACGTATCGCCTCAGATCGCGGCTGGTATCAATCAATCGGTAATTAGATTCTCTTTCAATTGAATCCGGTTGCATCTTGGTGCGAGATGTGGTTGGAAAGTTATTCAAGGTTGAAACTGTTGAATAAGGTTTGGGTTTAAGGGCTCTAAGAGCGCTAAGGGCCCTTAGTGTGGCTCTAAGGGCTGTCACGTGCTTCCCGGGCTGCCACCTACTTTCTTGAATAACTTTGCGACCGAGTATCGCCCCATTCTGCGACCGGTATCAATCAATTATTAATTGAATTGTCTTTTAATTGAATCCGGTTGCACGTTTGTAGCTATATGTTTCAGAGAGTTATTTGGATTCAATTGATGTGGGCAGCTGGGGGCGCTAGGGGCGCTAGATTAGGCCCGGATTTAAGGTTTAAGGGCTGTATGGGATGTATAGAAGTACGAATAAAGCCCCGATAGCAAAAAATAGGAGTACGGATAGTAACACTCATTATTAATTATATTATAATTAATGTTATAATAAAGTTATTTATTATATGTTTTTAAACGTTTCTTTTATTAAAAATAGTTAAATATATAAATAGATAATTAAGATTTTTAGATTTTAATTAAAAGTTTTATTATTTACATTTTATAAAATTATTATCGGAGTTTATTTATATTTTAATATATTAAAAGCTTAGCGTTTAAATATTATTAATCCAAGTTTTCTATTTAGCTTTAATTAAAAAATCTAATATAACTTTTATTTTAAAACTTTAATTAAAGCGTATTTAATATCGTTTAAATTAATTTAATTAAACGGCTTAAATAATATATGTTTTAAATTAATACGATTAATAGTTGCGAAATTATTTAAATTTAAAGATTAAAAAGTATTTTAAAAATGATATAAGTTAAAATAGTTTATGCATTATATAATATCGGTTAACGTTATATTAATGATAAAACGTTTATTTTATTTTTTTTTAAATAATTTTATAATTATTTATCGCGTTAATTTAAAATATATATCGTTTAAAAGTTTTAATTAAAACGGTTTTAATAGCCTTAGATATATTTTAATTAGATTTTTAAGTTTAAAGTTATATTAAATTTGTTAATAAAAATTAGGTAAAAAATTTAAATTAACGGCTTTTAAACGTTAATTTCTTATATATTAAGGTGTAAATAAGTTTTAATAGCAATTTTATAAGGTGTAAATAGTAAAACTCTTAATTAATTTTTTTAATATAAGTTTTTTTAATTTAATTTTACGATATTTATATTAAAATTAATATTTAATAATTTTATTTTATTTTTTTTAAATTTGTTTTTATTTTGTTAACGATTTTAATTATTATAAAAAGGTTTTTAAATTTTTTAAAAAACTTGTAATTTTTTTTTATTTTATTATTTTTCTTATTTATTTATTTTCTTTTTATCGAGATTTTACTTTATTAATTATATATTAAAAAGAGGTTTTTTAATTTATTATTATTATTATTTATTTTATTATTATTATTATTTTTTATAATAACCTTAAATTATTAAAATTTTTATTAAGTTATAACTTTTATTATTAAAAATAAAGACTTATTATAAGTGTGTCGGTTAAATTTGAAAATTATAAATCGTATATTTTTTAAGGTTATTAATTTAAAGTAATATTAAATCCGTAGTAAAAGTATTTAACTTTTTATCCGTAATATAGCGTTAATAGCATAGGTTTAATAACTTTAATATATATTAAATACTTAATTAATTGCAACCCATTTAAACCATTTTCAAATTTTTAATTAAAGGTGTTAATTTAAAGCTTTAAATTTAAGGATCGAATTAATCCTAATTATACGCTTATAATTACTTTATTATAAAAGTTATAAATAGTTAAAGTTACGACCGGTACCGCGTATAAGTTATTTACGTTACCACTTTAATTTAAGATATCATATAATAACGCTCGAAGAAATTAATTAAAAATTAATTAATATTTCGATTAATTAAATTTTCTGAGATTTAAAATATATATTAATTAATCCGTCTTGTCGAGGCGATAAAGATAAATGTTTTTACGGATTTATAAAAAATTGTTTAAATAGGTTAAGCCGGATTTAAAGTGGCGTTAAGTTAGGTGTGGTAGTGGTATTTATGCGCATACTTAAATTTATATGAGAGATTAAGTAATATTACAAACGAAATATATATATTCTTATTACGGATTTAATATTACTTTTAATTTATTATTTTATATTAAATAAAAGTTTTAAATGTTTTTATTTTTTTAAAGTTTTATTATTTACACCTTATAAAATTATTATTAAAGCTTATTCACACCTTAATATATTTAAAATTAACGTTTAAGGATTATTAGTTTAAGCTTTTTAATTAACTTTAATTAAAAGATTTAACACAACTTTTAATCTAAAACTTAAATTAAAATACATTTTATATCTTTTAAATTAACTTAATTAAACGGTTTAAATGATATATATTTTAAATTAATATAATTAATAGTTGTAAAATTATTTAAAAAAGATTAAAATAAACGCTTTATCGTTAACGTAACGCTAGCCGAGGGGCATTATATAATGCATAAACCATTTTAATTTATACCTTTTTTAAGGTAAATTATAATTTTTTAACTTAAATAACTTTATAATTATCGATTATATTAATTTAAATTATATATCGTTTAAAAGCTTTAATTAAGGCAATTTTAATGGTCTTAAATGCATTTTAATCTAATTCTTATATTAAAAATTATATTAAATCTTTTAATTAAAGCTAGTTAAAAAGCTTAAACTAATAACGTTTAAACGTTAAACATTTTCTTATATATTAAAATGCAAATAAGCTCCGATAATAATTTTATAAAGTGCGGATAGCAAAACTTTAAATTAAATATACTTTATTTAATATATTAACTTTATTTAATCCTTATTTTTATAAAAAAATCACGTAACATTTAAAACATTAAAGTTTATAAGGCTTATAAGGCTTAAAAAGCCTTATAAGGTCTTAAGGCCTTACATTTTTATTGCGAATTTAATGTTACTTTTTATTAATTAAAAGTTTTATTTTTTATTACTCGTGAACCTAATATTTAATACCGTATTATCACTTTAATCGTCATAAATATCCTCATCCATGCCATCGGCAATGATATCCTCCACCGCGTCTTCCTCATCTATTAACATGTCTTCATCATCATCCAATTCGCTGTCTGTGTGGTTAGGCAAGACTTGTATCTTGTTACCTACCATTACGACACGAGCGGATTCACCGTCTCTGATACTTCCCCGGAGGATCAGAACAGCTAGACGGTTGAGAACTTCTTGCTCGATTAGTCTAGCCAGTGGCCTAGCACCGTACGCAGGCGAGTATCCCGCGTTACCCAAGTAATCCTTAGCCTCTTCCGTGACCTCGATGAAGACGTTGCGGTCGTTGTCTGCCAACCGCTTCTGGATCTCAGAAAGTCGCAGGTCAACAATTCTGCGGATCTCACGTCTTGTAAGTCTGTTGAAGATCACGGTAGAGTTGATACGGTTGAGGAATTCGGGTAAAAAGTAGTTACGCAGCGCGGTCGTGACCAACTCCCGAGTGGTGGCGTCGATCTTTCCGTCCCTACCGGCCGGCCGAGCTAAGTACTCTGCGCCCAAGTTCGAAGTCATGACCACGATGCAATTCTTTGCGTCCACGACACGACCTTGACCGTCTGTAATCCTACCGTCGTCCATGAGTTGCAAGAGGACGGTTAATATTTCCTTGGCAGCCTTCTCCACTTCGTCAAATAGCAGGATAGAGAACGGTTTCCGACGGAGGGCCTCGGTCAACTGTCCACCGGCATCATGTCCGACGTATCCAGGTGGTGCGCCAATCATCCTACTTAGAGAATGACGTTCCTGGTACTCGGACATGTCAAATCGTATCATTGCCTTCGGATCATCAAACAAGAACTCTGCCAAAGCCTTGGTTAACAGAGTCTTGCCAGTTCCGGACGGACCGCAGAAGAGGAAGCTGGGTGGTTGATTGGGATTGCTAAGTCCAGATCGCTGCAGACGAATGGCGTTGGAGACGGCCTGGACAGCTTCCTTCTGTCCGACAACGATCTTTCCGAGAGCCTTCTCCATGTGAATGAGCTTTTCCTTCTCCGAAGTCTTGAGCCTTGTGACGGGAATGCCAGTCCAGCGAGAGACAATTTCGTTAATCTGGTCTGGTCCCACAACATCTGTGACCATGGAGCCACCCGTGTCGTTATTGTTGAGAGCGGCGTCAGCAGCGGCCTTCTGGCGCTCGAGCTCTTTAATAGCGCTCTCTTGTTCGGGAATGGCATAGTATTGGAGATCTGCAGCTGCAGCGTGATCTCCCATTCGGGCTGCATCCTCCATCTTTACCTTGAGCCGATCAAGCTTCATCTTCGCCTCTTGAATGTCCTTTCCGCGCTTTCGTTCGCGCTCATACTTTTCTCGGAGCGGTCTCAATTCCTCTTCAACGTTCTCTGCGTCTTGCTTGGCAACTTGGAGCCGAGCCTTGGAGGCATCATCCTTCTCTCGGGACAAAGCATGGATCTCAATCCTAAGTTGGCGTAATTTACGCTCCAGAGAATCGATAATCTCGGGTTGGGACTCTCGGGCAACCCTGACAGCTGCGGCGGCCTCATCGACCAGGTCAACTGCAGAATCCGGTAGGCGACGGGAAGTGAGATATCGGCCAGCCAGATTCGCGGCAGCGACGATGGCAGCGTCGGCGATGCTCACACCATGGTGAACTTCGTACTTCTCCTTGAGACCTCGAAGAATGGAGATAGTCTCAGGGATAGAGGGTTCCTTTACTATAACCTGTTGGAATCGTCGTTCGAAAGCAGCGTCTTTCTCAATGTACTTTCGATACTCGGCAAGGGTAGTAGCACCAATGCAGTGTAATTGTCCACGAGCCAGCATAGGCTTGAGCAGATTGGCGGCATCCATGCCACCCTCACCAGAAGCTCCCGCGCCCATTAGTAGGTGGATTTCGTCAACGAATAGAACGATCATCTCTTTAGACTCGGTGATTTCCTTTAAAACTCCCTTCATTCTTTCTTCAAATTCACCACGGTACTTGCTTCCAGCAACTAAAGCACCGACATCTAGAGATAGCAGTTTGCAGGCGGCAAGGTTATCGGGGATGTCGGCATTGACGATCCGTTGAGCCAAGCCTTCGACGACGGTAGTCTTACCCACACCGGGTTCACCAATTAGTACGGGGTTGTTCTTGGTTCGCCGCGAGAGGATTCGGATAACTCGTCGAATCTCCTCCTCTCTGCCAATGACAGGGTCCATTTTGCCTTCCCTTGCCATGGCTGTCATGTCGATAGTGAACTTGGCAAGATTCTCATGCTCCTCTTCGGTGTCGGCAGTTTTCGAGTCCACCCTCTTCGTCCCGCGGATGGTCTGAACAGCCTCTTGAACTAGCTTGGGTTTGGGGATATTGGCGTCTTTCAGAGCGCCAGCGATGGTTGCATCTTCGGCAAGCGCAGTAATGAGATGGTCGACTGCGATGTAAGTGTCCTTCTGCGTCTTCTGCAGCTCCTGAGCCTTCCTGAGAATGGTGTTGAAGGTAGGTGACATAGATACGGTCTCCGGCGGAGGGTCCTGACTCGGCAGACGGACCAATATCCTCTTGAGGGCTCTGTCAAGAAGTTGCGGGTCGCCATGGGCTCTCTCAACTACTTGCTTGAAGAGACTATGAGTAGTGCCTGGTACGGCATTTTGTTGGTCCTTGGAAGGATCAGGCGGAGGGTCCAGAAGAGAGACAGCGAGATGGATTGGCAGTAGCTGGGAGTGAGCATATTGTTCGGCTAATGCCATAGCATCCTCCAGGGCCTTCTTGCCCCGGTCTGTGAACTCCATTCGTGAAGTCATTGTGAGTGTGGTATTTTTTCTATCAGTATCGGTGGCTCAGTGGGATGGATGTGTGTAGAGCTCGATATTGAATATGTAGAGTGTTGGATAGAATGGTTTGATTATGTTATGAAAGAACCCGTAATGTATCAGGCTCTGCCTTTTGTTCTGAAATGAAGTAATCGTAATAATGGGGTATCAATGAATATGAACAGTCGATCTGTGTCTAATGAAATCAAGTGAAGAAAAAGAAGAAGAACGATGGTAAGAGTCAAGATATGAAGGTTTGTATTTATCTTGCTTGGTGGAAAACTAGAAAAGTAGAAGTGGAGAGGAAACATGCGATGATGACGGAAACAGGAAATGGTTTCAGAAATCTACTCGTGCTTACTTCAGGTATCCAGGCACTTCTGGTCATCTGTTTATGTTCCTAGCAAGTTCCTAATAGGTTCAATAGGTTCCTCGCAGGTTCCAACCAGGCTTTGGCTACATCATCAGACGTTTAGGAAGCTTCGAGTTTGTTGTAGAACGTTTGCGAAGCTTCTACTAGGTACTACCAGGTAGTGGTGGGGTAGCGGGTCGCTGACTGCCCTACCTGCCTTACCTGCCTGACGAAACTTTAAAAGCTCTGTCCAATCGCGGCGCTCAACCATTATAAAGTCAGGTGCCCACCAAATACTACGCATAGTACTAACCTACATGTAGGAGTTATGTAGTTACAGTACAAGTACATTTAACTACATGTATGCGATAACGATAAGTTACTTGCATACAACCCGTGTGGGCCGTGTCATACATACCTATCAATGATACATAGTACATAGTACATGTACTAGCAGTACATGCACAGTAGTAGGTACTAAGAACCTTGTACCCACTAACTAACTGTCGCAAGTGGAAAATGGAATTTTTTCAAAACTTATCGATGAATGAATATTCAAAGTCTTCCAAGCTCAATTAGAGCAGTCCGCTTAAGTTGACAATAACAGAGCTTGACGACGCAATTTCCCACGATGGCTTTAAGATCCAATTCCATAATTTCCCAGCTGGGCAGGCTGTCCTTTGGTTTTACGCGGACGAGCGTTCGTTTTAGTTCCACAATGACAGAGGAAAGACGAAGGGAAATAGAAGCATCCACCCCGCTGGCACATCATGGCGAAAAGTTATGGGTATTTTCTCACTTCCTCGACGGCCACACCGTGTATTCTACTGGCCCGGTGCTCAAGGTATGGTTTTGGGTTATAGAGTTATACTCTTTTCTTTCTTTCTCAATAGGTCCAAGACGCTGATTCTAATACTTGACCTAAAGGCGCACAAAGCGTTACGGCAGCTCCCATTCACCGGCAAGAAACTTAAGCCCTCTAAATTCCGAAGAGACTACTGGCGCCCCCTCGCCATGATTCAGATCCCCGAGGGCTGCGGCGTAGTGGGCAGGAGTGTGTACAACCTCCTGATGGAATGCAAAAAGCTGCACGAGCTGTATTGGGAAGACAGCTTGTTATATAACAAGGAAGGGAAACCGTTGAATAGGCACGAGCGGGGAAGAAAGATCAACGACCAGAGGATCAACACGATTGCCGACATGGCTGCCATCCTTGGGGGCCAGGGCAAGGGCAACAAGATATGGCAGAAGGTGACGGAAGACCCCAAAGAACTTGCTATCCTGGACGTGGGAGAAGACACAATCGTGAGGGACGAAGACGGAGTTGTCAAGGCACGAGTAAAGGCTGAAGTTTGGTGGACGGACATTCAAAACCACAAACACGCACGAAGTTGGACCTCCAATGTCACCCACTACCGCTTTGAGGATGCAGCATTAGAGAAGTTACTGGACGAGGGCACAGAGGAGGAGAATGAAAAGGGGGATGAAGAGGAAGATCGAGAAGAGGATCAGGAATCAGCACCCGAAAAATCAGATCCGAAGCAAGCAGAACCAAAAGAGCAACCCCAATGAGGATCAGATACGAAGACCACCTCTAAATAAGACCCATTACGCGACGAGGAGATCAACTGCTATCAATACAGCTTCCGCAGTTGAGCATATTGATCATCATTCTCTCTTCCTAGCATCCTAAGTACATTATATGGTACAGGTCTGGAGACGCTGTATTCTAGTAGGTATGCCATCAATGTATTATATATTCCAATGAACACTGCCAACCCTAAGCATAGAGGGGGCAACCCAATAACCCAAAAGAAAAGAAGAGTACCCCCCAAGAAAACAACACCAGAGTAATTTAAAATTTTAGTGCGAAGGACTTGAGATACTCGTAGTGCGACACGTTCTCATCTACGCAAGCCCTAATAACTCTTTGGGCTTCCTCGCCGTACTTCTGTCTCCACTCCTCGTTTTCAGATTCGTCGGTGACAGTTTTCTGGTTTCAAACATGGTTAGCAAATAAAAATCAAGCTGAGTTCGAATGGATCTGGAAATCAGTCGGAACTTACATGAGCCTTGGTCCTCGCAGTGAGGCTCTTGCTACTGATGGCGTCGTTGTGAAACCCATTCCATTTCGCAAAAGCGTCAGAGACATACTTCTGATTGTCCTCGTCGTCCCATTTCAGCATGTCGGGCGAGAAATCGATACCGGTCTCCTTGCAGAAGGCCTTGACAACGGGTTCCGGGTGGTCAAGGAGATCATCAGCATCGATAATAGTGATGGTGACTCCTTGCCCCTCCTTTTTTCCATTTGTCTCCCCATTCGTCGTCTCCCCGCTCGACTCTCCAGCTAGGCGCGGTCCGACTATTCCTTGCTCACGCAGATAGTTGAACAGACGACAGAGCTCTACGTATCCAGCTTCATTCGGCATGAATTTCTTGAAACCGGTAACTTCGTCTAACGGAGGCACGCAGCATCGGAAATATGAGGGGATTCCTCTTCTCGGGTGACGGATGAGGAAAGTCCAATGGAACTGTTTGAGGATCTCTAAGGGTATCACCGTCGGATTTCCCTCCTCGGTGTAGTCATCACTCTTGCGCAGGGACGGTACAATCGTTGCCGGTTTCCCATCCGGAGGCATCAAGTAATAGGCCATATCTTTGATGAAAACCCGCTTGCCCTGTGAGGATGAAGTGTAAGTGCCCAGTTCATGGTTAGGCCCCAAAATCGGTTAAAAAGGGGATTCATGCCATTGCAACTCCGCCGCCTTGGCCATAGCACGACGCTCAAATCGAAATCGTCCGCAAATATGTAGTGTTTGGAAAAAATTTGTTAAGAGACATCGCGCTTGCGACCAGAGCAGGGTAGAAGAATATCAAATTATAAGGGGATAGTGGCGAGGATTTACAGGGACAATTGGGGACGTCAGGAGATTCCGAACCTCGCTCCCATCTTTTCCCAGCCGGCTGAGGACATCATGATATGTTGTCTTGGAAAAGCCACTGCTTTCCCTGGCCGCCTCGTCATCGGCATACCGCTGACTGAGCCTCTCAGGGCCGTAATAGAAACTATCTCCAAACGGTTCGTGGGCACATTTGAGAGTATCACGACGAGTCATGAAAACCTGACAGATTTTTTAGTATGTTTAATCCAGAGTCCAAGGATAGCCAGTAGCCAGGTTTTAAGAACCAACCCTCTCGAAAGCGGTGGAACAGGCACGTGGGTGCGTGACCACAAAAACAGGCTTATTAGACATGGTAATAATAGTAGGTAGTAATTGTCGAAGCTTTTTGGCTTCGATGTTGTGATCGATGGGTTAAATGAGGTGATTGGTATTGTGGATAAGTCTCCTTCACTTAAAGAGAGCACCACGCATAAAATAGTTGATCTTTGCGAATGACTACTAAGATAGAAGAATGAGTTTTTTTATTTTTTTTTTTTATGTTTTTGTTTTCGTTGGAAGAATAGACCGAGGGATAAAAGAGGAGAGAGAATTTCTTGAGCAAACCTGCCTAGCGAGCAAGGAAGTCTGGAGAGACTTATAAGTTACCTGAAGCTACTACTAACCACCACTATTATTGATGTACATACATGTAAGTAAGAAGTAGCAGGTGCAGTGGTGGTAACTTTACACATAGGTAGTATGTACTTGCCGAACAAGAGGTTGTTTCTGTCCAGTGTCTACTATTCTAGAACCCTACCTAGTAGGTGACTCCACCCACATAGCTTTTTCTTCGTAAGGCAAGGTTAACGGCTTACAACACCTTGTTAAACAGGGAAGCCAATTGGATGAATAAGCTTCATCGGCCAGGCAGGTACAGAACTATACCACTCTGTAATGGAAGAAAGAATAGCCCCCGGTGTGGATACGCCTAACGTTTCTAGAGAACTCTAGACGAACCCCCAAACTATAGGTTACGTCATACATGGATAGGTATACATACAATACCTAATGCCGTAATCCTAATATCCTATTATATTCCTATACTGGCTACGTACCAGCCTGTACTATTTTACTACTATATAGTATACATACTACTAGGTACTAGGTAGCGTATGGCAGTGTGACAATTGGTGCAACAACCTTTTTGCTAAGGCGAAGACTTGAAAGTGGTGGCGTGGGTATGCAGTCTAGATGCCTGGTACTTAGTAGTACATGGCCTGTTCGAGGGAAGAAGATCAATATAACCTAGGTTAGACGTGTATAAACCGGATACTTTGTATGTACTCCTCAGTAGGGCCGATGGCTATGGATGGCGAAAATCCCCCCCGAAAAAAAAGAGGTCATCTTTAAGCTCTTTAAGAATTTTCCCCCCCCAAGTCTCCTAAGCGTTGTTTTAGGCGAATACCGAATATCTATCACGTACTTAGTAGTATGTACTTGTTAGCACTAACTATACCTAGTATACATAGTAGGTAAGGTAGGTCGACTTTGTTGAAAAGATGATGTTCTACAGTTCTACTACCTAATCCTCTCGTAGAACGCGTAGAACGAACAAGTCATGTGGGAGGTTTGTCTGGTGGCTGGCTTGACATAAATATCGTCATAAGTGGGATGGGCGCGGACCAAATTCATCTTCTAACTTAGTCTGCCCCAACTCCATATATTCAGCCCGACTTTGGTTCCCTTTTTCACTGTAACAATGTAAGGTTAAGTTGATGGTTGCTTTATTTTATCAAAGGCAGCACAAATTGTATATGAGGGTTAGGGTTGAAGAGAAATGGAAAAGGAGAAAGGAGAGAAAATGACAAAAGCCAAGTCATGTACGTACCTGGCAAACCCGCATGCCACGTCTCATCCCACCCTCTCCCGGTTCCATCCGGCCGGAAATTCTCCCAGTACACGGCATTGCCGGCGACCGGCTTGAATATCACACCCGTGACTAGTCCCTCGTCTGCGTGTGAAAGCTCAGCCGCACGCTCAGCCAACTTGGTGCACTCGACCCATTGGCACCACGGGTAATCGGGCGCCTCTCGCTGAAGCAGTGGAAACTCGGTCCCGCCTCCCTCAACCTCGTCCGCTTGCACCCAAGCCATAAAGCTACTAACTCGACCCCAGCCTAGAGCACCCGAACCCCAGTCAAAGTGATGCGAGTAATGCTGATCGGTGCCGTAGCGTTGGGTACGAAGGCGTTCAATCCATAAATCATTGCGCCAGCCTTGAACCGCTCGAGCGCGGCCTTCAATGCATCGTACAGTGTTAGTACGAGGTATCAATGCGACCTCGGAGTCGCGAATGGTGGTATTACGGTGTGTCGATTGGCCATCGTTGGTAACGGTTGAAGGCTCAAACAACGGCTCGCTACGGATAGTTAGCAGCGAAGCAGTACTCCAAGAATGAGAACAGTGATGCGCAACCTACCTAATTTCTAACAAGTGAGATCGTTCATCTTCCGAGATGAAATTCTCAATATAAATTACAATAGGTGCCTTGGAAAGTATGTACACCGAATATGAATTAGGGGAACACTCCGGGGCTGTTTGGTTTGCCGTATCTAGAGCAAGCAAGGACTCGTTAATGCGAGGCCGAGGTGTCCGAGGCAGACGGTTTGGACGCGGTGAAATATGTTGCGTGCCTGGATTGTACAGAAACAATAAAATAGCAAGTCCTGCTACAATATATGAAAACATTGTGATGTTATCAAAATACTATGATGGGGACTAAGGTATACATATGGTGTATGGTGTATGGTGTATGGTATATGATAAATATGTATATATATACGCGTACCTAGCAGCCTTACCTACTTAGTACCTATCTAGTAAGTAAGATTCAATATGCCCCCTAGCTTTGAGTATTGACCCTGTTAGGATAACAAGCGACCCCATAACACAAGTAACCAGTAGCACAATCACATGACTCCAATGACCCATCGTATTTACCACAACACCTTACCCTCATAGCATACCTTCCCCCTACCAATCATCCCCCTTACCAGCCTAGATACCTACCCAGTACCTAGGTAGATAGAGACTGGACGATGCTCTTGGGTGCAATTTACAGACTCTTCCTTTTAAGTTTTCTACTACTTCTTCGTCTACCATAGCCCGATCCTAAGCAGACCGAGATGAGTTTCCATACTACAAAAAAGAAACCCATCAGGACCACGGTCGCTGTCCCGGTGTTAATTCCATTGGCCCGTGCCAAGTCTAGGACGGGAACCTGTATTTTGTGGTATAGGTTCTCGCCTACCTCAGGTTTTGCATTGATATGCCAAAACAAGGTACGGGGTCCAAATAGTCCATCGTAGCCTAGATTAACTCGGTCGAATGGATTATTCGGGAACCTCGTGCCATCCTCGGCAGTACAAGCCCAGAAGACTGCCGGCCAAGGTACTTTGACATCTTTATATCCTTGTGATCCAGGCGACAAGTATCGTAGATGAAGTGGGATCTCTGCTGTCCAGGGATGGTCATCCCTAACACTCTTGACGTTGGGAGGCTGGAGCTCGAGAAGAAGACTAGAACCCCAAGACCTCATGGCGTAGTCCGGTGCCTCAAGATCCACTGGCCTACTGATGTAGCGTAGCGCAGTCAAGTTTTTTGACGCCAAGAATAGCTCATCCCCTAGCTGATACTTATCGGCGAATACAGTTCGGGGTAAGGTGAGGTACGCGTGTAACGAACAAGACGCCCCCTCCATCGGCGGTTTGCTGGAGCTGATGCGCAATTGCATCGTTGGATGCAAGCCCCAGGGACGGAGGAACCTGGAGAGGAAAGTTGAGTCGGTGGCAGTCTTGTGGCGTGAGGGGAAAGAGAACAAGGTCGGCGCCGGTTTCGAGTCCTCGCCTACGACAGTGAGCAAGCCTGTGACACCAAGCTCGTGTGATTCTAGATGCGGTGGTGTGTCCGGCGTCATTATACCCACTTCGGACCTATGTTGTGGATGCGAGTCGATAGATAACGGTTGTCGTTCCCGTGGCCATAAAGCTGTGAGCTTGACTACATGAGAGATTGCATCGTAAGAGAAGTCCACAGAATAGGCACTGTCGATTCGCTGTGCTCGCGTGACACATTCTTGATTGCCAGAAGCACAGATGTTGTGCTCTAGATACGACGCGAAATGGGATAGGTCGTTTAGAATGCTGTAGTATTGATAGGCAGTTGAATGAGTGAATCGATCGCTCGGTAGTTTTGTAAATGATTCCTATTCGTGAAAGAGAAGAAGGGGAAAAACAGTTAGCTTGTTGAAGGATCATGATGCCACTAAGCTCGGCATAGTGACTTACCGATGAGGAGCAATCTAGGGAACCAAATGCTCCCCGAAATAAGCGACATAGGCGTTCGCCATCAGGCTTCCCGCCGTTACCAGGTGTGTAGAAGATATGTAGACCTGGGGGTATCCTTGAGGGCCATGGGCCTACAGTTTCGTAGGCATCGGGTGCTTGCCATCGTAGGTACAACTCTCGGGATCCCCGAACCAGCTCTTGAAGTTCAACAGGAAGCTCCTCGAGAGCCAAGGTAATCCGTTCCTCGCGTTCAGCTATGATATCCGGGCCGGAAAAAGAACGACCTGAAATCTTCAAGGAAGCCGGATCAATGCCATGCTCATTTTTGTGAAAGAAAGTGATTCTTTGACGCATCTTGTATGGTATGAGACGACGTAGTCTGTAGTCGACGATGTCGTATGTCCTGGGAGATTGATCACATGGGTATTCGCAGGGAGGAGGCGGTAATATGTATGTGTCCATAGTCGGTCGAATTAGAAAGTGGCCCAAGCTCCTAAATGGATATGACAATTGAAATTAATTAGATAAGCTTCCCCCTTAAAGTTTGGGGGGGTCTTTTAGCGGGTAGATTGGGTAGATTGGGGGGTGTTAGATGTAGATGGGGTAGATGCCCGGGTGGTTTTGGCAATCAAACTCTAAAAAAGGTCAAAAAGAAGCAACAACGAAATACTATGGAAATAGCGACCCTTTTTCTACTTTGCTATTCCTCGGAACTTCTCTCAACAGGGAGACCACGTAATAACGACGTTGATTGGGCCGCCATTTGTAAAGCTTTGGGCAGGAGGAAGTGACCTGCATATCTGCATACCTGCATGCTAGCCCTGGAATTAAATTGATTTTTTTCTTTTGAACATCAAAGTTTGGGACACTTTAGCACACTTTTGCACACTTTTGCACACTTTAGCACACTTTGGGACATATAGTGCCATGTACCCTTACCTACCCTACCTAGGATTAAGCACTTTGGGGACATATGGTAGGGCTGGGGATGGGGGATTGGGGATTCGGGACTCGACTCGGGGCTGGGGACTTCGCACTTGCAACTGCAACTGATCAATTCGTTTTTCCACGTAACATTGAACTGAACAACTGGACAACTACACGTATCTAGTAGGCGCCGGCCCATTTATTTCCTACAGGGAGGCCTATGACTATTTGCCAGCACTCCTGCAAGGCCTGGAAAAGACGCCTGCATCACAGGGCACTCGCATGAAGCTAGAGAAGAAAAGAAAAAAAAGAATCCTTGAATCCATGTTCATCACATAGCCGCCCTACTTAGTAGGTAACCTATTAGAATTCCTATCTTACATGTTGGCTTTCTAACAGGCTGCAAACTTAACCAGCTTACCAGGTGATTGCCAGGTTACCTACATATGTACATACAGTACTCACCGACTTCTCTCTCGAGACTATATATATACCTGCCTAGGTACCTACTATTGCCTATCTAGCATGAAGGTACATGCATTTGAAGTTTCATCTTTCAAGCTTTCTTTCATACAAGTTCTTGAAAAATCATAATCTAATCTAATTAATTCGTTGCCCAACCCACATTGAATCTCTCAACACGAACAACCTCGATACTACATACTCGGCAGGATATGGCTATAATACGATAGGTATGGCTAAGTCTACATGTAGCAGCTAGTGATATATTAAGTGATATATATCTGGAGAGAGGCCCGAGCGTCCGTGCCGAAAATCTTTGCGGAACCGGAAAAGGTAATAATTACGGTACCGGATAACTAACTACCTCCCTTAGGTATGTACCGAATCGTCCCGATTCCGCCGATCGCCTCAAGTAGCGCATTCTTGTTGTATCGTAAAGATCTAAGGTAAATAGTTTGTATCTGGACTTTTCTGAATCGAATTGTCTTCAAGGCTATTATCTCCGGGTGGGAAAAGAACTGAATAACAAGTTACTATGAGCACTAGGGTTCCTAGCATAATAGCGGCGGTCTGATGGCTTTAGCCTTCTATCCAACCACCGCAATAAATTTTCGAGAAGAGCAAAAAAAGAAAAAAGAAAAAAGAAAAAAAAAGACATCAAGTTTCTAATGCCAAGGTAAATCTTGGCTACCTAATTAGATTAGAGACTGTTATGATGTACATTCTGCGTAAGTACCTAGGCATGCTTCACACGTTCGAATGCTGTGCTGCCACTGATTAGATAGTTATACCTAGTAGCATCCCACAATGTCTCTTTAGAAATACCTAGCTTTTACCTTTCTAGACAGCTTAAGAACTATATAAGAAGGTCTAAGTATCTGTATCATTGGCAGCTTATAATTAACTGCTAGCACTATTAAAAAAACAAAAACAAAAACAAAAACAAAAACAACAAAACAACCAATCAAGCCTACCTGGTACTTACATGGTACCTAGGCACGCATGAACGAGAAGGGGTTGGGGGGGGGGGGTATGATAGCAAAAGGCTAGTGGAAATGAATAGTTTAGGGATATTGTACAACTACAATCAGCCCTTAACATATCAACGTAGACGCGCTCACGGCAGAGATAAATCAACGGAGTTTAGGCTGAACCAAATCTTTAACTCAGGCCCTAACTTCAGACCTACTAGCATCCCCCCTCCTTTACTCGCCGCCGCGGAGGCCCGCTGTACCTTCATGTATTCCCAAGATCTCATATATGTCACTTGAACGCATATGCTTGTCTCCGCATCATCCCAAAGATAATGTGTGGGGCTGGGTGGCTTTACAAGGGAGGCAGAGTTATTGTGAGTATGTCTTGGAAGGCAATTGATGGATAGGTCACACAACTTGTTGTCCGTTGAGACATAGAGGCCTACATGGAGGATCACATGACCAAGTCAACCTCCTTACTCTACCATCGTGATCTTACACAGATAGCGGAGTCATTATTTATTATTATTTGCAGTAGTCGAAACTACTGTAGATGAACTATTCTTAACCAAAATAAGTCCTAACCTAAGCCAATTGGAACAATGATTACATTCCATCAAATTACCACGCACATCACCATAACTTAATAAATGAGAAAGCACTACTACGTAGGCAAGACTCCTGATACGCAGAATATACGTAGTTGATCAATGATGATGATGATGTTGGCACTCTATTACTGCCATGCTAGGTGTACCTGCTATTCCGGCCAGGACTTCGTCTTATCCCTCCTTAGCTTGTGTGCCTTTTTTTTTTTGGATGCTACCCCTGACTATATCCATCTACCTTTTGTAAGCAAGAGATCCTGTGGCATTGTCTTCTTGACTGCCATGATGCATGTGATGAACTGATCTCTCCGATGCCGGAACCCCCTTTCCTTGCCCGATTAAAGAAAACAATTGGATGAGTGCAATATACATTGTGTGATAAGGGGGAAGAAGAACGTGATAGACACCCCTTTTTGATGCCACCTCCTTAGATACGATGGTTGCAAGGAAACTGACATATCTAAGCCTGTTGCCTATTCAGAGCATCATTCTTCCAACGTGAACACCTATTAGCAGGACGTCAAAGCATATAAACTTCCGAGACTTGTATCTATCATTGTAATGGTTGATGCCTCTTAATATAGAGAGAAATCATAAGTCTCGTTGGATTGTCCTAATCCCAACGACGGCCTTCGCGTTCCGCCTCTAAGCGACTCATGCGCTCTTCCTCGTCCTCCATGTTGACAGCTTCGCTGCGACGGCTCTTTCGACGACCGCCGCGATCGTCACCACCTTCCCGGCTACGCTTCACACCCGTCGAACGACCTGCTATGACTGCCATTCGTTGCGCTTCTTTGAGGAGTCGTTCGCGGTCTCGAGCTTCGCGTTCTAGCGTATGCGGGTCTTTTGTAGGACCGGTAGGACCAGATTTCTGTCCGGCAACAGATGACTGCGAGGCACGTCGGGATGCTTCGCTCTCGCGCCGGTTTAAAGTAAGTGGTTTGCTTCCAGCACTTTTGGTTTCTATCCCAGATACAACCACTTTGCTGCTGGCCCCCTTGATAGAGAAGCTGCCTCGAGGACCAGTGGGGGGGTTAAAGACCTTGTCCGAGGGTTCCACTGGAGTTGGCAGAGTACTGGAGTTCCTGGTGCTGCGATAGTGTCGGTCTTCGTCTCGATCATGAGTGTGGTTCCTCTCGCGGTCTTTCTTTTGCTCCCTGTCACGCTCCCTGTCCCTGTCACGGTCTTGGTCGCGATCCCGATGCGGCCGATGATTGGACTTTCGGTGATGGTCGTGATCGCTGTCCCTATCAGCCTCCTTATCGCGCTCTCGACGTTTATCATCTCGATCACGGCGGCTCCTATGACCCGAACGCCTATGCTCGCGATCTACTGGGGAAGCGGATCTGGAACGCTCGTCATATTTCCCATCTCCTGCTCGACTTTTATGGTCCTCTTCATCCCTGGCCGACTGTCTCTTACTCTTGTGCTTGCGTCGACGATGACTGTTATCGTGATCGTCATCTGAAATGGATGGGGTGTGGCGTCGCCTGTGCCTGCGGGACTCCTTACGATCACGGCTAGGGCTGCGACTGATACCACGGCTCCGGGTTCGGCTACCAGATACCGTGCATGCCCTAGAGTGGTCACGATCCTTGTCACGATCACGTCCCCTGCTCTTCTCTTCTTCGTCATGTTCTCGGTCACGTTCACGATGACGGCGGTCTTTCTCTTTGGAAGAATGCAAAGAACTACTTCGGGATTTTGGTTTATCCTCTGTCGGACTTGCTACATTCGGGGTATTAGCAATACGTGAACTTGGGCTTCTCTCATCAGTGATTAAGCCACGTGCTCTAAGGTGACGAAGACTAGTGTTAGGTAGACCTTGCCGCATGGCTTTGGGACCAGTAGGCGCATTCAACGGTACATCCGGAACCGCAATATGAAGATGCATAGGACCAGCAGTTCCACGGGAAGGGCCTTGAGGTGCTGAATGTTGATCTCTAGAAGATACATCACCCTTGTAATTCGTAGGTTCAGCCTGCACAGATTGCGTCTCATCCTCTTTGGAACCCCGTTCCGAGCTCTCCGGCACGAGTCTGTTGGCTCCCTCGGCAGTAGTACTATCACGGTCACCTGCATCCGCGTGCCCATTCTCCCCAGCCCGCTGCACCTCTTGACTAGACTCCGGTCGTATCGCTCGACCAAACTCGTCCACATTGCTGGCCTCCTGCCCCGTTGCCTGGGGGCCATCTAATGCTGGTTGGCCATCTTTACCACTTGGGAACTGAGGACCCTGACCAATCCAACCTGCGTTGGCGTTGTTATATCCATGATGATATCCGCGACCGTGACCTCCGTAGACGCCCCGGCCCCGGCCTCTACCTCGATAGCCGTAGTTGCCTCGACGGTAATCATTGAATTGGTTGTGGTGACCAAAATTACCTGCATTGAAACCTGTACGGAAGCCAGTGTTAAAGCTGCCAAAGTCACCATTTCCCATTCCGGGAGCATTTGGATTGAAATTATCTTGGCCGACGTTCCATGATTGCTGTCCGTTCCAGTCATTGCTGCCACCATTGAACCCATTCATGCCCATATTCATGTTCATGCCGTTCATGCCTATGCCCTGCGCACCAAAGCCACCGTTCATCATCATGCTCTGCATTGCCATGGGATCCATCATTCCTAGGTAGTATGAGATTAGCCATTGCACATCTATTTTAATCTTTATTTAATGAGAATATTCTTACCCATCATGGGAAAAGTCCCGAAAGCGGCAGGATTCATGCCGTTTTGCATGGCCATCATCATTTGCATCTGGGTCATGTCACCGTTACCGAAGTTCATGTTGAAGCCGCCACCCATCGAGTCAAAACTAGAGGCCACACCAGGCTGTGCTAACTGGTCTTTGCTATCGCCAACTTCCATATTTTCTCCCACTTCTTCCACCGTTGCGTCATCTTGGCTTTCTTGTCCTCTTGATACAACAGCCTTGGGCTCTTCCTCTCCAATGGACTGCTCATTGGGCTGCTCATTCGTAGGTAAATTCTGAGATCTTATTAGAGACGAATAAAGTGACACAACTTTTAGGAAATAATTACCTCGTCCTTGGACTGAGAATTGATAGAGATTGGCTTGGAATCAGCGGCCGAGGGCACTTCGGACTCAGCCATGGTATGGGGCGCTGTGGAGCCCGCAGTTTGAGGCGTTGTTCGAGGTTCTGGATCATCCTTCAAGGCTGGTGTAGGATCTGCAGTAGGAGGCTGCTCAGTGGGCACCTGGGTGTGGCTAGGGGTAGGGGCATCTTGGGCAGGAGTCGTCGGCGTAGACCCGTTCGTCTTTGGCCGGGCAGCTTCACGCTTTTTCTCCTCCGTCTTTAGAAAAACTCGGATGGTAGTTCTGAGAGATTTGTAGACGGTACAGTCGGGGGCTGAAATGGGAGTGTGCTCGCAAACTGGACAACTTGAGGATACGGTAGTTTGGCCTGCAATTCATTAGGATATGTGTCCACGATATGACAAAGGAGGTGGGCGGGATAGAGAGAGCGTACACTTCTCGCATATTGCAGTCTCACAGCAAGGCAACCTGTAGGCGTTCACAGCTAACTTGCTGCATACTGCGCAGCGCAATTTGGTAGGCAGTTCAACAGGAGTTAGAGAGCTGCAAAAGTTAGCATATGAGATAGACATGGCGACATTGGGTGGGAAAGAGGCATACTTTGCAAGCTCAATCAGAGCGGCGGTAAGCGCGGCCATGTTTAACACGAATGTCGTTATGGAAAAGTAGTTTATGGTGCATGTGGAAGTGATATGTGAAGCTCGTTCAAGGTTTGTTCAATTTGAAAGAGTTGAAGAGGAATTTGCGTTGAAAAATTGTACGAATCAGTGTTAGAAAGTAGAGCGACGCAGAAAACCAGCCGAGAGGAAAACCTGTATGGTTGTCGTTGTCGCGCTTCGTACCACAACCAATGCCGACATCTGGTGGAGTCAATGAATTGGAAGTAGATAAGAGAAAAAGAAGAAGAAAAAGGCGAAAGTTTTGTTGAATGACTGTAGTTCGAGATGGGAGAACACACCGGAGGACGGTGGAGGACTGGAAGTTCAAGTTGTTCGCTGTTTGGCTGAGTAGCAAAATTGCATACGCGCAAACGTCTGATTACTTAGCTTGCTACTAGTTAACTAGATGTAACTACTAACTATTATAGAGTTTATCTAAGTACCTAGTAACTAGTTTTAACATGTAAGTAACTACCTAGTAGTAAGTACCTCAACTACAACTGGTACATGCACTTTTAAATCAGATTATCTATTTATGCCATATATGCGCAAAACCACCACCCCCTACAGCTGTAAATACTGTACAGTATGATATTGATATGTATAAAATATAGGACCATAATAATAACTCTACAATAACAAAAATACGTAATAGTTAGTAGTCGACACGAAGCTCTATAATAATAACAATACGATATATTATCTACTATCTACATCGCGACACCACACCCCGCCTACCCACGTAACAATACCTGACATGCCCTGATTCATCGAACAAACTTGCCATGACACTTGTGATACTGCGTCTGCGTCAAGAAGAGCTTTGATCGTAACCAGCCTGTGTACCACACAGCATTTTATGTTTGTCATGGGTACTTAGATTGCTTCAGAGGTCGTATCGGAAGACACAAAATATGTGGATGGGGGAAAGAAGAAAAAAAGAAGAAAATTGAACTCGGAAAAAAAATATGATTCACTCATCGAAAGCAGTTCCAGATACCGAATCCCAATGAACCATCGCTCCATATTACAAGGTGAAATGTAGTCATAACCATAAGTGATGGTAAAACATCCCATCTAGACTCCTCCCTTTCCGCTTTGTAACTAACTTCAACACGCGCATCCTTCTTTGGCTGCTTCTCGAGGGCCGTATAGATTTACCCTCTGCTCCTCGCCGCCACGGTTCCCTGCGCTAGAAGCGCCGGGACCTCTCGTGCTCTTCAGTGATGTCTCAGGGATAGCATTCGCGATCGCAGTGAAGACCTCCGTAACATTGTGGCCCGTCTTCGCACTGGTCTCGAAGAACAACAAGCTCTCATCCTCGGCGTACGTCTTGGCCTCCTCCATGGAAATCTTTCGGGCATCTCCGAATTGCTCTCCGTCAGCCCCCCCTTCGCCATCGGCCGGGCCGGACTCGCTTTCGCTAGTAAGATCCAACTTGTTGCCGACCAGAGCAATGACGATACCCGGTGATGCTTGCCTTTGCAATTCTGCTACCCAGTGTTTGGCCTTAATCAGGGACGTTGGCTTCGTGAGATCGTAGACGACAAGGGCGGCTTGGGCATTTCGATAGTACATGGGTGCCAGCGAGGCAAATCGCTCCTGGCCTGCGGTATCCCAAATCTCAAACTTGATGGTTCGTGTAGGAAGATTGCATTTTTGTGTTAAGAAGGCGGCTGCATGTAATTAGTTTAGTTGGATGATCCATCAATGTTGTACATAGATATAATAATAATGTAGTTGACCAGTTACATACCGCCAATGGTCGGTTCCTTATTTTCTTGGAAATCGTTGTTGACGAATCGTAGAACAAGGGAAGACTATGGAACAGTCAGCGTTGCGATCTGGTAGAGACAAGCAGAGAAATAGCATACCTTTCCGACAGCTGCCTCTCCAAGTAGTACTAGTTTGACACTGCTGCTCGGCTTTGGAGCATTTGAGTCGGCCATCTTAATGAAACGGTCGCGGAGATAGAACGGGGGGATAGAACGGACGTTATACAAAAGCGGTCTTTGAGAATAATGAGGTATGGAGAGAATTAATTAAAATGAAAGCGATCGTTGAATACTGCAGTACGGTCTAAAGAAACACGATCGCATGCAAAGTAAGTAGTAGGTTCGTGGATGGGCAAATGCTTAGAGGTACGGCGGATGGATGGATTCTATATACTATCGAATCAGGAATGACGACGCTCGGAGATCCCAGCAACATTTCATGTAGAAGTATCGAAAGTAAGCTAAGTCTACATTGGGTTAGATGTGGCTGAAATGACTAGCCCAGGGCCCAGTACATAGTACTAAGTACACTGGCATGTAGGTAGTGAGTGACTGTGAGTCTACCTACATATGTAGTACCTAGTACTAGTGACTCCGACAGTCCGACTCCGACTCACTCAGGTAGTACAGGTACATACATACCTAGTAATAGTTACCTAGGGTACGGAAAAACAGCTTTCCGACACCGCCAAAGATAAATTTACAGGGGTTAACAATTTAATCCCCTCCATCTCCACTAAGAAGCGGCAGAAAAAAAAAGTTAAGATACCTACTAAGCTTCCAACCAATCCATCATCTCATAATTTTTTAATTAGTATGTAGATTCATATCTTCCATATTTACTTTGAAAATTATACCCATCATGGCGGCTTCCGACTCACGAAAGCAAACCCTGTTTGACGACAGCGACGATGAATCAGATGGTGGTGTTAAACTACAAATAAATGCCGAATATGCCAAAAGATTCGAGCATAACAAGAAGCGCGAGGAATTACACAGATGTTAGTGCAGCCGATCTTTCCCTTCCCTTTTTACCCTTTCTTTTCCCTAATAGACTACTAACCTGGTATCAACAGTGGAGGAGAAATACAAGTCGAAACAAACGAATGGAGGCAAGCCAAAGAATGATGGTGACGAGTCCGGATCTTCTTCAGATGAAACCGAAGACGAAGATGGCTTTTTGGCCACTGAGGATCTCGATGCTCAAATATCGGCTACACTGCAAGCAATCAAACACAAAGACCCTCGCCTATACGATGGGAAAACTACATTCTTCAAGCCAGTCGAAGAAAATGCAACTGTAGAGGATACCACAGAAAAGCAAAAGAAGGAGAAGCCTATCTTTCTACAAGATTACCACCGAGAAAAGATTCTGCGCGGAGACACTGGAGCGGATTTCGACGAAGACCTGCCTCCGCAAACATATGCACAAGAGCAAGATGCATTGAAGCAGACCATCAAGAAGGAAATTCAAGCCCAGCTGCAAGTCGAAGATAACGCCCATAGTAGCGATAGCGACGAGGGCTTCATGAAGGCCAAGAGGACGTCCAACCCCATTCCTGAAAATGGCATTCACCCCTCTAGGGCTGGAAAAATTAAGGTCGCCAAGCCTGACATTTCTCAAGCTGAAAAGGATCCAGAGCTATTCTTGTCAAATTTCATGTCATCCCGCGCCTGGCTCGAGGAAGATGGAACCAATTGGCAAGCATTCGAATCTGATGAAGGCGAAGACGAGAAAGCAGATGAATGGGAGACCGCATACAATTTACGTTTTGAGGACCCAAACAAAAGTAACGAGGTTTTGAAGTCATACGCCCGTGACGTCGTCGCCGCTCGCTCGGTCAGGCGCGAGGACAAGACTGCACGCAAGCGACAACGTGAAATAGAGCGCGAAAATAAGGAAGAGGAAAAACAGAAGCGAAAAGAGGAACGGGCACGACTACGTCGCCTGAAACTAGACGAGGCAGAGAACAAGCTCAAAAAGATCAAGAAAGCTGCTGGTCTGTCTGGTAAAACACTGAAAGACGACGAATGGCAGAAGCTACTTGAAGACGTTTGGGAGGACGATAAATGGGAAGAGCAGCTAAAGAAGACATTCGATGACCAGTACTACGCTGCAGGCGAAGAGGAAATTTCAGAAGATGATGATGAGGAAGATGATGAGGAAACTGAGGCCAAGAAGTCGAAGAAGGTGAAGAAACCTAAATGGGACGACGATATCGATATTAAGGACTTGATTCCCGAATTCGAAGATGAGGAACGTCCTAATATCGCCCTTACCGACGAGGAACAACGAAACGAAGAAGAAGAGGAGGAGGAGGAGGAGGAGGAGGCCCCCATATCCAAACGTCAGAAGACCAGTAAGGAGCGCAAGCGCGAAAAACTTGAAAGCCAAAAAGCCGTACGTCAAGAGCGAGCCAAGCTCGAGGCCTTTGTCAATACGAAGATGGATATCGATGATCCCGAGATTCTTGCTGGCGGAAGCTCTTCCTCCGCAAAGGCCACAGGCCCCTCGCGTTTTAGATATCGTGAAACACGTCCCGAATCCTTCGGCCTCACGACGCGCGATATCCTCATGGCTTCTGACGCCGACCTCAATGAGTATGCCGGCCTCAAGAAGCTTGCACATTTCCGTCCCGCCGACAGACAAGCCAAGGATCGCAAGAGGCTCGGCAAGAAAGCCCGCCTTCGCCAATGGCGCAAGGAGACTTTCGGCCCCGAGTTTGAGCGCGAACCGCCCGCTTTCAACCCTGGTGCTTTCACTGAGCCGAACGAACCTGATGCCAAGCAAAGTAACATAATTGAGGGCGGATCCAAGAAGAAGCGTAAGCGGTCTAGGGCAAAGAAGGGCGCAAAACAGGAAGAGGAAAAGGAGGAGGTGGCGGCAGTGGCGTAGAAGCATGAACCAAAAATGTGGTTATTGTTTGTTTGTACATGTGTATGTGTATGTGCCTGTACTGTATGTACATAATTACAGATGGCAGATGGCAGATGCACCTACATATCTTCGGCATCGTATCTCGGTAGATGGTGGAGTGATACCCTAAATTTTTTATTGCAAAAAATGTGTTCATGTCAAGTATTGTACATACCTATGTACTTTTTAATTTCTCTCAATGTCTATACCCGTACTGCACCTGATGTATCGTATGCGACAGACAACAGACAACAGACAACAGACGATAGACGACAAAACGGCAGACATGCATCCTTCCGATTCCCATTGCCGGGTCCGATATAGCAAGATCTACTACTGGTGTTGCTGAGCTTGGCCTAGCTGTCAGCCCCAACATGGATGGCATGATGGGGGGCATCAGACATCGTACCACCAGATCGCGCAGAACCCCGGCATAGAATGGGGGGGGGGCAAAGGCGGCTTTTGATTCTTCGGGGATACTTTTAAATATATAAACAAATAGGTAGGCAGGTACATGAAATGAACTACCTATGTAATCACGTCCAAATTACATTCTTACAACATATTTGCCTACCGGTAGATGCCTATTTCTTCCACGTCTTCCTATCGAAACACCAACGCTCTCATAATAATAATAATACTTACGACAGTCACCCTGACTACTAAATTCAAAACATAACAGTAATAATAAATTTGATTAAATAAGATTTCTTGCCGCGGCTTAACCTAGGATTTTCCACTCGCCCAGTTCTCCGAATCATCGCACGTCAAAGCTTTCCCCGAAACGCTCAGAAAATATACAGGTATAGACAGCAGCGAACGCAGAACCGTATAGCCTCAATATAATATAAAGCTAGCGATTTCCAGACCCTTATAACTCGCCTTCATATTCAACTCCGTTTTGCCTTGTTGCCTAGCCATGGTGGAAGGGCCCCATCCCCCCGAAAGAATAGGCTACAATCCCCAGATGCATTCCAAATATACAAAAAGAAGGTACGTATGCATCATCCGTCGTTGACATAACAGATAAGGAAAGAGATGTAAAGAGAAAAGGGGACGGAAGTAAAAGAAATCGGCTATCCTCCGTCCCTCAAAATCAAAGGGGTATAAGATACAAGTTGTGGTACAGGTAAATATGTAGGTAGGTAGGTAAGTAGATATATCAACGAAGATGGCCAGCGCAGATATATAATATGACGCAACAACATAATCGCAACATATAGTGATGCCCGATCACTTGTCCTCTGGCAACGAGGTCTCTCGGTATTACAACAGACTAGGCGCGTACCATGGAGGGGGTGTCTTTATTCGTTCGTCTCATCGACCTCCTCTTCGCAGACCTAAGCCGGGCCCCGGAGTATGGACGCCACCAGGACTAAACATCCCGAATCCATCTACGCCCATACCGCCCAGATCTTGGCCTAATTCTGGCGGTTCCATGTTGAACGGCATAAACCACGCAGACGAGGGCTCGGCTACAAACCCGGCAGGCAAATTGTCATGATGGCTACCCGGCCCATCACCCGGCCCGCCGTTCGATCCGTTCGCGTTGCTTGAGCTACTACCATTCCCGGCCAGCGCGTCCCAATCCATCATAGCTTCAGGCCCGCTGATGGTTGCAGGATCTAGCCCACCGTACGCATTGAATACAAGTTGTCGATCGAGCTGTGGTAGTATCCCTGCGGCATTGTGTGTGAGGGATAAGGAAAACAAGTCAGGATTGTAGTAGCCGTGATGCTGGTGGCCATGGCCATGCTGGAATCCGCCGACTGTGACAGGGCTAATCGGCGACAGGGAGTGGTAATTCGCTGCTGCTTTTCGTGAGCATGCATGCGCGACGTTAGAATTGAAGGGGATCCGCCCACTGTTTTGTCCATTCATACGGGAATAGTTCCGTTGGGCATGCGCCCTTTGCTGCTGCGCCTGCTGAATGCGTTGAATCTGATCAGGTATACTGGCCGCGCCAAGGTCAGTAAGGAGGGGCTCAAGTTGTTGCTGTTCGCTGCCGCGTGAAGAGATACTATTCTTTTTCGCTATCGACTTCCGTTTCATCAAGGGCGGCCTGCTTGGACCAGCATTGTCACGTCCATCTCCCGTACTTGGCGGTGGGGAGAGCTGCGTGAAAAACTCCTCGACCGTGTGCAATTCTGGTTTCTGCTCGAGCACTGCATCTTCGCCCGTTTCCTTCTTCTTGAACGAGGCCGGTTCGGGGAATTCAGGCTGCGACACGCCGTGGGGATATCGATCAAACCAATCTCCATACTGGAATATCGGCGAGGACGAGTTATCATTGGCTGGTGTGCCCTGCCGCGCAGCATCGGCGCACGTCTTATACTGTTCACGCAGATTTTCGGCCATGAAATGGAACATCCCCCAGTACCGCTTCATCTTCGAGAGGAACTTGACATTTATTGCCAGGTTTTTCTTTGCTGCAGTCTCAACCGTGGAATTTCCAGAGAAGATGCCGAATATATGAACAGTGCTCGACAGAAACGCACAGTAACCGACGAAAGGCGCAGCGATCATGTGGTGCTCTGAATCCTTTAATAACTCCGATATCCTGTTAGCCGCAGCGAAGGCCTTCGCCCCCGCCTGCGTGATAAAGGTCGTGGGAACGTCCCCGTTAGACAGTCCACCTGGCGAAGACACAGCAAAGCGGTTCATGAACAAGACATTCTGCTGTATCGATATATGTAAGAATAGGAACTGGTTAGCCATTCCTTCCGTCTGATGTAGATGAAGGTTTTCGGCACTGTATTTCAGACCGTCTGGAAGGTTGTCGGCAAGATCCTCGGCCTGCTTGAGAAGCCCAGCATATTCGGAATCAGTACTCCACATCGCATGCTCGTCTAGTTCTTTCCCTCCTTGATTTAGGAAATTTATTATTCTCCCCCATAAACCAATGGCACGAACCATGTATGCCGCGACGCCCATGTTGTCTTTGGCGTTAGAAAGCTGACCCTCATCGGTCGGCACTGGGTGGGGAACTTGTCCTTGCAAATCTTCAGTAGGGCCGGGCATATCGAGTTGGAAAAACTTCTCCTTGATAGGTAATTGAATCTTGACTGATTCTTCCTTTATAAACATAGGCCTATCGGTTCCTGAAGAGTTGAACCGGTCCATAAGAAAGCAAGCCCACATCGTACGCCTTCGGATTTCGCGGTCGATGAAGCTGAGTTGCTTGGTTGGATTAAACCGCATAGGATCGTACTCTAGATCTTTGTGTAGTTGCAATGCAAACGCCATTCGGATGGCCTGGCCACCTAACGACCAACTTCGTCCTCCGTGACAAGTGCCAAATTCATGTAAGCCCAGAAGTAATAGACATGTCAATATCGTAATGTTGGGCCATTCATAACGTCTCATCACGATATCCCGAGCAGGTGCTGCCCACTCCTCGCCCCGGAGAAAGTTGTTCATTGTCGCGAACTTCGGGTGGGTAGAAAATCGGGCAGAGATTGCACAGACAGAAAGTACTAGAACAGGGGGTAATGTGCCGGCTCTGTTGATGATAATTAGCTTCGTTACAGCATTAGGGACAGAGATTATGAACGTACTTTAGTTTCCTCATATAACTCGGCTTGTGAAGGAGGTGGTAAGCTTGGCCGTATATATTTTCGAAGAACACATCCGCTAAATGTTCCTGGATATCTTTTGGCGGCAGCGCCTCGGCGCCTTCATATAGCAATTTATTCTCCTCAGCCTCCTGAACTTGTAACGATGTTGGTTTGCCAGAGCCCTCTAATCTAGCTTTGGTTCCATTTCTAGCCCAATGGTCCAACTCCGCGCCAAATGCCTCTTCTGCTCCTCGCTTCTTCGTTGCCTGTTTTCCTGTGGGGAGGCTTCCAGGGATTGCAGGCTTGACCACGCCTCGAACAACGTTACTAACAGAGGAATCCTGCTCCGATTTAGGCACAAGTTTTATAATCCGGTCTTCCATTCTTTTAAGTCTCTTATCCAGCATGGCCATATAATCGGTCCTTGGAGCCGCTTTCCGCGTTGTGACCTTATAAACACAGGGGATCCGGGACCGAAGACAATGCTTGCAGGCTGGCTTCTCTCCTGAACAACGTATCTTTTTCCTCCGGCACGCAATGCATGCCAATGGCAATCGTTTCCTCTCCTTGCCCGCTTTTGTCTTTAGCTCACTCCATGCCGGGGCAGGGTCGGATTTGTTTTCTTTCAGTTTCCCTCCAAGGTCAGTACCGTCACCGAGTCCACCTGTCGAAAGTCCAAACTCGTCCGACATGTTGTCTTCTAAGGAGTTGGCGCCGACCTGGATGCTCTCTTGGCTTCCATCATCGGATCCATCGAGGCTATGTCGTCTATCCTGATGCGATGGGTTCATCATTGTGTAAGTAGCGCTGGGAGCGCCCGAGGCGGTTGAGCCCTTCCTTTCACCAATCGACGAGATTGACCCGTGGCCTGGAGTGGCGAATAGGTCATTGGTCTGATCATCTAAAGAGATCATTTGGCCAGCTTCGGACATTTCCTGGAACGGGAAATGGAAATCTGAAAACTGAGAAGCGTCGATCATGCCGTGCGAAGCATTGTCATTCGAAAGGTTGTCGTGGTGGTTATCTAAGGAGAAGCCGTTCAGGTCGGCCGGCTCGGTTGAGTTAAGCTGGGGTTCCGCTTTAACAGCAGGTTGCGAGCCATCGATATCCCCGGATGGGAAGGACTGAAGATTAAGGTGAGATTGATGAGGTGACATTTCGGGAGGTTGGATGACCATTTCAAACATGAAAGAGGGAAGGGATCAACAGCGTGCCCAGGACTACTCTCAACACTTATATGTCTCTTTCTTTTATTTTATTTTTCCTGTGCTATAATTCCCAAAAGCTCAATGTGCTCAATGTGCTCAATGTGCTCAATGTCCACACGCGACTTAGCCCTGCGCGACCAGATACTTCGACGTCGCCCTCAGCAAGCCGGTTATCAGAGAGCAGGAACGCCAACGCCGTGCGAAAATCTATCATGACAAACGTAAATGCAATCAATATGAAAGAGGAATATTATCCGCGTAAGGGAAAAGGAAAAAGAGGAGGAGTTGGTTGTCTATGTACGACGGCAAGGTGACGCTGGGGGGGGCGGCAGGTTAAGTCGAGTTACTATGTACTGGGTAAGTAGGTGGTGTAACGGGGGGTAGGCAACCGGTTAGTTAAACGTTCTTCCCATCATTTGAAGTTGAGAAGATTGGAAACCGCTCTCCTGTAAACCTTTGGTGGATCCATGCGTGTTCGGGCCTGCAATTGTGGGGTAATTAAACTAACCAGTAATGGTTCATTTACTGGGGCATGTGGATAAGGGGATGGATGGATCAATATTTACATGTACATAGTAGTATCCAAGAATGGTACTTGTGCATACAACATAAGTACATGCAACATAATACAACATTGAACTGTAACATCTTGCCCCCGGTGGATGTTTAAATATGCAATATCGACATCATGAAAATGTGGCTGCAGTACAATATCTCATCCATAAATGTTACTCTTATATTCGATTAGACTTCAATGTTGGTCACTTAGTACGTGTTGATGTATGGTACATTGAATTGTACATTGAATTGTACATTGAAGCTTGCGTAGCGGCTCGGTAACACATAAAGCGAAGATTGTTCCAGAAAGAATTGAACAATGCATTATACAGGTATGTACGACGTACGCACTCAACATTTTGTTAGCCTACATCAGTAGAAATCCCATTAGAATGCATGCATCTTGTACCTATTTACGCGTATTAGGTACCTAATAATACTAGGTATGGAATTGGGAATGCTATACCTATTCGTTCATTGGCTAAACACTAGGAAGCTTGGTTTATCCTGGGAGCTTAGCTTGATCTAGCAATGATCACTACCAACTAAGGCAACTAAACCTTGTTGAGTATGGATACATCATATGTGTCTTGTCAGGTTGAAATTGTAGGAAATTGTAGGAAATTGATCATCGCCCTATTATTAGTTATGTACTACCTAGGGTACCCTAAGTGAACACGGTGAATTGCATAACTCTTCAAGATATGTAGGTATGAATAAAAGACGATAATGTAGCTAATATGATTCATGTCTTCATATATCTCATATGAGTTCTGTTTTATTGGAATAATCAGTCATTTTGTTATTTTGCTATTGAACACGAACATGAAGCCTACCACGTATGTAGTGATACCGAGTTTACCCCGTCCCACTATACATATGTAGTATGTAGGTTTCTACATAACTAATAGTGTAGTGACGATTTAGTACTTGGCTCTTCCCCGTGCATTCCGAAGTTCCATCATTGAGTTCCAAGGGGTTTCCAAGGTTCTTTAGTAGCTTACTCATTCTTTAGATATATAAAGTGGGGTTTCTTGGCATGAGCTTGTCCTGCACCTTACGAGGCGCCTGCTTGTTAGTTACAAGCTTCTCTCTCAGCTGTAAAATTGACTTGCCAATCAAAGCCTTAAGGTTTATGTCTCAGCTATCCGCCATGTTCTCTAGCTGCCAACGGCCTCGTGACACATCAATTCTTCAATGTCCAAGCACAACCAGAAGCACAGCTGCTATTTATACCTAATAGCAAAAAAAACCCACCCCAGAAAAAACAAATCAACATAAAGGGTTTCCGTAAGGCATCATGGCATGAATAGTTATCTATAATAAGTAGATATACATTTAACGTAGGTTTCACACCCTAATTCATTCACAGATTCACAATAATGATAGCTCCATAAATCTCCAATTTACATATTCAAGGCTTTCTCCCAGTTGATGAAGTTAGAGCCAGTTGGTTCAAAGACATCAGTTTCGAAAATAGAACTTGTCGATCTGACTGATATGCAACGGTGGGTCCAGCGAGTACCCTCTTAGTTGCGCTACAGTTTAGAGCCTCCGGGGTATCATTAGCGTGTGGGGATAAACTCATATCTTGGCATCTTTGAAGGAGGGGGGGGGACCAAGGCCTGGATTTGTGGTGCAAGTTCCTCTTAGTTGGTTCAGTGCCCGTGGGGTAATAGAGACGCGTTATTTATGGTTGGGTGCGTGATGTATGTATGTACAATGTGGGTTACCACGTAGATTATCGGATTAGAGAACGAGAAGCCTATGAAAGACGGAGATTTTTATCGTTTGTATTTTTAAGGCCTTGACATATGTACGTATCTAATGTATATGTTATAGGATATAGTTAACTATGTATATGGGCTCCTATTATGTATATGTATCATACCCTACCCTATGTACGCATTACAAAGACTTCGTCATGTCACTAACCTAGTACATTATTAAATATATGCTTAAGTGCCTGCTATCTAATAGCTGCATAATACTTGTCATACATACTACCAAAATCACTCTAGCCGGCTATGTACCATAGTAGGCGAAGTTGAAGTGCGCAGAAAAGCATACTTAGGGTAAGAACCACTTGAGAAAGGTTCAGGGATTAAAAGAAAGTTGCTTGCTGCAGTAAGGAAGTGGAGAAAGGTTTTACAATTCTATAAATTATTATTGGTTATATGTTTGCTCTCGGCCATAAAATGGCCGGCGTGTCCATGGCCAACGTCCTGCGCTTGCGTGCATCGCGCAGCCCATCTTACTCGGCCGGGGATTTCTTTGGTCTCCTTCTCCCCTTCTTCCCCTCCCCTTTTACCATTTCCCCCCTTCCCCTTGCCCACCCCCCTCTCTCTCCAAAAAAAAAGAAGGAAAAAGATGATTCAAGTTGGGGGCGAATGGATTGTTTCCCTCGTGGTAATATCAGCTAATATGTTTAAGCTTGTATCGGGTCGTTAAGAGCTCTTCTTGAATTTGATTATTCACATCACAAACCACATAAGACACACAACCAATATAATTCCACCAATAGGTCATACTTCTCGAGTTGCTATCCGTGGTTAAGGCAACAGGCCATTCCCTAGCATACATCATGATGGCCAACACAGCGACCGCTTAACCAAGAGATTACGAAATGACGATATCCTGTAGTTGAAGTTAGTCTTACAGCTAAGACGACAATACCCAACACTTTCTCGAATACCTTCATCTACATATATACTAGGTACCTAGGTAGGGATACTTGACACTCGCTTAGCCATATCCAGCGCAAGGAGATTGTAGAAAGCTTCCATCATGAAGTAGTAAGGCTGAGATGAGTACTTGTTCTTCAGTCTCTTGAATACAGCAAAATATTTTTACAGTATTTCCTTCTTGGAGAGCTACCTTCCGATCACTTTGTCTATTGACCTTATGTCAACGCTCTTTCGTTCATCCAGAATAATTCCGGCCTAAATATTTACACCATAACGTATCTGCAAGAGGGTTACGCGAAACCGCATGACAGATAGACGCCCTTTATATCACCCTCGTGTTGCATCCGCCAGAGCGAGCGAGTCCCAATCGATTTCACTTCTGTCGTCTGCCAACTTTTTCTCGACGATCCGCGCGCCAGCTCCCTCGCATGTCGATCTATGGTGTCGACAGGACCGCTAAGTATCAGCACGGGGGCGGTTCGATATTATATCTCGGAATGTTACCGTACATCTTCTCAACTCGGCTTGCCTACCCCCCGTACTGCCAGAAACCTACCTTATGCTTAATTCAGGGGTGGCGAAATCGGCCTCAGCCTGTTGTTACCTACCTACATATTATATGTAAATTCAACAATTCATGCATACCTGCCAACTCAGTTCCTGCGGGATATCTCCTCCCTAACAGCCTGTGTACACTATTTATTTTACTTTGCTACATTCCCGTTGAATCGTACCTATCATCTAGAAATGTATTCGCTCGCCAAAGATACCTTCACTTGCTCTGACGAGATGAATTCCACATATGTAGGTAAACCGATTCATATCAAAAACACCATATACTTTTTCAAGGTATTAACCTCCCCCCTCCTTTCTTCTTGCTGCGTGAGGTGCTATTTTCGAGGTTACCTATTCGAATTTCCGCCTTTCTTGCGGGTAGCATGGAGGTTTGATGATTAAGCTTCTTCAACTGTACTCTCGATGTGTATTATAGCGAGCGAGGCGAGATGCGCCTTGTGGCAAGGTCCCACTGCATCATGTATCTCTAGTTATCAATGCCGACACATATCCACGAACCGATGTTACAAATGGTCTCGTGGCACAGCTATCTATTGTAACGAATCCGGCCGAAAAGAACGAAAGAAGAGAAAAAATAAAGCACGCGGCCGAGACATCATCATACACACATCAACTCGGCCCTTTCAAGAAGCAACACCAAGTAAAGTCCAGAGACACCAAAAAAAAAAGAAAAAAAAAAAGGGATGATGATCCTGGTCATTCCGCTTAATGTGGGCAATACGTATTTTACCGCTGATCCCCAGTCAGCTGCGCAGAAGAGTTGTAGAATACTTCGATAATCCCAACATGTCGACATGTTACGGGTGTGGGCCTCGGTAGCGAATTGGATATCATGGGGGAAAAGAAAGCCCATCATGCTTGGCAATCCTAGTGATCTACCATTCTTCTTTTCCCCTTTGATCTGCATACAATTCTTAAGCTCCAGCCCTACTGTCGAGGCCGAGCGGATCTTTACAGGGTCCTATATTCAGGATGTATTGTACAATACCTTAACCTTGGGGTTCCTGAGTCTCTTTTACGTATGATTAACAGCTGGAACATAGGCAAATGTTTCTAAACATCTTATCCCGATCGTGTAAGTATTCTTACGGGAATATGAAACCCCGTATCAGAATTCAACAACGCTGAAATTGGAAGCAGCACTAAAGAAAGAAAAAACTTTTGGGCAGCTTCATAAAGAACACATAAGCAGTTAACTACCTAGGGTAGGTTATAGCATCCCATCACGCGGAGAATCTCCCGTGTCTTACCTGGACTATCCATACACTGCAAAAATAAATATTGATAAATTCCAAAAACTTCAATTTATCTATAGTGGCTGTCATCTAATTCTTTGCTCGTTAAAAATCTACCAAATCACACAACGCCTTGTCTTCCCCAGACTACCAAAGACTGACCAATACCCCTTGCTGACAAGAGGAAGAGGGCCAAGATGATAAACAGCCTAGCACTACAACACTTGTCATCAGGGGGAAATACTCTGCGTGGTATTTCATTTCTGTTATTACCGTCTTTGTCTCTTTTGCGGTTGTGATTAACCTAATGCTACATGAACCTTCAAGATCTGCGCTAGGCTACAAGGCGACCTCTGTGCCACGTTTATCCAATGTTCTCCATAGGTCTCTGAAGTGTGTTGGCCGGTTGGTATCCCTGTGATAGCTCAAGAAGTCGATGTTACAAAAAAAGAAAAAGAAAAAGAAAAAGGAAAAGAAAAGAAAGCAAGTACCTGCCGCTCTATCCCTTTCCCTTTGTGAGGGTTCTATCGTAGCCCCTGCCGTACCAGGAAAAAAGGGGATGCATCTTGAACCCAACCCACCCGCCATCTTCAGTGCTTTTTAAGTGATCCAAGTGGAACAGTAGATGGATATATACACCTAGTACGGAAGAAGTAGGTAGTAGGGTTGCTCGACATCTATGTATGTTTATTACATGTTGGTTCTACGGCCGAACACGACCACCCCGTTGATATCCACCACTAATAACAAGCCTTGAAGAGTATCGCCACTACAAAATTCCCTGAATTATCTTCTGCTGCAAAAATAAAAATAAAATAGTATTCTGATGACGCAGGAACTTGGAGGGGGGGAGCAACGCTCAGAAGACATGGGGGGAGGGAGAAGTAAGTAGCAAAGACATTCATGTCACGGGGCAGTTCCTTGCTGCTTTACCACCACCCTTCGAACAAACCACCCACCCCCTCCTTGTGGAGGCTCCGAGGCTCCCCAGTGTTGAGGCACACTGTCACAGCAGCGTGTGCTTCATGTATGTGAAAACTGACAATTATGTGACCAAAACTACATACCACAACAACTAGCCACCGAGGTCCCTCCAGAGGACTGGAGATAAGCTATCGAGTCACACATCAACATTACTCCATGGGCCTATTTAGGAATCTTTCGTCGATTCATCTCCTATCCGGATTCCTTTCCCATCTTCGGGCCTACTGAGGTGTCTGACCTAGGTGCTAGGCAACTGAAAAGACTCATTCTATCTTCTATATACCCACCTAACCTATACCTTTTCTTGTATCTCTCTTACGGGAAGAAAGAGAGAGAGAGTGTGTGAGACGAAACATATGTATCGCTTCTCAAGATAACCTTCCCATAATGGCCGTACTTGAACTACCTACCCAGGCAGAATCACCGCTCGCCTCCAATGCTAGGTAACAAGTCTAAGAGACCCAGACCTGGAGACTACAAATACATGCGACACTCCGGAGCCCATATCTGAAGGGTTCCTATTCGAACCGTTCTGTGATACCAGATATGTTTTTGCTTTTTCTGTAAAAAAGAAAGAGAGAAAAGAAAAGGAGTACATGTGCCATCACATGCTAGGTATGACTGCCTCTAAGAAGAAAATCTCAAACTCCACGATGTTTCTATGTCCATGATAGAGCGAGCCTATTCCAACGGACGTTTCTTTCGTTTCTAGTGGCATAGACACCAACAGCCTGCTTGCCAAGTGTCCCAAAGCAAGCCTCCTATCTCCTCGTGCTAGTTTTGATGTAGAATGATGTAGTGGTAATAAAGCTTCAACTCTTGATATACCACACATGCATACGAGCCCCCAACTATATGTCCTCACAATATCACGCAGGTGTAGCCAATAATAATGAAGCGATAGCAAAAGTAAATGCAAGGCAAATATGTACGTATTAGACAAGTACGTATGCAGCTGGATACGCATAAACTCCGTACTGAGGGACAACCAAACCCCTATCACCCATACTACATACCCCAAACAACGCCAGCAACAGAGGCATGAAGAGTTCTCTACCTAGTCTATCAACCTTTCCTTTCCTGAGCGCCATGCCATGCAAAAATTGATGTTGAGTATGTAAGACCCTATTTACCTCCCTTCTACCTATTTCCCCGTTCTTCCTATCCTCTCTCCGCCTCAGTTGGCCATGTACACCTTCTACATCTTTCACGTTGATGCCCAATATAAGATGCAAAATCAGACAAGTCACGATTTGTGAATGTAAACCGGGATCCCATACACACAAACCGCGGCCGCCGTCAGATACCTGAACCGACACGCATCCCGCGCACTGGCGACCGCCTCCACGAGGCTCGTCTGTCCTCTCATACCTACTACCCCTTCTTGACCTGCTGTCGTCGCTTTCTTCCCTTTACTCCTAGATGCCTTCTTCCCTTTTCCACTCGTCACCTCCGCGAACGTGCCCCGAGGCATCAGCCCCCACTCCTCGAACACCTTTCCGGCAAAGCGATCGATATCCCGATCCGTTACATCCCAGAGTGTGCCCACAACGGCCGGACACCCGGCAAGCATGTAGTTCCAAACGGGGCCGTGGCACTCGAACCGACCTACATCGGCGAGGGAGGCCGAGCTGCAGCCCATGAGCAATGCAGCCGCGCGGCACTTATCCATCTTACGGATCGTGCGGCCACGGATGTACTGCGCGCCACTACCATGCCCAAAGTACAGTAGTAGGTCCTTTTCGGCGAGGGCTTTCTCAAACTCGGCCTCGGTCGGCTCCCGCATCTCGACGCTCTCCCACGCTAGCGGAAGACTCGAAAGCGCATCACCAAAGGTGTTTTGCGTGTTCTTGAGGTCCGAGCCCGGGTTCAGGATGTACGTGCCTGAATTGATCGATGCATAGTGACCATCTCGCTGAGCCGAGCCGTTAAGCTCGTCGTCATCTTCGTCCGTGGTTTCCGGACTAGTTGACTTGGACTCCAAGATTAACCTCCGTAGACAATCAAGAGAGGGAACCCTCGAAGTCGCTAGACCTTGCAAGCAAGGTAGAGACTCCCAAGGGAATGCATGCAAAGATTTGTCCAGGACTAGTATCGTATGCACGCCCTCACCTGCCTCCTTGCGGCCCTTAACTGCAACGTAGTAGGAACGTAAAGCGTCACATGTCTCTACAGCCATGGCGTCAAAGTCAATCTCATCGTATGCGTTTCTCTCGCCGTGGAACTGCAAAATGTCGATAACGAAGTAGAGTAAATCTGTTAGCGCCTCATCTAAGTCGGCTCCTCGCCCACTCGGGTCGCCCAGGCCAATAAACAAGTCGTAGATTCGAGGATCAAGGCTAACTCTGCCGGTAGGGGCTGCCTGTGTCTTTCGACCATTGACTTGCTGCCGTGAAGAGAGGTGCTTATCCAGGATGCCCTGGAAGCGATTCTCGAACTCTGCAAATAGGTCCGCCTGTCTTTGATGCTGAGAGAGTATACCTCTGAAACCTCCTAGCCAAGTTTGCTCAATGCACTCCATGAGATTCTTTAGGCGTTCGTCGAGTTGTTCCCGCTCTGCCCACCACGCAGACTTTGCCCCTGTCTTGCTCATATCTCGTGCATTATGACAGGTGAGATTGGCCACTTTGATAATCTCGAGTAGCTCTGTTCGTCCTTGACGGAAACTGAAGACTTCCGAGTCCGCATCCCGGGAACTTGCTCGCTCGAGCGGAAGTCGAATGCCAAAAGGATTTTGATTCCGCTGTAGCTTCGTGATGCAAAGATCATGTTCACTATCACTCAATGACACCGAGATAACATTCCAAGACTTGGGGATGATGTCGATGTAGTCACTCTGAAAGCGGTCCATGTCAAGTGAGAACCCAAGACTGCTACGTCTGGCCTCAGCACTGTCAGTAGGTATGGGCCAGTCCAATTTCAACTCTTTAGCAGCTTCCAAATGAAGCGTCTTTCGTTCGCGGCGCCAGGTTAGATTGCGGGCAAGTTCCACTGAACAAGTAGCATGGGCAGGATGAGTGGCAGCTGGCTTTAGTGAATTCGTATTAGACAGGAGGATAACGACATTCTGGAGTACTGTCGCAATCCGATGAACCAGATACCCGTCACCATTGAGACTTGCAATAGAGTGTGCCGTGAGCAAATGCCCCTGTGCTTCACGTAGCTTTTCAACGAACGATCGCGTATTGTCCTGTGCCTTTTTGGAAGGGGCACGACCTTTTCGAGGAGCCGAGGCTTTTGTCAAAGATAACCTATTAGATGCAGTCCTCTCCTTAAGAGATCCCGCTACTGAAGGGAAGGAAAGTGTTGAATCTTGAATGACAGAAAACACAGCATCTTGTCCCATTTGATCTAAGCCCTGACCTATCAAGGCTACTCCCATCAGAAAACAAGCTTGTGACACATCTGTAGGCAACTTGCAAAGTTCATAAGCGGTTCGGAGAGTAGTTACAGCTGAAGCCCAATCGTTCTCGCCAAGAAGCCGATTTGATTGGTGCTGGAGTATTGAAGCACGTAGGAAAGACAGCTGAGTATCCTCAGGGTTGTGTTGAGTTGTAGTAATCTCTGTTGGAGGAGTAATCTTCGTCGGTGACTTTTTTGTTGTTGGCTTTCTTGACGCCGCCTTTGTGACCTTTGTGACCTTTGTGACCTTCTTGGCCTTGCTCACAACTCTGGGTATTTTAGTAGCTGTACGGCGCCCTGTAGTTTTGACCACTGGCTTTTCTTCGATAGCAAGTTCTGCCATGCCTGATTCTAGATCCTCCGTGATCCAGTCGCTTGTGCTTTGATCACTATTCAAAATCTTGAGCATATATTCAGCTTTTTCTATCAGCTTCTCTTGTGCTTCTGGGTCTTTAATCTCTCCATAGACAGAACTTAAAAGGCATAACACCTTGGCATTTTCGTAGGTGGGCTCTAGACCATAGGCTATAGGGTTGGCCTCAGCTGCCAACTCCATTGCTTTTTCCAATTTTCCAGCCATGAGCCATACCTGTGCTAGCCAAGTAAGAGATCGAGACACATATGCCGCTGAACCCATGCTCTTTGCCACTTTCTGCGCTTGTTCAGCGTAATATAGTGTTTCCTGGTACATTCCAACGTGCGCATAAGCTGTCGATAGTTGAAGGAGGAATCGGAATAGAGGATAGGCTAGAGCCCAAAATTCTGGCCCAGTACTCGCTTGGAGAAATTCGGCCTTGTTGATGAAAGAACCATTCAAGCTTGTATCTTTGTCCGATGCTTCAGTTTGCGAAGAATCCTCCATTGAAGTATCCTGAGCGACGGATCTCGTTTTTTCAAGCCTAGTCCAGTCATGGAACAGTTTCCTGACAGCTATCCTCGCAAATCGCAGAGCGTGATAGCAGTCCCCACGTTCAAGCGCGAGGCTTGAAGAGATTGAATATGCATGGGCGGTCGTTATCATTCTCTTCGAGCTTTTGGTTCTCTTTGCCCCTGGCTCAGAAGCCAATGCTGATTCGGCATGTTGAGCATTACACAAATGCTGTTCTGCTTTGTCGAGAGCTCCCAGGGATAAATGGTACTCAGCAGCAGATAGGTAGAATCTTATAGCTAGGTCTTTAGTAATTCGCGGCTGGGATATAAGCTCATAATTGTCATTCAGTAGTTGTTCAGCCTTGGATGACCAGCCGTGGCTCAGGTGTTGTCGACAAAGGGCAAGGCTCTGAGTTATTAGCAACTCGGGGCTGCAATCTGTCGAAAGCTTGGAGATACTTTGACAGAGCTCGAGGATGTCTATTTGCAGTGCATCAAGACCTTTGATTCGAGCAAAGTCGACGAGGGATTGGAGATTTGCGAGCAGCTGAGAGGTGTTATCGATGTAGAAGGATAACTGTTCAGCTGATTGACATTTTGAGACCATAGATTTCCAACTGGAGATAGCTGTCTTCACCTGCCGCGTACCTATATTTGAATCAACTAGTCCAAATACACAGGCTGCTAACGCTTGCAGATGTGGTATATAGCGTGCCAGGCCAGAGTCATTCGCCAATGCCTCTTCTCTCGTTACTTTCAAAACAGCCTCTACCTCGGTTCGCATATCGTCAAGTCCATCCAGGGAGCCCATGTTGATCGTAAGAACCTGCAAAAGAGTCCTGAGTCGGCGGATTGGGAATTTATCAGCAGAGTAGAATTGTAACAATGTCTTGATCGGAGGGCTTGACAAGTCTGATTCGCTGCGGTACCTATTGTCCTTGGATATAATAGTATAGAGATCATGCTCAAGGGCAGTGGCCTTGTCCGACCCAACAAGCAGCCAGGTCCAGTCATTGTGCTTTCGATCAAGCTTGGAAAGATTACACACTGTTCGTGATAGCAATTCGGCATTAGGACATTGTTGCCACGCAGACCACCAAGGCTCTGTTGCTAGTTTTGCCGTAATTGTCGATACAATTTCTTGTCGAACGAGATGGTCCCTTATAGATCGAAGGGCGTCAATGGCATCGTCCAGCCTACCAGAAGCCCCACACAGATCAGCAAACCGCTCCCATTTAACTAATAATTGGGCTCGAACTTGTTCAGCTTCTGATCGGGATTTGACGCTTTCAATGGATTTCCGAAGTGCCTTTAGAGAGGTACTTTCCATAGCCTTAGACGGAGACTTCCGTAAGACAAGGTGTTGTTGATAGTAAAAATGCGAGATCTTCACATGGTATAAGGGAGACGAATTAGCCTTGGCTCCTGGCTGACTTAAATTCCCAATAACCTCTAGAATGGCCAGACTATCCTGAAGTGTAGGATCCAACATTTCCCATGCAAGCCGGTCTTGGTCCAAAAGCAACTTTGCAAGCATCAAGGCCGAGTCTAGAATGTGAGGCAAGTATGTTTTCAATAATCCTCGTCGTTGATCGAAGCTAAGTAATTCCTTCGTTGTATTAGCCGAGGTCGGTGGCTTGCCCAACCATCTAGAGGAAAAGCGTGGCAGTTGGAAGACAAAAGTTTCGAGAAGCTGTCGAATATCATGTGAGACTTTGCCAGACTTATCCTGCTTCCCGGTGATCAGGCTCATGACAGACTTTCTTAGAAGGCAGACACTGTCTAGAAGGTCATCCATCTCCGCACTCGTGCCTCCAAGTGGCCCTCGTAGACCTTCTGAGACTTCCCTTAAGAGACCCTCATTGACTTGAGTTGATTCTTTGAGAGAAAGTGCCAATAGTTGGGCGGTCACAGCCAGACATCTTGCAGCAGAGTCCTCGCTTGGGTTGACCAGGGATTTCAGTTTAGCCAGCCATTTCTTTGCTTCATTGACATTACCAGAGTCCCGTGATGTCGTAGCAAGCACCTGGTATATCGCCGCCAATGGAGACTTCGACGATTCCTGTGGTCTGAGGCCCAATTTTTCTACTCGTTTCCACACTTGTGAAAAGGCTGAAAATGCGGTATCGAAGTGGCCAGGGGATGCTCTACGGGTGAAGGCAGCGAGGCATTTAGAGAGAGGAAACAAGACATCCTTGTCTACATCTCCGCGATGGCCAGACACACTCCACGATACTAGCCGTATCGTTAGGCCCAGAGCTTGTATCTCTAATGCTACTGCCGGGCTTGGAGATAATCTCGGCTCCACAGCAAATTCATCGTCTTTGGGAGATATGCTCGGTGGTAAGGAAAGTAGGATTTGGGATAAATTCTCTAGTTGTCGGGCACATTTCGTCTGATCTGGATTTTCGTCTTTGAGAGACATGAGAAGCAAGTTCATAGGTGACGAGAGATGACTTTCGCGTAAGAAAGGCAGAATGCTTTCGAGGTGTGACGATTTCTTTAAGCCATGTATAACCCGAAGAGCGTGAATTTGCGACGAAATGATCAAACCAAGAAGAGGGCCTGAGCTAGTGACCTTGGGAAAATCCAATAGCTCGGAGAGTGTCCTTGACGTCGCGTTCGAATCCGTTCGTTTGCGTGTTGTTGTCTCCATGAAATTATCTCCATGAATCATACGTTCTAGGCGCTGTTTTAATATTCTAAGCTCCTTTGCCGCCTGTTCAAACATATCCAGCCCTATTAGCTTGGCGACAAAAGAGGATAGTCCAGATTCTAATTGTAATTCAGGAAGCTGAACGATTTTAGATGCTTGTAAGGCCCTCAATGCAGCAAAGGCTGCTCGCGCACATTCGATTGTTGACAAGCAACCTGTCGATGAGGCTATTGATGTAGGAGACTGAGGTATCTTGGGAACAGCAGGCGACGTCGAGGTTCGATTCAAGGAGCGGGGTTGTAATGGCTTCATGGGAGCTGAGGTCGATCGTTGGATGGCTTTCCGAGCTACTATTTTAGCCAAATCATTCTTGGATGGATCTCGTATGTCTGAGCTCGTACTTGAGGCAACCTTTCCGGCCTCTCCTAGGGCCTTGAGAGTTGCTGTGATGATCTGAGTAGCTAATACTGCCCTCTCCCTTGCCGTTAACGATCCTCCATTGTCCTTGATGCGTTGCGCTCCCGGCGCAGTGTTTACTCTGCTTGGTGGCCGAGATGCCTTAGTGGACCGAGATTTGGATGTCGCATTGGAGGAATCGGGTTCTATATCGAGATTTTGTAGAAGCTCCTTCACGGTAGCTGATATTGCAGGTGTGCATGTTGATATTGATGCGACCGCGTCACGGACGGCATCGACACGAACGTTTATGGGATCCATGTAGAGAGAGATATACGAAAAATGTCCTATGTGTTAATTTCCATTCATGTCGTCGTTAGTAGGAAGAGAAAAGCAGCAGGTAACAAGCTAAAGCTATCGAAGCAATTTGTTGCTATAAGAGGCAGGGCAATGTAATGGCAATTATTTTTAAGTGCTTCTAAAAGAATGTAGAAGACAGGTCTATCGTGCAAACTTGAATATTAAACAGTGCAAAAGGTGTGTATCGTTGAGTGGTAGGTGGGTGACAATGCAGAGCGTGAACCCATGCAAAGACTAAAGATTGTGCTAATTGTGAAAATAGATTAACCCAAAATAGAAAAAAAATATGGTTGTCCGGACAACGGCGCAACGGTTTACGGCGCAACAGTTAGTTACTAGTAACGGTGTACTATGCCGTAGCTAGCAGTAGTCTGTGCTATTCGGCTAATCTATAAACGTACTAGCAAAGTTCGTTATCGATACCGCGCATCATCGAGATAGTTCAATGTCAGTTGGGGTAAGCAGATGACAACTTGAATCGCAGTGCTGCCAATGGTTAGCGGTACGTACCTAGGTTAGGTACTTAAACGCTTCTGTAGTTTTCATAAATTTAGATAAACTAGACCATCTTGTTAGCATCAATCTTCACGCTCCTTCTTCACTTTTCACATACCTACTCAAGGCCAGTACTAACCACCTCAACATGGACAAGTTATTCTGGCGCAGAGCTGTGAATTTTACAGTCATTACTCGGCCAGTGGCTTTGCGGCCAGTGGCTTTGCGGCCAGTATGTGCCAGCTGTCATCAACTCCCACGGCGTGTGAGCTCAATGCCGACAATCATGCAGCCGTCATTTTGGAAGAGTATGATACCAAAGCCATTCCGCCGACGCTCAGGACAAACTGTAAACTGGGGTGTGCCAAGAAAGCCAAAATCGAAGGAGTGGAACCCGGCGACATTTTTCATCGTCATTTTCCTCTTCATTGGGTCCATGTCTATCCAGATGATTGCCATGAAGAAAGAATTCGATAACTTTATGAGACGCTCCGAAGTCCGCGTTGGTTTGCTACGTGAGGTTGTAGAGAAACTACAAAGAGGTGAAGAGGTGGATGTTGAAAAGGCTCTTGGTACCGGCGACGTAGAAAAAGAGTTAGCTTGGGAAGACGTGTTAAGGGAGATCGAGCGCGATGACATTCTGAAGAACACGAAGGATACCGACAAGGCAAAACAGTCAGCACCAACTACAGTAAAGGTAGAAGCTAGAGAAGCCAAAAAGTCTAAAGAGGCCGCCAATCCTGAAAGTACAGCGCCACAACGACCAAAGACTGGAAATTATTCAAATTTCTTCTAGTTCATGAACTTTATTGCTGTATATATACTAGGCACCGCTCGACACGATTACACTATTACGACATCAGGTCCTTAAACCCTAAAGCGCCATGTCGCTCGGTACTAGGGACAGGATCGGGATTCTTCGCAGATGCCTTTAGGTTTGATGTCTGCCGTAATTGCTCTACAAGAGCCGGTAGTAATTCATCAGTGGACAACTCTACTCTAAGTCCTTGATTCCCTCTCTGGGATGGATCAAGGTCGGCAAAGAAAGTCTCTTCACCCCTAACGCCACCAAGGTTAACGATCGCGATGGGAATGCCTCGATCTTTGGCCTTCTTGGCCAGTCGCCAGGCAGAATAGGTGGCAAGTGAAGTTCCCAATACCAGCAGGCTCCCCGCATTCTCCAAAATCTGTTCTGCAGCGATTTTGATAGAAGGCCGGATGTTTTCCCCGAACATTACAACAGCTGGCTTTAGCACACCACCAGTGCTTGTTGACAACAATGCACCATCAGCATCGGCTTCGACTCTCGCTCGGCTCCCATCTGTCATGAGGGGCGGAGCCACGAGACATTTTGGGCAGGGTGGATAGCGAAATGTTGTGTAAGGGGCGTCTGGGAGATCTACATCGCCATCAGGATTTGTTCTTAATCCCTTTTCTCGTCTTTCGTCTGGATTCTCAGTGTCCAAAGCACCAGAGGCTAGAATCTCCTGGAGGAAGGCTGCCCAGGCAGGGTTCAGCCGGGCTAGCTCGTTTTGAAAGGTGTGTCGGGGCAGTTCTTCGTGACATGATATGCATACGCATGATCTCAAGTAGCCATGTAGCTCGATCGTGGGGAGCAGGGGATGAGCCTTTGAATGGAAAGAATCCACATTTTGCGTAATCACATTCTGAACTAGTCCCATGTCACCTAATTGTTTTATTGCGTAGTGGCCGGCATTGGGTTTTGCATTGAGGAGCGTTGTCCAACCAAGAAAACTTCTAGCCCAGTAACGCTTTCTAGCCTCGTGGTTCTGGAGGAACTCATGGTAGTAGATGGGCCGATAGGTCTTGTTCACTCTGTAGGTACCCTGAGGCCCCCGGTAATCCGCAAGACCACTAGCCACGGATATGCCCGCTCCAGTTAGAACTACCGTGGGAGGCGATGCATTTGCTAGAGGGGCTTGGAAGAATTCCTGGAGAGCGGTAACAGCACCTGATATCGATGTTGCCGTTCTGGGGATGGTGGTAGGAGATGCTAATACATCGGTATATGGAATTCGCATGTAAGACTTGCGCATTTGGAAGGATTTGTAACGGATATCTAGTTTTTATTTGCGTATATATGTAGATATGTAGATATATAGATATATAGATATATAGATATATAGATATATAGATATATGTAGATCGATAATAAGGTTAAGTAATAAATATTCTGAATAATTTACGATGTATGAAACTGAAGCATCATTTTCAATGAGATTAGGTTATTAAGTTCAATGTTAATAGAGTGAAGTCATCACCTAGTGTTTTACCTGCGGTACATACATGTATGACATTGTATGTACCTACCTAAAGGTTAGTATTGATAATACTACTAGCCTAGTACTAGGTATGCCGTATCTAGCATCTATGGAAATACCAGCTAAACTAAGTTAGGCTTGTTAGAGAATCCCCTCCTGGGTTCCCCTGAGAACTTGCATGGTGGGGCGCTCATAGTTCCAAAATAGTACATTCCGATGGAGGCTGACGCAACTATGGGCTAGGATCTTTTTTTTGGCCGAACAAAAAAAAAAATCGAATTAAATGAAATCTGATTGGCCTAATTGGGATTTTGGCACCTTTTTTTGCACCGCCCGCCCCATCCGATGTCGTCGCAAGACGCACACGCATCACCAAAAAAAACAAAAAAAAAAAACTACTAACTACAACATCTACAACATGCGACATGCGACATTCATGTTAATTACACCTTTTTTTCTTCTTCGTCTAACTTGATGGTTTTGGGGGGGTTTTATTTACGCGCGTCTCATTGCCCAACATAGTCGCACTCCGGCACCCCTCCCCTTGCATTCTTTATTTATTCTTTTTACATTACCTCATCTTACCATTTGGAGCAAGTTGTACCCAAAGTTGTACCCATAAGTTCCATAACCCATACAGATGTTGTTTCCACAAACTCGACTAGGCTGGGGCCGAGGTGGCCTGCGCCTGGCTGTGACAGCTAGTAGCGCAAAGCTTACGCCTACACTCCCTACAGTGACTACTACAGTCCCTACACTCGGTAGCACAGGCGCAGGCGCAGTCTCAGGCTCAGGTCTGATTACCCGTCGGAAGCAACAATATAGTATGCCTAATTGGACACGGTTACAATACTTAACACCACAACCTCAACGTCGCCTTTTTCAATCTTCTTGTTATTCAAGTCATTCTCTTTCACATAACCAATTGTTTCCCGTGCACCATTCAAATTTTCACATTCCTCTTATATCTTCTGTTTCCACCGATCGTCGATTCTGTCGTATTCTACCCATCATGGCAACTCTTACACAAACGCGTAGCCATAGTGGACATAAGCATGGCCATGGTCATCACCACGACAATGTCTATCTCACCTCCCAGAACAAGAACGACGCCGGTGTTCGTATTACCCGCATTGGCCTATTTTCCAATCTCGGCATGGCAATCGCGAAAGGCATTGGTGGTTATCTATTCAATTCGAAAGCAATGGTGGCCGATGCCATTCACAGTCTAACAGATCTTGCATCTGACATACTGACATTGGCTACCATTTCCTGGAGTCTTAAGCCACCATCCGACAAGTTTCCCACTGGCTTCGGAAAGATCGAAAGCTTAGGATCCTTGGGTGTTTCGAGCATGCTTCTTTTTGGTGGCCTTTGGATGGGCTATGGGAGTCTTTTGACCCTCTACGGCCATTTCCTCCTAGATCCCACCTCTGCGGCAGATTTGATGGCACACGCGCATAGCCATGGACATGACCATGGCGCTGATGGAGTTCCCAGTATACACGCTGCATGGTTAGCTGCTGGTACCGTCGCCATCAAGGAATGGCTGTACCATGCAAGTAAGTTTTTACCATTCTTTCTGTGGCAACGTACTAGGTATCATTAGCACATTTACTAACTAACTTTCTCACAGCTATGAAAGTCGCTCGTGACCGCAAGTCCTCTGTACTTGCTTCAAATGCGATCCACCATCGAGTCGATAGTCTCACCGGAATCGTGACCCTAGCAGCCATCTTGGGTGCCAATCTTGTGGAAAATGCAGCATGGTTAGATCCTGTCGGTGGTCTACTCATATCGTTGATGGTAGTAAAAGCTGGTGCCGAGAATACTGTTTCCGCACTCTTCGAGCTAGCAGACCGAAGCATCGACGACGAAGTCAAGCTTTCAATCAAGAAGCATACACAGAAGGTCTTTACCGACATTGTAGATGGGCATGAGGTAGAGCTCCGCGACGTCACAGGTGTCAAGTCAGGCCAGAACTATCTCGTCGACTTGGAGGTGGCTGTTCCCAATGCCTGGACCGTGGAGGAGACCAGCAACGCCGAAGAAAGAATCCGAACTCAGGTCGGTAACAAGGTCCGTGGCGTTCGTAGAGTGCGCGTCCGTTTCCTACCGAAGAACATTTCTGTTTCCAAATTTGACGAATTCATTCCGGCAAGCGTTAGTCCTCGCTCAAGTCCCGAGCCTGAGGAAGAACACAACCATAACGGCAATGGAAACGGAAATCAGCACAAGTCGAAGTAGTGAAGGATGGAAGGATGATGAGAAATACGTTTTCTGGCGTTAGGGCGTTAGCTTGAACTGGGCACCTTGGACGGTTTGCCCAGGATTGATACCAAAATGGCGATTGTAACTTTGAACGAAGAAGGGTGCTCTCTTGATAGAGCTTGGATGTACCATGGCTTGTCATGTCATGCCATGCCATGCCATTACATTGCATTTGCATTTTCTGGACGGTTGGCATGCGGAAGAATCTTGCACTTTGACCCTTGTTTACGGGTGGCACTTTATATGAATGGAGTTGCATGGCAAATGCGGAGAAGAGACTGGAGGATAATGTAAGAATAGGGGCTTCCTTCTCTAATTGGCAACGGCGAAGGCTTTGAGGAGGTAGATGTTGTCGATGACCAAGCACTTCTAAGTTCTGGTTGCCACTGAAGTATCCAGCAGTCCTGATGGATGATAATTCGAGCAATGCAGATATTTTCTGGAAGCACCCCTACAGTATATATCTACATATACATGTAAATGTCGTGCGACTTCGGAGGTGATTCATTCGATACATACATATGTAGATACTCCATGTATGTAACTGTAGTACATACACTGTAGTACATACAAGGGTCTATCACTTTCCATAATTAGAGCTCATGGCGTTTTAGCCTAAATTGATATTTGCCCCGCCATACCGAGATCTTGGTCACCTCGTGTTGTAGTGGGTGTTACTACCTACCTTTACTATTTAGTAGGGTAGGTACAATACAATACATACCTACATAGGGTATTACTTACCGTATTAGAGAAATCTAACATCAATAAGTGGTGCGATAATTTTATACGAGTTTTACTTTGGAAATATTATTCCTGTAGAAATTATTCCTGAAGAAAAATACTAGAACAAGATATCTCATCTCACCTTGCCTTGATTTTGCTTATTCAAGCGTTGGCTTATATTAAAAAAGAAAAAAGGAAAAAAGGAAAAAAGGAAAACATAGATACAAAATGAGTCCTGGGCCATTATATCTCGGGTTTGATCTCTCAACTCAGCAGTTAAAGGGCAAGTCAACTATTACTCAGTTCAAGTTGTCTTATAATATCATATATAAAACCGATAAGGGCCTTCTAACTATTTGCTAATAGCGATTGTAATCGCCTCTGACCTCAAGGTCATCTCCGAAGCTAAAGTCGACTTCGATGCCGACTTTGCTGCCAAGTATCATATCAAAAAGGGTGTACAGACAAACGAAGATGAAGGCGAAGTCTACGCGCCTGTGGCCATGTGGGTTGAGTCCGTGGATCTTGTCCTAACACGTTTGAAGGAGAAGGGATGTCCTATGGACCGCATTAGAGGCATTAGCGGTTCTGGTCAGCAGCATTCGAGTGTCTATTGGAGTGAACATGCCGAATCATCCCTAAAGAGTCTTGACAGTGGAAAGCCTTTACTCGACCAACTATCCAATGCCTTCGCCTACGAGTTTGCGCCGAATTGGCAAGACCACAGCACGCAGACCGAATGCGACCACTTTGATACTCACCTAGGCTCCAAGCAGGCATTGGCTGATGCTACTGGGAGCTCTGCCCATCATGTAAGTTTAGCTATCGCTTCCAGTCACTAATACATACCTAACGAAGAAAGAATAGCGTTTTACAGGTACGCAGATATTACGAATGCGAAGACGGCGTCCCGAGGTCTACAACAAAACCGCTCGTATCTCTCTGGCCTCCTCCTTCCTAGCCTCTCTCTTCCTCGGGGCCATTGCGCCCATAGACATAAGTGACGTGACTGGCATGAATCTATGGGATATCGCTGGCGAGAAGTGGAATGAGACACTCCTGGAGTTGACGGCGACTAAGGAGGGTGTGACTGAGCTGCGCAAGAAGTTAGGCGACGTACCACTGGACGGCGGTGGTAGCTTGGGTGGTATCTCCTCGTATTTTGTGCAGCGATTCGGGTTCAGCCCTGAGTGTCAGGTTGCGCCCTTCACAGGTGACAACCCGGCAACGATTCTATCTTTGCCTCTGAGGCCGCTCGATGCCATCGTCTCGCTCGGCACCTCCAGTACGTTCCTCATGAACACACCCAGCTACAAGCCCGACCCGTCGTATCATTTCATGAACCACCCCACCACCAAGGGCCACTTCATGTTCATGCTGTGCTACAAGAATGGCGGCCTCGCTCGTGAGAAAGTCCGCGACAAGTTGCCCAAACCCGCCGGCGCTGACCCCTGGGGGTCTTTCAACAAGCAGGTCCTTGAAACCCCACCCCTAGATATACGGAAAGACGGTGATAGGGCTAAATTGGGCTTGTATTTCCCGCTCCCCGAGATCGTGCCTAACATCAAGGCTGGTACTTGGCGATACACGTGCGAGAGCGCGGACGGCTCAGACCTGAAAGAGTCGGGTGATTGGGGCGCGGAGCCCGACGCCCGCGTTATTGTGGAATCACAAGCGCTGTCGATGAGGCTGCGATCGCAGAAGTTGGTAAGCCACCCACCGAAGCGACCCGAACTACCGGCACAACCACGCCGTATCTACCTCGTGGGTGGTGGATCGCTGAATCCGGCGATCGCGCGGGTGTTTGGCGACGTACTGGGCGGCGCCGATGGCGTATATAGGCTCGACGTCGGCGGTAATGCATGCGCCCTTGGAGGCGCATACAAGGCGCTCTGGGCGCTTGAGCGTCACGACGCTGACGAGAGCTTCGACGACCTCATCGGCAAGCGCTGGAAGGAGGAGGACGAGATCCAGAAGGTCGACGACGGGTATCGTGACGGCACATTCCAGAAATACGGCAGGGTGCTTGGTGCGTTTGAGGAGTTGGAGGAGAAGATTTTGAAGGTTGCTCATAATTAAAGGAGGTTTGACATTTAGACTCAAGATTTGAGATTGAGCGATGGAAATAGAGAGTAGAGCGTAAGTAGAGGACCTAAGCCTAAGAGAGGTAGATCTTTAGAGTGCCTATTACATACTACATACTACATAGGTACGGAGATGAATGAACTAGAGATGGCAAGATCGTCATAAGGCATTCAACCTACCGGTGCTAGCTCATGGCTGGTGAACTACTATCTACAGTGTCCTGCATATATCCTTCATGAAAATCTAGATGTGCCAGGTTTAGCGGATGGGCTAGCTATTTAGGCGTGGTCTTGAAGAGTCTACCAGACTCTATCTACATGTAGGTGTGTGTGTATGTATGTATAGGAGCTTTAGGAGGTTAATCGACAGGAATATGAAGATCTGCTTATCTATTACTTACGAATAAGTGTGGCACAGTTCTAGTTAAACCCTCCACGTCATCAAGCCGCAGACCATGCAAGATCTGTACCTACCTACCTTACATACATGGCGCGCGTGCGGCGACATCTTAGCACTTACATACCTAGATAAACTAACCTAGGTAAGCGATCTGTCTAGCCCAGAAGTCTCACTGTCATCCATTGCTCAGGAGACGCGCATGTGAAATTTAAGGTCGCTTGGTTTGGAATGCTTATTGTTTAGACAACAACATATCGCCAGAAAGCTCTCTTTCTTCTTCTTTTTTGCCTTTTGTTGTGAGGCGATATTATACATATATGTTATAGCTAGCCTGCATCTACATACACGCCACCAATGCGCTTGCGGGTTGTGGGCTGTGGCATTTGTCCGTCGTCAAGATGATCTTGGGTCCAGTTTCTTACCTGGATTGCCTGGTATTCTGTGCATTTCTGGCACCGCAGTTGATAATACATGTCGGGATAATTGATACCGTCCTTGTGGTTCTACAATGTCTTCCCTTTCTGTGTAAGTCTGCACTGGAGTATATATGGGTTGAAAAGACTCTGGGCCATCTGTATAAAAAGAAGATGTAACTGATTTGAATACAACTTTAGTAATTAAACTGCCGTTTACTTTCCTCCGCGAGCGTTACCTTGTCAGATATGAAAAGCAGTCTCCGTTCATACAAAAAGCCTCACCATTCGAAGACTTTGTCATTCGCTGCGTTCGGTATGCCTTCGCAAACATACCACCTAGGGTCGGAAGGGTGTTCTTTTCGAGGCCAGTAGCATTGCCGTTTCTACGGTTCCGAATGCTGCGTCATGGTTATCTGAGATCACCCGTGCACTGGCACGAGTACAATGATGTATGAGATCCATCAATGTCCTTCGTAGAGCCACAGCTGCAGCTACCTACGGAATTCATGATTCTATTGAACACATGCTAACTTTAGCCTGAGCCCATCAGAAGCGTTTCAAAGGAATTTGGATGATCAAGGATCCATTGGCTAAGCCCGACATTTGCATATTCTATGCTCATGGTTTGTGGACATTCCCCTATTTAGAAGATGTATTGGGCATTGGCTAACAACAAATTAGGAGGGGGCTTTTCAATGGGCTCAGCATACTTCTACCTCGAGTTCTTGCTTACGTGGCTGAGTCTTCTGAGCGACAGCGGCTACCAGAATCCGGCAGTGTTTGCCTTGGATTATACATTGGTTCCCGACGGCTGCTTTCCAACACAACTTGAGGAAGCAATTGCTGGCTACGAACATGTGCTCACGGCAGTAAGGGATCCCAGCCGGATTTGCGTCAGTGGAGATTCAGCAGGGGCCACGATAGTCCTCAGTTTGCTGCTCCATCTTGCTAACATGAGTCGCCATTTGGAAAAAATGGACAGCACCGGAGCCAGGCGTTTAGCAAAGCCCGGAATGGTGGTGTTGATCTCCCCTTGGGTAACCTTGGTTTCCGACAAGCATCAGAATACTACGAGCGACTATTTGGACGCCGGCAACCTGCATCAGTACGCCCATCAGTACGCTGGCGGGTGTGTTTCCGTCCATGATCCATTGCTGTCGCCGGGCAAATGCAGGGACGTTTCATGGTGGAAGAACGCAACGCCTTCAAAAGGTATATTTGTAGCTTATGGCGCCGAAGAGGTGTTTGCACCCGAAGTTAAAAGCCTGGTCAAATTCTTCGAGGACAATGACATCAAAGTTCATAGTAGGGAAGAGAAAGGAGGAATACATGCTTGGCCAGTGGCATGCCTATTTCTCAGCAGCTCTCTAGCCGATAGGCAAAAAGGATTAAAGTCCCTAGTAGAGGAGATTAGAGATAATGTTCGTTAGATCATAACTGATGTTTGTATAGTATAGCTCATGGCAGAAAGCAAATAGCCACTCGATGTGTCATGTCAGATTAGATCAAGTAACACCATCACAGACCCTACCGTAGAAAAGGAACCATAGAGTGTGGACACTCGGCTTCTTAACTTGGATAGTTGTTTGGGTCTCCGAAAAAGCTCTTTGCATAATTATCATCATTCATGATACGCCAAGGTAAGTACACTGGTAGGCTGGTAGGCTGGTAGGCTGGGAGGGCGGTAGGAGTATGCATTGGCCAAGGAAACCCTCGAATATGAATATGGATGTAAGAGTGGATCATGGAAGTGAAGGGTAAGAAAAGACCATAACATCATTTCTCCAATGATTCATAAGAAAGTGAGGCTGAGAAAGAGTCATTCACCTTGTTGGATTAGGTAGCAACACACGATGCTGTAGGCTACGAAGCTGAAAGCCCTTAGCCCTTGATGGCACAAGGATACATATGCAGCTGCAATCTGCATGATTAGACATTTGAATATTTGGGTTATGCACGACAACGTTATGTCGTTATGTGTGTGCTACTTTTGGTATTCAGTGTGGACACCTGCCAAATCGATTCGTGAGAGGATCATCGAGAATGACTTGCATAAGTTGCCAGTCCTGTGGTCTTAGGAAATTATGTGATGAACGTGGAGGTGAAGTATGAAATCTATGGATTCAATGGAGAGTTAACTATGGAGTAACAAATGTAAAATAATTAGATCGAGATAGATACATACATAATATCGAAGGAAGGGTTACATTAACTTACATAATGCCTATGTAGTGCTACATTCTACGTACTATATGTAGTGCCTACCTAGTACTGAATACATATAAATACCTACCTTCAGTGCTAATAAAGGTGTGCCATTCGCGTACCAGTCTGTACTGGCTACATATATATAACTAATGCACACCAATATAAATCTGGATGTGAGGGAAAAAAAAAGGTAGGTAGGGGTTTAGTACATATGTAAATCTTAATCAAAATTTGCATGCATATAACTATGTATTATACAGGTTGAAACTGCTGCTAAGTACATATGTGTACAATCATGTATGTGCATAGTTGGTCACTGTAGTACATAAACTTAAGTAGCGTATCCTTTTCTTTTAAGTACTGTGGCGGTGCTAATCACGATTACTACCTAGTACCTAGGACCCCTGATTTGATTTTATGTGTTTTGGTGGCCCGTTGCGGATATAAAACAGGCGTCCTTTCGCTGCCCGTGCTGCGTTTGGGTGCAGAGTTCTGAACCCGCTAAACTGGTTCAAAAGTGACCCGATGCTCCTTCCCACCCACCAACCATTCAACGCGTTCCCAAGCTAAATACAAAACAACAACTCACGCATTTTCACCCCACCTTCACCGCCCGGCAGTTTAAGAATTGAAGCTGAGAAGTTGCGAGACTTCTGCATCTCATATTCCCTATTCGTCAACGACTTTCTCTTGGCGCGTTCGACATTGACCGACCACAACGTTCAAATCAAAACCGTTGTTCTAGACTGAACCTTACATACCTATTAATTCTATAATCTAAAATTGGTTGATGTTTTTATCTTCACTGTTACTACCAGATTCCAGTCCTGCATAACATACAGTGTCTACATGTAGGTAGCTACCACATACATCTACATATCCTAATCGATATAATCAATTTAACAAAAAAGTCGCAGCACTTGAGCCTTGGGAACTCAATTATCGAGTACGTACCCTTGTACTAGGTTATCCACCTGACTCAGATATTGTCGGGGGTATCAAAAGTGACTGGCTGTCGTACCTGCCTGCATTTCCACTTACAACTCAATACTGCGTCATCGTCACCATATGCGTTTGATCATTGGGTGTTACCTCCTGCATTAGTCTTAACTCCCTACCCCCTACCTGCCGTACCCTATTGTACCGTAGGTACCTTTAAGTGGTTCAACTTATTCAAACTGGTCATTGGTTCCTTTGAGGTCACGACGCATAGAAATGAGAAGAGTTCGCCCTTGTCTTTAGCAACACAGAACCTTGCAACCTTCGTCCAGTAACCTTTTAGGTAGGTATTTACCAGCCACAAAAAGGTCAATCTGTTCAATTCATTTGGCCACACTTGAAAAAAAAAGAGAAACATTGAAGAAAGAAAGAAAAAAGAAAAAAAAAGAAGCAAGGGTTGCACTGCGCTAAGAGGGTCTCAAAAAAGAAGAAGAAAAAAAAAAGAAAAAAAGGAAAGAGCTGCCCCGCCATTATCAAGCTCCCCAGTTTTTCCGCCGCTGCGAATTTTACATCTTGTAAGGGAATTTCTGAGACCATGTCCACTCAAGAAAGCTCTTATGCGCCAAAGTCGCCCGACCTCTCATCTTTCTATTCCAGCACAACTTCCGACATTCCCCAGGCCACCAACACTGCAAGTGGTTATCCCTTTCAAGCTGGACTCGGGGTTGGAGCTGGACCCAACACTCCTTTAAGATACAACCAGCCACAGCCCCACCACAGCCAATATCGACCGCTTTCACTGCCATCTGCACAACCTACCAGTGCTCCTGCATTCGGTAACAACAGCAACACCGCTTTCAACACCTTTCTGCACCAAGGCGGTGGAAGCAGTGGCCCATACGAAGAACAATACGAACAATACAACCGTTCCCAACAAGGAACACAATTGATTCATCACAACCAACCTCCTTATACATTACAAGCCCCGACCGCCCCAACGTCCTTTCAATCGTCTTTTCCCGAGTCTATTCCGATTCCATACCAAACTCAATTACACGCACAAGCACAAGCAGAAGCACAAAAACGAGCGCTGGCACAGTCACAGCCTTTTCCTCCTAAACCTCGCTCGCCTCCCAGCAACGAACAAGTTTCCCTTTCGGGTCCCCAAAAAGCGATGCCGCCCCGAAAGATTGCACCAGCTGCCAAGCAGGATGAGGTCGAGCCTTCACCGGTTAAGACGAAGTTTCCCACGGCGCGCATCAAGCGCATAATGCAGGCCGACGAGGAGGTAGGAAAGGTTGCCCAGCAAACACCCATCGCGGTTGGCAAAGCATTAGAACTCTTCATGGTGCAGCTCGTCCGTAAGAGCGCCGAGGTGGCCAAGGAGAGAAGCTCCAAGCGGATCACGGCGCCCATGTTGAAGCAGGCAATTGACTCAGCTAACGAATGGGACTTCCTACAAGACATTGTTGCCAAGGTGGGCGAAGAGAAAGAGTGTGGAAAGAGTAGTGGCAGACCCAAGGCCGAGAGCGATAGTGACGAGGAGGCCGATGTAGGTGAAGTCAAGAAGAAGAGTCGAGGTGGCCGTAAGAAGAAAGTACCGGCATAAATGTTGTCTATACCATAATATCTTCTACGTTCACCTACCTAACTACACTTCTTTTTGTACGGGTAAAATGACGGTGATGAGTCATGATGAATGATTTAGGCCGCTGGCGTTAACACCCAAAGGGGGGGAGCATATACTGGCGTTGGAGGTTCAGGGAAATTACCCTACGCTATGATGGAAAGGCGCCTATGAAGAATTGAAAGGAGTCGTAGTGTTCTGTATGGTAGTTGTACGACTAGTTCATCTCGGCCTTGAGTGTGGCCTCTACGTGGTCGCCACTGAGGCAACGTATATCGACTGATTTTCTGATCATTGTTGACAAGCAATGCTCACCATGTGATCCTTTTCTCCCTTTCAATGCCGTTCTCATTACATGCTAGCTTTATTAGAAATGACATGATGAGAGAAAAGGAGTTTGAAGTATATAGCATTGTCGCCGCTAATCTGCTTCATCTGCTTCATCTGCCTCATTTGCAAGGTCCTTGTATGTGAATACATACCTAGGGTACGTAAGCTACTAGAGTCAATGCATAGTTAACTAGTAGTCATAAAAAGATCAAAAAGGTTGACAGCCCTCGGTAAATTCGGCACCAGTCTAGCATCGAATCAAGGCTTACACATGTGTTCCTTGCCTTACATTTAAGCTTCCAAGTACCATTTGACCCATTATCAGTACTTCTAGTGCTTTATAGGGGAGAAATGCATGAATTAGAATAGCAATTGCGTTAATTACATGTGTTGATAATGAAAACAAGCCAATCAGATGATTTCAAGCCCTGTAAGTTTGGTGCTAGCTACATAGTATGGAGGGAAAGTTATTAGCTGCCGTGCGCTACATATACTATGGGAATGGGAATTACATATTCATTACTATGGAGGTACCTACTACCTAGTAGTATATATGCACTAGATGTACCTGACAAGGGGATCATTTAGCGACACATTTACCCTGTAAAGATATAAGTGGTCAAAAGTAGGTAAGAGTAGGTAAGGTAGGTAGGTACTATGTAGTATTGAGATCAGATGGCAAATGAATACCTGCGTGTACCTAGTAGATGCGCGCCGACACCAACCCGCAAATCTTCGGAGACAAACCACTTTCGACACGTTCACTTTTTACCCTTCACCTTTTTTTTTTATCTTTCAACCCTCGACGTTTTTTTCTTTTTGCTGCGTTAGACAGCCATGACACCTCTTCCCCATTCGATCCAGTTATTTGATGTAGAACATAGCTGAGGCGTCGGGATCGGGGCCTCATGATTTCTTTTCCTACACAAAAAGCAAGCTCGCTATGTCGTGGGATCTACTCCAACGTTTTATCGAGAGTGATGTCTTCAACCAGAACCCCTTTCTCTCCGTTTCATACCTATCGTAGGCAATTCCTCCCATATTTTTGCGATTAGCAGTATTTTGACCCAGAGTTCCATAGACGATATGCAGACCATGTCGGAATCCACTATGTTCTGTGCTCCAAGCTCCGCCAATTCCCCTACGAGGACATCGAGTTCTTTCTACCCCAATTATGCCACCTTATACTGAGCGTCGACAACGAGTCTATGGCATTGGAGGAGTTTCTGTTGGATCTTTGCGAGGAATCGGTCACTGCTGCTCTACTGGTCCGCATCCACATCCCACATCGAATAAATTATACCCTGAAGAATTATTACTGAGTATAGCTCTAGACGTTTTGGCTTTTCCAAACTTACCTACGCGATCTTGCTTCCACGCCCCAGTCGCAGGCCTTCCAGACCTGCCGGAGAGTTTACAATAAAGTACAGCATATCGTATTTGGCCATTCAGATACAGCGAGACACGAGCGGATAACAGAAAACATACTACCTGTCACAGTACTTGCCAGTTTTGTTTTAGCCAGCATCGGTCTGCCAAGTCTGCCACAATGGGCCGGGCCCTTGGCCGTTGCGCAAGCACGCAAATCGCACCCATCCGGCGACGTCATATCGGAAGCAAGTCAGACGAGCCAGACAAGCCAGACAGGCCAGACGAGCCAAGTAAGTCATATGTCAAAGGTAGCCAGGAGTCAAACTGTTACTGGAAGCACAACAAGATCCCGACGACCCCGCGAGCTGGCCCGAGTTGGAAGCGTACCCGACTCGAAACAGATCATCTCCTCGCCAAAGAAGTCACCGCGTCCTATTACACATGTGCCTGTGACTTCTGAGTCTGGCCCGGATGCTCCAGCCGAACCACGAAAGCCGGGCTATATCGACGGCAAGTTGTTGGAGGCTCGTCTGAGCTCATCGTCTCTTCCTCTTCCCGAGGTAAGATCGCCGAGGGTTATTACACGGCCCGGAACTCCGCTCTCTGCTGGTCTACCACGTCCAGCCGATACAATCTCACGCAGGCACTCCCATCACATCAAAACGCTTGCAAGCTTGGCGGAGATGACTCAGGCCCAGAAGGCGAGGTTACTACGGCAGAACTACTTTCATTGTCAAACAGCATTTCTAGCTGCGCTCGAAGATATATCTAATCGACTAGTAATAGTGCCGAAGCCGGCTCGTCTTAGTGCTTTACGTGCCGAGCTTGCGCTCATTGCTAGAGACTTGCCGACAGAGTTGGATATACCTATTATATGTCCTCCAACCTTAGTAGATGGTTCGCCCGCAAAGAGTCGTCACCATCGCATCGTCAGAGTCAACCCCGCCGAAGCAACTGTCCTGAACAGTGCTGAAAAGGTACCATATTTGCTCATGGTGGAAATCCTTCGCGACGACTTCACCTTTGATCCTAGCTCGGGGGAGAATCAGAGGCTACTCAGTAATCTTGTGGCTGAGCAAGGTACTCGCAAGCGGCTCTTCGATTTATCGGATGCGCAAAGAACGAATGCTACCGACCGGGTGTCCGAACAAATCGTGGAGAAAATTGACAGTGTCTTCGAGCCAACTTCGGGAGATTTAGGAACTTCACCAATGCTCAAGCCATTTGATCACGACGAATTTTTCAGCAAACGGAATGGGAAAAAGCAACATGGCCATCACAAGAGTCTAACCAATGGCATAGGAAGTCCACCGCCGCTGCCCGATTTGACTCCGCGCGCTTCGGTAGCGTCGACATCTAGGTCCAGCAGTCCAGGCCCGCATAAGAGAAAGACGATGCCTAACCAACGGAATACATCTGGTGAGCAGCCTGACTTCTCGGCTCTAGCAACACATATGCGGACGGCTTCTCAAATGTTGGCTCAGCTTGATGCAACAAGTGGCAAGAGGCCACGCCAGGAGGTTGCGGCTATCAGATCGAAAATCATCGCAAGCATGCAAAGCCTGGAGGAACAAAGCTTTGATCTCGACGACGGCCATGGCCCCACTTTCGACTTGATTATGGCCAAAGCTGACACGGCTTCTGCGGTATCCGCAGCATCTGCAGCATCCGCGGCAATTCCAGCTCCTGAAGGTGCTGACTTAGAAGAAGACCTTGATCCGGCGAGCAATTCCAACGCTGGTGCTGCTCGGATGGAGAATGACGCAATGACTGGGGGTGTTCAGAGGAAAGGCGACCGCGACGATCCCAGCGCGGCGGTGTTTGGTGAGGCGTGGCACATGAAGAAGGAACGTATACGCAAAACGTCACCATATGGGTGGATGAAGAATTGGGATTTGGTCAGTGTCATCGTCAAGACTGGGGCTGACCTTCGACAAGAGGCCTTTGCTTGTCAACTGATCCAAGTCTGCCACAGGATTTGGGTAGATGCTGGTGTCCCCGTATGGGTGAAGCTCATGCGAATTCTAGTTACCGGAGAGTCCTCGGGTCTTATTGAAACCATTACCAATGGCGTTTCTCTACACTCGCTGAAACGGAGCCTGACTTTGGCGTCGATCGAATCCGGAGTGAACCCTCGCCGTCGCTTCGCAACACTCAAGGACCACTGGGTCAAAACATTTGGCAAGCCAACAAGCGAGCCTTACCGAGCAGCAGTGGATGCTTTTAAACGATCTCTTGCGGCGTATAGTATGATTTCATATATATTACAGTTAAAGGACCGGCACAATGGCAATGTGCTCATTGACAACGAGGGGCATATTATCCACATTGATTTCGGGTTCATGCTCTCTAACTCTCCTGGTTCGGTTGGATTCGAAGCAGCTCCCTTCAAGCTGACTTGGGAGTATGTGGACGTGCTGGGTGGAGTCGAGTCTCCAGATTTTGATGATTTTAAGACGCTATGCAAGCAAGCTTTCCAGGGTGAGATTGTGCCTATCCGAGGACGATTTATGCGGTATAGTAGTTTCTAACATTTCGCAGCTTTACGTCGCTCGGCAGACAACATTGTCGATTTAGTCAGCATGATGGGACGCGATTCGAAGATGCCGTGTTTCGCGGCCGGGGTAACGCAGGCCACTGCCACACTGCGACAACGTTTTCAGTTACATCTAAGTGCCGAAGAAGCCGAGAATTTCGTGGAGACTGATCTCGTGGCAAAGTCCCTGGGTAGTTACTATACACGACTGTAAGTTTGGTCTTCTCCCTTTCGTATGATTCAGAATTTAGGGGGCTAATGTTAGCTACGCAGTTATGACACTTTTCAGTACCGCACGCAGGGTATATATTAGTAGGCTCCCAGAAGAGGAGGAGGTCTGTTTGTCAAGGCTTGGGGGAGTTGATAGCATCATGGCATTTGGGCGGCGTTGTAGGCGATATAGACTCGGGTTTGGACAAGTCCCCGCCTAGGACACAGTTGTTTGTTTGAATAACTAGATCTCAAGTGACGATGATGTAACACGAGCCTAGATTCGTATATATGGATGAACCATTGTTGAGGCTCTTGTCGACCGGCAGCGCCACTTGTTGGTTTGAAGGAGAGATGGGAAAGATGTGAAGCGAAAATATAAATTCAGGGACCAAGGCACCCTTACGTAGTAGTATACATACTACTAGAGTGCACCACTTTGAGCAAATCTACCGGTGCTCTATTTTGTCGAATATTATCAAATAGGTGCCCAGGTATCTTCGAAAGTCAATCAATATACATCGCTTTTGTAAGCTCTAGTCTGGTTTTATTCTAAATCGTCTTCCACGTTAAAGTCGCGGTCTTCTTGAGCTAGGTACGGAGTTTATTGGCCCCCTATTTTTGAAGCCATTGTTGCTCTTCTAGGTTGTGTATATAGGACAGGTACGAGTAACAATTCGCTAGCTTAAGTATCTCTTAAGTATCTCTTAAGTTCATAACAAGGTAGGACAGAAGACAGTTACTTGGGATGCCATGCATTTTACGAATGATTATACAGATACGTAACTTAGTACATGTATATGTAGGTAGTCCTTAAGCTGATCAAATCAGCTGACTACGCTCTACTTGGCCTGCTTGGTGCTTCCTGGCCCTATTTCCCGTGTTCATCATCTACATGCAGGTAATACTAGGCACTCTTCGATTGTGAAGCTATCACCAAATCTTTGTTTAGGGTCAAAGATTATGGATTTGGTAGGTTTCTTGCTAACTATACCTATATAATGATTTACAAGCCGTTCTCACGAGATTCTTTCTAGGGGATTAAGAACGTATGTAGGTGGGCGTGGAGGACCTGGAGCGAAGGAATCCAAAATTTATTTTACTTTTTTTATATATATATATATATCATAATCTTGGAAAGCTTCCTAAAACTTGAATAGATGGATTTCCCCTTTTTCCAATTGATATTCCATCACTGAAAAACAAGAAAGGATTTTTTTTTTTAATTTTCAAGAAAAAAAAAAAAAGCCCTCCCCTTTCATCAAATCATCCATTCGTTCCTCCCTTTTTCTCCTTACACTAGGTCCAAGTAGGTAGGTAGGTCAGGTAGGCGGCAACTCTAGATCAAGCGCAGGCACCCATCCTCGTTCCTTATCCTCTCGTCGAGGTTGATCGAGCGGCGGTGCCAGTTGCCGTGGACGTCGAGCAGCTCGGCCTCGAGCACGCGGCCCCCGTCGACGAGGCGGATGTCCCTGGCGGAGGACGCGAAGTTTCCGGTGGCGCGTCCGGGGACCTGGAGGTTCTGGCCCGGGTAGATGCGGTCGGGGTCGGAGATGTTGTTGTGGCGGGCGATGTCGTCGACGGAGACGTTGAAGCGCGAGGCGATGTTGCGCAGGGTGTCGCCCGACTGCACGGTGACGCTGGCGGAGCCGCCGCCCGGCTGCTTCCACCGGAAGTGCCCGTCCTGGTTGCTGAGCACGTCGTTGAGGTTGACGATGCTGGTGCGGCTGCCGCCGTCGCGCAGCCGGCAGTTCGCGCTGAGGTCGTAGTCGCCCTCGAGGTGGATGTCGTGCGAGGTCGACGAGAAGTTGCCGTCGTTGTGGCCCATGATGCCGCGGTCGGAGGAGGGGTTGTGGAAGCTGTGGGTGCTGTGGTTGTTGTGGTTGCTGTTGTAGTAGCCGGATGAGGAGGAGTTGATGGAGGATGTGTGGTGCAGCTTTTCCTCTTCCTTCCTCTCGTGGCGATCGTGGGCGTAGTCTTCTAATTTATGTCCGGCGAAGGCTCCGCCCAGCGCTCCTATGATCCCATGCCCCATCTTGTGCCCCCCATAGGCGCCAACGGCCGCGCCGGCCAGACCTCCCATTAGACCACGATCTCCATCCCCTCCAGGGCCAACAGCGCCTGGGGGCATGTTGTTAGGTGGGGGGTACGGGGTTCCATTGTGGTAGGGGGAGGGCGAGTGGTGCGGTTGACGATCGTCGTATCGATCTCCTCCAGGGAAGTCGTAGGGTACATCTCCATAGGGCGGGTTGTTAGGCTGACCACCGTATCCTTGTTGTTGTGGTTGTCCGTATACTGGTTGTGGTTGTCCGTACGGTTGTGGTGGTTGTTGACCATATCCTGGCTGACCACCATATCCTTGAGGCCCACCCGGGGCACCACCTGGATGCGAATACCCATATTGTGCGTTGGGCTGGGGCTGCTGGGGCTGGGGTTGTCCGCCGTAGTAAGAAGTAGACTCCCCCCCATATTGTCGTCCGTCTTGGTAGACGGGACTACCGTAGCGAGGGTCCATTCTGCGTGTTTGCTTCTACGTGTTTTTGCGTGTCTTGCGTGTCTTGCGTGTTCCTGCGTTGGTCCCAAAAGTGTTGCGAGGCGTTCCGGTTGGTGATGATTTGGTTTTCTGCACACAAGTCGAGTGGTTCTTGAAGTAGGATATGCATGAAGTCGAAGGAGAGAAGAATTGTTAAAGTAGACATATATAGTTGCTGGTCTACAACAGCACAAAGACCAACCGCTTCGGCCGGCATCTTGCGTGACCCTTAGTCTGACGTGTGCAAAAGCCGGCCATGACATTCAATGACTAAGTGGGCCTCTTCGTATTGCGGCATCGTAGCTGTTGGGCATGGTCCCATGGTAACCCGATGGCCTGGAACGACACGCTGTGGATATTGAGTTGGGTACCTACCTAGGTTAGTTGGCCGGCGTACGCATAGTACTATGTAGAGCTTTCCACAGCTTATGGTACGGGTATTCGGCAGTGACGAAGATGCATTTCTCAGCTTTTCTAGTGACTCAATACTAAATACTAGCGCGCGAAACGACGTTATGTGACTGGACTTGGAGTGAAGATGATCAGAGAGCTACGAATGAGATCGAGCAAATAAGATCGCGTTTACAAATTGCTTTGAGACCAAAAGAAAATGATGGACCCCTATTTGGGACTGCATATATTTATAAATTATGACTGCTGAGGTCCACCAACAAAACACAGACCAAAAAAACGGAACATCATGAGATGGGTAGAACATGGAGTTGAATACGTAATAAGAAGGTCGATGAACACATACAAAGTGACTTTCAATCACACTGGATAGGTAAAGTAAAAATAAAAATAATAATAAAAAAAGAAAAGAAAAGAAAAGCCAGCAGCAAGTGATGTGCTGTTTGCATCTCATCTCGTTGTTGTCAACCTCACCGCCTCGTCCGAGTCATCATCCATTTATCACGTCCATCCATCTCATCCATTATAGCCACATGTCCCATACGTTAAACGGAAATAATAAAACAGTCTCGAAACAATGTAAGTAGGTATAGTATAGTATAGGATAGGATAGGATAGGATAAGCAGAGTGAAGAGAATGATGTAAGTGGCCTACCTACCTAGTAGGCAAAAGGAACGTCCCGTACAGTCGAAAGCTTAGTAGAAAAAACAAAGGTGCAAGGAAAAGATAGATCTGCAAACTCCCATGATCCCAAGCTTATCTAGTAAAACTAAACCAATAGCCACCTCTTGTTGTTTAATCGTCACCATATGCTGTGCCCCTTAGGGAGGAGGGGGGGAAAGCAGGTACGATATGAACAACAGTTGGAGCACTCACTCACTCACTCGCACATAACTAGACACACACCGCCTCTGCATCCTTGGCACGCTTTCGAGAATACCCGGGTCGCATATCGCCATGAGCGCCCAAATATCCATCCGGCAAAGCCTCATTTCCTTTCCTCCAGCATTCTGCACCTACACCGGACCCTACCTAAGCCAAACCCCCCCCCCCCCCCCCATCCTACCTTACACTTAGGCCTTATGTAGGTACCCCTAATGCTGCTGCTGCTGATGTCCCTGCACGACCCTCGGCGGCGACGATGCCAAAAAATCCTCAACATCGATCTCGAACCTCGGGAAGCTGGCGCTGCTGCCACCTAGCGCGCTGAAGAGCTTGGTCAGGTCGTCGCCACGGTACGTCGACATGTCGTACTCTTCTCCGGGCTCGAAGCAGGCGCTTCGCACGCGGGCGCATAGCATCCACCCTGGCTCACCAGTGTTGTTATTGCTATTGCCGCTGTTGTTGTTGTTGTTGTTGCTGTTGCCGTGACCCTGCTGCTGCTGCTGTGAAGAGGAACTGTTGGTGCTGCTGTTCTTGCCGAATCCCGAGGCGTGCGCTCGCACGTACGCGATGGCGAGTTCCTGCAGCGCGCCCTTGCTCGCCCGCGTCTTCTCTAGGACCCGCTGTTCCCCGTGACCGAGCCAGCGGATGTTGAGGCGGACGTCGTAGAGACGGTACGCGTTTTGGTTGTGACCATTACCAGGGCTGATGTGCTGATGCTGGTTCTGGGGTTGGTGTTGAGGACTCGTCATTGGTGCTAAACTAGCCGCGTGACGATGAAGTTGATGGTGCTGATGGTTGTGCTGGTTATGGTTATGGCTGCTTGCCGCGCTGCCGAGGTTCGGTGCACTAGCCTTGTAATGCAGGGACGTGGTCGGGATAGTGGTGGCATTGTTGGGCTTCATGCCAGTACTTTCGGAGCTTGTTGGGCTACTGGACCCCATCCCAGCTACTGTCGGGGCGTGGTGTGCTGAAAATGGCTGCGCGGGAATCGGAGGCGGCGGCGGTGGTGGTGGATGTGCGTGGTATTGCGGACCGAGTTGATGAGACTGGGGTTTTGACAAAGGCAGGCGAACTACAGGAGTCTGCGGTGGCCTAGGGGGTGTAGTCCATCCCGTGGGATAAGCAGTAGCAGCAGGTGATGATAGTGTGAATGTGGAATTCGCGAATCTAGTGCGAGAGGGCGGCCGACGCTGATCATCGTCAGAGACGATGGATTCGGGGCTTCCAACTCTCGGACTCCAAGATCCGAGTCCCGTAACTGGTTTACTCGGTTTGTAGCTTGGCTTGTAGCTCGGCTTGCTACGACGTTTACCGATGTTGTTACCCTGCCCGTTAACAGGTTCAGCAGATGAAGTTGGCTTCCGGGCTGCCTCATCGTCCTCACTGCCCCAATACGACAGGGTGACGGTCGTGGACACAGAATCCCCCGAGACTGTGGATAATGTATCGTCATCGTCCGTAAGTAAGTCCTTAAATAGTTTGGGTTCCGGAGGGTACGAGAACCCGTTGTTGGTGGTGATGTATTCGTTAACCGCCGTACACGATTTGTTGAATAGTGACTGAATAGCATCCATTGCCCCGCGGCAGGGCTCCGAGTACAAAAGCCCCTCACGAGAGTCTTCAAAAGACCGTACCGCACACGCCTTGAAACAACCCTCGTCGTCTAAAGTGATGATTACCGAGATAAAGTCATATTTACCCACAAGTAACTCGCAATTATCTGTATGACCAAGTTAGTAAGAACGGCAAGGAGGTCATATGGAGTGTTTCTAGAATGCTTGCCTATTATCTGACGCCTGTAATCGAACCTCGTTGTCAGACCCGCCATCTTGTGTTCAGACTGATGATGAAGCGTTCGTAGGACTCGATCGTGGAGACGGATGAGCATCGATCAAATTCGCATATATCAGGCAATGGCCCCTTAAGATTACTTCAAGATTCAAAATCAAAAATTCCGACGGATATATATTACCTACAAACGTCCCTATAGTGCGAGGTAGGCTCTACGTGAGACTCTGCACCTACCCGTGCTTCGGGAACTGGAATTGGCTTCATGTAACCTATATCACATTAAAGTGAGGCGGACACGGGCATAGTAATGGCTCTGTTGACACTCCCGATCCTCCCCGAGTTCTCATGACCAATGAGATGCCATAAAATAGTTGTCCTCTTAATACGTCAATGGCTGTAATAGTTGACCAGCCGTCGTATTCAACGGTACACAATGTTCCTTTTATCGCCTTTACAGCAGGTCTCGGCGCTGCCTGGTATTCCCGGTACATGCTGAGAAAGATAGCACCGAAGGCACCTTTTCTTCTGCCGGCAGCTACGGGTACCGGCTCTGAGGTCATACCTACCTAGTTATGAGGTGCATGTGTTGAATATAGACACCAAGCGTTGATCATTGACGGCAGACCCTGGAAATTGGGTATGATTTTGCCACCATACATATGGTCCGCGTGCGTGTCCGCGTGCGTGGGAGTACTAAGAATGTAGGTAGTAGGCACTAGATATTTAGTATATGTATGTGATACTGTATGTGAAGGTTGCCGGGAGGAGGGTGTCCAGGTGAAAAGTGTTCGGGCAGGACATTATGTGCGATAGTGAGTGCCTAGGTGAGTGCCTAGTGAGTACAGTGAGTACAGTGAACTAACTCAGTGAGCACATCAAGGGTGGTTTGAATAGAGCACAAAACAAACCCTAGACTGTTCTGCCGGGAAAATAAAAAAAAGGAGGGCCAATAGAAAACAGGGCGAACAGTCGGACTGTCGGACGGCCCAGATTGTTGGGATTTGCGATGGACTTTGACAATGTCGGTTTAATGTTATTCTATATCTAATGGTCACCGTAATATATTCAGCTCAGCTACGATGAAACCATCCCAAGACATGACAAGGAACCTTGCAAGTTTCCCCCCCCTTTTTCAAGAAAAGGAAGAGATCCTGGGGTGGGTTATATACCTTGGTACCACCAAGTAAATAGTACCTTTACCCACCTACCTACCTAGGTAGACAGCCTTCTGATTCATATGTACATACCTATGCTACAATGTGTTCTGAGGCCTCAAAGTCCTAGGGTAGGACAATGGCTTAATGGCTCAAAAGCAGATTATTTGCGTTGGACCTTGACTCTATGTTGTCAACTGCGTATCTACATTACGGCAAGGCTGCAAGGTGGACTGATGCTTTTCCTCTGGACCCCCCGTTCTTGGAGGTAACCTACCGAGATCCGCCTCCTGTGGTGCAACATACAAAAACAAGACAAGAGATCGGCGTCGATATTCCTTGCCTTCTTTCCCTTCACCTGTACCCAACTGGGTATTTGAGTGACTACTCCCTTCGAGATGTCACAATGAGTGACGGTAAGATTCGCCAAGAGAGAGCCACGACAACAACGAATGATGCTGACTGTACCCAATTCTGCCAAACCTGCCACGAACAAACTGGATCGAATCGCCCTGCTTATAAGCTGGACGTACATTAGACAGTAGTATCACATTTATACATTCCTCAACAGGATACATCCCTCCAACATAATGCATCCTGGCGTAAGCCATGCCACGCCATGCCTATCTGTCGTACCCCATTCACGAAAGCACCGACAATCGCTCGAGTCGCGCCTTCACTGCATCCACCAACGCAGTCTCACGCTCAATAAGCCCCTTTACTTGACCAACCTTTGCTTTTCGGAGCTCCGTCGGTATGCGCAAGTCAGCCGTCGAACTGCCCACGCTCTCTTCTCCCTCACTCGTCGTTGCACCCAGTTTCTCTGCCTCCTCCAAAAGTTCCTCCTTCAATCTTATAACTTCTTCATACCTTCTCTTCGTTTGTTTCAACCGAGTCGGCCCGTCCTTTGTTGCGGCAGAACCAAGTAAATTGGTATCTAAGGCCTTGACCTCATTGATCCAAGCCTTCTCCTTATCGCTCAGCTCGCGACTTGTAGCCTTGCTGACCAACTTCCGCATCTTCTCTAACCGTTGACCGAGAGCCTCCCCTCTCTCCTTCGCTGCTTGTAGCCGCCTCTCCATTGCCATATTGCTTGACACTATCTCGCCGTTTTCTTCGTGATCTTCTCCTGTGATAGCCTCCACTCTACTCTTGACCTCATTCGCCTTGTTGACCTGCTGTTTCAATTCTGCTTGGAGCTGAATACATCGTCGGAATACCTCCGCAGCCGCTATACCGAGTCTATGCGTCTCGTCACTCAGGATTCTATGAGCTTCGGTAAAGAGCTGTAGGGTCAGTGGCGAAAGCCGAACTTCCTGATTGAGTATCATCTTGTGACGACCAGTGCGGAGCTGACTGAGTAGATCTGGTAGTTTAGAGTTCACATCAAAAGCATGTGATGGCTGGAAGACGGGACGAGGTTCGTAGAATTCTAGGGGTTGTACTTCTTCATCCTTTACAAAACTAGGCGAAGTAGATCGGATGGGAGTAAAGTCATCTTCTGGCGTATCGAACGTTAGAGCAACCGGATCGAACGGAGTTGCAGATAGTAAGAAATAGCCCAGATCAGGGTCGCGAATAGCGACCGAAGCTGCTAGGGGTAGTTGTGTATCGCCCAGAGCCGTGTTCGTGTAAAGGCGTTCTCGAGTCGAGTTTTGCCCATTGACAAGTAGGTCAATCCTGAATTCAGACCCAGCTTGTGAATCATTTTGGATTTCGCTTTCTAGACGGAATACCCATGGTGAAAGGGATATGTGAGTGATACTGGAGGGATGCGTGACGTAAAAAGAATATCTTGAGGTAACATCAGAACTGAACATAGGCCAAGCATTGCCTGTGACTTCCAAGGAGCTCAAAATATCCATACTCTGAAATGTCAGTAGGGATGGTGACCCGAACAGGCGGCCCATAACCTTGGATTTATTCCGGGGAGGGAGCCACATGGCTTGAACGCCGTCCATGTCTAGACACAGTCGCAACTGGCCACTAGACGAGAGCAAGCAGATAATCGACAAGGATAAGCCTTCTGCTTCCACGTCCTCCATCTCGAGCTCTTCCTCTTCACCCATCATCAGCTCGTCAGTGTCAAGTTTCTGTCCAATGGCAAAGATGTCTGTCAGCTCTGTATCCAAATCGTCCTCGCTCTCTGGGCTTAAATCTAAGTCAAAAGGTCCTTGTAAGCGTGGTACTATGCCAGGTCTTGCAGGGCGGGTATATATTTCGGCGGGAGGTTCTCCGGGGGGGCCTTCGATAATCCTGGGTTCTTGGTTGTCAAGGTCTGACATCCAATCTAGCTGCTGTTGTGCTAATAGCTTCGTTTGTTCGGATACATTCGGGTCATCTTCAATTGCCGCTAGGTTTCCAACAATCGATATCGAGAGTGATGGAATGAGTGTTGGCGGAGGGGCCCATTGGGTAGGTAGTAAGGGGCACAAAGCGTATACATCGCCTTCCCGCATCGCGATCCAAAGCGTCATCGGCGACCACCCACCCGAACCTCTACCGGCAAAACATGCAGCGGCCACCTCCATCTCGACAGAATCCGGAGAGAACCCTTTGTTGGTGACATCAGGCGAAGGCCCAAAGTTTTGCTCTAGAGATGTACCATCCGCAAGCTTCTGCAAGTCAATTGTAAGGGATGGAGAGTCGAATGACCAGCGATCTTTCTGGGAGAGCTCCCAAAGTCTGATGACAGCATCCTTAGTGACCGTCACTAGTGCGGAACCATTAACACCTAATGGGTGCCAAATAGCTGAGGCGATGGGCGACCGATCCATGACATGGGTTGTTGGGCCCAAGGTCCACGACTTTGGTTTGATAGGTTCGAGACTTGGTGCTGTGAGATGGGAAGAGTCGGGCAAGAGAAGGATGCGAATAGTATGAGTAGTGACAACCGCCATAAAGTTGGCGTATGGTGATATGACGAGCTGTTGGATGTCACTGCCAACAGAAGTTTTGATGGTCTGAAAACGTTAGTATTGATTAGTCGTAAACGAATGCGCAGCGAAACATCTTACCCGGAAGCCTTCGGCACACTCATTCTCGATCGAGTCCTTGAGTATATCATCATCGCTAGGGCTAGCTGAATCCTCGCGCTTGATCGGAACACTACCCCTAGTTCTAGCTTGTTTCTCCTCCCATCGCTCTTTCAAGTAAACGAGATCGGCCCAACGGATTTCCTTTCCAACAGCAATGAAGACTTCGGTACCACGGCGAGCAATGGTTCGTCGCGGACCAGACCTTAAGGCTTCCTTAGAACTATACGAGGGACTATTGGCATCGCTCGGACTAGGCACGAAAAGGTCGTGACCGGGTGATGGCGGTAACAACCAGCCAGGCGTATAGCTTTTTATCTTGGGCATTTTTCTTCAGGTTTAGCAAGTTCGAGATAGTTTTCGTGCGCCCTCACAATAGCAAAATTGCATGCCTGACTACTAGGTAGCCAGTACAAGCGTGCTGAGCTGCAGTATTACAGTTGATAAGGCGATCTAGAACTATGGAGGTCGACAATCGGAATGAATACAATATCTCGAGCGAAGTAGGATAGGTATTACAGTAGATACCCAGGTAAGGCTAGGCTGTTGTTCCGTTTGCCTTGTTCAAGATGTTTGGGGTGAGCATTGAAATTCCGTTGGAGAAGGGAAAGCAGAGAGGTCGAAGCAAGGATTTAGTTTTGTTGGTTCTTGTAAATGAATGTTGTTGTCGTAGTAGTAGTCGGGAATTTGGAATTTGGGGTGGCAGAAAGTGAATTAAAGAAAAAAAAAAGTACCTGGGTGACCTTAGAACTTGAGGTACATTCATATGTACCGACTACCTAACTGCATCCATACTTGACATTGCAAGCGCGATCTGCCTGACACGGTAGCTTAAGTACATTCTAGGAAACGCGCATCAAAGCTCAAGCTTCAGTCCCTGCAGGTCGATTAGCAAATCATGGGCCGTTAGAAACTTATACAGTGGAACCAAAACTTCAGCCTTTTCCTCAATTCAATTGACGTACCAGGAAGTAACAAGTACCTGTAGTACATACCTATATATTTCAATTGTTAGTATCAATTCTGTACCAACTTTTACACATCATATCTATTACTTACTCTTTTATTTGCGCATGAAATAGACATTGATACTTCAATATGCCGGCTCGATCAACCGTTGACCGATTGGATCGCCCTAGCGCATACTACAACAACAACAAGGTAGCTAACTAACTTATTTCATTTTTCTTCTTCATCACCTTCTTTCAAGCTTATATAAGTTCGATGCAAGCTAAAACCAGGCGCCGGGAATAGAATAAGCGAAGACGAACCGATCGACGAGATAGCAGAGATGGCGACAATGAGGGAGCTTCTGCCCAGGTAGAAGAGCCGCAAGCGGATCCTCTGGCCAACACCACAACTGTTTACGTTGGAAACCTGTAAGATCACACACATCATCTCTCCGTTGCTGGGCCTGCTTAACTGATACCCGTGGTCCTTTAAAGATCGTTTTACACAACCGAGGAGCAGGTTTACGAGCTTTTTTCCAAATGTGGCGAGATCAAGCGCCTAATCATGGGATTGAACCATATCAGCAAGACGCCATGCGGCTTCTGCTTCGTCGAATACTACACGCACCAAGATTGTCTTGACTGCATGAAATACATAGGAGGGACGAAGCTCGACGAACGAATCATTCGCACCGACTTGGACCCAGGCTTTGAAGAAGGCCGCCAATACGGTCGAGGCAAGTCTGGTGGACAGGTCCGAGACGAGTACCGAGATGACTTTGACGAAGGCAGAGGAGGCCTTGGCAGAGCGATCCAACTAGAGAGAGAACGCGAGGGACAGAGACGCAAAGATAGGGATCCCCATACAGAAGAGGATTACGGTCGCCTTAGATAGGCTATTCATGGCGTTTCAATGATTCATTAATACCTACCCATAATGAGAGTACACATGGCTACAGACAGCCCACCACTAATTAGCCTTGATGCCGATGATATATTCGCCTACTCGCTTCACGATACATTGACCACCCTCTTTGAATTCATAACATTCATATAAACACAGAAGCCCATCTGCTCCTCTGATTCAAGTGCAATAGTGTACAATCAGTTAAACGATAGTTGGTAGCCTAGTAATCGTGTACCTATGTGTGAAATAACCCGGCCCTTGACGTCACGCGCACAACTCCATGTGATGAAACAAGGACGCCTCGAAAATTGATACACTCGGAACGTATGATACCCAGGCTTAATATCCAGGCGGGTTTATTCTCTGTGATACTCTCGTCCACTTTGGGAGCTCTGTTCCTCGTGGTTAGCATATCGAGATCCAATGGCTATGGCCAAGCTCAACAACAACAACATAGAGACATACTGTGAATGCCCTTTCTATACCGCTTCGCATTTCTATCAAACATTGTGTATTTGTCCTTGGGTACCATTTCGGCCTCGGTAGGCATCGTCTGCTTCCACGTCTCGAGCGCCTTTAGCGTTTCCCCCTTCTTCGCCAGCGCGCTGTCCAGAGTCGCTATTACCGCATCGACGCCTCGAAGTCGTTGTCTTTGCCGTGCTTTCTGGAACTTAGAAAGACGCCATGGATTCTTCCTGTAGGAGAAGCATCGAGTTAGAAACACTCGATAGTAATGTCAAATGAAGGTTATGTAGGTAGGCGCTTGGTGTGCAAGTTCAATGGGAGGGTTTCCTTTTAATGAATAGAACAATTAGTCAATTACATACCATAATAGACCCGAGAATACTGGACTCGTTGCTCTGAATGCGCCGAACATTGTGTGTGACGTTATGTTCGATAGCTATTAGAGGTTCATGTAGGTACAGTACTCTAGTAGAGATGGAGCAAATCGCTAATCGCAAATAGAAAACTTTGGCGCTGCGGAATCAATAACGCACGGGCCATACCATATCCGACCAGTCGGGGTGTCCCACCCCTAGTTCCACCGCTATCATCCAGATGTCCGTCTAAACATTGAAGGTGCATGCACGTACACATGTACCGTACAGTGGCATACCTACAGTAGTACTAGGTACACACCTATCACGACTTGACCATTGAACTCGAGCTTCCATCCAAATCCCACCGTCGCAAATGATCGATAGATGAAGTTATACAAAAACAAAAATAACAAAAAAAAGCCAACATAAAATTGAAACTAAAAAACGACAACCCCAATCCGCCACCGCAAAATGTCCTACTACTTCGCCATCATCGGCACCCAAGACAACCCGCTCTTCGAGTATGAGTTCGGCACCTCGAAGCAAGGAGGCGACGGCCTGCCGCGCTTCAGCGACCAAGCCCGCCACATGAACCAGTTCATCGTCCACAGCAGCCTCGACATGGTCGAAGAAGCACAGTGGGGGACGGGGCAGATGTAAGCATTTCATTCATACATACATACATAACTCTACCTACCTACGCGGCGCAAAAGATGTAAAAAGGAAGAAGAAGAAAAGACAAGACAAGACAAGACAAGAAGAAGCTCTATAGAATATCTATTAATTAACACTCCATGCTCCCCAAAACCAGGTACCTTAAATGCGTCGACAAGTTCTTCAACAACTATGTGACCTGTTTCGTGACCGGCGGCAACGTCAAGTTCCTGCTCCTGCACCAGCCCACCGCGCCCATCACCACCTCGTCCACGCGATCCTCCACCTCCATAGGCGCCAACCCCACGAGCCCGCAGACCGAGGAGGCCGTCAAGAGCTTCATGCTCGAGGTCTACGAGAGCTGGGTCAAGGCCATCATGAACCCCTTTTATAGAGCGAATATGGAGGTCCGCAGTCCTATATTTAGGCAGAGGGTTTCTACGGCGGGGAGGAAATATTTATAGAAGACGTGGCAAAAAAGCAAAATCCAAGCATAGTTACAGTACCTAGGGATAGCTTTGGGGTTTGGCGTTACCGGCATTCATGTGCATGCATTACTTCAGCAATCACGACAAAACGAAAGGATTAGAACAAGTCAAAAGAGACATGCAATTTAAGTTTTAAATGAAGCAAAGCCCAAGGCAATGCAAAATGTATTCACTATGCCGTAGCAATTCGTAGAGGCTATCTTTTCTTCAGACGCCATCGTCTCAAAAGCTCGCCGCAGAGACCATAAAACCCATAAAACCACCAACGCCGAGTTCAGAACGTATCATGTCCATCCGTAATGTCACAGGTCCTCCCCAGAAATCCACTGTATGCCGCGATATGCTCTAGTTGCTGTCTTGTGTTTATCTTTATCGTCTATCAACTTCTTGTGATGGGCGTGCCGATAAATAGCATCACAAGAGCAACCAAGTAGGAAGCGATATCACATTTAACCACCGAAACCGTAGAGGGTACGGCCCTGTCGCTTCAGAGCGTAGACAACGTCAAGCGAGGTGACGGTCTTGCGCTTGGCGTGCTCGGTGTAGGTGACGGCATCACGGATGACACCTTCTAGGAAAGACTTGAGGACACCTCGTGTCTCCTCGTAGATCACTGTAGAGTTGGTTAGAACCTATTGCAATGGCTTGCGATGGAGGTAAGGATAACTTACTGGCTGAGATACGCTTCACACCACCACGACGAGCGAGACGTCGGATAGCGGGCTTGGTAATACCCTGGATGTTGTCACGAAGAATCTTACGGTGACGCTTGGCACCGCCCTTTCCAAGACCCTTTCCGCCCTTGCCGCCTATTGAAGTTCAAGTTAGTATAATGATTGATAATTAAATGGAACGAGGATGCAATTAATTAAGATCGCGTTGATAGGTATAGATTGAGACGCGTCGAGGGGTATAGACGGCCTCTAATTAGCAGCATCATTTAATGACGCGACCGTGATATAATTAAATGAAAAAAAGTAAAAATAGAATATACTTACGTCCAGTCATCTTGAATGATGTTTATTGGTGATGTAGAGTTGATTTGATGATGTTATTGATGAAGTTGTGGATACTGTTGATGAACAGTTTGGGCGGAAATTGATGCGTTTGTTGATGTTGGATAAATCGGGAAAGGGGAAAGAAGTGTAAGAAGTAGAGGAGAGGAGCCAGTCTTTTATGTATTACAAGGAGGGGTGTTACTGATTCGAATTGCGGGAAGTGACTAGTCTCGATTTGGGGGGTGCTGGGTGCATCAGTTTAGGGTGATTAACTGATTAATAAATAATAATAAAAAATGCGCTTTTGTTGCGTCTGATTTTCTCTTATTTTTGGGGCCTTGTAAAGCGTGTATTCTGCGCAGCTTCTTACGCTTAGGTTGCCATTTCCCTTTTTTGGAACATTTTTTTTTAATTCAATGGGCCGTTAAAGGGTCCGTGCTTTGTTCCCTTCCTTCCTGTCTTCCCTGAATCCCTGCTCCCTTAGCGTAACATTCCTAACATTCCCGCGCCCCGCCGGACCTAACATCACAACATACCCTAGGACCTAGGTACCGTTGACCATTCAAACAGTCATTCACGTGACGGAGCCGTGTCTAACGGACTCTACATATGTAACAATTCAACCAGCCAGCCAACATACAACATTGAACAAACCATTTTATATCAGGCAGATAGGTACTGTGTCTATTTATAGGTAGGCATGTAGTGCCTATGTGCCACATCATTGACGCATGTAAGATTAAGTAGGTAAGTACATACCTAGGTTAGGTATGTAGCCATATGCAACTCAACCTCATCTTTCCGCATCTCAAGAATACATTACACTTTTACTTACATGTGTAGATATACATATACCTACATGTACATTGACCCATTCATAGATAGAGACATATGTATATACACAGGGACGCGCAAACGCAGTTCGCAATAAAATTTCATCGTCAGCTTGTTTAAGGCGAACACGCCATACACCTATGGTATGTCGAGTTTATTATTGCGTTGTCAGGCCTCTCGGCATCGTGGAAGCAGTTTCGGACGGTCGACAGACTAGTCCAACCCCTCATCGATGCGTATTATTATACACTTAATCATCATGCAAACCCTTAACCGTAGTACCTTATACACAGGACCTTTTGGTTGCCTGAAACTAACCAGCGCAATAGTCTGGTTGAAAATCCCTAAACGCCGATGCATATGCCTTGCCAGAGCTCGTAATGCCAAACACCCAAAAAGGTGAGGGCATGTGTGAGCTCGTGCTGCGCCGTGCCGTGCCGTGCTATACCGGATATAGCTTCCACCGAAAACATTAAACGCATGCCTCCGGAATCTTCTCAAGTCCCGGCTAAACCACCCTATGCTGTTGCAATCGTCGTAATAGAATGCAACGATCCTGTTCAATAAATCAAAGGTTTATTGCGTCCTTCCTCATGCCATCATAGAGTCATCAAAGCTGTCGTCGTCTTCGAGGCTCTCGATAGCTTCCTTAATTTGCTGGCTCGCCTAGAACAACTCATCAGTAAACGAATTCAACAGTTAAATGGTTGGAAGGACGCTTTCAAAGGATCGTGCTTACCTTGGGATCCAGATTCAGGGCAATTGTAAAATGTCTCACGGCCGAACCTTTGTCGTTCAACATCTTGTATAGTTTTCCGAGGAGAAAATGCACCGTAGCCTCGTCGGGAGCGAGGGTCTTTAGAATTTCCAATTCCCTCTGGGCTTCGTCAAGCTGATTGAGAGCTAATAGAGCTCGAGCCTTCTTGTACCGGGTCTGCGCTGCATTGGGAGCAAGCTCTGTGGCTTTGGTGAAAAATTGGAGAGCTTGGACGATTTGGCGCTGCTTTTCGAGTACATTGCCGATGCAACAGATGAGGACGGCGTTGGTAGGGTTGATAACGGATGCCGAGTGAAAGTGTATGTAAGCCTTGTCGTAGTTACCCAGCTTCTCGTAAACTCGGCCAATTCCGTAATAGGCATTGTAATGCCGACGATCAGCTGATATCGCCTGGCGATACGCCGTGAGAGCCTTCTCGTATTCTTCGTTCGAAACGTGTTCGTGGCCTTGTAGGGTGAACGCATAAGCAAACTTAGGGTTGAGCTGGGTTGCTCGTTTGAAACATCGCAACGCCTGCTCATGATCACGAGCGAGTGACCAAGCGTTACCAAGGGCACACCATGCCTGGGGAGAATGCCACGACAAGTCAACGAGCTCGTGGGCGAGGAACGACAAGTCCGTCTCTCTCTTGAGGAACCATAGAATTGTGGAGTATACTTCCATGTCTTCAAGGCGAGTAGGGGCCAGAATACGTAGTCTCCTATAATACTTTTCCGCCTCCGCATATGCCGCTTGTTCGTAATATGCCCGTCCTATCTGCGAGAGCACCCACGGGGTATCTTGGTGCGTTCGTGGTAGTGAGGTATAGAGAGCTAGAGCATCAGCGCACTGATATTGTGATAGAGCAAGGTAGCCGGAGCCGAGTTTCTTCAAAAGTTCGAGGAGGTATCTCGTTGTCTCTTCGACTTTGATAAATTCTGGTTCTGCGGGCTTTACAGTTGCGGGTTGATGATAGACTTCCTTGACACGTGGTGCTTCAGCCTGGTCTACGTCCATATTCTCTTCCAGTGGCTTCCTGTTGCCACTCACAGCTCTACCCACGTTAGAGCCGCTTGAGTTTGGTCGCACACTTCGGGAAATAGGGGGCCTAGCCCTTTTTAATTCTCGCGAGGTACCAGTCGGTGGTCCAGAGCTGGACTTAGTGTTGGGTCCCTTGAACATGTTTAATCTTGCGCTCCGTCTTTGCGGAGCTCCAAGGTCTTCCGACGGGGGTCTAGGTTGGACCAGTTGACCGGATACGGTCCTCTTCCGTTCTATTCCTGGATTTCCCGGGGCACCGGGCTTGAGAAGAGCTGAGTTAGTTTCTGACGAATGCTCGTCATGGGATTTGTCCTGTAATCTATGGCCCCTCTTAGAGCCAGCTCGGTAACTCATTTTCGAGTGTATGTCTGTAAGGCCTGGATCAATAGATGGAGGGTTCCTGGTCTTCCTCGCTGGGGCCTGAGGAGGCTCGGGTGGGTAGGTAATACGAGGGATATTCGAGTCGTTATAGTGTGATGCTACTGGTGTTTCCACGCTTTCAAAATTGGACTCAACGTTGGGCGCCTTAGAACGGCTTGCGTTGACCCTGGACATAAAATCGTTCTCGCCGGCTAGGAGATTGGCTCCCAGGTACATATCGCTCCCAGCTGTTGATTTCTGGGACTCGAAGGGGTCCCCATTGGGATCGTACGTTGTAGAACGAACAGTGGTCTTCTTAGGTTGAGGATCCAATGGATTGGTTGTACAATTATCTTTCTGTTCTGATAAGCCTGCACTCAGTTGGCTACCGCTTAAACCCTCCACTAATGTCTCGTTCAGCTTGAAAATACTACTCGTTCTAACGTTCACACCCATATCACACAGGGCTGTGAAGGCATCCCACATGAATGGGTTCGATTTCAAGGCTTCTTCGAAGTTGACTATGGCCTTTTTCTTGTCGTCGTAAGCTCGGTAGAGTTTCCCAAGCAAGCAAGTAACACTCGCGGTATCCGGATGTTGTGCTCTACTTGTTGCACTGTGTTTCCCAAGATTGGACTTCCTGGACCACTGATTTCTTGACTTCTCCAGCGCGAGGATACCATCTTTGTATCGTCCTAGAACCAGACAGCACTGGGCGAATATATATGAACAGGAAAGGTTGGTTCCACGGTACCCGGCAGCCTTGCCAATCTCATATGCGGACTGATGATCGCCAAGTCGAAAGTGGCAAAGAGCGAGGAGATAGGGTGATTCGATGGAACGAGGATCATGGGCGGCTAACCTCTCGGCGAAGAACAGGGCGTTGTCGTAGGAGATGTTATCGAGATGGTAATAAACAGTCTGCCTTAACTGGCACGAAATAGCTGAAGCTGTAGGCGCCATGCTGGGTGGCAGATAGGTAATTTGAGTAATTGTTTGAGTAGTTGAGACTATTCGTATATGGCCATTGGCCATGTGATTGGGTGATCGTAGCAAAGTAATGGGTCGAGGTAATGGGTCGGCTCAACTTTTTGGCTTTGTTGTTTGTTTTTGAGATGAGACAGGCAACTTGGCAGCCTTGATGATGATTAGTATTATAATGTGACAAGCACAGAATGCCAAAAGTCGGGAGATTCGTTTTTCGAGGATGGGAGGTATCCGATGAAGTTGATGAAGTAGAAATAGGTATCGGCTTGGTCCCGTTCGCTGTGTATGAGCATGTCGATCTAATCGCTGAAGATTCGAGGATGAAGTATAGGAAGGAGGAAGAAAGCACAATTTAGCACGGTATCCCATTAACAACCTTGTACCAAAAGTAGATGGCCAAGTGACGAAAATTGGTATGTTGAAGCCGGAGATGAAAGGCAGCAGGTTGACAAGGCGACAGACAAAGCGACCGGTTTTTTTTTCGGTAGCGCTACCCTGCTCCCAACCCGACAGTCGTATGCCCCAATGACACCACTTATTGGATAGTAGTATCAAAAGTTAATGATCGTGGTGGGATGAAGACTGGTTAAGTCTCTTTTTTTTTCTTTTTTTTTTCTCTTCCTTCCCTTCACCTTGTCGCAGTCCAAGCTTCCCTCGCGATTTTGGGGGATGTTATGGTGGATAGAAGTTATCAGGGGGTTGATTGGTCACACGCTAGTAGCCAGGCACCTGCACCCGCCAGAGCAACAACGCCAGCAACCAAGGGCGCTAAGTTAGGACTTTGGATGACAAGCACTGCGGGCTTTAGGCAGGTGCCCCCACCCGCCAATTGATCTTCATCAATGATAGGTAGTATTTGGTACTAACTATATTAGGTTAGTCTGTAACTCTAGCCTTACCATCAAGCCACGTTCTAGCTTATCAACACCCATTTCAACACCTACTGTATCACTTCCAGGGCTGCCAGGAATTGTATATCTTCAACATTGAACCCTTTAAATGTTGAAAATTCCATTTTCCATCTTTCGAGGCAACCAACATATTTGCCCTCCGTTGCCATATATCATGCATACTTATTAAATATCACTAAATAAAACAAACAATCAAAAACAGCACAATTATCCATCATCATACAGTACCATCAAACAACAACGATCTAACTATGGCGCAAAAAGCACGCAAAGATAGAGCCAAAGCCAATGCGGCAGCTCTCACAAATCTCCACATCGGCACCCTCGTCATCAACCTACTTTTTGTGCTATTTCATTTCTTGCTTAGGAAACGCTCCTTGCTACTCTATTTCGTCTTATCGATCCCCAGCTTCGTCTGCGAGTATGTCTTGGAGTCATCCGGACGCCCCAAATACGATCCATCAACGAAGGCCCTGCAGAATGCTGGTGAGGATCTATCTGCCCCTGGCCTCACCGACTACATGTTCGATGTTATCTGGGTAACCTGGGCCTCGGTGATATTTACCATGCTGTTTGGTAATTGGGGGTGGCTCCTCTGGTCCGTTGTGCCTGCTTATGGGGCCTTCAAAGGTTATAGCCTCTTTGGTGCAGCTCGGGGAATGGCCGGCATGCAAGGTGGACAGCCGGATAATTCTGTGCCTGTGGCAGGTAACAGAAAACAAAGACGAGCAGCATGATGCATCTCACATCGGCCAATATTACGCTAGGAAGTTCCTCTTTTGACCTCAGAATTGCCCACTTGAGTTTACACGTACTTGCCTCTCAGTTCAGTAATTTATGGCAATCAAGCTCTGCCGTCCACTCATCCAAGAGATCCTTCTCCACATCCCTGACAATGATATGAATATCTATGATATCTAGGTCAGTAAGGGTCTCGGCAGGCTTTAAGGAATGGTCCGAGATACAAGTCCTGTTCTGTCAAGGTGACCCAGAAGTTGCCCATGAAGGCAAAGCAATATGAGCACTGGATAGTCAAAAAATATACATACGTTCCAAGGTTCTTACACTTTGTAGTGCAACCCAGTTCTTAAACCACAAGACCTTGTCGTCTCCATCCGGGCCTAATTTGTCTACGAAGAATCTCTTCACAAAATCTCCCACATTACGGCGACTTTGGAGGGTCATGTCTCCGGTTTTTGGGTCCGTCTCGATCGTTGTCCTTGACCATACAACTATGTGGGTCAAATTCGGCGTCATCCCGTAAGGCCAGTCGTTGATTAACACTCTATAGTCAGATGGATCATGAAATGGAATGAGTGATGTAGGCTTGAAAGGGGGAGAGCCCCAGGTCTTGGGCAGTCGGTGCTCCATGAGATAATTTGTTATGGATCCATATTCTGCCTTGGTTTCAGCGGTCCATTTCATGTATCGTCTTAGATCAGAAGGCTTTCGTTTAAGAACGGAAAGGTTATTTTCACCTAATGACCCGCCTCAGCATCTCAACACAGTGTGTTTATCAGAAGCCATTGTTCTACCTATAACCTTCTTGATTTCATCCCAGTCATGATATATGTACTCTTCATCCGTCAATGACAAGATCCACTTGTCTACATCTGTCAAGGGGAATGGAGCTTCCTCCAGTGAGGCCTTGGCCGGAACGCTACTCATCCTCGGTCTCCGAACCTTCCGTAGGATTGTGACTCAGTGCCGAGTTATGAGCGAGCGAGTGCTTAGCGGATTCGATTGCGACAATTGAAGATGTGGTCAAATATATAAAAAGATAAACAATATTAAAATTTGAAGCTCAGCAACACGATAAAATTGGGGTTGTTGATCACAAATGCCTTCTAGAACACATAACGAATACTTTGACATCGGAACATTCAATGTTAAGGATTTAATGTTCAATGGAGTTAAGGAAGAGCGTCAGCCACAAAGATACCCGAGGTGTGTATCCGAGATGTGTGTCATCATATGATGCTCCTTCCCGAGATACATCCATGATGCCTATGTAATATAACTAATATTGCTGCTTGCAATGCTTGCAATGCTTGCATTGCCTTGCAATATTGCATGTAGTGCCTTGCACTTGCCGAGTTCTATGTAGCAATTCCCCCAACCGCCGGTTCACTCCGCATACTAACTAACGTAGATTCGCCTAGTGGTGCACACATGGCGCCACTTTTTCTTTTAGTTTCCCCGATTTAGGAGTTTAACCATCTTAGCACATCTTTAAGCTATTACGCATGTAGTAGTTAGCATGGCAAGCACGTAAGTTACATACTATGTACTACCTGCTGCCACTGCCAGACTGCCAGTCAGTGCCAGATATGTTAAAACCCAGGACCCACCACGAAATTGGTTGGGATTTTTATTTCCCACAAATGGCCGACATCGATATCTGAAGCTGACCGCTTGCGCCTACATAATTCACTTCCCCTACCCACTTACACTTTTCAGAGCATGCTATCACCCAATTGCTAACAGACAAGAACTTATCTGTTAATTCAGCAATTGCAAGAGCCCTGCCTCTCTAGGATACGCAATCCAGCTGAGCTCCAAAGGGCAGCAACTCACCTTCAAGATGTCGCTACCTTTGTCCTCAAAGGCATACATCGACGGGATATATATCCCGGCCGGTTTACTAGTGGTGGGAACCTTGATCGTCAAGCGAGAATGGACACCTTTCGCCGCCCTCATCGCCATTGTCTTGGGTTCTCTTAAGTACTGGCGTACACGTATGTCCCATCTATCCAGATGTCCATCCCACTTCTAAAAACATTCATCTAATATGATTACTCTATAGTACCCAAGAAGGTCTTGAAGCCGGATGTTTTCCAAGAATTCGAGCTCAAAGAGAAGACGATCATTTCGCACAATGTTGCCATGTTTGTTCCCCTCATTTATTTATTATCTCTATTTCTTTTGTTACTAACAACGTGCAGTTACCGATTTTCCCTACCCTCCCCGACGTCCCTTCTCGGATTACCTATCGGTCAACACATTTCCATTGGTGCTGCTATCCCGCAACCCGATGGCTCTACCAAGGAAATTGTGCGATCATACACACCTATCTCCGGCGACCACCAGCCTGGCTATTTCGATCTCCTCATTAAGTCGTACCCAACCGGCAACATCTCCAGACACATGGCATCGCTTGTTGTGGGCCAGACCATTCGAGTGAGGGGGCCAAAGGGCGCATTTGTCTATACTCCTAATATGGTTCGCCATTTCGGAATGGTTGCTGGTGGCACTGGTATCACACCCATGTTGCAGGTTGTTCGGGCAATTATTAGAGGACGAGCCGCGGGTGATAAGACCCAGGTTGACTTAATCTTCGCCAATGTCACCGAGCAAGATATCTTGTTGAAAGAAGATCTCGATGCGCTAGCAAAGGAAGACTCCGGTTTCAGAGTTCACTACGTTCTGGACAAGCCTCCTGAGGGATGGACCGGTGGTGTTGGCTTTGTGACAGCTGACATGGTTACTGTAAGTTCTCTCCCCTGATCTTGAAAGGTTATCCTTGGGGTCCTGAAATTAACCCGTGCGTGATAGAAATGGCTGCCAAAGCCCGCCGACGACGTTAAGATACTGCTCTGTGGCCCGCCGCCCATGATTGGGGGACTCAAGAAGGCAGCAGAGAGTCTTGGGTTTAAGAAGGCCCGCCCCGTTAGTAAATTGGAAGACCAAGTGTTCGCATTCTAGAGCGCGTTGCATATCGCATCTTGTAGGATACTTGGGGATTTTCAGTAAGACGAATGGCGCATCCAACCTCTCAACATGCACGAAGTTAGCATACCACGTGGAGGAAATCGGCATCTTAATGCATGTTGATTATCCGGTGTGCTCTTTATATAGGTGAATATATATCACTGAAAGCGTCGAAGGTTGTATTACCACGACTTTAGTGAAGAAGCCAGCTACTGAGCTAATACTCGGATCTTAAGTATCAATGAACATTGTAATGAATGCTCACTGCCGCCCCTATTGTAATTACCCGCCCGATACGATCTAAGCATTCAAAATTGGTAAGATTGCCTTGCTAGATGGCAATGTGGACAGGTCATTTCTCATTAATGATATCAAAATCTGTGAAACCTAGGTACCTAAGCCATCTAGAAAAGTGATATGCTCAGCCGGAGTAGATTGCCAAGAATCCGATCTAGGCCTTTATGTTGATAGTCGGAATGCCTCGGGATGCTAGCTTATAGGTTTAACATATCAGACCGATAAGCCGGATCTCAAGCCGGTGAGCACCGGGACTTCGATTTTGCGATGCATCGCCAACCGTCTCCCCCACCTCCCATCTGATTCAACAACTGAGAGATCTTGTTAGAAAGCCCCCTTCTCCTCCAAAAGGTAAGAAGAAAATGCCAATGGACTAATAGTCGACCTATGAAGGTTTCACAACGTAGAGTCGCAGAAAGAAATGAAGACGGAACAGGCGGTGAAGATATGAGAAACTCGGGTCGACAGCACTCGCGCAACGAGTCGAATGCGTGACTCGTGGTGAATTGGAGGTCAGATGGAGAGAGAGAACATCAATCTCTGAATGACATTTGTTATATAAGTGGTCTTGATGCTCAAAATATCCGCAGCCGGGTCCTGGATAGATGGTACATGATAGGTTCCTCCTGCATCAAGCTTGCCTAACGTGATATAGTGATGCTGCAGTATATCGTGTCCCGTGTTTCCTCCCGATGATTGGGCTTCCCGAGATCCATCTTCGCTGGGTATGAATTGCCGGTCTCGGGACAGCTGCCGGGTGCTTGTCAGACTCATAGCGGCATCGTATTAGCCGAATCACATGATGGGTGAGTATACTGACAATAACAGCTGTATTATTTGCTCCGTAGTATCTATATGCCTAGGTAGGTAGTCAGCTAGTATAGCAATAGTAGCTACTTAATAGCAACACTTATATATGTTCGAATTAGGGGGTTCACATGCAACCAGCTGTGACAGAGCTCAGATGTCTGCCTATGATAGCAATGATGTACTAATATAGAAACCATTTCGTGGCTAAGAATAGCTATTATCCATACAAGTTGATCTTCAGATCAACTGGAAGGTTGAAATTGACCCAAGTCATTCATTCCTCTATGCATTATGGATTTTGTACAGTACCTAATCCGAGAACCAGAGTCAGGTGGGATTTGGACGTGTGGGTGGCTACATCAATAGTAGACTATTAGTAGTAGTACATACTAATATGATACTATGTAATATGTATAGGGGCGTACTGTGTATGTACCTTGCACCAAACATCAAGATTGAATGATATTATTACCAATTTACCATGTGCAGCAATTGATGCTAAATGGTATGCACGTGTACCCAACTATAAGGTATGTGTGTATGCTAGCAAACTACTATGTTTGCAGGTTAGTGAGTATGTATGTAGGTATGTATGTAGGTATGTATGAGGTATGAAGTATGACTGAATGTTATAAAGAGTTAAGTTATAAAAAGCATCGAGGGATCAATGGATTAATGTTGATATCTGTCGGATGATTTCCATCTATCAGTACATTTGTCACCAATGATACATCCCTGTACAGCACAGGTACTAACGGTCACGGTACTTATTAATTCTCTTTTCTCGATAACCTTAAACTTCAAAGCTTCAATTACTGATGTTCATGATGTAATACTATTATCTTTTATCATTTTTATCATTTAAAACGTTATATATTTTGTTATATCCCTGTCTTGTGATCAACATAGTACTACTAGACTCTACATAGTAGTAGTACCTGTTGGCCTTACCAAATCTTTAACGTTCCAGGCAATTGGCAGGCAACGTTCCAGGCCTAAAAGATCAAATTGTTCAGTTCGCAATCTTGAATTGACCAGGGCCTTTCCAGGTCGTCGGAGACCAATCCCACCATTTTACCATTTTCCCCACGCGTCTTGGCTTCCACACCTACCATTTTCTCCACACCCAATTTTTTCAGAACTTCCTTGACCTTGATTTCAGCAAATCATCTTATCGAAACCATTTTTTCTTCGTGATCTTTAACTTTTTCAATTGACGAGTGTGCGGCTCCAGCTTTTACGCACCCCGGGCTTCAACCATAACGAACGACAAGAACTAAACTATTTCGCCTTCGGTTAACTGCGGAGCTATCCTCGGTGGCCAATTATAACACAATACAGACAACCTTTGAGCCTTGGCTGCTTAGAAGGCAATACAACAAAAATATCCTCCAGGGCTACTTACACAAACGTTATGCTAAGGGATAGTTCGACTACCGTCACAGACTGTCAGGCAACCTTGAACCTTTGACCTCTGGGGCAGCATAGGGCCACAGCTCCACTATAAACGGCAAAGGGCCAAAAAAAGGGCCAGAAAAATACGAAGCAAATTTCACATGCGCACATAGTCTTATGGTCATATACTCGCATACTCAATTTTTTATTTTTTATTTCACGAATCTGAGAAAATTCCGTCTAATTTGCCGTGTGTTGGTTACCACCAACAATGCCTGCTCTTTGTGCCTTAGACGTTTTCGATTAATTAATTTGTGGCGCACTTCAAGCACCGGGCACAATGGATGACACCTCTGAACTCGTATCGGACCTTCTCCAGAAGGTTGCCGAGCTTGATAATAAGGTTCAAGAATACCGCCAGGACATGGCCCAAGAGTTTCGTCGATATCTACAAGGCCGATTGCGAAATCTGCCAGGACATGTTTCTTCCAGAGTCGAAAACTTGCTTGCTCAACAGCTACAAAATTATCCTGCCTTAGGTCTTAGTCTAGACCATGACTTCATGGTTGAGCTACAGGCGGAAGCTGGGGAAACCACCCCAGACGAAAAAACGTGGTCTTCTGTAGGACACTTATCACCGCCGACTTCGCCGCAAAGCCCTAGTATTTCGGATGACGCCCCTCGGAGTCCACATGAACGAGAACACGAATTCCACGGTCTGTTCACACCGAGCTATCTTCCCCTGCTTGAGGCCGTGCAGCGACCCAGCCCGACACCAACTATCCTATCACCTCAAGTGCCTAAAGTCAAGGAGTCTAACAACAGTCAAGACCCCTCACCTATTACTTTAGGCAATGTCGATTTATCACGGCCAGATCCCGTTCGACGTCACACCGAAGACACCATCTCCTCAGTTGCATCTGACGACAGTGCAGCGCGATACCGAAGAAGTGCCTTGCGCCGCTCATCAAGTTCTTCCACCAAGGCTCAGAGTCCTAGGCGGGTACGATTTGACGTAGAAGGGGAAGAAGTTCTGCCTACCTCATCACCCCCTGTCTCGCCTCGAACCCTGGATCATCCGTCAGGCAACCCCACTAGTTTGCTAGATGAGTCATACAATACCATTGTCATCAGCGAAGATTCCGATCTATTCGGCAGCTCTCCACCAATGCCCAAAAAGATTACTTCGACTGATCGACTGAAGGCTATGGCAAGGAACTCGACTGAGGATACGTCTAAGTGGGAAGTCGTCGGTAGCCTAGAACCCACAGATGACGATGAGGAAGACGAGTTAGTCATGGCTAGCATAAATGGGCGAAAAAGCAATGACGCATACCACAATGCGACCAGCCTCCCAATCCCCGGAAATACGGCATATATAAATGACTCGCGCCTTCCGACCCAGCTCGGCGCTCCTTTGGCAGCTGTGAGAGAAGTCGAAGAAAACGAGGACGCCAATAAGACTACTGGTGTTGACGAGCTTCTCATGCCACCATTAAGCTCCTTCAAGGGAAAAAAACGATTCTCGCCGTCGCTTGAAAAATCTGCTGAATCAAGTTCAAAAGCTTCTGAGTCGCAAGAAGTAGAAAAGGGCGAGTTTCAATCATCAGTGCCATCCAATTTCGTTGGCGAACCAGTCCTTGACGAGGAAGACATGTTCGAGTTCGAGGATAATCCAAGCGTATCGAGTAGCAAAGCTGATGAAGCCAAATCAAAGAAATACATCGACGAGGAAGAAGACGCAAACGAAGAAGAAGCTGATGTGACACCCCTTGCTGAGAAGGCGGTCTTATTTTCTACTTCTCCTGGGATTCCCGTCGTTAAACCCGCTACTCCCACACCCGCCTCGTTACCTTCGCACCATACAGTTGCATCGGCGGGGTCGTACCGTGGCAAGCCATTTTCAATTGGCGTAATTCGCGATCCGGAACTGCATAAGAAGGCTGCCGAGATGGGTGATTTCTACACATTCGTTGGTAGCGTTGATGGGAGAAGTGGGGTCGATGATAGCAGCTATAAGCCTGATATGACCTACTTCAATGGCACACCGAGGAGCCTTAGCGAGCGCTTGATGATGGAGGATTTAGACGAGACCCGTCGAAATACAAAAGCAAACGAGCGCGATTAAGTTTTGACCAGATCCACATTATATTCCCGGATATCCTACAGGAGGACTGCAAAACAGAGGAGCCTCCTGGCAAATTCGGGTCTATCGCTACTCCTAGTATTATTTTTATTAATTATAACTGCATTACCTTGCATTATACGGCACTTGCTCGGCATCGGGAGCCTCGAGTAATCGGGGGAAACTGCATCCACGTTGGCGTTGGAGGGATGGCATTATGTTCGGCTTCGATTTTATTTTCGAGCGACATAATGTTCGTTATGAATATATGGGTATATATATAAGCAAGGATTCTTCGAAGGATTCCCTTCTTTTATTTTATAGAAGTACCCGTCTTTTTGGAGAGGAGTTGGTTCTGGGGGCCGGGTAACATCTGGGTCGGGTTATATAGCAAGATTTGTTCCTCGCTCTGCATCTGAACGTCCGAGCAAGCGTTGCTTGTTTGTTTCGAAAGATTGTCTTATTTGCCCCCTCACACACTTATGTGAGCCTCGAGATTCGGCAGCCTTAAGGGCCGGAGGTTGTTGCTGTTAAGCAATCTGAAACTGTGTAAAGTGATCAGATGATGCTATGTAGTGTAATGGGAGAGCATATGCAGGGGACACTACCTATACATGTAGTTCAATGTTAATTGTACAAAATTACAAATAATTCAAAGGAGAAGCATTTCAGGTACATACTTGAAAGTGAGATGACGTTTAACTGCTTACCAAGGCTGTGTCTGCCTACCGACGTACTAGTCACATCATTGATAACAGGTGCCGGCATACCTAGTTCGTACACGGCACATAGTAGTATTCTAGACATATGAATAGTATTGAATACAACATCAATGATTGATCGTACATTGAATCGAATCTCGATGTCTTGGGAAGTTTCATGTTTGAAGTTTGAGGTTTGCGTACGGCCTTAGCGTAGTATCCACTGTTTCTTAAAATGGATTTATTTTGAATTAATCCAATGTGATTCGTATTAAGTGAGATATTCTAGAAGGTGAAATGGAAGGCAAGGGTGAGAGTGAGGGTGAGAGTGAGGGTGAGGGTGAGGTTACACGCACAATCCTCTTTGGCCTGTTTCTGCCACCACTGCCACAATTTACTGTATGTATTAACTATGTACGTACGTAGGCAAGCTATAAAGAGGGCAAGCAAGATCCTTGGACCAATGGAACGACAAGGCAGTCTACTCCAAATTTGGTCACCGCAGACAAGCGCCGCTAAACCGAATTCCGATACCGACGAACGCCTATCCTAACATTTTGGGACATCCTTCATCCTTCGGGTTAAGTTCAGCCATCCACCTATGAGGATGATGTCCCTTTTCCACTCTCGCTTCAGCTTTAGATGGTAGAAGACGGTACGAGAAAAAACAAGCCACGCCACGGGTTACCTGAGAGCTCAAGTGAGTCGACAAAATAGTATTCCTAACTAATCGCGCGGCTGCAGCCGAACTATTCCATCTATCTTCTTACATACAACTACTCACTCAAGTGATTGACGGAACGGACGAACGAACGTGTGATTGATTGATTCTGCTCTACTCAAGTTCAACCTTCCAGCTCATCTTCGTGATAGCCGCTCAGCGGTATAGCGAAACAATGTAAAGACATACCTAGGTAGTCTTTTTGATATATACGATTCTTCTTATTTGTCTTCCTCTCCTTCTTTTTCTTTCTTCTTAGCGTCTCTTATCTCGATCTCGCTCTCCTACCTACCTACCAGCCTACCTACCAGCCTACCTCCAATTTCCCTCACTCCAAATGAGTGTAGTCGGATCTACACGAGCGCATATGATCATGGGTGACCAACCATTCGTGACGATAAATGAGTGGCATCGAACAGATGGACACAGTGTCAGCAGTGGGGATTCTGCCGTACGTCGAGACCACAGGAAAGCCAGGCCTCAAGCTCGCTCTCATCTAATCAACTCTTCTCAGTATGGCTCCAGCACTGATGATGAGAGGACGCCATCGGCGACCCACGACATTAGTCGCGTAAACTACCACGTCAAGCATCTGCCCGATTTTGCCAAAACTCTCGAGGATGTGCGTTCAAGCTTCTCCCTCCATCAGCTTTCGCTCCTGATCCCAGAACTAACAAGGCTACCTCTCATAGTCGGCTACGCGAGCCTTCCCCAACCGGGGAAGCTCTCAGAGATACAAGAAAGTTCATGTCCTTCTTCTTCACTGGACATGCGATGACCTCTTTGTCCTCAAGGAGCTTGATGATCTGGAGGCTTGCCTCCGTGAGGATTATAGCTACGAGACGGAAATATTTCCGATCCCATCCGCCAATGCACATCTAGAACTCATGCTGAAGATCGGTAGCATGATCAAGGACCATGAGTCAAACGATACTTTATTTGTCGTTTACTATGGTGGCCACGCAAGAATCGACGAGTCTAGACAGAGTACGTGGTGTGGGTAAGTTGTTGGCCACCGCTTGAATATTTTCTGCTTAATATACTAATGTCCGACCAGAACTCGAAGCTCGGACTCTCCGTGGCTACAGTAAGTCTATATACATCGCTTACGCCCATATCGGTCGTAAACATGTCTCGGGACTAACTCCTTTATAGGTGGTCCGCGATCCAGACATTATTAGAACGATCTCTTTCTGACGTTTTGATTCTCTTGGATTGTTGCGCTGGAGCCGCGAGTGCGACTTTCCCTAATGGAAACAGCATCACAGAAACAATTTCAGCCTCTAGTTGGGATGCCATCGCTCCAGATCCAGGGAGGTATTCTTTTACCAACACCTTGATTGAAGTACTCCAAGAATGGAAACGAAGGACGTATTCCGCCGCAATGCTGCATGCCGAAGTTCTAGCACGCCTGAAGCATCCAAGGCCCGAGATGCTGAATGGCAAGCAATTCGAAGCACGAGCTACACCAGTGCATTTCATGATGACGGCTAATCACAAAGCGCCAAGTATTGAGATTGCTCGAGTCATTCCGCCAGACGCGAGGCCGCCTTCACCTCCTCTAGAGCCTGGATTTGATGGCAATACCCCCAACGGCCGGTCTGCTGGTCCACAAGACATCATTGGGTCTGAACCCAACGAAGAAGTGCCACATGTGATGATCTCCCTAGCTCTGGAAGAGGACCAACGCCTGAACATCAACGACTGGGAGCACTGGCTTTCAAGCATACCTGCGCTCGCCAAGTACGTCAAGGTCCAAGGAGTATTCAAAAGCCATTCAACATTACTTCTTCTATCCTTGCCAGTAATGGTTTGGGATCTTCTTCCGGAGAATCATGCATGCAATTTCATTGCATTCATTCGTTCGAACAATTTGGTAGCTCGCAACCATGGTGAACCACGCGCAATCGAAGAGGAGGTATCGACGGGGGCTGATATAGATGCGGATTTAAGGTCCATCTATTCGGGGACTACAGCATACACCGCTGCGCCATTCGATTCCGCTGGAGGACCCAGGATGTCTATGATGTCTGCCTTTTCTGGAAAATCGCCCATAGATCCAGCATGTAGAGGATTTGAACCTTCAATACCTGAAACTGGCACCACTAGCACCCCAGCATATCACGCACCGACGCAGGGTGTACCCATGGACCTGCCAAAACCTCCTCTCAGGGGTTGGTCAACAGCCTCTTATAGCTCATCATCCAAGAGCCGCGCCAAACCCGGTTTCCTTCATAAGAGTATGTCTTACGGGAACATAGCCCAACAGCTGGCTGTGAACCAGCCTCGAGGTGTGAGGAGGCCATCTGTAGTATCGACACCAAGCCAGCCCGAACTTCCACAGCATGTCCAGACGCGATTAGAAGATTACTTCCAGAGTAACCCGACACCGACCGTTGCAGTCAAGGAGTTCCTAGCTTCAAACCTAGGCATAGAGACAGCCAACATTGATGTGAGCCTTCTTTATCACCGTATCACATATAACGTATATTGACATAGTTTTAGATTTGGTTCCGACACCGCCGCGAGCAACAAGAGGTGGAGAATAGGCTACAGAGTCTGAAGATAGATGACCATAGCCACGATCCTCCGACGGATGGTGCTCAGATGATCCTTCCAGGACATTTGAACAAATTGCTGGAGATTTTCCCAACGGGCCAAGTCGTCATGGTTGACCTTCGCTCACCTGCTGAATATGAGCAGTCTCATATTCACGGTGCGATCAATTTCCGAGCCCCAGCATCGTTCGTGGCACGTGCAACTATGGAAATGATCGAAAAGGCGCTACCAGATGAGGCGAGCCGCAGCTCATTCAACAAGTGGTATACTAGCAAATGTGTTGTATTCTACGACAAGGTAGTCGAGTATACCTGGGAGGCGCCCGCAGCAGACGCACTGTTTCAGAAATTCAAGAGCAAGGGGTGGACGGGGCAATGTTTTGTGCTCAAAGGGCATTATCGCGAATTCTCACACTCGTTCGATAAATACATAGTAGGGACGAACACGACGGACAATGCTAAGGAGTATCTTGCTAGCCTTCAAGATGTATCATGGGAGAAGACGGTAAATCCCCCACACGAAGGACACCTTAGTGATGGTTATACTAACTCTGCAATAGAAGAAAGATGATCATCAGCGATACGATGACTGGCTTAAGCTACTCGAGGGTGAGGACAGAGTACACTCAACAAATCTGGTACCGACGGTGAAAGCCGAGCGAGTCGAAGCCACAGTGAAGCATCAGAAAGAGATCGAAGATGAGTTTGAAGGAAGACAGCCAGTCTTATACAAGGATGCGAGAGATCGGAAACCAGATGGGAATTGGGCTATTAAAGCTCCCATGGTGACTCATCTGGAGCGCGGTATATTCAAAATGCAAGAAGCTGGGAGGGGTCTAGGGATAGGGATGGCTAGATCCCCTCCCCCAGATATGAAACGAACATTGGATAAGACCTCAATGTCGGATTATGACCTATTGGAGTCTGAGGATGAGATCCGCGACTCAGCGCCACAGTCTGTTCCTCCGCATAAAGTAGGGCGCTCTGGACTCGGTGGAAGTCGAAGTTTCTTGGGCAAGTTTATGAGAAGCAGTCGTCCGGATACTCCACGATAAAAAATACAACAAAGAGGCGCTGGATATTACCCCTTCACCTTCTAAATTCTATGGTCGCTGGCTACCAGCATACGAAAGCCTCACGCGGCGGATCTGTCACGCGTTTTCTACATATGCATTTATTATACAACTACCTAGGATATCCTGGAACCTCTAACATGAGCTTGGCATGGGAGGTACCCTTAACGAAACAACTGACGCGATTTATTATTCTGTATATAACTTGGTAGGGAAGATGGATAAATGGGGTTACGGAAGGCGGTTTGTGGGTGGCAGTATACCTAGAATTATTTACCTAGATCTAAAAGATCTATAAGCTATTTGCAATTATGGAAAAGGATTAACTTATGAACTTCCAATGAACAGGCTGCCTTTGTTTGTGATTGTAGTCTTTATGAAGAGCTTCCAGGTGCTCTGATTATCAGCCAGCTAGGTACCCACTGAAGGTTCTTATTCTCAGACAGCGGTGCTTAGAATCCCATATATGGCGACTTTGCTATGAAGTTCTGACTGGCAAGACTATGTCACATCTAGTACTCACTACGACGTAGGCCAGGCAGTCAATGAGGTAACATCACTGACTACCGGTAGAGTGACAGAATTCAAACCATGTGCTCACGAGCTGGGTGTGGTGTTATTCTTTGCGATCGGGGGGTTGTCTTGCCACGAGCTTGCACATCCATCGGCTTGACTTGTGTGTAATATCCACCAATACTCTACCAAGGTTCTCTCTATCTGTAAGACTTGATGTCCAGCAGACCATTCTAGGGTGAAGCAGGAGTGGAGGGAGGGGAAGGAAAGGGGGGTTTCTTGCGGCGGCAAGGTAGCGCTGTGAGCCGCAAGCGAGAATGACTTACTCTTACTAAGGGATGGGCGGGTTGCTTGCTGATGTCGAGGTATCTACTAGGTAGGTACTCAGCCGTCCGTGAGTGAGTGAGTGAATGAGTGAGTGGGTGAGCGGCAGTTCTTCCCCGCGCGCGGGCTGGAGGAGCCGAGCCAAGATTCTAGAGCGAAATTTATTGCCTAGGTGATGTAGGTATCTATCTATTACGTGCGGATATCACCAGAGCCTGGAGGCGAAGTACTGGGTTCAACGGGGTTGAGGTCGTTAAGGTTCCTTTGGGGTGGCGGCGATGAAGAGGGAGTCGTATGTTGTGACTTGAGGAAGGGAGAGGAGGGAGGAGGGGGGGGTGAGACTGATGATGATGAATAAGCCGAGATTCAGACCTTCAACGGTTGACGAATGAGGTTTCATGATGGGACTGGGTATTACTTCTCACGTAGGCCGGTACATATGTAAGCTGTAGTTATCTCCTATATTCTTATCCCTGGCTGGCTCATATGTGTCAATCTGCACGTACAGCACCGATGTCCATCTATTCTGTCTACCTGAAACTCCACGTGGTATTCGTTGGCTCATGGGATATACACCACACGCCGCGGAACCACATGGCTTTTGTTTGATGGGGGCTTACTGGCAGGTAGGTATAGGTGGTAGGTAGTATATGCCGTGGTTGTATGTGTCTACTCTACGGCGGTTACAACTTGTTTCTTCATTTTTACATAGGTAGCACTTCGCCAACTCCTGTCTGTCTATGCCTGCTTGTGGTAATAGGTAACAGCCTCGTGACTAATGCTCGCAAGATACATGCCGATGTCTAGAATCATGTTCATAATTTCGTGAACCGTAATCTCTACAGTACGTGCCTATCTACGGGATCCCGTTCTCTCAACCCTTACATCTATCTACCCATAACCCAAAAGTTCCTAACCTAGGCAGGTAGATACCTATCGACCTAGATACAAAACTCATCTTACCTTCCTCGTAAGACCGTATTGCGTGCAGTGAAGCATCGAACGCTACCAACGATGAGGTCTATGTCTAGGTATCAAAAGTCAAGCGAAACCGCTTCGAACACCCGGCTGGAGGTCTGGGCCAATTACTACCCAACCTACATAGTTTTCCATGCAGATTCCTGCTTGGGATAACAGCACGGTTGTCTTGTCTATCTATCTCTTGGCTCGCAAGCTCTCCCCTTAGAGGAATAGGAGACGAGACTGGGCAAGACAAGACAAGACAGGACAAGCGAGTGCCATTGCTGTTGCTGTTTGTCATTGCTGGTCCATATGCTCAAGTGAGTACCTATCCTCCTATCCTCCGCGACGGATGGATATACACGCCCATATAGCCAGTAACGGGTATGTATGCATATCCAACCCTCGCCAATTTCGGTGGCTTGAACAGGAGCTCCGTTAACCGAATGAATGTGCAAATGAAGGGATTGACTGGCTGATGGGCCCTGGATCTTTGGCTGCATGTGTCTATCTGTCTGTCTGTCAGTCACCTGCAGGACTGCTGTTTCAACCTGGCTTCTCGAACCTTTTTTTTTTTTTGTCATCTTTCTCCTTTTTCTACTGCATGCGCAAACGCCTGTTTATGGTACGTTGCCGCAACGCAACGCAAAGAAACACATTCCGGCCCGAGCTGCTGCACAGGGGAAAAAAAGAGGCAGCTGAAGTTGTCATTCCGTTTCTGGACGTGGAGCCTCTCCGCGGTTCTTGCTCTGCTCTGTCAGCCAGCCAGCCAGCCAGCTCGCAAAAGACTCCCGGACCGCTGGCTCAGTTTCAACGGGGGAGCACTCTGCGGCGGTGGCTTGCATGTGCGTGTAAATGTGCTGTGACGAAACGAAGTACGAGGTTTTCCGAAACTACCTAGGTACCTACATGTGCCTACTTATCCACCTAAGCTCGCTGTCTCCATTCTTTTCCTCCCTTCATCTCCGCCGTGCGGGTGATGAAGCTCTCGCCGGGCACGGCAGTCATCTATGGTGGATGTCGGTAGCTGGCTGAAGCTAGGTGGCTAGCTAATTACTTACTTACTTACAATGAATCAATGATATACCTAGCTAAGCTAAATACTAAGCTACGAAGCTACTAGGTTAGGTACAATATATAGCTCAGCTGCCTTCAGTCCTTTCCCCCGCGAACAAGAATGACAGGTATGGTATTGTACATGCATAGGCATGAATTGATCGAAGATACAAAAGCCAGCCTTACGGACAGGACTTCCCAAAACGGGAAGCGAACGCGCGGCGTCGTGCGCTTGATAGGGCCTTCTGGCGTTTTATTTCTGACCCCTTACCTACCGAGATAGGTAGGTAGGGATGCTGTATGTATTTGTTGATTTACATAGTAAGTATGTATTAGAGAGAGAGAGTATGTGAGCAAGTAAGTGAGTTGCCAAGTGAGTGAGTTTCTCCCTTCCCCTATTCTAAATTATCCCCTCACACACCATTTTCCCTTTACGCAGGTACGGACAGCCCACATGGGTCCCTCATTCGCCTTACTCTGCACATTGCGATGTTCAGGGAGCCTCACTCGCTTAACTTGGATGGATGCTTTGGGTGTGTGTGTATGTAGATACTGCCTATCTAGGCCATGTGCTGTGCATACATACCTATATGTATGTAGGTCGATAGGGCAGCGAGTAAACATGCCCGCCCCATAACTATTCATATTGGGGAGAGCTAAGGCGACTGTACTAACCCTAATTACTTACCTCCAGCTACCTAACCTAGCAGGTAAAATACCTAACCTAGGCAGGTAAGTCAAGTAAAGTAAAGGGAAACAGGATTCCGCGGGCCAAATGAACGAGAATCGCACATGTCCGGAAGTTGGAAGTTGGGAAAAAAGCTGGGAAGGAAATAACAATAAAAGAAGCCTAATTCTTTACCGAGGAAGGGGATGGGGAGGGGGGGGGGGGAGGACGGGCCGTCGATGATGATTGATTTGGTGGACCTCTCTTTTTGCTCTTTTGGTTTTAACTATTTTCTAAGGTTAGCAGCAGCTTGTATGCATGTAACTAGTTAGCCATGGAATAAGTAATAGCATGGCCTCCTACATACAATAGTTACTTAGAGTATTGTAGCTGGGTGTATGTAGCAGGTTAGCATGTGTACGCTAATTGCCTTTGTATTGTTAGAAAACCAAAGGAAAAACAGGGACCTTGGACGAACCAGAGACGGACCGGTTCTGGTTTTGGGGTTCAGGTACCCCGTCATCTTAGATTGACACAAGCAAAAGCCCGTTTTTTTGGTCTCTGTTTTTTTTTTAAGGCGGCCGGCCCCTCTGAGTGAATACTTTGGATCGACACACGTGTCAGATATGGCACTCAATTCGTAAGGCCCGGGGATGGTCGCGAGACCCGCTGCTACTGCACATGTATGTGTATGTGGTAAGCATCTACTATGCACCTAGCTTCTGAAGGCTCGGTAGGTAGGTATGTATGTATGTATGTATGTGTGTATGTGTGTATGCAGTCTAGACCATTCTTGATTCGTTCTATGGGGTATTATGATGCAGTGTTGCTTCGCACGTAGTTACTATGTACATGATTACCTACCTACAGTAGGTATGTTCCATACATACTACAGTAGCAAAAGACGAGGAACGTTTCGTAACAGGGGTTCTAGAGTAGTATACTAGTACTATGATGGTATGGAGTGAGTATGGAGAATGTATGGAGTATGGAGTAAGTAGGTATTTTTAATGGCATGGCACTATGTATGGTGTTTGGTGTGGACCCTCGCACTCGCCCACCTTTGCACATGTTCTTCTCGAAGCCCCCGATCTACCAAATGTATAAAAAGTGAACTGTGATGTACAGTTGCAACGATCTGGGTCGCAACCGGGGGATTGGCCCTTGGGGGCTGATTTATCTTTGAAAAGGGCGCCGCAGGGGGGGTGCGTGTGGTTCTTTACGTGCGGGCGGGCGCGGGGGCAGGGGTTAGCTAGTGTAGTAACTGTAGTTACATATGTAGTAGTGTAGTAGTGTAGTAGGTAGTATACAAATATGTATGTACAATACGTAGATATGTAGTCTAGATAGCTAAGTTATGTAGATGTGTAGGTGTTTGTTGATGGCACAATACATAGTGTAGTGAGTATATCTACATAGTAATCTTGTTAATTCTAAGCGAGGACAAGGAGGGGGACAGGCTTTTGACAGCTTGACAGGACAGGGGAAGTTGACGACTTCTGACAGGGTATGTGATCCTTGGGATACGATTCGGTCGTCAGATATGTGACAGCCAGGGGGGAGGGGGGGTGGCCCTGCGAAATACTGTCCTATGGTTCTTATTTCCCGTTTCAAGGATTTTTTTTAGTTGACAGGCGCTCGGGCCTGAAAGTTATCCAGATAAATCCTGAATTAAGCCTCTTCCGAGTTACATACTTGAATAGTTACATACATGTGGGTAGCTAGGTAGCTAGGCTGCTAGGTAGGTATATAAATAGGTACCTAGTTGTGAATATATGCTGGGGAGCAGGGCAATCTATAGGGACTAGGTTAAGGGGAAATAGTATGGAATCTTGACTCTTGACGTACGTATATAGGTACCTAGGTAGGTTAGAGAAGTTATGTATGCCCTGTTTCGCCGATTTGGCCTCTTCGGCCATATTATTTTTCACTGGTTTCCTTTGACCAGAATGGGTCTTGCAGCCTTTTTTTGGTTGCTGATCGTTATCTTCGAGCTAGCGCCTTCGTGGGAGGGGGATGGGATAATGGGGTCCTTTGCCAGTGCGATTTCGAATCGGATATGGTTGTTGTTTCGTACGATACAAACGAAGTTACCAAGCATGGGCTGAGGTTGCTTCTCCACGGGCCAAGAGCCAGAAAAGGACCCTAGGGGCCTCTTGGTCGCCCTTACGTCTGTCAAATCCTTGACAGCGTCCCGGCAATCCGTCCGCTGCACTGCGCCAGATCTGATGCCGCTGATACCGACAGGGTTCTATTCAACTATAAGACTAGGCCTATATAGAACCATGCTTAGGGCCCTTCGGTTCGGCCTCTGCCCCAGTCGAGAAAAGTTGCCCGCAACAAACATCGGCCCTTTTTGGGAAGCCGTAGACCTTTGACCTGGGTCTGATCTCTGTTCTGGAGAAAAGGGACATTCCATCAACTACCTGTTTTGGAAAATACCTTGCAAGCAAGCTCGAACTTGCTCGGGGCTTTGGACGTTATTGTGCCGAGCCAACAGGCAGAATATGCAAAATGAAGTATTTCCAAAAGTACGTATTCGTACGTATGAAAGGGGGGAATCATTCTCTGTTGAAAAAAAAGAACTGCCTGTGAAACCGATGTTGAAAAGCACCAACCCAAATGCCTAACGCTGACATTTTCAGGGGGTGCGATTATATGTATGCGGTCGTATGACACCGCGATTTGCGTCGGCGCTCACCGGTGTATAATCCACCATAGGGGCCAAGGTTGTATAAGACTCCTGATACGTACAGTATCACTCACCGAGTTCGTGTAATCTTCCTCGTAGAGATGAGGATGACCTAGAATTCAGGGCATGCACTTCGTCAGTCTATCGTAGTGTTAAATAAAACGTATGACCCATGCAGTCAAGTTGTTGCATAGGGATGTCATGAGTCCTGCTCAATGTCATGGTCAACCTTGAGATGATTCGACCGCATCGCAGAGGAGGGAAAGGGGAGGCGAAATCCACAGCGATCGTAATCTCACCTAATACGTGAGTCCACGCCGGCTATTGCTGCGAGAAAAGAATGAGAATGGCGCTCGGGTGGAGTTACGAAAAGAATGGAAAGAATTGAGAAAAAAAGAGTCACATTGAGGTTAAGGTCATGATATGATGTTGATGCCTCGCGGTTCTGCTTGCCTGCCTGTAAGCCGGCCAGAGTTACAGTTGGCGTAGGTAGCTTGACAACCCGTGCCAGTGAGAGGCAGCTGTGGCTAAAATGCCAGGTGTGTCCATGGCACTAGACTTCTTATTGACCGAATGAGGCGCTGGATCACAATCGATGTGGATTTTGACCATGATTCTCTACGCTGTTCCGGTGTGATATGGAAGTGTTCCCCAACCCTTGTCGGATCCATCATGACGGTAATCCATGATAGCACTGTGAAGATGTATCCTCTAAAAGCAAGAACAAGAACGTCATTGAAGAACCGCATTGAAGAGCAAGTCGAAGAACAGCGTTTTCTGTAGCACGTACAATCTGAGAAAGATTTCTAACTAACCGTTTAGCCTTGCTTGTCTTCTTGATGGTTGACGACGACGTTGATGTGTGCGCGGATGTTACACTCAGTAATGTATTTAGCTAAAAGGGGTAATCATTTTACGACCAGATGATGAAAAAGCATAAGACATGCAGTATGCATAATTCCGATGGACAGCCTCAAATCTCTCATGCTAGTAGCTTTAAGAAGCTGACTTGTCTCATCATCGCCTAGGTTAAGGAGATGAGAAATCATCATGCCGTGCTAAGACCTCGATTTTTTTATTTTATTTTATTTTATTTTTCTGGTCCCGTATGTAGTAATTAGAAAAGAAGACAAAGAAAGAAAAAAAGCAAAAATTCAAGGTGGTTGAAACGTACTAAACAACTTGGAGGACCGCCTAATTAGTTATATAGCTGAGGACGGGGGGACACTTCTTGGCAATGAGCCGCAACCAGGGGAATGATGGATAGGGGAGTTGGGAATGGGGTTCAGGTTCGCTAAAAGTTGTACATACAGTTAATACCGGTAACAATCCCCGAATCTCCCAAACAATTCTTATTCTCGCGAAACCAAAAAAGTCGGCTGGAAACATCTGGATTCTGGACAGGTCGACGGTGATCCTAGCCTTATTAGGCCACGATGGTATACAATCTTTCCATCGAGCTTGCCGACATGCAAGGTTCATCTCAACTAGATTGATGAAGGAGTATTACCTAGGCGTACTGATGTGGCAGCCATAGTCATGTCGGTTACAGACTCCATGTCTACCAAGATAGAAGGTACCTACCTACCTTACCTAGTAGGTTAGGGGGTATCTATCTATCTATCTATCTATCTACACCTTGCAAATATTGGCGGACGAATGCTTCTTTGAACCACGGACAACCCCGCCGAAAGTATGCAAAGAGCCGTTCGTGCTGCGTGGAATGGCGGTGGGAATGCTGTTCAACAACGAGATCTGGGCTAATGTGGCTCTTTGCCACTGAACAATAGATGCATGGCCGGCGGTCATTCCGGGTAGTTGAGTCGGGAACGACAAGGCAGCTCTTTTTTGTTGTTCGTCTACCTACTAACCTAACCTTAGGTATGTAGGTAGTATTATAACACATTTCTAAACTTGTACCGTTGCGTTGCTGCACGCGATGTTTGTGGCCGTTCTGCAAGATTGGCGATGCGGTGGCAGAGAGGCCTATGATTTCCTTGTGCTCCCACCACTTATTACCTACTAGGTTAGGTACATAACCTAGGTAATTCTCTCATGCCGATGAAGTAAATATAATATAATAGAATAAAATCGTCAAAGAATCCATCACTGTTAGAATTCAAAAAGCAAAATAAAATAAATAGGTACCTGGGTACTTAGGCACTACATGGCAGATGGTGGCAGGTACGCCAGAGAGGAAAGTGCGAAGCACTGTGGTCATGTATTTAAGAACATTTCAATAGCAAGGTCTGATCCTTAGATCTTATCCTTTTAATATAACTACAGATCCACCCACATTTATCTGGTGACCCCCCACCGGAAGAGCTGTGGTGATAGCCTCATTTTTGGTTTTTGGTTTTTTTTTGATAATTAGGACCTTTATTATTTTCAAAGTTATTTTAATCCTTTTATTAATTAAAACGTTATTATTAATTGAAAACTTTGTTCTAAAAGTCAACGTTTATTCAAAAAGTCATTTATTCCAAAAGCCGTTTATTCAAAAGTCGTTTAATCAAAAAATCCACAGTCAGTTTATTTAAATCAAAAAATCCAAAAACCATTTATTCAATTTAAAAAGCCCACAATTTACTAGCCATTATAACTTATTTTATTACCTCCCATATAAGATGCACTATACCTTATTTATCCGATTAACCCCTTACTCTAAAAGACCACACTTTTGGCACCTTATCGCTATTCCAATACAACGTCACCCATCTCTAATACTTATTAAATAGCTATATAGTTCAAGAACATCTATATCAGAGCTTATTAACGCTATTAAAACAAAGCCTAGAGATGCCTAAGACAGGCACTATTATCCCCCCCCAATAGATAATGGCAGATACGCCAAAGAAGAAAATACGAAACACTATGGTCATGTATTTAAGAACATTTCAATAACAAGGTCTGATCCTTAGATCTTATCCTTTTAATATACAGGTCCACCCACATTTATCTATGGCGCTGTATGGCGCTGTAATCTTTTGAGAGGTTATCCCCATGCGCTCGGTTGTAGTACAACATGTTTGCGTCTCTCCCAAGTTGAAAAGCCTGATGACCGTTAAGGCTTAATTTAAGAGCCGCAAGTCGTACGTACCATTTTAGCTTCAATGTGTCGATCATGGTTAGTGTGTGTGTGTGTGTGTGTGTGTGTGTGTGGTAAGAATGAATAAGTAGGTAAGGCTGGTCGGCTCGTTAGGGTAGGGTAATCGAAAAAAGGGAGACAAGGATCGATGGAGATTGAAGATTATTCTAACATGCATGCGGATCTCTATGCGTACGTAATACTACTTTGTAGATGTGCATACTGTAGATAGAATAACCGACCACGCGTTCACCTTGTCGCTATATTGTACGTACCGCATCTTATATGATGTATGATGTATGATGTACATATGATGTATTTTGCTCGGACGGGGGATACGATAGTGAAGCTCGGGTTGTAGGCACGTTATTCCAGAAGCAAGGTTAGGCGGAACCACCCCGGCTTCTTGTCTCTTAAACCCTTGTCTTGTTTTTTTTTCTAGGAGTTGTCGCAAATGGGCAGCTCTCATACCAAACTAGCCCGCGTCCTGGTAGGTCTGTGTGTGGGCTGGCAAAGTGGACCGGCCACAGTAACAACGGGTCGGGATGAGCTTGGACAGGGGAGTTTAAGTCAAACGCTGAGAAAGAACTAGCGAAGAGATGTCGTCGACGGAAAACACATGTATGTATGTCTCTCTTCTTGTATGTTATGTGGCGAATATGAAAAAAAAAAAAAGAAACCAGAGAAACAAGGCGGCGACTCAGGTTATGAAGAATGTATACTGTAAAGGTGACACCATCCACGAGGACACAGGGACACGAGAGGACACGAGGACACGGGATGGTTGCGTACATCAAAATACTGTACATACCTAACTACCTAGTACTTACATGCTTGAGTATGTAAATGTAGGTACCTAGGTTAGTATGTAGAGGCAGGAGGTAAGTGCATAGTATGTTTAGCCTATGTACATGGTATGTGATGCGGGCCTTCGAGTCGCCGCATCATTAGCTGTTGCATCTGATCGCTGTCAATCAGACGGCAGTCTGTTCCATAAAGCCAATGGACGGAAGGATAGGGACATTTGAACCCAAGGACTTGGGTATGACAAGTGGTTGTGACATTTCCATACCTGCAGCTGGCCGTGGTTATAAAGGGGCAGGTGATATTTGATAGGTGATAGGAAACGTTTACGGCCATCTCGAGATGCATAGTAACGAATTTCTCTAGGTTAGCAATGACTTATTCTGGAAATCGTTCGGATTCCGTGTTCAGCCTATATCGACGCACAGCATCTCTAGACATGGATACAACGGAAGAGGCGTTTCAAGTTATTGAAGACCAACGATACTTGCCTACCTTGGTATTGTACCTATTAGACTATCTATCAGTCGGTCCGGTACATATATAGTGAAATCATATGGTATAATAAGTAGAGTAGCAGAGTAGCAGAATAGCAGAGTAGTAGAGTAGGTAATAGGTATAGGGTACTGTAGCAATAACAAAAGCGTGGGGGAAGTCGTGGGGGATTGGCATAAAAAGGGGAGAATCAAAGAGCTCTAATTCCTACATAGTATGTACGTACCAAACAATTCACGACAATGGATGCAATAGACGGGTAAATCACGGAAATATTGTAATAGCTAGGTACTTACTACACTACTAATATCCATGGAACGGATACGGATCCCTATGGATAGATATGATTGTGGATATGGATATGTATGGATATGGGTATGGGTATGGGTAGGTAGTATACCAACTTAGGGTAGCTTACCAGCCACAACAAGTCGGAGTTCCGACGTGTGAGGCAGTTCTACGGTCCGACATTTCGAAGTCATGTAGGTACGATATGTATAATATGTATGATGTAGGGAATGGTGTCAACATTAACCTACTACATATGTACTAATCTAGGTAGGTTGGGCAGGTAGCTACCTGGTATGTATTTGTTGGCTGCTTAAGTAGTCTGCACCTACATGTATTTACCAACACATACCGATTCAATGTGACGCCCTTTTTCTTCTTCTTCCTTAGGTACGTAGGTAATTTAATATGCCCTGTCTGGCCCATCCGACCACCATCAGAACAAGCAAAGTTCATTAACAGTACCTAATCAAAGCACACACACATACATGCCATGATGCAGTAGTATGCAAATATCTACATATCGTGTGAATCGTGTGCCTGATCTTTACATGCCTACCTACATACATACCTAACTTTGTAGTACTAGGTAGGTAGGTAGCACGGCGGTCATCTGGGACTTCCCTTGTTGTTTTTAATTTCAAGCTCAAAAGATGCCCAAGTTATCGGGATTTCGAATATGTAGCAAAGGAAAAGAAAAGACGAATAAGTAAGGTAGGTAGCAGACAATCATGATTGCTCTGCAGCTCTAGTCTTACATACATAGCTGTCCAATGACTGGGTACTAGGTTAATAAACAGCGAGATCGAGAGAGATATGTGTAGCTCTTGGCCATAGATTTGAGGCATGCTTACATGTATGTAGTAAGTAGCAGCCTTGTCCTTTAAAAGTCATCACATAATCACATAATCACATAATCACATAATCACATATTTTGGGTGTGAGTAGCAGCCTACAAAATATAATTGTAGTGGTTGCTTTCCTGTAAGTGGCTTGCCTGATGGCTTGCTTGATGGCTTACCTGGTGGTGGTTCCAACGGGAGGATGATCAAGTAGGTATGCACCAAGTCGAAAAAGACGTTGACAGGGTTGGGATGTGACAAGTGAGGAGATCAACGTGACGGAACCCGGGAACCGGGTTTGCACCATGGATCCGGATTCATTGACCTGCAGCTGTTCCGCTGTCGTTGTGTCTCTCTCTTGTGCTCCTGCCACGCAATTGGACGAGTCACACACCACGCAGCCACGTTAAGAAAAAAAAAGCTGGTTGAGAAGCACAAGGCGCTTGGGGCGGCGCACGGGATGGTTCAAGTCAACCACCCCAGCTTCTCGGGATTACGAAAGACGGCCCTTGCTTAGATGGGGAAAGAGATCGGCACCCCCTTGGCAAACTGCAAACTTCAGATCGTACCTAGCTTCTTCTTGTTGGGACCAACCGGAACACTATACTACCTACCTAGCAGCCTTGGTTACCTAGAATCCTAGATATGTAGCTACCTGCTACCTATGTATGTATATGTATGTATGTATGTATGTATGTACTCCAGTTGTCAGGACTCAGGACTCCGCGTCAAATCAAACCTATTACTATACTATGTAGCACATATGTAGGTGTAGTAGTAGCACAGTAGTTCACCGTACCAGATATGCATGCGGTACAGTTCCGCACCAATGGATTACCGTGGCCCACCATGACGAGTGGGGAGTCAGGAGCGTCCATCCTATATGTAGTATACGATATACAGAGCATGTAGTACTACTATAACTATAAAGACACTATACCTAGATACCTCACTCAGGGTTTATATAGTAGGTAGGTAGGCCGTCGTCGAATGTCATAGTGGCAAACGTTTTTCTGTATTCGTACCATTATACCTATTATATTAACTATGCATCACACAACGCATCAAACTATGCATTAGTCACCCGTCGTTCGGGCTAAAGACTGCCTACCATCAGACTTGTCCTGTCAGACACTGGAGAATCGTGGAGACAGGCGTGGGTTTGTGGCATTGCCTCGTAATTCCCCCTCCCAATGATTTGGTCGGGGGCCAGAGCATTCTAACCTATGATGCACTGTATTAATGCCGTCAAGTGGTTCTAATCTAGGTAGCCAGTACCTGACTCGGACTTTGCCTCGAAGAATCTCGTTGCTAGGTATTGATTGTATACTTATTATAAGTTGGCCTGCTTGATTAGAATATAGGCAGACTTTGCTTTCATAGAAGTAGAAGGTAGCTAACCTAGGTCTGTATATTGTAAGCATCCTTTAAACACCTATTCAACGCACATCGGAGTCTATCTTGCATGAATGATCCAATCGCAAAGAAACAATGGCTTAGAGCCAAATCACGGCTCGGCACCGATCTGTCTTGCAGCTTCGGCTGGTGCAGATCTCGCCTACGAACGGGGTACGGGGATTTTGCCAAAAGCATGCTAATTCGACGAGATTTGACAGCCGGCTAGAATGGGCAAGTCCGCCAGGGCGGAGGCCACTAGAGCTACATACTCGGTGATGCATAGTTAGTACATAGTACACGCCATGCATTCCCGAATTGTCGTCGTCGCCGCCGCCGCCTAACGGCAGTCTACCTTAGTACGAGGAGGGAAGGTGGGAAGAAAGAAAAAAAAAGAGGCACCATCGCTATGATGTACATACATAGATGCATACCTACATACATAGTTAAATGACATTAAATGTATGCATACTTACACACATGTGCACATAGCTACATACATGTAGTACAATACATAGAATGATGTACCCACCACATGCTACGTAGGCATTTTCCGCCACATTTATCATGACTCGAGGCAACTTATACGGGCCAAACCAGTTACCAATCCAGCGGAACGCGTTTAAGGGTTCTTGGTCTAATGCAAATCATGCTTGTCAAAGTCAAGAAGCTGCATATTAGTGTCAGAGTTCTACATAGCGGTTACCGAGGAACGAAGGTGTGTTGTGCTAATAATATCAGGTGGCCCCCTCTCCCCTCCCCCTCCTCTTCGACGCCGCAGCGTTGCTTCGACTTGGTGCCCGGTGTCTGTCCTGGAAGGTAAAATGATCTATGTAGGGCAGGTCGTCAAGGTTTCGGCTCATGACTCGCCCTAGGCCTGGCGAGAGACTGGAAGGGAACCAGAGCGTTGGAAGATGTTGAAAATCCCGAACCGCTGTGTGCATAGGCTAATTGAATTCTTGGTTGGATCGTCACGGGATGTCTACGGAGCTTCATATATCATTACCCTTGAAGTTGGAATTGGCTACTTGGGTTAATTCCTACTACTAATGTAGGAATATAGCCTGTGGTCGGCCGAAAAGTACAAAGTGAAGTAATTCTTCCATATAACTAGGTTAGGTAGGTATCTATTTACATAGTACTACTAGTAGTATTTTACTATGTTGGTATGTGAGGCAGATGATCATATTGTAGGTACATATGTAGTGGCATGGCATGCACTCCACCATCCAGAGTCCAAAGTGCATACCTAATCTACAGCACATACCTACATACGCGTTTGTTTGGAGAAAGACATCCCAACTACTAGTAGTAGGTTTATTATGTAGGTACGTTTGTTTTGTTAGGCAAAGTCCAATGACTGCTAATTACTCCCCTGAACAAAGCATAGTTTTAGGCGACGGTCATTATGGTGAGCTCTAACTAGTTATTGATATTATCATTTCGTATCATGGTCAGGTATTATTACTATTACTTGCACTTAGCCAAGCAACTACACGTAAGCTTTGATCATCACTTGGACAATTAAGCAAAAGAAAAAATAAAAAAAAAGATAAAAAAAAATAAGCAATCAGTAAACTGTCTGTGTGCACGCACTCAATTCAATCGACAATACATTTCACGAAGTTAATAACCATTAACTATACGCAACCCACACAAGCGCCACACAAACCCGCATCAAAGTCAGACTGACACGATTCAACACCCTGGAGAACCCACTACAACTTCGCCGCTCATCAGCATCACGAGAGTCGTGTTGAGTATATTGTAAAATGGCTTTTTTATTGAGGTAACCCACAACCCATCAGCTTACCTACTAGATAATAACTAAGTAAGTTTTAACTATACAGTAATCATTTTTGTCAATGGGAAAAGTAAGAAACATGTCCAGAAACTAGGAATCTTGACCTCTAGGGCTATCTTAGATCTTAGTGAAGCCTTTTAACCACTAGTTTTGCTCCAGAAAAAAAAAGGGGCTGTCTTTTTGATGGTGCCAACTCCTCGGGCGCATCTGCGTCATATCATCTGGCCTGAAGGGATGTCCTGGGCCGAATTGCAGATGCATAGAAACCTTCTTTTGGGTCGACAGGATGCAGAAGGACACTTAGTTTTTTTTTTTTTAAGATATTTGTTCCTGGCTATCATCACGACTTCTCATAAGCGACGCTGCGGATACCCCCAAGAATCGGAAAGCTCTTCTTCACAGGCTCACTCATATGATATGTACGCGTGACAGTCATCATGTGAGCGCTTACTGCACGACTAGTAGTTAAGCAGTCGTGTTGGAGTCAATCAGCGACTTTGCTCATGGATGAATCTGTGCTCAAAAAATGTCAAAAATCACGATACCTTTCTTTTCATTTCGGGTCAAGGAAAAGAAAGACAGCCATCAAAAAAGGGTTCCGCTTCTGACAGGACTCGCATCGATCAAGTAAGTAAGTTGCCGCACAGGTACAGAGAACAGGTACAGAGAACAAGTTGTTAGGAGGGAAGAATTCGATCCGGGCTTCGAAATGCACGCACGTATGCAATGGTACCTACCTACTACCTACCTACCTACCTACCTACCTACCTACATACTACTACATACATACATGTATGTACAATACAAGTCTACAGTAGGTAAGTAATAGGTATACATCCATGGATAGTACTATCATAGTAGTATATATGCAATGGTACGTGTGTAAGGGCAACCCCGGTAGCATCTTTCTTTTCATCGGGCAATTTCATCTGGCACCAAAGCAATAACCGTCACGGTCCGGGGTCTGACCCCTGTCTGCATATACATTTTCCAATACTACCACCGACGCTTGCTAAACGCTTGCCCTTTCCACTCCCACTCTGCCACTGTGGTCGTGTCACTTACTTTACTTTCCCCCCTACCTCTGACCCTACTATGTACTTCTGACCCTACCTCTGAACCTGTGCTAACCTACAAGTACGTCCTAACCTAGCCTACTACCTGTACAGCTATCCAGCCTATCCTATCCTATCAAGCCAAGCCCAAGCCCAAGCCTGTCTTCTTTTAAGCTACCTACAGTAACCTACCTACTTAAATAAACTTGCCTAGTATCTTGGTATTTTAGTATCTCAAGTATCTTAGTATTCTTACTATCCCAAGTATCTGATCCTAGAATACTCAAGAATTAGCCCAGACCCTTTAAACCATGTGTGTTCTCGGCAACCCAGTATTAACTAACCTAACTAACTATCTACATACTAGGACCTAACTATATACCTAGTAGCCCTAGAGGTATATAATGTACTCATATATACTTACTTTGGATGCATGCCTCCATACCTACATGCCTACATGCCTATATATGTAGGGGACTCCAGTGTACAGTCATGTACTACCCCCTACTATCAATAGTTAAAGAGCTTGTCAAGTCTTTTCAGTCCGTCGTTCGTCAGAGGCAACGCCACAAGTATCAGCAAAACTTCGTCTGTGGGGAGAGGTGGGTACACGACTAGCCCGCGGTACAGGTCCTCTTCATCCAACCCTGAACGTTGTCTTAACATCTACATAGTATGTCATCCTTGCTCATGCTTCGCATCCTGGGCTCTTTATGGTTTAGTCACTCCATCGAAACCACACCTCCACACCCTTAGAGATCCTCCCGTCTTGACATAGAAAAGCGTTTCTGCCTCCTTGCTGAAGTGCCCTGTCCTGTTTTCATTCAGCCTTTTTGGGCCAATTATATGAGGATCCTCTCCCCAGGCTTTTCTCCATCAGCCCTTGCCAGCATTGTTCTACCCGAATTCGCCATAAACCCATTATTAGTTCTCCCCGAGATATCTGTTTCTTGCATTTAGTAGGCTAGGCTTGCCCGTACTTGACTCTTTCATCAAATCATTATCTAAGCGTCTCCGTTCTATCTGTTTCACTACTTTGAAAGACAAGACCAACAACCATTAATACTCCATTACATCTCCCCATCTACTAACAGTACACTATCTACTTTTAGTATTTTTTATATCTTTGCAAATCACAGAAGAATAAGACTGTAACTACAAGAGACACGGCATAGGGAGTTTATCTACCAGTCATATATACCTGATATTGTATCTCTGTCTCTTGCTAGCCCTTGGACTCAAGTGTGCGTGAATGGTCGTATAAGTATCGCGATCGAGTGAGTCAAGAAGGTATCTCTAGGTCCCAAGGACCGACTTCTGTATTCGTTTTTTTTGGGTTGCAACGAGGTCCGCCTCTGAGTATCTATTACATCAAGTCAAGGTAAACCGTCTTTTCCCTTTTCAAGGGATATCATATCTGAGAAAGCATTCATGTTCTAACTTGCTCAACAGAACCCGACGACTAGTTGAAAAGATAAATACATCTACATCATGTCTACTCTTACCATACCGTCCTCACCTTACCACCATGCTTTCCCAGGAGAGCGGGCGTGGCATGACACTCGTGTGGAACGGTCACCTGCACCTCGAGAGAGAATTGCACTGCCTTCTATTCGACAGGTAGAATCACCCATCTCTGGCCAACGTGCTATACTAATCAACCTATCAGGCTTTCCCAGAATTACAACATCATTTACAGCCAGAAGCATCAGCTAGGAAACTGTCTGCCAGTGCTACTTCCAATAGGGGCCCTTACACTGGCATGATAACGCCACCGGAATACGTCCACTCACCAACTCATCAGAAGAGGCGGCGATTATCATTTGAGCACGAGAAGGAGGGCGAAAGAGTGAATCAGGTCCCAAGACTATATAATGGCCCACAAAGTACCATTTCTCGACAGCAATCACCACCTTCCCTCCACAGACCCGGTTCAGAATGGGACACCTCAAGCCAGATTAGCCCCCATAGCGGGCACGGCACCCTTCCTTTCATGAGATCTACCGTGGGCGTACAACCTCGTGAACGAGTGGAAACTAGGCCTACTCTACACAGCCTACCGCTACTCAACTTCGAGAGACTCGAGAGACCCGCGAGCGAGACTGTTCGAGTTCGAAATCACCCCAATGATGAATATGCCGCCCACGAAAGGATAAGGAGGCCGAGCGTTGCAAGCAGTAATAGCCATAGTACGGACGGAGGTTCGCCTGCCTACAGACCCCCCAACTTCGGATACGCGTTCCACCACCCCAACCGAGTACAGTCCCATTCCGTAGGGTCTGTCCACCCCTTTGACAGGACACCTTTCTCACCAGGGTCGTACGGACATCAGTTTCACGACAACTTCATGCGTGTGAGCGAGTTTGGGGTGGGAATAAACGGCGACAACAAGCAGCGGAAGCGTCGTGGGAATCTACCCAAGGAAACTACAGACAAGCTCCGGGCCTGGTTCGTCGCTCACCTACATCACCCATATCCGTCAGAGGAGGAGAAGCACGACCTGATGAGACAAACTGGCTTACAAATGAGTAAGTTGAGCCCCAAATTTCCAGGGTTAGAAGAAGAAAAGGTCGCTGGAAGAAGAAGGATATAGCAATACGGCATATGACGAGAAAACTTCTGGGTTGTCTGTTTGCTAACCAAACCCTCGTTTCTACAGATCAAATATCTAACTGGTTCATCAACGCGAGGAGGCGGCAATTACCGACCATGATCAACAACGCCCGTGCCGAGTCCGACGCCATGACCGTTCGTGGAGAGAGTAACCTACTGCCATCCACTGAACGAATAGACTACGAACCCGAGAGCAAGCCCCTGAGTGATGGGGAGGGAAGCACATATCGAGAAGTCGAGTTAGAATCACTGAAGCGACGCAGAGTTACGAACATCAACCGCGGTAGCATATAGAAAGGGGGAAACGATTGGTAGCAAGATTTGGAGGAAAGAAAGAGCGTAATAATTATTACCTACCGTGGTCTATTGGAGCTTTTTTTACATGTTAAGAATGATATTGTACTTTTATTATCGAGCGACTAAATTTTGTCAATTTGTTTTGGGTTGGGGGATCCTTATGATGAGACAGAGACAATGTACGACACAGCATTTTCCTTTTTCTATTATTATTTTCCAGACATACCAAAATTTCCGGGCATACGGGTGGAATACCACATGGATATGGCGCACTGGAGCGATAGAACAGGTTATGGCTGTGCGGTTTTGATTACTTACACTCTACAGAGAAAGACAAGGGAGGGGACCGGATTGTATGTATATCACTTTCGAATTAGATTTTGGGGGGCGGCGGTTGGAAGAATCATAATAAAGAAGGGGTGATAAACATCCACGGTTATGGGAAATATATCGCCATGTATTGTGTAGATTTAGCCTCAACTGCCAAAGTGCACTATCCGGATGATAGAAAAGATGTTGATTCTTAATATCGTTTACCGGGAACAAAGAAAAAAAAAAGAGACGATGCATATAAGCTTCTTCGCGGATGGCTTCCGGCTCAGGGTGAACACTATTTACCAACAAGGGGGTTTCCTGCAACCACGAGCTGGGATTTGTTCCGAACTGTCTAGAAAAAGAAGATCTCTCTCTCTACTTGCCTTACGAAACAAACAAGAATAGCTGTAGGTAAACAGGTAGATAGGTACGTAGGTGGTAACTCTCCCATTAGCATTTTTGAGAGAACAAATATATTGTCTTACATGCCGCCCATTCCGATCGATAGATTAAATGCAGATGCCCGCGAGCATGGGAGTCCCGCCCTTCCTGGAAATCCGTTGGCTACCAAGTTCATCGTGACGGCCACCTAATCTCGCCGCATCGCACAGTTTCATCACCGACCCAAGATGGCCATCTCGTGGTAGGCATATATTATACATGAGAGGACTCGGATGACGACAGAGGTTACAGAACAGCTGACGTGCCCTTGGCGACCTGGGGTCAAACCAAAAGGAAAAACAACAGCAACAACCCAATATGTTGTGAATCCGAAGAAAAGGGAAGAAAGAAAAAAAAGGAAGCTCACATATCTTTTCTGGTTACAGCACGCAGATGTCGTGCCATCCACTATCTTGTCTTTGCCCGGGGCCAGTCGCGAGGTAGCCAGCCACCAGAGAGTACCACTGGACTGGTAACCCAATGTTCCTGCCTGTCGAGCTGGAACCCATAGGAATGGCCGCTTGGTGGGATAGATGCGACGGGATCTAATCGGCCATTAACGAGCACGACATATGAAGTTCCCTCCTCCTTACTCTTTCTTTACTCTTCACTCCTTACTCCTTACTCTTCCCCCCGCTCCTTTGGAAACATGTCTCCATTACCTAGTTGATCTTCATATCAACTACGAGGGTTGTGATACCCAGCAGTTATACTACGTTACCGTCACCGTCACATATGTGTTTCTTATGGATCTATGTATGTAACTATGTAATGTAGGTACATAGTAGGATGATTACATAGCATCTATCCACCAGGTCAAAGCCATGGGTGAGCCGGACTAGTCCGTTAGCTTGACATCTCGAGTGTTTTAGCCAAAGATAGTGCCGCCTTCACTTAAGGGTTCGACCATGGAACTACATATGTAGCTAAAATGATGAAGAAAACTGTGAAGGAGAAAAAGAAAAGAAAAAATAGGGCCACGCTAAGCAAAAATCTTTAGCATATGCTACCTCGGACGAAGTTTTTCTAACTACAGAGTTCTTGTTATGAGAAGCCATCAGCCCGTAGCACGGATCTCCGGCCGGTCAACCCTCTGACATGAGACATGGCGTTTTCTTCGGACAAAAAAGCAGTTAATGTGTCTTATAATTCACAGGACGAAGCACCGACCTTCTCCTCCCCCCCTTCTTCTTCGCTAGGCTAGTGAATGTCTTAAATAAAAAGTTCTTCATGGAAGTAAGTCTTAGATGCCTATCAATGATGACATCTGAAACATCTCACTTGAGCCGCTCTGGAGAAAGACGGTTATATGTGACGGTTATATGTCTCTCGTCATTGTACCCCTGAAAAGCATTTGTGCGGCACGTTCAGGACAAAAATGCAATTCCCCTTTTCTTCCCAACCACTCATTATACAACTAGTATAAATTGAATTTTCCTCGCTTGTGCCACTTTCCAACTGAAGCGAATAGATTTCACGAACAGGGAGGAAGCAATAGGGTTTTTTGCATGGACAGGCTTTTTGCCCATATTTTCTAAATGAGTTTACCCAAGCGCTTCCTGGGCCAGGAGAATAAGAAGAATCATGTTAATATCAAGCACTTTTCTATTGCCGTGCTGGGGGAGGGCATTCGCTTCTCAATACCGGTGTGCCATGCAACTTTAGATGGACAGATAAATTATACCAGATTACCTAAATGTATCGTACCTGACAAGGGAAGATAATAAACCCAAGTGACTACTAACCTAGTATGTTCAGCAACATCGATAATATGCGACTCGGCCGAGATCTTCCCGCAGCACACTACCCGGTCCAAAGGGTATCTTGCTTGATGAACTGAACTCTAACTGGGTAGTATCAGTGTTCCGATGTATGGGGACAATAGAGAACACTATGTAATATAGGTGAAAAGAAGGGACTATCTAATTCGTCAAAGTGCGTTAGAGGTGAGGCTTGCTAGGCCAGAAACATTTATCTTCTACCCCCCTCTACCTCTTTCCCTCCTCCACCCTTCCTATTTCTCAGCTACACTCTATGTATGTAAGTCCTCAATATAGGTATTGATCATCAACCAACGTACATGCCGAGCATGCGGGGGGGGTTAAAGTTCTGTAGCCACCAACAGCAATCAAGATTCCAAGTACCTATCCTATTATATTACATACCTCCATACCTACATGCTAACTAGTAGGTATTTCCAACCCTAGCTTCTGGGCAAAGCTCCATCGCTGTATTGGTTTTACTAAAATCACGAACTACCGGAGACGAGACTAGCTCGCCTGAATCTATACTAATCAAAAATTCAGGGACCGGAAACTACCTTGTCCGTTTCGTGGTCCTTTTACCATGGTCTTCTCTTCCTTTGGCCCTGAAAAAAAAAAACCTTCTACTTAGTATACCTTGCCTAGGGTTTAGGTAGGTAGGTAGGTAGTCGTACGCAAATACTAGTAACTAAGTATACCTATTGATTAGAACAACTGGGTCAAGACCCTTGGCTTGTAGAGGTATTGCATTCGGGGATGCCTGAGCCCTGACTTCTAACTAAAAGATACCCATTCGAACCTCCGTCACCGTCCGAGTCATGTCTTTATCGTGCTGTATACCTGGGTAGGTACGGAACTGGAGTCACAAACGACAATTTAGAACGCGCCGGGGTAACAAAAGCTATTCGGTCCATGAAGGGGTCTCCGAAATATATGACCAGGGCTACTACTCCAGCGCGAAAAATTAATAATAATATTAATATGACTCGGGGAGCGCCGAATACACGGAACGGAGGGTAGCCCGGCCAAATGACGAGCTGTCAGAGACAGGACTAAATCACCGATTCTACTACCACCTACCTAAGGTAGCTAGTCAGTGTCCTCATACTAAGGCCTCTAGTGCTATACCAGACGTCCGGGTTTTTTCCAAGCCGGTTTACTAGACTCGGGATGGACGAGCGGGCTCTACCATGTGAAGCCGACCACGCTGTCACGACTCACAAGTCCTACCTACTAGGTACCTAGCAGTAGACAAGGCACCGCTTATATCCATCCATTCGTCCCAGGGTTCCCATGCGGTGTCGATCCTGATCTAAGAATGATCTCCTCCTGTCACTCTTGTCAGTTGCTGCGCTGGCCGGTGCTATGTCTGGGCAGCCTACTAACTACCACTACATAGTATGTAGGTAGCTGATCACTAACCACCCCCCCTAGGCCCCATCATCACCAACCATCCGCTCGAGGCTCGCTAGTCCTGTACTCTGCCGGACAAGCAACCCTACCCCCCCTTTTTTATGAGGATTTAGAAAGAAAAAATATGGAGTTCCCGCATGCAGGTGGACGAGAATCTTCAACTGCTGTACGCGGCCCACTCCACCGGGGCTAGGTTTAAGTCATAAACCCAGGTCCCCGGGGCTTTTTCAATGTCCAGACGGCCGGGATGAAGACCTACACTAACTAAACACAACCACCGTTGGTAATAGTAGTAGTTTAAAAAAAAAGCCAAAAAAAAGTAACAACGAGCGAAACGAAGTTTGAAAAAAGCTGTGGGAATAGATACTCCACATCGTCCCCCCCCCCGGGACCCCCTTGAATGAAACTAACTGTGCTGCGCTGTGCTGATGCTGATGCTGTAAGGTGTAAGGCCCCAATGCATACCGACGCTGATAGAGGTATGTGTATCACGAAAGAGGCGTGTAAGCAACAAAAAAACAAACCTGGCGATCTGCTTTCCGGGTCTGGGATTTACTACATACCTACATTACATACACAGCTACACAAGAAAGAAACAAAGCCCCTCCTCCCCGAAAATTAAAAAAAAAAAACGTGTTCTGTCATGCCATCGAAGGATAGAAAGATGTGACAGGTCGTTTACGGGTGGCACTTGCTATGCTTGCAGATTGGCGCTCCCTGAATCGCACGCATGGGGTGACGGGTAAGTCATGTGCTCGAGTCGGTCTGCACCATTGGCACCGGACAAGGCTTACCTAGTAGCTAACCCACCTCGTTACCTTGGGCCTGGAAAAAAAAAGCAAAAAGCATCCAATGTTGAAGATGTTCGGGTTAGGTAGGCATTTGTGCCCCCTTTTTCTTATTTATCGTTCTATGGTTGAAACATCTCGGCAGATACTAATTGCATTGGTATGTTGATCGACTTACATAGAGGATTTACAAGAGGATAAACTACAGCCATACCAAGTATACGAGAAAAGGTGAAATATGAATACATAGAAAGAGAGAATGTGTTATACCAGAAATATCCCGATTTCTTACTATACTCGAATAGCTATCCTACATAACATGCATTTATCAACAGATATCGTGAAAACCGAGTAAGATATTCCAATATAAGAAATACAGTATGCTCTTATGCATGCCAAGACCTGACATAAATACAGCATATCCATATGGATTGAATTCGGAGATAGGCATGTTATGGCGCTGGAGATATCGGATTTCGGTACGAACCAGGCTCCGATTACATAGGTGTAATGGATCCCGGACGGCTTACGGCAGCACGGAAATGGATGCCTGGCTGGTCGACGCGGACACGGAATTGAAGTTTATTGAATGTTAATGTTTACTATGTACATACATACCTCCTGTACTTACACTTGGAAGCTAGCAACGAAACGGGTGGAGATAATTTATATATTTATTTAGACGCATACCAAGTATCTACTCACATAATGTCCGAAGATGAACCCTGTATAGAGGCATCAACAACCAGTCGTGCAGGGGAAAGCTTGGTATTTTGCCCCTTTTCCATCCTCACTACCAAACTCGCTAATCCTTTGAATAGTCGTGTGTGTTATGCCGGTATGACTTTTGCTGGCCTATGCGTGTAAAACACCAAATATTATCCCGTGGCTCATTATCGTTTGCAGGAGTCGGAAACTTAAATGTGACCGCACTAAACCGCGGTGTAACCGGTGCAAGAAGGCCAGTGCCGAGTGTGCCTATCCCGAGTCCCGGAGGAAGCCGGCGTTCAAGCGGAGGATTGTGAAGGAGCTTGAGGCTCGCCTAGGTAGGTGCCTCCCGTAACTAAAGGATCATATGAGGTTGGAGACTGAGACTAAGATATATCTACATATAGTTCAAGTTGAGGTGCTCTTAAAGGAAGCGGCAGAGAATAGAGCACAGCATAAGGAGCCTGTCAACTCTCTCCCCGCTGAAACGCTGCCGGCCGAAGATGTCATGAACCAGGGGGTGGACTTCGCAGACCATGACATCTCATTTGATCATGGCGACCAGTTCTCCTTCCCAAGAGACCCAGCGACGACATTCCCGGCTAGTAACTTCGGCACCCAACCCCAAAATGACGCCCCCCCTTTTATGGACCTCATGGACCTAGGTGGGCTACACGAGAGCCTGCCCCCTTTCGAGATGATGGAAGCCCTGTAAGCGACACCATGTGTTCAGAAAAGCACTACCTATCCATCATTGCAAACTCCGCTCATCATCATGGCTACCTACCTAGCAACGGAATCTTCTTCACCCGCCACCACAACCTCATCCCGGCGATCCATCCTGCTCGCTACCTGCAGGCGTTTTATTCTGCTCCGCACATGAGACCCCCCATGTCTCTCCAATACGCCATCTGGGCTCTCGCTGCGTATGGCGATCCGAAGTATGGCCACTACCATGAGGTCTTCTATCGGCGCGCGAGGCAGTACGCTGATTCGGATGAGATGAAGGTGAGTCTGTACCTCCGACCCCCCCTGGAATTGAATGTCTGCTTAAGCAGTTTCTGTGATCAGGGACACGGCGAACACTTCATCACCATCGCGCACGCGCAGGCGTGGAGTCTAATCGCCAGCTACGAAGCCAAGGTGATGACGTTCACCCGCGCCTCCATGAGCGGCGCCAGGGCCGTTCGGCTGGTGGAGATGATGGGATTGCATCGGCTTGACGACGCCACGGACGAGATAAGTCCGACGCTGCTGCCGCCGAGGGATTGGACGGAACTGGAAGAGCGAAGACGGGTGTTCTGGGGCGTGTTTTGTATTGACAGCCATTGCTCTATCTCGACGGGCTGGCCGTTTCTCATCGATGCTTCTGAGGTCACAACTCTACTGCCTGCCGTGAGTGAACCTTACGCTTGTATATGATTCCGTCGAATAGAAGACTTCTGCTCGAGTGCTTGAGGCTTCTTTAGGGGGCATATTGGCCTAAGCCCCTTTATAACCTTTTTACTAACTTGAAGCTTGACAGCCAGAAGAAGCTTTCCGAAATGGCGAGGAGGTAAAAACATGCAGTCTCCACGATGCCGTTAAGGGGTATCCATACTCATCATTCGCTGGGACAATTTTAGCCTGTCATTTGTGCGCTCCATCCCTTTTGCATGAACAAAAACTGACGACCTCCCTTCTTCCACGCTACTCGCTAACCTCAAGGCTCCCAAGCTTCAACCAAATCCTGAAACACGTCCACAGACCCAAGCCAGGCGACCACCCCGAAGACTACGAACACGGCGAATACTGGAAACGGCACCGCGAGATCGACAACACCATCTCGAGCGCCTTCATGTACCTGCCGAGCTCCTTCCGAATGCCCGACAACTACCGCGACCCCGTCGCCATCCACGCCAACATCAACTTCCACGCCGCCACCATTTGCCTGCACCACTCCGCCCTCGACAAGATAGACACGTACAAGTTACCCGAGAGCGTTCAGAAAACCTCCCGGGATCGCTTGACCACGGCAGCTCATGAAATCACTAACATCATCAAGCTCACTAGCCATACGAAAACCACCCCGGTAGGCCCAAGCAGAGCACCAGGCTGATGAGATAACTCTCTCCAGTGCCTACCTACCTAGTACCCAACGCTGACACCTACCACAGCAGAGAAGCCCCCTAGCCGCACTCTCCCTCTACTGCGCCGCCTCCGTCTACATCTACCTGTGCAAAGAACCGCCCCCCTCCCCCACCCCCACCCCCGCCTACACCGCCAACCTCGACTTCATCATCGCCGCCATGTCGGCCCTCGGGCAAACCCACCCCATCACCAAAGCCTTCCTGCGCCAGGTCGTCGCCGACATCGAGCAGAGCGGCATCCGCATCCGCGCCGTCGGCATGCCGCACCTCGACGGCCTGGGCGACCGGTTCCGCGACACGATCTCGCACAACATCCCGCTGCTCGCGCGGTCGCGCATATCGAGGCACACGCAGGTGCAGCCGCCGCTGCCGGGGCGGCAGCTGCCGCTGGGAAGGCCGGTTGGGCCGGTGTTTGATGCCGAGCTTGCGGGCGGGCGAGGGGTAGTAGCTAGCAGCGTGGCAGGTTGTCGCAAGCGGAGGCGCACATGTCCGCCTTCCGAGGCCAGCGCTGCGCGCGACGGTAGTCCGGAGGGAACCCACGCTGCGGCGTCGTGCATCGCCACGCCCTCGTCGCCTGCCGACACGATCCCCGCGAGGGGGCCCAGGGCGCGAGACGCTGCTTCTGCCTGTCGCGCTTCCCCTACTCCCGCTGCTATTGGCAGTAGTAATAATAATAATAATAATAACACGCGCCCCTCTCGTTTCCAAACCACACACTGCGACCCAGGAGGACGCACAACACCCACGTCCAAAAGCGCCTTCCACAGCCCCTGGGATACCAACACCGCGTACGCTAACACCCCTCTCGAGTCCGATATATCCAACCCGTATGCCGAAAACAGTGGTGCAAACGGGGATGTCGACGCGGACATCCCCTGGGTTCTTACCGGTAACGTTGGTAGCGGCGATACCGGAGAGCTGGGCATGGACTGGGAGGCTCTGGCTGCTAGTTTAGGGGATGGGTTTTTTAGATAGATGAAAACGATGGTAGATGATGGATGAAGTGTACGATTCAGGGGATACTGGCTGTGTTGTGTGTATGGGTGCCAGTTGGATACCTAGGTACCTAGAGACTTGATATCCCCCTCATTTATAGGTATGGCTCATAGAAGATACTGGGTACCTAATAATACCTACATACCTAGGTTGGCTACCAGGATAGATACCTAGGTAGATATATGGAGGTATCCTTCCGAGCCAAAACCACTTCAACTATTTAGAGTCTTCATCGAAATCAAACTTTACAGCATTGTGCTTCTTTGTTGAATATCTTACCAATTTCGGAAATACTACTAGGTATACCTGCGGAACCCCTATCCGAGGGCATCCGGGCATCTATTTTTTTCACAGGTGTCAAGCTACGTAAGTAGCCACCTACTTAAGCACGAACGCCAACTCCCCATTCCCATTCCCATTCCCAACTCCAACTTCAACACTGACACCACCAACACCCTCTCCCCTCCTCACGTCGGCGCCGTCAGCACCGGCATAACCGGCTCAAAGTTCCAATCAAAATCATCCATAAACGTCCAATCGATCCCCTGCAGCGCATCCGCACCTCCCATCAACCCCGGTGCCTCGGTGCCAGGCGCAGCAGGAGTACCGGCGGCATACGCAGCAGCGCCGGGCTGAACATTATTCGCGCCAACACTACCATTACCAATACCATTAGCGCCCCCAGCGGCCGCGGGGTTAGCGACCGCAGTCCCAGGAACGTAGTTCGGCGGCGGCTGGCTAGAGCGACTATCGCTTTTCCAGCGGGTGATGAGGTCGTAGGCGACGCTAGCGCAGAGGCGCTGGGAGATGCTGGAGACGGGGTCCTCTGACCAGCGGACGCTGGGGGTGCGGAGCAGACGGTCGGACCAGCCCTCGAGCAAGTTTCCCAGGCGGTGGGGGAGGTCGCCCTCGGTGACGGTGGCGAGGCGGCAGGCGGCGATGGCGTCGGTAGCGGACTGCTCGGCGGCCTTGCAGTCGATGAAGGACATGTAGGAGGAGCGGATCAGGCGGTAGATGACGCAGGAGGCGGAGAGCACGGCGCGGAAGTGGAAGTGCGATATGTGTCGCAAGAACTGCACGCTGCGATCTAGCGAGAGGACCTCCCGGATCACGGCTTGTGCCGAGTTGTAGGCTCGTAGGACGTTGCGCTTGAGGGCTTCGGGGTTGTAGCCCGGCAGGGGCATGAGGTAGTAGGTTTGGATTTCCAACTGCACCAGTAGGGCGTTGAATAAATCAAGTTCATCTGTATCAAGTAAGTGCCCCGAGCATCTCCGTATGTCTATGGATATATATGTGTGGGTGGGTAGTTACCTGCACGTTCCGAGCATATAAGCCCCCTTACAGTGTTCCATTCATCTTCGAGCAGCTGCACCATATGGGTCGAAATCCCTCGCGACTCTTCCAGACAGGCCATCATAGTTTTACTCACATGGTTACAGAACTTCTGGCACTCTAACAAGACACGAAAGGTGGAGGGAACTTGAAAAGGGGTTCGGCCGTCGATAACGTTCTGAATAGTTTGATTGAACAGATTACCGAGCGGAGGGATTCCGAGAGACGAGGATACCCTCTGAGCAATGATATTGTATCCAGCCCATGTAAAAGAAGCCTCTTCGTCCGTAAAAGTAGTATTGAAGACACCATGGCAATACTCCGGATGGGAACCTTTTCCGGTGTGAACTCCTAACTGGAGGGCTGCATTCATGCAGACGCCGGAGAAAAGAGTGGTTGGATCATTGACGAACCGTACTTCCGGGAATATCCAGGTACAGAGCAAGATAAGCGCATTTATTTGCGACATTGACAAGGGGAGGCTGGTGACGGCCGCAAAGGCATCCCGCTTGACAGCTTCCAGAAGAAATGAAAAGGTCGCCGGACTTCTTGCATAGCGGCGCGCGGCTATATAGATGATCATCCAGAAAAGGAGAGGCCCAGACTCATAAACTTTATTCGGATCCCTAACCCTTATGATTGGCATATAAGGGTGATAGCATTCGAAATATCTACATAGTAGCCCCTAGAGGTAAGTGAAGTTCTTCCAGATTAAAGATAGGATCCAACTCACTTATGGAAGTAGTAATCGATTTCTTCGCCAGAAAATGGCTGTGAACCTAGAGCTCTCGGGAGCGTTGGCTCGGCGGCTGGGGTCTGACCAACAACGATGCTCACAGGTGTATGTACTACTGAGGAGGGAGCAATTGTGCCAGGGGTTGGAGTCACGATAGCAAGAGATCTTGCTTCTGTTCCCGCAGAGGAACTTTTTGGAGATGGAACTCCTAGCCGCGGTGGGTCGGGCTCTTTGAAAGAAGTGAGAGCTTCATTTTGCTGAGAATACTCTGTTGCCTGGTTTGGCAATGGCGGGGACTGTTTGCCCACGCTTTGCTTGATAGATTGGATTTCTTGTACGAGTTCGTCTAATTTACTACACGGATCATTTAGTTTTCAACTACTCTACTGTTACAGGATCAAATAGGCTAGGAATGGTTCGAGATGAAGAAGTATTATAGAGAAGTAGTATCTGGTACCTTCTCCGGCTCACCCTTTTGTGAGTCTTATCCACAAGACAAGTCAAGTGAAGTTTTGCGCAACGTTGACACGGTTGTGCAGGATTCTGATTCGGGTTACACCGTACCTTTAAGCACGGTCAATATAAGGGATACACCAATCAATGAGACTATGTACATAGTATTATGTATGGATGTATGCGTACTTTTGCGTCTCGGCAACTGGTACATGCCGTGTTTCGCTTGATTCGGCTGGATGATACTGACGCTGAAGGCGGCGGCGATTCTTGATTTGTGTTAGGCATTGGGCATGAATAGCTGAGTAAGACAAAGTTATGAGAGCCTAGCAGATATATTATTCGGGGCCGAAAGGATATTGAGAATGGTGTTGCCGTTGAATAACAAATTACTACTAACCTTAAGGTTAGATAACTTTGCTATGTAGCTTAGCCGATCGGCTACTAGGTATGTTTAGTTACCGGAAAGTGGGCATAAAGAGGCTTACGCCACGTGCTAATCAAGGCTCGGCAGAAAATCGGTGCCGATCCCTGCAACTACCCGCAAGCCACTAGTACTAGTCTAGTAGTACTCACACTCAATAGTTATCACCATCTTCTCTCAGCAACACCCACCCACAACCCCCAACCCAACACCTTCCCAACTATAGCTTCACCAATCTGCTCCCTCCTCGCTTTTGCTTTTAGCAAATTAGGATCTAACGGTTCGCTAAGCGCTATAACCTGAAAGAAGTCTGCAAGAGATCCAACCGTTAGCGCTTAGATCTACATTGACAGACAGGACATGAAAAACCACTTACACCTATGCGGGCCGTGATTCATCAACGGTCTTGGTGGCGCATAAACCTTCCCATTCATCAACCGGCCGTGATAGAACCCGCCTTTCAGCAGTGCCTTTTTCGGGTCCTCCACCTGTAAGTCGACTGCATCGATGCTTGTTTTCGACGGCTGGATCCCCGCGTAGAGACTGTCCCAGATTAACCAATAAGCTTTACTTTGCATACCTACATAGAAAGGGGGCATCTATTCCATCCCAGGGCTTTACTTACCCGTGGCACGGCATAAGTATCGGCGCATCCGGGTCCTCCACAACCACCAGCCACTCGCCCACCTGCCCCGCGAGGTGCGGCGGCGCCTCCCAGCGCAGCGTAGGAAACTTCCCCGGCCCGTCGTGCGTGTACTCGACGCCGAGGATCGAGCCGGTGGGGCCGACGTCCGGCGCCGTCACCGTGATCTCGCGCTTGTCCTGCAGCCCGACGAAGGCCGGCCCCGTGTAGAAGCTCTGGGCGTCGTGGCCCTTGGCGTTTTTGAAGAGCCAGGAGAGGGGTAGTTCGATCAGAGCGGTCATGTTTTTTTTTTTTTGCTTCGTTTCGATTCGTTATCTCGTAAATTCTCGTAATGTAACAGTAACCGTGGGAGCAACCGTGGGAGCTAGGATCTGTGGTGTGCCTTGGCGTTGGTCGAGTAAAATAAGGCGTTACTATTTAGGTAGGTATCTAACTATGTAGTTGATACCTTTTCTGCCTTTCCTTTCTCCTTTTACTTGAAGCCACTAAAAGTTGCCTTCGAGTTTCAAAGGTCGACGCATCACTGTTATATTCAAATTTAAATTCAACTTCCTAAAAGACTTCATACACCAGCAACGCTCCGTTACTTATAGAAAAGACGAGCAGCTGAGCTTCACATCTTGTATCAGAGCCCTCCCCCCTGGTTCGGAGCCGACCGCGCTTATCTCTCTATCGTCCCGTTGCAACGCCAAGCCCCATTGCGATCCTACCTATCGAGTATCCAATCCAATCCAATCCAATACGACCCAACCCCCTGAAGTAGTAATAACCGAGAAAAGCAAGCTTTCATAAGCATACATAGCTGAGGTGCGCAAATGAAAATTTTAATTCACTAATACCCAAGTTTGGACCATTTATCCATTTTCATATGTGGTTTAAATTGGTCTCATCGTATTACCCGAACATGTCGCTAAAGTGGATCACGGAAAGCAGCAGCAGCTGGCTACGGTCCTTTCTGATGGCCGAGCCGACCGCGCCCGAGATTACGATCGAGCCCGAAATCGTGGTTGAGAATCTCGCGCCGCTGCACCCGTACTACCCCGAGGGCGTGGCCATCCCGTCGTATGTGCCCAACGAGGTCCCCGTCCCCGTGCTGCTGGCAGCCTTGGGGGGCATGCTGGCGTTTGCGCTTCTGGGCGCTGTAGCGGTTGCGCTGAGGGTCAACCCGAAGTTGAGTCGGGTTAACATAGTCAGGCTGTGTTGGTTTGTTATGAGTGAGTAGCCTGAATACCTACTTACTTGAACTACTATGCCAGTATATACAAGTTGTACTTTATTTGCTGACTTAACATCGGGTTATAGATGGCTGCTTGCATTGCGTTTTTGAGGGTAGGTCTCTCATCTCTCTGTCTGAATAATACCTATATATGATGAAACGAAGGAGCACGTGAAATATATCGACCTAGTGAACTGACTGACTGACTGACCGACTGATCCGCTCACCTCAAAGGCTACTTCGTCCTAACCCACGCAACCGTCGCCTCATCCCAGAACCTGTTAGCACAGCTATGGAAAGAATACGCGCTTTCCGACTCGCGCTACCTGACCTCCGATTTCTTCATGCTCAGCGTCGAGGGCATCACATCCGTAAGTGGCACCCACCATAAACGAACCAACAACCCCTTTACTAACGAGAAAGCTCATCTGGGGCCCCCTCTGCTTCGCCAACGCCGTCGCCATCGTCCGGGGCAGCCCGTCGCGGCACGCGCTGCGCATCATCGTGTGCATGGCGCACCTGTACGGCGTCGCGCTGTACTACACCACCAGCCTGTGCGAGCTCTACTTCACGGGCCGCTCGCACAGCCGCCCCGAGACCCTGTACTTCTGGGTCTACTACGTCGGCTTCAATCTGCCGTGGGCCATCATCCCCGCGGGTACGTGATGCTTACCTACCTAGCCAGTCTGAAAGATCAAGGTTATATCAAAGATGATGGAACTTTGGCTGACATCAACATTTTAGTCCTCTTATACGACAGTGCCAGAACGATCACCGCGGCAGTACGGGCGTTGGAAAAGGTGGACAACACGCTGGATGCTCATCGCCGTAGGCAAGGGAAAACGAACGGGGTTGCTGTTGAGCCGAAGAAGACGAAATAGTCTTGTGCTTTATTAGAACATTGAATGTCGCCTGCTGTATTTGTAGAGGTTTATAGAAACGGGGAGAGCTAATCTAATCTAAGATGGGGGTTCAGACCACACTTTTAGTAGGTACAATTATCAAGACTACACCACCGTATCGCAGTTTGTGATGCGCATGATGAGTGTCTTTGAACCGGTCTGTAAATATCGGCTTCTATTACGAGGGTATCTTGATTGTACCAACTCTTATACGACCGTGGTATCTCTTATCCATATAATTGGGGTTTGCGATGCATCGCCATGCACACGAACTTAAAAGTAAGGGGTACTATAAAACCATCAATTTAAGGTCATGGACCATCTTTTGTCTTCTTCCTAACCCATCCGTGTTATTGAATGAAGTAGTAACCACTAACTCTGTAGCGGTATCCGTAATGAAATTCTGAATCGTCTTGCGCCATCGCTTAGATACCAATGCGAGTCGGGTGATTGAACCCGAGGGGAATAATTTTACAACAAAGACCACCTTCTTGAATACCTAGGAATCAAGTCCCGTACTTCGAGTTCAATATGAGTACCTATTCTTCCTACAGGTAGTATCCATCGTTCATCAGGTAGCACACGTCTTATCTGACGTATTTGCTCATGAACCGCTTATGGAAGTCGGATCGCAAAAGATCCTATTCATACCATCAGCATTTTCGTCATAAGATAAAGAATAAGTTGGGGGCTTACGTTAATGAACTCCTTCTTCTTGCCCTTGTCTTCAGTACCTCTTGCCTGGTTCTTGAAAACGACGTCGTCATCCCACCTACCATGACTTGATTAGCACGGAGCCTGAACCGCTTCGTCCAAAATTTTGACATACCTTCGCTTCATATTGAAATTCTTAGGATTCAACAACGGGTTACCCAGCGCAATATCCTTTTCTCGCTCCTCCTCCTCAGCCGCAGCCTTCTCCCGCTCTTCTTTTTCGCGCTTTTCAGCGCGCTCCCGTCTGATCTTCTCCAGCTCTCGCTGCAACTCAGCCTCCTCATCTTCTTCGTCGTCACTGTCTTCTTCACTGTCGTCATCGTCCTCCTCCTCATCATCCGAGTCTGCATCCACGTCTCGGGATTCCTCTAATATGCGCCGCCGTTTCGCATCGGGGTCTTCTTCTCCATTTCTATCACCCTCAGCTTGCGATGTTAACTCTAGGGGACGTTTTGCCGCGTTGTTGGTAGTGGGTTCGGCATCAGGAGCATCAGGTAGGGCGCCCCCGTTCTGCTTGGCGAAGTGGGCGGCTTCGGCAGCGAGGAGCTCGGCTCGCAAGTCGCGTGGCTCATCTGCATCTCCTCCTTGGCCGGGTTGTCTGAATTTGAGCTGGGTATGAGCGGGAAGGAGCCTTTGGTGGTAGGCTGGTCCTCGAAGGGCTTCTTTTCCACGCGCCTATCGGATGGTTCATTAGTAGGTTTTATTAGTATTACTTTTAATGATCAACTTACCGGATCGAAGGTAGGTCTGTGTGCGGTAGTCATCTTGGCTCAATGTTCAAGTTCAATATTTCTGGTAGACTCTGGGTGTAAGGAAGGGTTTCGATGTGCTAATGATGAAGCTTAAGTTTTGTTTGTTAAGTAAAGGTAAATATACTGTAAAAGACAAAGGATCAAGGTTGCATACAATCATAAATGTCGGCATTCTAGACGTGGAACCCCCGATTTTACAGGGATTAGATATTCACCGCCCGGCAGAAATTCCAAGTGTGGGAAATTCCATCTGAAGCTTCCATCATCAACACATACAAACACACCCCACTAACTAACGAAGCTTCCGCATTTACAATTGGGACGAATAATAAGATTGAGAGAAAGGAGTTGGAAAAAGCGTCTACTTATTTACTTATATTCCTCTCAAAATGCCTCGAGAGGCCGAGCCTTCACTCAATGAACGTAAGTTCGTAGTGGAGGCCCTACAACAAGGCCTGCGCATCGACGGTCGCCACTTTGACCAGTACCGAAAGCTCGAGCTTAACTTTACCGATCAGTATGGAGTCGCGGATGTAACCCTGGGGAAGACGAGGTAGGAATATAAAGATGTATACTCTACAGTGCAATGTTACTCACTCACTTGCGACTAGGATACTTGCCAAAGTCTCGGCCGAAGTCACAACTCCCTACACGGATCGACCGTTCGATGGCATCTTCACAATCACCACCGAACTAAGCCCTATGGCTTCACCTGCCTTCGAAGTCAATCGACCAACCGAGACAGAAGTGCTACTATCGCGACTACTCGAGAAGACGGTTCGTCGATCTAATGCGCTAGATACCGAGTCTCTATGTCTTGTCGCTGGCCAAAAGTGCTGGTCCATAAGGGTCGATCTACACGTACTCTCGCACGACGGAAATTTAATAGACGGGGCTTGTTTCGCCGTCGTAGCCGCATTGCGCCACTTTCGAAAACCAGATACGAGCATAGAAGGCGAAGTTCTGACTGTGTACACGCCTGCGGAAAGGGAGCCAGTCCCGTTAAGTTGGTTACATTCGCCGTTTTGTGTCACGTTTAGTTTTTACGGAGAAGGAGATATTGTGTTGCTAGATGCTACCCTCTTGGAGGAACAGTTGAGTGTATCTAGCTGCACTATCAGCCTCAACAAGCATGGGGAGATATGCCAGATTGCAAAGTTGGGTGGTACACCTGTAGAGGGCGCCACATTGTTGCAATGCGCAAACGCCGCGCTCCACAAGGCCAAGGAGTTCTCGACATTATTAGATCAGAAGCTGGCCGAGGACTCGAAACGGAGGGACAAGGGTGGACTGCTAACAGAGTTGTCCGCAGAGAATGAAAGATAGCGATAGCAGGTTGAAAACTGCTCGCATCAATGACCAAATAAGATACCCCTTGACTTTATAGAGGCGAGCCCTCCTGATAGAACTTGAAACCATAGACAGACCTTCCTAGTTCCAGAACGCCTTTTCTATGTCGCTGAATGCAAACCCGACCCGAGCCCCTATATAACCAAATAACACCGTTTTGCCGAATTATCTAGAGTCTTCCTTCCAAGACTCTACCTCATCACCGGTGGTCTTGACTCCTTATTCCACTTCACCCTCGACCTCACCCACTCGACAGCTTCTCTTACCCCGGTCCCCGTCAGCGCGCTCACGGGCAAGACTCTCGAGTCGCGAATACTGGACGCCTTCTCGCCCTCGAACACCTTCTTCACCAGGCCCTCCTTTATGCGCACGACCTCGACACAGTCCTCGCGATCCTGCTTATTCGCCAGTATCAGCAGCGGCACGCCCTCGGTCTCGGAGTTCTGCAGGACGTCCTCGAGCACGAGGCGGCACTCGTCGAGGCGGCCGGAGCTGTCGTGCTCGAGGGTGCCGTCGCCGATGTCGGTGCTGTCGATGATGAAGACGATGGCGTGGCAGCTGGCGTAGTAGCTCTGCCACAGCTTGCGCAGGCTCAGCTGCCCGCCCACGTCCCAGATCTTGACGTACATGTCCGGCAGCGTCAGCGTCGACACGTTCTGCCCGACCGTCGGCACCGTCTTGAGCTTCGGGTCCGGGTGCTCCGGCAGGAAGAGCGACTTGGCCTGCTCGTGGAACGTCGTCTTGCCGGCGTTGTCGAGCCCCAGGAGTATGACTGAGTATTCCTCTCGGCTCCGCGCGAGCAGGTAGAGGGATTTGGCTAGATGGTACATGGTGGTGGTGGTGGTGGTGGTTTTTTATTTTAGGTACTACTACATACAACTTAGTAGGTACATAACTAGTAAAAAATATGTAGTATGCAGGTATGTAGTGGTGTAGCAGCAGTTTGAGAGTCGATTGCGCAAGATAGGGAGATAGGGAAATTGATTGATTGATTGTGAAATTGGAGCTTGATAAGCTAAGCGCGCAGCAGTTTGAATTGGAATGGTTTTAACTAGATGGACTGGACCAATGAAAAACGTCCTTGTGGCTGGGGGTGCGCCGGGTCTTGCCTATCCCGATTGCCCGAGTCCTAACCGCTTTGGGATTTTTCCTAATTAGATTTTAAGGTTATGCCAAGACAGACCTGCCAACCTTGAAGAGGAAAGGAATGCTTTGCTTGCTTGTCCATTGAGAAGAATGGTCACATGACTTTTGAATGTCACATGGATTTTCAAGGATAGAAAACAACCAACATTCATGGAAAGTCCTATGCACAATACATCCCTTAGTATGAGGTACCTAGTATGTACATGTAGGTTCGTACTAGGTAAAGTTCAATCCTATCTACAGATGGAATGTACCATATTCTTCCAGGAATTACCTACTCAGTGTTGCGTGTCACCAATCTTCAATTGTTACACCGACATTACAAGAAAAATATGTATTAAAAAATACAAAATACTTACCTACGTAGTACGTGCAGCTACGTAGGTCCCGGAAAAGTGCATTAGGTACCTGCACATACCCAACCTCAAGTTTTGACGTGGGGTCAGTCAGCCTACATACTATTAACCTAGGTACTTATGTCGGGCTATTCCTGCAACTTGATGTGTACCTACATACAGTACATATAAGATCCCTTGCCCCTTCGTAAAGAGAAACTTAATTTGTTACTTGGTTGAATTTCAAGGTTTTGGACGGTAACAAATACCTTGGTACCTGAACCAAGACACCAATTTTCCCAGCTGAGCGCCACATCGTCATGTCCTGCATGTAGAGGTGCCTATCTACATATGCATTTTCCCTCTGGTACATAACTCTTCAATTTCTTCCTCAGCTACCGAGGTAGTATCTTGATACTACATCTCGTCCTTTGGGCTTCCTCAAAGCAGGATTGACTGCTCGAGATGGCTCCCGTACCGTTTCAACATCCACTGAGGTATGTATATCCAAGCCGCCTTAGCTTACCGACGAACGGACACAAGCGCGGACGCGGACGCGGCCACGGACACGGACTTGGACAACTAATGATCAACATGAATTATATAGATACGCTCCATTGGCCGTAGTTGGGACACATCTTGTATCGGTCATCTATTTGACGTATGCTATAACGGTCAGTCTGTATACGTCATATAAGTCCATAGGACCAGCACAAGATACGCGATCTCGCCTCGCACAACGCAAGAAGCTGGTCCCGGCTTTTCTCGGACTTGCAGTTGCAGCATTATGCTTGGCGACTTACACATCTACTACTTCGGCCGTCTTGTCATATCAGACCTGGGCGTCTGAGCACGGCCTTGACAAACCAGAAAAGTATCAATATCCCAACTACCCATTCTATATAGACGTGACAAGCGATGAGGGTCTAATAAGTTTTAGATTTATCCCTGAGGATGAAGTCTTGCTATCCCAGAACTCAAGTAAAATAAACTTGGCCTATGTCGCCCAGTGGTTGAGCGATACGCCAGTATATTCCGACATCCTCGAGATTGTCACCGAGAAGGCTCGCCGGTTCTGGTGGGGTCAACAGATCGACCTCGCAACAGTGGCATTTAGCACGCTGCTGTCAATCGAAGGAAGAAGACGAAATGTCCTTCTCACTGCTGCTTTTCTGACTCTGGCGCACTTGGTCAATTTATCGTATGCCCAGAATCTGTTTTATCTCGCCCTTCTCCTGACTCCGTCTCCGTTGCCATCGGGAAACAATGGTCTTGAGTCAGCAGCCATGCCTTTCCCTATCCCACAGTTGGTTCGAATTGGCAACAGGGTCTTCCCCCCGAAGCCAACGAATTGGCATCTGCATTCTTCCATATTTATTAGCACCCTGGTCTTGAATTTCGGGTCAATTTTCACTCTCCCGTATGTCGCTGGGACGCAGTCATTTGTCAATGTACTACTTCTCACTCGAGCCTCGACCTTCTTGCCCCTAATTTTACCCAGGATTGCCCCTATGAGTTGGGGAACAGTCCATTACCGCCCTCATAATTCCTACTATTCATTCACGGTTATATTTCGAACTATCTCCTTCGTATCGTTTGTGTTGCATATGAAGTCAAGCATCATGGGACTTACCTACAACATTCCCAACTCACACTATCATCGGCATAGTGCGATTCTCCCCTGGGATGTAGAGGAGCGAACCGCATTCGAACGTGGCACTACTGCCTTTGGAAAGGTTTTGGGTTCAATAATGGATCATCCTGCTGTGGAGGCTGTGGGTTGGGATGTTCTGATCTGCACTCTCAGTATCGGTTTATGGGCTGGTGTCCGTGCTATAGATGTTCAAGACATCATTGAGTCTTCCATACCGATATATGCCTCTCGTCACAAACCCCAAGAATTAGTCGAAGATGAGGCAACAAAGACTCCCATCAAAATCGAGCCTGAACCTGAGGAGTCTGTATCGGAGCATTCGATGACCCTGAGACGCCGAGGGAGACCCGCCAAGCCCAGATTCGGGAGCGTCGCGAGTTCGAGCGGGTTTAGTGAAGATAACATGGTGACATCAGGACGGAGGCGAGGAAGGCCAAAGAAGAAGCAACCCGAAGGAGAGAAAGCCTACAAACCCACACCATCAGTAGTCAGAGAATTGGTAGAAGGGGATACCTTGCCTGCCAATGAGTTAGATTGGGAGTCTTCTACTTTGACCTGGGGGTTAGTAGCACTTACTGGCCTTGGCTCTGCATGTGCTGGTGTCTTTGGAGGAGAATGTACCTCGAGGTAAAGTTTCATGCGGGAGGGTAAAACAGTAATCAAAGGCAAGACGAGCTATTGAATTCAACACACATACGTGGGTACATAATGCCAGATAGGAAAGTCGCAAGAGAGGGTAGTAGGACTGACGAGATACTGCGGATGTTTTAGAGGTCAGAAACAACACTTTCAGTCTTCCTGTCCTGATACGCAAGTATCTAACTAGATAGCAAATGTCTACCCTAGATAGTAGATAAATGTCTTTATGAGAAGTTGACGTTCAACTTGGTGATGCTCTCATAAGAGTGTCAAAAAAAAGAAGAGATCGATAGGACGATCTGATATCGAAGCAAGGTCACTTAAGTTTTATTAGGTTTTATTATGTACCTAGGTACACTTACCTTCAATCACGCCTCTCGTCAACGCTCCTTCTCCGTATAACCAACTCTCTTGCCACCTATGTACCCCTGCCCCTATTCCTCCCCCTTTCCTCTTTTGGCACAACTGATCTTGAACCATCAACACTGCGACTTCCTATTCTACTATACCGTATAATAAGATGAAGCAGTTTGAAGTTTAAATTTGCCAGGTACTAGGTACCCTAGGTAGTATCACTTCTAAGGTTATCATCTCTTCTTCCTTCTTCACCTTTCTCATCATCTCCAACAATCTATTTTACTCTTTAGATTGCCCCCCACCTTATCATATCTATAAGTGAATTCTATGTGAATTTATTCCCAATCGTACTAGTAGCACCACACGATAATAGTTGGCAACTTACTCTTCAATTTGTTTGTCCTCAATCCCGTTGTCATGCTTATTTACGGTGGTTTTAATTGGCTTGAAGAGCCCCTCAGCCTCTCCAACGATAGTCTAGATTTACTAAGAAAGTACGCTGACTATGAAAAGCGCAAAGTTACTCGTGATGACCTGATCTGCTACGTCCTCGCGAGAGCTAAAAATTGCTCTTCTATGACTAACACCGCTTCTCAATACGACAAGAACAAAAGAGGGCAGCGGGGCGGGGCGGAAGGTCGTGTAAAGTTTATAAAGGATCTAGTCGAGATGATCAAGATTATTGGCAAGTCACATAGCCTTAGCTATACTCCTCTATTACCGATAGGTTGCCAGTTCCTCTGCTAAATTTCATGACTAGCATCTATAAAGATAGGCATTCATCTACTAGCGATGGTTTCTTTTCTGCCACCGTCTTTATAGCTCGCTAGAGAGTTAGCTACTCGCATGAATATAACCAAATACAGTAGGTACAGCTGTGTTATAACCTGAGTGCTGCCGCTACTTGAAACCCGACTGTGTTGTGACGTACTATAACCCAGGTATATAGGAGGTCGCATCTTCTACCTCTAATCACTGAAAGGGGTAAATAGTTACCTACTTAGGTACCTAAGTACTAGGTAGGTATCTAGCTACATAGGTCAGAGCCTTCAAGTAAGAGAAAAATTTTTTCAAACATGAGTGTGTATTGACACTGCCTGCCTACTAACCTAGGTACATACGTAACCTTAGTAGGAATCTTCTGCAGTAAGTATGTAGTATAAACCAGGAAACACTCGCTCTCGCTAACTTCGCTGCCTGACCTAGGTACCTATACAAGGTTAGCTATTTCTATCCCATTACCCCTGAATACCTATCCATAGGTACCTTGTACCCTAAAGATACCTTCCCCTATCCCCCCTTAACTCTAAACAACCCAACTCAAACAAAACCCCCTAACCTAACACTCACTATAACCAAACCAAGATCCCAGCCCTGGAGTTGACCGACCACTTAATCAACCAACAGAACCAACCTACCAAGTAACCACAATATTCACCAACCACAACCCCATCCCCAACCCCCACAACCTTCGCGGCGTGATCCACCCCCTCGCCAGCACCTCCGTCGCCTCGTGCACCAGAACCGCCATCCCGAAAAACACCACCGAGAACAGCACCACCTCCAGCGCGCCCCACCACCACTCACCTCCTACCCCCCGTCCCAAACCCAGCGTGAGCCGCGCAGTAGCGTCCCCGCCCAGCCAGGCATGGTACTGCAGAACGTACGTCTCGAGGGACACGCGGCCGAGCGCCTGGGCGAGGACCGAGGCGTGAGTCTGTCTGAGAACCGGGAGGCGGAAGCGGAAGCGGAAGTGGGGGATCGGTGTGGCGAGTGCGATGGTGATGGTGCTGCTGCTGCTGCTGCGGAGGACGGTGAAGGCGAGGATGGGGAGCCAGGAGATGTAGGGGTGGAGGGCGGTGTACTGGGGCTTGGAGGGGAGGGTGGTCTGCGTGAGGTACAGGAAGATGGCGATGCTGGCGATGCAGAGGGTGGTGGTGGTGGTGGGGAGCTTGGTGGAGGGGAGGAAGCGGGGGAAAGGAGGAGAGCGGCTAGGGAAGGGGGAGTAGGAGGCGCGGTGGACGAGGGCGGCGACGAGGATGCCGATGTAGACGATGTACCGGTCCAGCCCCAGCCGGAACCGCATCTCTGCAGCATCGAAAGTCGTGCGAAACCCGACGTCGCAGGCCCAGGAGAACCACTCCAGGATCCCCGGGTGGTAGATGAGCCAGTCGGTGAAGCACGCCGCGGCAGCAACCTTCAGCACAACCCAGCGGAAGTGGCGGTTGAAGCAGCCGAAGCAGCGCAGCGTCAGAAACTGGACCACGTACCAGAACGATACAACCGGCGCGAAGTAGTAAGCCGTGTACTGCGTGCCCAGGACGTAGGGCAGCAGCGCGCTCAGCACGTTCAGGCGGAAAAACACAACGGCGAAGCGCCGCGCCGAGAAGTCGCGCGTCCGGAGGAAGTACAGCGTGTGTCCGTACCCCGACAGGAAAAAGTACGTCGAGATGAAGAGCCGGGCGAGCTTGTACACCCACAGCGTCTGCGAGGCGTGGTGGTAGTGGTACAGCAAGATAAAGCCCTGCATCCAGCCTTTCATCTCGTCCGAGTGCTCGCGGGATAGGTAGTAGTAGCCCGGGCCGCGGTGGCCGCCGAGCGTCGGGCCTCGCTTATCGCCATCAGCTTTTTCGGCGTCTTTTTTTGCCGACGGCAGCTCGTCTAGTTCTATCCCTTCGTCGCTATTGCTTCTGTTGCTGTTGCTGTTGCTGCTGCTATCATTGTTATTGTTACGCCGCACCCACAGCGTAGCCCCAAGCCACAGCAGACACGCCCCAAGAAACTCGCTGGGCCGATAACGGCGCTCCTCCTTGCCGACCGCGGTCGTCCCGTCGCAGAACCAGCACCAGAGGAGCGCGTGCACGAAGACCACCGCAGCGGCGCACATCTTGCTGTGCCGCCACAGCACGGGGTGAACATACCCATGCTTGACGAGCTCGACGAGCCCGAGACCGAGCCCGCCCACGCCCAGCAGCTTGGCCGAGACGCGCGGCGTCTTCTGGACGCAGCACGTGCCCCTGAAGGAGCGCGAGCGGGCGCTGAGCTCGGAGTTGCAGCGCACGTTGAGGGCGAGGTCGAGCTTGCGGGCCGCTACTGCGTCGGAAACGTGCAGGCCGTCTTTCATGAAGTTCTCGTCTCTGGGGGAGGAGGGGTCAGCCACGAGCCGGTTGAATGTCCAGGGGACGTGCGACGACGGGTTCGAGGGGAGATGCGAGAGGTAGCTGTTCATCGCCTGGATCCGCTGGTGCGTAATCGTCCGAGATCGGTTGGGTGATAGGTTCTCGTATAGGGGCACTTGGATGGGGGCGAGGAGGACTTGGCTTGCGTGAAAATTGTTAGTTCCTTTTGCGTTGGGGGTTAGCCATGAGGATGACGAGGAGGAGGAGGATGATGATATGAACTCGTCCAAGTTAGTCGACAGGTACGGCGTGATGCGGTTGATCCCGCGCTCAAAGAGGTCTAGATAGCTGTCCCCGCCGTATCGAGCGGCCCAGAGACCCGCAGCCCCCACGACAACGAGCGCAGCAGCAGGTGGTTTGTCCTCCCCCACCAACGCAACGGCCTTCTCGTCTCCAGACGTAGGGAGAACGCGAAGAGTCCTCAGCACATTGTGCAAAGCAGTCGAGTTCAGCCAAGGGTCCCAGATAAACTCCACCTTGACGCCCCTCGCCTCGAACGTAAGATCGCGATGCTTCTTTTCCCCTCCAGACTCCTCAGTGCCATGCTTGCTCCAGCTCACGTTCTCCGCGTGAGCAGGATCGAGCCGCCTCGCCGCAGCACAGAAGAGCTGCCGGATAGTCGAGTCTCCGGCGAACACCAGTTTCCGGCCGCCCAGGCAATCGTGGAGATCGTCCGCGGAGTACTTCACCATACGGCACCCTCGCGGCTCCCATTTCTGCTGCTTCGAGCCTTCCCAGTTGGGCGACCGCGTATCGTCGTACATGAGAGCGTGGCAGCGGTGGGGATCATCTGCTCAGCGAACAAGAAATGTTAGAACATACGCTGGCTTGACGGAGGAGATGTAACCCTATTTGCTCTTTTCCTCTTCTTTCAAGCTTCCTGGGGGCTTGAGTATAATACCAGTTATATGTTCATAGTATCCCCTTATCAGGAGGATCACGAATGCAGCGCCGACGGTGACTGCAGTGAGGATGGAGGTCTGGAACCGTGCCATGATGATGGTGTTTGACTGATAAAGTGGCTATCCGTATGCTATACGAGCGTACGTGAGTGATGAGCATGTCAACAGTTTGGAAGACCTCCATGTAAGGAGTTGGGCAGGTCGAGAAGCACCCCGTGACCCTGCTTGGTCTGGTCCATTTTGGATTCTGTGAGGAAGCTACAATTCTATATAAGTTCAACCAGGTAGTTACTAGGCATGTAGGTGGTTAAGAACCGCCCCTACAGATGTCATTCATAGTCTCGCTTTCCTAGAGATATACTAGGGAAGGAGTAAGGGGTCACATTTCGGAATATACGTCTCTGTCGAAGAGAGAAACAACTTGTGCCAACAGATGAAAAAAAAAAAACCGAGATGAGTTGACGCCGCTAGGTATACGAGTGCTCGTCTAAATAGGTGCTCTGCAATGCAGCTAATCCCTATCAACTTCAGAAGGGCTCAGCCTTATGATAAGATTAATCATGATGAACATGAATACCATGGCTTGTAAGTATAATACATAAGCAGCATGCTGGTACACATGTAGACTTACTATGTTCTCCGTGTTTGTCCATATGTGCACACATGCATGTGCATGTGGCTGGCTACCCGATCCGATGTACATAGTACTAAGGTTAACTAATATGCCCAAAAATACCACCAAAAAATCCCCCCTTAAAATCACTAAACCAAAACCCCCGTGGCTGCGACAGTGGCGGTGACGAACCCCCATCCCATGCGCCAAGTTCAGGTCCCAGGCCCACAGCACTTGAACCTGGACGGTTAGGTAGGATTCTCGTTTGTCAAACAAACAAACAGAAGAAAAAAAAAATTTTCTCTTCCTCCGATCCGGTCGGCCTATCCTCTCTCCCTCACTTTTCTTCTTAAAAGCAACATCATCTATCAAAGAGATAGGACATCTACTACCTACGGATGCCAGAAAAAAAAAGCGAAAAAAAAAAGAAACATAAGAAAAAAGGGGCCAAATCTTTTTTTACCTCCATAAGCAAATGCAGCACATACATAACGACAGTGATGAGTATTTGACTAGAAGGTACCTATTCACAAGTAAGTAGTTAACCAACCTCAAAGGTAAGAGGACAGACAACAGCTTCAAAAGGTGAACCCCCCCCCCCCCCCCCCCCCAACACCAAATAGCCCTCGCGAATCAACCTCGCGAACAAATCCAACACACCTCGTCTCTAGCCAAAGCTCGATCAGACCCAACCCATTTCCCCTATGTCTGATCTAGAGCCGGATACCCTCGTCGCCTTTCTGTGCCCGAGCGTACGAGACAAGACTGAAACTCTTTTCCATACAACGATCTTTGAGTACGGGACCTCCTAGGCGATATAGCGTCGAGGCTCTCTCGTAATTAATCTGTTGTAACAATTAATATCTGCGACCACGTTTGTTTTTACCACAGTGGCCTGCTGATATCTTGTTGGTTTTATGGTCTAGGTAGATCTCTGTAAATTTACTCATATTTGCAAATTTATATTGCTATTTCGTGCTTGATAAATATGTGTCTTAGATCCTAATTGCTACAATTTGAGAGCCTCCCATTACTAACCCTGAAAGGGCATCGGTCTAAGAATTCTTCTACCCGCAATAACCTAATCACAATGGCTCATGTTACAAACGACAAACTAATCGCACAGGATGGCTTCAACCTTTCATTCTTTAGGCATACCATTCACCTCCGAGCCAGCGGTTGAATAGGTTCAAAGAGCCCTCGGGCTGGTTGAACGGAACCATGTGGCCGGCCTGGTAAATGCGGGCAAACGTGAAGTTGCCGCTGCTCTTTACCTCACCGTACTTGTCGGTGGCGGTCTCGAGGTTCTCCATCTTGGCGGCGTTGAATCCCTTCTTGCCAGACCACTCTAGAGCCTCAGACCAAGCCTTGTTGCCAAGCCAGTTGCAGATGTAGTCGGCATCACCAGCATAGATCAGGACGGGGATCTGCTTGATGAGGTCGGGCACAAGACGGTGGAACGGCTTGGACCAGTCACCCTGGAACAAGAAGTTCCTGTTGATATCCGTGTTGCAGCTCTCGTAGTTGTGTACCTCAGCACCGACGGCCTTGATGACCTTCTCCTGGTTCAAGTACTGACTAATCCAAGCGGTCTCGGTGTAGCAGAGGTTTTCCTGGTCCTTGCACTTCTCGCGGATGTCGTATACGTTGTATCCGGTGCGCTGGAAGGGGCCAATCATAGCATTGTTGCAGTAGATGGCACTGGGGACACAAGACCAGACACTCTCCGAGTCGTAGCAGCCCGAGATAAGGGACTGGCAACGGGGAAGAGAGTTGTCCATAGATTGGCATTCGCTCTCGTCTAGCACTGCCTTGTAGCCACCCTCGCCACAGGCCATGGGGCGGTACTCAGCATATTGGGTGAAGGGGTCGGTCAAACCGTTGCCAATGGCAATGCTTTGCAGGTTGATGTTGCGGTTCTTATGAGACAAAATCTCGGACGCAAAGACGGGGATGTAGTGGCCGGCGTAAGATTCTCCAGCAATGTGGAACGGCTGCTCACTATATTCTGGGAAGTTGTGGAAGAACAGGGTCAAAAGAGCGTAGATGTCCTTGCTGGCGGCGACAGTGTTGTAGACGGGGTTGCTGCTGTAAGAGTAGCCGGTGTTGACGGGCTGGTCGATGAAAATGACGGAAGCATTGCTGTTCCACGAGTAATCATTGTACTTGAGGGTACCGTCCTTCTTGACGCTGGAAGGTCCCAGCTCCATGAAGAGTCCCATCATGGAAGAGCAACCGGGGCCGCCGTTGAGCCATAATACTACGGGGTCGGTCTTGGGGTTGTTTCGGGATTCGAAGAACCCTGGGTATGACAATTAGCAGATTATATGACGGAAATTAGGTATGCAGTATATATAAACTTACAGTAGAAGAGATGCTTGTCATCCGCCTCATCGTCAAGGTATCCACTAAATTGCTTGACCTTGTCTACACCGAGTTCGGACGGGTCGACCGACTTGGCTCGCAAGTTGTAGGCCTCAAGAGAGCCGCCAACCTTTCGGTGTTTGACACCGTCTGTCTCGACCCACATGTTTTGGATATCAGCGCCCTTGACCACATGGTCCCATTCGCTATCTGGTCGGCGTGAATGAGCCTTGGGATAGGAGATCATGTTGGAGGCCTTTTCGTAGAAACCAGGAACCAGAAGGCTCATTTCTTCCCAGAGACCCTTAGCAGCAGCAGGCATCTCTCCGAAAACACTGCTCAGGTGCTCCATGGGCTTCTTGAGGGCATCACCGGCACCACCCAGTACCTTTTGCTGGTCATGCGCAAGGGCAGCCGTAGAGGCGCCGAGCAGCAAGGCCGAGCTTGCTACTCTCATGATTGCAAAGACTATGGGTATTGACGATGACTGTGATGATGGTGATGATGATGGTGATAGTATTGATGGATTGGTTGGTTGGATGAAAGAAGGATTGGATAAGAAGTTGAAGAATGGATGGAATGTTGACGATGATACAAATAGAGAAGGAGAAGGTTGGGGGAGCTCTCCATAAGATATGGATGAGCGATGAAACGGGAAGGGAACAATACCCGACTGGCCACTGTCTAGCCAACCGTTAGCGTGCTTGGTGCCTTGAGGTGGTAGCCCCTTATCGCAAACCAGGGTAGCTTCCCATATGATGGATGTAGGGGGTAGCTCCACTATTGTTAGCAAGTGACCTGCTCGCCTTGCTTAATGCAGGACCCGATTACGCCAGCTGTGCCTTATGCGCTGCGTGTCGAGTGATAGATGGAGGGGGTCTTTTTATGATAAGCGTCATCGGTTCATAATTCCCCAGGCAAAGTCACACTTTAGTGTACTGATAGTACAGACTAAACTATAAGAAGCAAGTCATTTACTCAATTAGGTATCTGCTAAGTGCTGAAGTAGGTACATATGTAAGTATGCATATAGTGATATGCATGTAGTAACTAGTAGTTGATTCACGTCAATGCTACTAAGGTATCTTGTGATGTAAACTGTGCAATAGGAACTGAGTCAAAACTTCAAAAGAGGATAAGAATCAAAGGGATAAAATCCTTGGTCCCCCTGAGCTGTACCTGCGTCTCTCTCGTATGTGTACTAGCTAGCCCCAGAAATGCATTTGTCGGTAAGTAAAGTTGGGACTTCCAATGTCGGCATATTCCATCAATGATTGCACATGCTTTCACGCGCCCATTGCTGAGTCCCATGTTCCTTTTCTCCACGCCGAACCTTATTTTTATGTTTTGGGGAAACCACCCTTTTATGAATAATTGTGGAACCTACTAGTTATGTAGAACCTTACATAGTACTATACCCAATAGATACATAAACATAATTCTTAGTGTTAGTCAACTTTGCGACATCAGATTTTCGCATTCAGCGAAAACGAAATAACAACAACATCCCAAACTTTAAAAAAAAGTAGGATCAAAAAATGTCGAGACAAATAAATCAACCTGGTATGTTGGACAAGTGTTATACACCACACCAGACCCCTATGTCTTGCCGGATGCTAATATCTCGCAGTATGTAGACAGACAGAACCCCTCCATACCTACGTACTGTAGTATCCATCTGCCTCCCCGCAATCTTTGCGATAGCTTGCAAGAGAAGGAACTCATATATCTACCTATACATCTATGCATCTATCTATATGTATATATGTATATATATATATATATATATATTGCGCTGAAATATAGAATACCTATTAACCAACAAACTCCCAGTCCAACCAAATCCGGCTAACCAACGTCTCCCTCGTGCGGCTCAAAAAGGGCAAAAAGCGCTTCGAGATCGCCTGCTACAAGAACAAAGTCCTCGAATGGCGATCCGGCATCGAGACCGACCTCGACGAGGTCCTCCAGATCCCCAACGTCTTCCTCAACGTCTCCAAGGGCCAAACCGCCCCCTCCGCCGACCTCGCCAAGGCCTTCGGCAAGGACAAGCCGGTGCAGGAGATCATCCTCGAGATACTGAACAAGGGGGAGCTGCAGGTGGGGGAGAAGGAGCGCGCGGCGCAGCTGGACCGCGTGCACGCCGAGGTCATCAGCATCGTGGCGAGCAAGCTGGTGGACCCGCGCACGAAGCGCGTCTACACGACCGGCATGATCGACAAGGCGCTCGACATGCTGAGCTCGCAGGCGCATCAGCAGCAGCAGCAGCAAGGCAACGGCGACAACAATAAGAAGGGCGGCGCCGAGACGGGCAGCGGCACCGGGACGCCGGCGACGGGCGACGACGCGGAGGCGAAGCCGCGGACGAAAGACCACCTCTGGACAGGCGTGGTAACAACAAAAAGCGCAAAAAGTCAGGCCCTTGAAGCAATGAAGGCGCTGATCGCCCACCAGCCCATCCCCGTCACGCGGGCACGGATGCGCCTCAGGATAACTTGTTCCACGAACGTTCTGAAGCAGGCAGTGAAGGCAGCAGCGAAAGGTGGGGATGTGGAAGGAGGAGAGCAGAAAGCCCCTGGAACGGTCAAGGACAAGATCTTGAATTTCATCGAACAGGTAGATACCCAAGATGTTGTCGGGTCAGAGTGGGAGGTTGTAGGGTTCGTTGAGCCAGGTGCTTTCAAGGGCCTATCCGATTTTGTGGGCAACGAAACGAAAGGCCAAGGGCGAGTAGAGGTTCTCGACATGGCAGTCATGCATGAAGATTAAAAACATCCTTCCTAGAGAGCATGCGTATTATAGATTATGATATTAATGACAAAGCACGACGGTTTGGTGGCATTATATATACTGGCATAGGGATTTCAGTGGCATAGAGGGAAACATAGCACGGATTAGGCTTAAGAGAAACTACAATGACAAAATATCACTTATGCATCCGTGGGTATAATTGGACCATGTTCACTCAGAAGCAGTTTGGAGTGTTGGCCACTGATGTCTCGATTTATCTTCTCAGAGTACACCCATGACTTTGTCGTAACCGATGAGAAAAGCCCCCAAATTCGCGAAGCATATGAGTAATAACGTCAATGCAGTAATTTCAGTCCAGCCATCACGCCTTTCCATCCGCAATGAATGATCTGAACCAATGAAACCATGCCCTTTTCCACCGATTTGTTTAACCACCCTTCTTCTTGGAGACACCGACAGTCCGGCCACGACGACCGGTCGTCTTGGTGTGTTGACCGCGGACACGGAGACCCCAGTAGTGTCGGAGACCACGGTGGGCACGGATCTTCTTCAGGCGCTCAAGATCTTCACGGAGCTTGGAGTCGACACCGTTGGCCAAGACCTGGGAGCTCTTGCCATCGGTGATATCACGCTGTCTGTTGAGGAACCAGGCAGGGATCTTGTAGGCGGTAGGGTTCTGGAGAATGGTGACGATTCGCTCGAGTTCTTCCGAGGTAAGTTCACCGGCACTGTATTGGTATTGTATTAGTCTTCCACTCGTATCATATCGCTGGATATAATCTAAATCCATACCGTTTGTTTAGATCAACGTCGGCCTTCTTGCAGACCAAGTTGGAGTATCGTCGTCCAACACCCTTAATTCGGGTCATGGCGTACATAACCTTCTCCTTGCCATCGACGTTCGTGTTGAGGAGACGCAAGATCTGTTGTGGTTCTAGTTAGACAAGGCAGTTCCAAATACTGATATTGAATATCGATATGAAAGTTGAACTGAGGATCAACATAGTTTTTGATTGGGAAGCGGGATGGTGATGCGACAACAGCAAATTAAATAAGATGGATGAATATCAATGGGGATTTACTTACGAACTGGAAGTTCGTCTTCTCTCCTGAGACGAGCGACATGATGGGCAACTGTTTTGTGTTGGTGTTGCCTTGGTGTCGTTCAGAGTATCAGAATGTTGTATCGCGAGTTTGAGAGAAGTTGAAAGATTGAAGCAGTTGACTTTTCTGGTAGGCTCGCTTAATTAGGGTACGGTTGGAAAAAAATTACTAAATTATTAAAAGAGGGGCCATTGATTTGTGCACCCGGAAAATCCAACTGTGTGATCGGAAATTCCTAGCCTCCGAAGCTTACCTAAGGTAGGTTAGTAATAGTGCACGGACCATCTATACGATCCACCCTCAGAAATGAAAGAAATTTTGAATGCGCCAAACTTTTTGAAAGTTTCTTCTTGTAACATTCTTTTTTACACCTTTGAGTCGCAGACATGGAAACATGCAGCGATGAAAATGTCCCCTTGCCTATGTAACATGACTGTTCTATATGGCCGTTTTGCAGCCGGTCACTGACTGCAGGCCATGGAATGGTCGCAATGGATAATTCAACTCGTCTGCGAACTGTCTCCTAAGATATGAAGTCAACATTATCAAGACCAGTCAGGCCTTACTGAGGGTTCAGCGTGGTTAGGCTTATGTCCTGGATATCTTCACGGTAAGCACTGTTTCCCGTTAGTGTTGAGGAGTGCTTCTTCGACATGGATTCTTTTCAGCATTAGCACTCTCAACCACTACATACATAGGCGGAGAAACGGGTCGGATATCACATGCGGCCTATGAGGAACAATCTTACACAGTCTATGAGGATATTCTCCTATGAGTTATCACACACTGAAAATTCTGAGGCCTTCACACAATCTTTGATAGATACCAGAAGTACCAATATTATACCCGAATATTTATACACAAGTTGCAACCAAAATGCGTAGTGATTTTCACTTCCGCTGTCCAGTACGCCCTACTCCCATTGACTTATCTCGTCAAAATGTCGTTCGAATCCGAGCCCATCATATTACATTCGTTCTGTCGTCGTCCTCGTCAGCTTGCTTCGATTACTTAGATTTATGCGATTCCTGCCATTAAAATCCCCTAAATATTCATCCCATCTCAGCCCGATGATCCACGTTTGTTATCTCGGGGTGGCTTGTGGTGACTGAACCGATGATGTGTCTCTGTTGGACTAGAAGAAAGAGCTGTGTGATTGCGGTCTACACTGGCATTCCTCGAAGTGCTCGGGCTAATGCCACTCATGCTACTCCGACCACCGTGGCTCGACTTCCTCCTTCTCCCGAAATTCCACTCGAAAGCGCCCAAGATCTTCTGGTGCTCTAGGTTTTGCGGGGTAAATGGCTTGTTCAAATGGTAACACTCATCCCGCTGCTGCTCGGCTGTCTTTTTTGCCTTGGGTGATTTGAAGCCTCCGGTCAGACTTCGTAGCAGGCGGAACTGCGATTTGCTAGAATCTTGTGTTTCGAAGTCACTGGGTGTCGAGGCACCGTTCGTGCGGTTCCCGCTAGAGCTCGCGGTAGACTGCTTCCTACTCGTGGGAAACGTCCATCTCCCTAATGCCATTATGATACGTATAGAAATGGATCGGTCCTCTTAGAGTTTATGTTATGTTGTATTTGATGTATAGAAGCCTAGTTTCGTTGGAGCTATAATTAAGTATGTATAGGTAGGGCTAATGGGGGCCGACTTGACTCTAAGGTAAGAAGATATTAATCTGGGTATGTATAAGTAGGACTTCGGAATAGACTAAGGTTAGGTAAGTAAGTAAAGGTCCATGTGGATAAACGGAAGCTCGATAACATGAATATCACAGAAGCGGTTCTTGAATGGTTCGATGGTGGTGGCACCCACCATTTTATCACATCACAATTGGCTCTGTTTCTATACTACCTATGTATGCATTTGTCTACCTACCTTACCTAGTGTAACGATTAGTACTACTAAGGCATTGAAAGTAGGTACATGCTAATATGTAAGTAAGTAAGTTGAAATGGGTTCTCAATGTTCCCGCGGGGTCGCCGGTTGGCCAGGTTTTCGTCTTGCACATATTGTATGCGTGACCCCACGACGTCATCTCCACCTCCTCTCTGTACTAGGTAAAGGTAGGTAATACTACTAGCATGTATGTACTTGATCGAGAAGAAAAGCCAACCACAGTTTTACTCCTTGTCTCTGTTCTGTAGCCGCTAGAGCAAGTTAGCACTGTTCCGCTGATGATGGTGGGGGGGGTCTAGAATCTTGTTCTTGTGAGGCAGCAAGTCCATGCCTATAGATAATAGGTGCTCCTTTGTTATATAACCCCCCCAGCATTTACCCCAAGGTCTCTAGTGTAGTTGTCCTAGTAGGTAATAGTTAGTTGCAGCTCGTATACATGGCGAGTAGGTGATGTACATAATAATATCTACATACATGGCTATTGATGTACAGCCCTTGCCTACCTAGGGATGGGTGTAAATGTCTCGGTGGCTACCGTCGGTCGGTGGCAAACTTTGAGCGAACATCGCACCGTCTAGAATACACTACTATGTAACTACCTACACTACCTAGCACAAAGGTTGGTAAACGTAGTAGCTATAGCCGAGCGAGCCGATCTTTCTATGTGTAATATTGCTTCGGTAGTTTTAGTAGGTTATACACTACATAGTAATAGTGTATGCTATTGTAATTGTCATTTATCTTTGTTATGTGAGTTGCGGTTGATGAGGCATTAGCTATTATGTAGCAGTCCCTTCTCTCTCTCATGCTAATCTTTCTACCCATGTAATTCTATCTAAGGTAGGTAGGCACACGAGAATATCTAGGTACATGTTCTAGCTAAATACATTCTTCTTAATATTTTTTCTCAATTTTGTTTATTTTTAAATTCTTGATATTAGGTACTAGGCAATATGTAGGTAGATAGTAGGTAGTAGGTATCGTAGGAAAACAAAAAGATGCATGATATGGGTGTGATATGATATGCTCTAGAGTCTAAAATAAACAAGAGATCATGCCTAACCTACCCACCCACATACAACATACCTAGGTATCCAGTCATTTCAACCCCATCCGCTGTCATCTTTATCTTCGTCTTCGTCCTCTTCGTTGTAGTTGTAGTTGTTGTTGTTGTTATGGTCGTGGTTATCGTTTGTAAATAATGTCGACTTTCTTCCTAACGGACGACTCTCTCTCATCCCCACCGCATTAATGCTCATGCAAATATCGATCGATGCTCATTCATTAGGTATCCTTTTCGTGAAACCCTATATTGTGTGTGTGTGTTTGATTTTTGATGTTGTTTAATGTTTATTCGTTGTAGTCCAAACCCTCCTCTGTTCGTCCATTATAGCTTCTCCTTGACGGGGCCGGGATTGATAAGATCCCCGTTATCGTCCACCTCGACCACGCACAGAGTGAACGTGTCCTTGAGCGCGCCGAGGCGGTATTCGTGGTTGACCTTTTGGTAGTTTCTGCTGGAAGTCATGGCAGCGAAATGTTGGATGGAAGGGTAGTGCACGAAGGAGATCTCGTCCCACCCGTCCCCTTGGGCTTGTCCGCCCGTGACCCTCCCGACAAGCTTGACGCGTCCGCCGTGTCGGGCGCCGACCTCGGACGCGAACGCCTTGTGGTACTGCTTGTACTGGTCCTTCTTTCCCGGGCGGAAGGCGAGCAGGTTTAGCATGGAGATAGGGTGCTCGCGTAAGGGGCGGGGCAGCGAGGCGATCCAGCCGCTCAGCTCGAGGCTCACTTCGAGGTTTTGGGGCGGGCTCGACGACGAAAAAGACGACGAGGACGAGGACGACGGCATGGACGGCTCGTCGGCGTGGAGCTCCGGTGGGATCACCGTTCCGAGTGGTGGGTGCATGAGCTCCGTGTTGGTAGCTGCGTAGCCCGACAGCGATTTGTCCGAGACAACGCACATGGCGCTCCAGACGGCCTCGATGTCCGGATGGGTCTCCTGTGGGAAAGAGGTCTTGCCCTCGAGGATCAGAAGGAGGTCCCAGCTGATGTTCCTGCCTAAGAGATGCCCCGAAGACATCTGCGAAGGCAGGATCATCCACCGCACGACCCGCGCCTGAATGACGGGGTTAACGCCATTCCGTCGGAGCTTGCCGAGGAATGAACGGTGCGAGATGCCGTGCTTAAGGGAGACTATGTGTAAATTGCAGAGTACCATATTGTCTGACTGACTACCTTACTGTGTAGTAATGTAGTACCTATGTGTTGACTCTCTGGTACGGTAAAGATGTATAAGATGTATAGAAAGGTCCCCTCTCTTTCTCTTCAACGTGTTTCCTAATCTCGAACTGATCGACTCCAGATGTGATGGATATTTGAGGTGACGGTTCGTTGGGCATTTATGGCGGGTGAATAAAGTAGTTAGGTAGGTATAAAGTGTATATATGGTTATATGTAGGAGGTTAGAGAGTATATATTAGTATTAATGTAAGTTATAACCAGAGAAGAAGCAAAAATTGATGTTCTTTAGTTGATAGGATAGGCTACCTAAGGTAAGGTCGGTGAGGACTTTCAATGGTCAAGCTCCCAATCGGCCGAGGTTGGCCGAAAAGGGTAACCAGCTGTACCCCACTCCCCGTACTACATGTACGTACTGTTCTAACTTTTTGGTATTAACGCAATTACAGTGTACATATGTAGTATCTCCCCTGCTTCAATATTCCTAGGGTATATGTAGATCTACAGGGGTACTAGATGAATACATATCCATGATGGATCCATGTTGCAACTAAACTACAACTTGAACTTAAACCTAGGTCCTATTATTTAAGTACCTATAGTTATAATACTACATAATCAGTATGGGGTATCTAAATATATGTATTTCTCTCTCATTCATTCATCACTCACAACTCTCCTCACCCTTCCCTTCCCCTACACAGCCACATTAACCTCCTCCTGATCCTGCTTCTGCTTCTGCTTCACAATCGACACCTCCGGCGCCACCACCTCCTGGAACGAAGCAAAAGACCCCAGCTGGATGTTCAAAAACGCATTGTTATTAGACTGGTAAAACCCGCAGTCCTGGAGGAACGATCCCGTGCTCTCGACAAACAGATTGTCCTGGTTCGGCAGGATGATGGCCGCCGGGTCCGCGAACACGAGGTCGATGGCCGGCGCCTGGGCGCCGATCGGCAGGATCAGGCTCTCGTTGCTGTTGGCTTTGCCGTAGGGCGCGGCCGGGTCCGCGTCGACGATGGCGGCGGGGGCTCCGGTGGCCTGGGACACGACGGCGGTTGCGCCGGCGACGCCGGCGAGGTCTACGGTTTGCGAGGCCCCGATCGTCATTGTTTGCGCGTCGGAGACCATGACCATGACTTGGTTGTCGGGCTTGCCGTTGTCGACGAGGAGCTGGTTCACCATGTATCTGTTCCCCTTGTCCTGCCCCGCGCGGCTGTCGACTAGAGTCGAGACTGTGACGATCACGACGTTCTATGGGTAGGTAGGTGTAATGGTTAGTTCTATCTCCAAGTCTATCGTAGTTTGGTACGGTGATATCGACTTACCACTTGTGAGAAACGGGCCTTGAAATGGTTGACTCGGATGTTATTCTTAACCGCTTCCAGCTGGGTGATGAGAGCGACCTCTGCCTGCACGAGCTGAGCAAACTGTTGCTCGGCCAGTCTCTGCAGTGCATCTAGCTCTGCTTGGTTGTCTTGGACGATGATGATGTTGGTCTCTTGCACGATCTGCTGGATAGTAAGTGGAGCCCGCTTAGGCTTCCACTTCAACCCCCGTCTCGATGCCGGTGTGAGAGACCTGTCTGTGGGAACTAGGGGTGGGTTGTCAGTACCGGATAGCCTCCACATATGGAATCGAGGTTCAAGTACCTGAGGCAACGAGTGATGATAGACCCAGAAGGGCGGTACAAGCATACGTGAAATACATGATTGAACGGGTTGGCTTTCCAGAAGCAAGAATGAACGGATAAGAAAGCCTATCAAAGGACTGTAATAAACTGATAGTTAATTAAAGAATGGAACAAATAAGACTGCCACTAGGGCATCGCACAGCGAAGAGAAGAGAAGAGAAAAAAAGGAGGGAAATATGGATGATCTACCAGAAATACGATCATACAACTAATCATAAGGTGATCACTACCTGCACGAAGATCATTCTCTGCCTAGGTATATATACTCTACACCCGTTCTTCCCAGACGGCGATCCAACAACAAGCCATGGTATCTGTCGATGATGATTGCCATGATTGCCATGATTCTCATGATTCTCATGATCCCCTTCTTGCCCCTTCGGATGGTTGGCCATCCGGCAAATCCTCAAAGCGTCAAGGGTAGTCAAGTCACCCCCCCCCCCCCTTGTTTCCAAGTGCAGTTGGTCATAGTCTGATTCGCCTGGAGCCGGGAATGCGGCTCTGGCTTATCAAGGCGAAAGACAAGCTTCTGGTCCAGGCGTGGGTTGATGTCCTCCCGGGATCTCATCACCAAAAGAACCGAGAGCCTAGCCTAGGACACTAGGCACCTGCATGCATGTATGTACATAGCTATCCCATCGTTACCCCGTAACCATGCACAGCCTCATCCGAATCTCATGTATTAGCGATTCACTTCATGGAGGGTTTAGACGTTTGAAAGGGACTAGCGATGACAGGCACTTGAAGTGCATTTCCCGGCTTATATTCAGTCGGGGGCCAATCAGGAGATAGGATGGCTCCCCTGTCTAGCGCAGACATGCAAATGTCCCCGGCATGGCACAGGGCTGTTCGAGACCCAGGCGAAACATGACTCGTCTTGAAAAGAATCTTACATATCAAGGTGTGCCATCACTGCCATGTAACCCAAGCCGGTAAATGGGCATGTCGTGAATTGTTATAACTTACATATCATGCAACATTATCATTATAGACTACCTAAACTTCAATTATGGCAAGCCTATCTATCAGTCATCTATCATCCATCACCATCTTCTTTAACTCAGCACCCTCTTTCTTGATTTGAAAATGAACGTTTACGAAGTACAATAGGTATCTAATCACGACGTGAAAGGTTTCTAGATTAAAAGAATAGGTAAGACATTGGCTACCTAAATCTAAGGGTATCTCGGTACACCTAGTACACGGTGTCCATTGCAGACACATTTCGTAGTCATCGCACACTTGAACCCCCTTTTTGTTTGCTTGTAAAGCATCAGCGTCCGCGTGGGCGTTGGTATTTGACCTTCGGAAATTCAAGTGGTAAGGCCAAGAGTGCCATTTGTGCGTGTGTGCCCTGCTCTGTGCCTTTGACTGTCTTGACCTTGCCACCAATTTCGCGGAAGTACTGAGCGAATTGCTTCTCATCCAGGCCCAGATCAAATCGGATAAAGCTTGTATCAAAACTGTAGTTCGACAAGATGGCTGCAAGCGCACAGCAGTACGTATAGCCCAAGTCGATATGGAACTTTCGCATCTCTCCGTTCAAAGAGAATTTACGTCTGATATTCTCAATAACCGGCTCTGGAGCTGGTTTCAACTCTTCTCTTAGCTTGTCTCGCGGTAGCACTCGTTTTGTGCCTCTCTCCTTTCCTGGCTTGGCAGTTTTGAGGAACTTAAAGAGGAGCTCTAGATATCGGAGAGCTCGTAGTCTTTGCGTTGGGTTTGGCCCTTCAGCAATGGCTACCAATCGGTTGGAGATGAAGGCAGTCTTTGTCTGCTTGTTCGTTTTCTGTTTGATCTGCTCTTGCCAGTCTCTGATTGGGATGGCATTCAACACATCACTTCCAATAAGGCCTTCCAACGTGTACACATCCTGGATCTCCTCGGCGTCGAAATTGCCAGGGGGCACTGGTTTTGCTGCATCGGCTACTGCCTGGAGATCCTCTTTAGAAGCCATTCCTGCCGTGACCTCGTTTATGGACTCCATGAGCGCCATTGAAGAGGAGCTGAGCTTCGATGGGTTGCCGCCAGCATCAGTGATCGCCTTTTCGGGAGCAATGGCATTTTCGGTGATTGCGGCGAGAGCTTTCTTAGCCTTCTTGGTTCCGAATGCTTCGCCGAGGTTGGTTCGGAGTTCATACATTGTCTATAAGATAGTTAGATATCTCTTGAAACAAAGCCAGAAAGAATATTTATTTACCTTGGAAGCTTGTTTCTCTGCATCATCTTCTTCGGGAGCTGTTTGTGCCCGAACCACACCTCGGACTGCCATCTTCTTAGCTTCCATCACCGCTAACTGTCCTGTCTTCGGATCGAAGACTCCGACATAATGCTTTAGGTGAGATTCTCGCCCGCCCGGGCCCTCCTCTTTGGCTGTATAGTCTAATTTACTGTGTGAAGTTGAGTGCAAGAGGAGATTGGGTGTATGGGAATCGGCTTTCTTGCTGCGCCTAGATCCCGTAGACTGCGAATTGGTATATGCTTGGAATTTGACTGAATTGGGAATGCAAAGGCCTGATGAGGTTGCTATGAAGGGTTAAGGTCAGCATAAATGAGATGTAGATAATCCAAAATGTGTCATACCTATCACTGGAGGACAACTCTTTGCTGTGTGGACTGAAGAAACCTTTACAGTGCTGGGCTGTGGGCGTTGCGTGCGTTGTTGTGTCGGTTGGGGAGTTTGTATGGCTACCTTCTTATTTGGCCTTGGACCAGCATCCTCGACTCTCTTTCTTTTCTTTTCCTTGTGTTCCGCCATGGTGATATCTCAATAATTGTGAAAAATCAAAAGATGAATGAGCGAGACTTTAGCGATGTTGTACTTGTCGGAAGTAATTTTTGGAGAGATAGAAATTAGTTGTAGGGTGATTGACGAGTTTGCGAAGAAAAAAAAAGCTGAGATGAATTCTGCCACTACCGTAATTGAGTTTAGTAAGGGAATTAGGTAGGCGGTGAAGAAGCATGCATGTATTGTAACCTTATGTAAGTAAGTACAAATTACATACTGTACCTATCCAACATTGAACATTGAAGTTCGTCATGTATGTAGCCGCAAACGGATCGGTTGAGATTTGGAAATTGTTAAAGTTAAAACATTCCATATATAACTACCTCCATAGTATTTAATACAATCACTATCAACACTCACGATATCTTACATAGTACTGTAAATATGAAGATTCATGGAATGTAATCTCGACATATCATTGGACATCAATGCAATTTGTGGATCTTTTGCTTATGTACTGCGTAGTACCTAGTAGATAACTACGTACTAGGGTAACTGTGTACATACCGTAGCATAGGCCATGGCTCGATGCAAAAAGCCGGACCTTTCCAAGTCATCAAATTCTAAGGGTCAAGAAGAGGGGCAAGCTCTCGAGACCAATACGACGTCATCGACAATTATTTGCATGAAGACAGTATTAAAGCTTCGCGCAATCTTACTGTAAGCACATGCACTTGAGGGGAACATCATTATATGGGACCAGATCTCGTAAATCGATTGACTAGCAAGTTGATCTTATTTCTTGAGCAATGATCATGAACGTATGCAGATATTCTGCTTCTTATTCCGCGATGCATAAACACATAAGGTGGTCCACTCGATAGTGAATTGACCAGCCATCCTCCTGTCCAGCTCTATGCCGTCATATTGCTTAACCTCCACAGCCCCAGTTCTCCCAATGATGTATTCCATGGTGCCTTGTAAGTAGGCATTGTACTTGACTTGTGGAATACTCAAGAGTAGTCACGTGCTGAATGCTGGATGATGTGTCGGTTGCAGTTGTTGGTTGCCATGATGCGATTTGGTCTGGCGGAGAGGTGCCGAGATCGAGTAGGGTTGATGTGTTTACTTGCTATAGTGGGGGAAATTTCAATTAGCATCAAGCTGTTGATGAAATGAATAGAGAATATGGGTGCGATTTAACATACCTGCGAGCTCTCATCTTTCTTCTCTTGCGCTTGAGGCGGCGAACTCTCTTCTTTCTCCACTTGGCTCTCATCTTGGCGACTTCTACTTCTTTATGTTAGCTCTTCGAGTCATTTGCCAATGATGAGGGAAGTGTGTTTAAGGAGGGGTAGTGGGTAGGATATATTATGACGATGGCGGGGAATGAAGCTGTGCGGATTGATTTTGCGAATTGGAAAATTAATGCGCGCAAGCAATGATGAGGCAAAAGCTTCAATCAATGCTTCTGGCATTCATATTGTGACCCTTAATAGGGCATTGGGTAGTTTGGGGGTGCGGAATATACTCACAGGTTGCTGTCGATGAGTTGCTTTGTTGATGAAGCTGAGGAGAAAGAAAAGAAATTCTAAGAGTGGCACGAAATGAATGAAGTAGCCGTTGGAAATTACGTTAGGGTTGTGATCGGCTGTTCTTCGGGTGCAAATAACTACAATGGGGGGTTACGAGTCTGCCACCTTAGGCCACCTGCCAGGCTGCTTCTTGACCTACCCTAAGGTACTCGGCATAGTTGTTAGGTAATAAAAACTGTTGTTTGCTCGCTTGCTCCTTCCTCATCTATGATTGCTTCTATAATAGGGCAATCTCTTGATTATTTTATTTTATTTTACTGCTTTTTACTAAATAACTAGGTATGTACTACCAGTCATAGGTACTACCTACTAGGTAGTCGCCATGTAATGAATACTCCTTCCAAGAATAACAGATATGGGCAATGGGCATACATAATGAAGAATCTTGGAAGGTACTATGTAGGTACGGTTGGGTTGACTTGTCTTTCACTTTGAAATCAGAATTCTATAATACCTAAAACTTTGTAACCTCTTTCTTTTCTTCAGGTTGGTTTCATTATTGAACTCGATTCAAATTGAGTCAAATCTATAGGTATGCACAAACTTCAATGTTGTGCTTCTAGTATATCATTATCCCAAACATCCTAGGTACCTACTACCTATTCCAGCAGAAACTCGGTTACTAGTAACTTACTACTCGACACAACTATGTTTGATATTCATCCTTCCTCTATCGTCACTCCAGCATTGTGTGTCCACTATGGCCCATCAAATCGCGCAGATATCATGCTGGGTCGATGTGGACCAACCAGAAGGTTCTAACCCGCCAGGTATGCCTTGGTTGTTTCGCCTATCAATTGTATCACTTCAAGGTCATGCGGTGTCTAATTATTACATTCAAAAGGCTTCTCTGTGAATGCCTCACCAGGAGACAAAGCGAGCCGCCGCAACTCGCAGCAATTCATAGACTTCCCCTTATTCGTAGGGAAAGTTGTATCTGTTGGACGTGACCATCATGAAAAGTATGTTATAGTTCTACCACTAACCTTTGTCTTCTTCTTCGCTACTAACAACTTGTAAGTGATATCTCAATAAACCATCCTTATATCTCAAGGAAACACTTGGTCATATATTCAGTCGTCTATGACCCAGAAGATACCCAGAATCAGCCACCCCTGCTATACGTTCGGGACTGCCAGTCTCTTGGAGGTACCTACGTGGATGAAAAATGCATTGGCAAAAGAGAAAACGGCATTTCATCAGGCTTCTATCTCAGCCGAGATGTCGTGATAACTATCAAGCCTTACTGGAAATTTCGGGTATCTCTTCTGCAAGACACTGAGTTCAAAACTCCGTTGACTGCAATTCAACTGAAGGAATCTAGTGTAGGCTTGCAAGAACCATATTGTTATGACGTAAATCAAACTAATCGTAGACATGTGTAGCTTTTTAGTGACCGATACATAATTACCAACCGAGTTCTAGGTAGTGGGGCCTACGCCTCAGTTCATCTAGCTGTTGATGCAAAGACGGGAAAACAACTGGCCTGTAAAATCCATGACTTTGATCGTCTTAGACGATTTCCTCATGCGCAAGACCTTATACGACATGTTATACATGAAACTGATCTACTTGGGAAGCTGAGGCATGTAGGTGTCAACCTGTTTCTATACTCCTTCAATGTTCCAATATCAAAAAGCTAACGTGGGCATTAGTATAACCTCCCTACATTCGAATACGCTTTTCGTTCAAAGCATAGTCTCTACACCTTTTCTGAACTGGCGACTGGCGGTGATCTCTTTTCCATGCGCGCAGTCCATGGAGCCTTTTTAGAGAAGAACTGCAAATTTATCATCCAGCAGATCGTGAATGCTGTACGCTATCTCCACAAAGGAAGCGTTGCACATCGTGACTTAAAGCCAGAAAATATATTCTTTGCTACAGGACCAGACATAAAAAGCCGAGTTATTGTAGGCGACTTGGGTTTCGCAAGATCCACAGCTTCGGGTCGTATGGCTAGCCGGGTAGGGACGAATGAGTACATGGCCCCGTCAGTCAGATCATCACCCACCCATCATGTTAAGCTTCTGCTAACTGTTCTTGCAGAGAGATTGAACTTAGCTATGTACATGATATAGCTGTTGATATGTGGTCTCTTGGCATGATCGCCTTGTTTCTGTTAATACCCGTTGGCAAGTTTGCGCCTAGCAGCCGTGTTAGGGTAAGCCAAGTAGCGATTGACCAATGGCTTAACATTGTCTTCGAAGACTTGCCTCATCAAAGGTTAAGCACACCTTGCCGGGATTTCATTCGGTCTTGCTTGATGTTTGAGCCTGAGAGCAGGCTAAAAGCAGCAGAAGCGAAACGTCATCCTTGGTTTCGTCAAGAGCCGGATAGAGGAGAATTCAAAGTCCTCGTCCAGGAAACCGTTGAGGCATGGAGGCCGTCTCATATAATTACACCTCCGGTACAAGAACTTCCAGATATGATGATTACTGACACGCGACTAGGGCAGCGAGACGGTAGTACTGGCCACTCGACCGCCTCAACGAGGCCAAATAAGAGAGGGCACGAATGCATTGATTCAGGCGAGAAGGATTACGAAAAGTCTCGTCACTTTGCCATAGCAGATATAAATACAGCCAAGCGATTCAAAAATTCCACATTGATTTGTGAATGCCCCTCCGCCGCCGCCCAAAACAACATCGCTCGCGCAGGTTTGGACGAAAACATAGGTACGGTTTTATTGAGTCCTGGCCCAGTTATTCAATAAGAAATATGTCAATCACTAGGTAAATATGAATTATGAATGGTGCTTAAACTCGTTGTGCTGATGTACAGATTAAGGGGCATTCTTGTACAACTTGGGAAAAAAACCGAACAATCAAGTAACTGGCCATAAATCTCGCTCAAACTAAAATAAACTCACAGATTAGATTATGTTGTTCATCACGTATAAATGCTTTGTGCTCAAGAAGAGTCATTACTTACAACGTCCCGCAACAAAGTCCTTGTTCTAGTTCTTCAATTGTTGTCCTCGAACCGCTTTCAGCCAGTAATAGATAAAAGGGGGTGTGTGCATACCCATGTTTTCATTGAATGTCTAGAATAAACAAAACAGTCTTTTTTACAGTCTTAACTGTCTCTATTTGGCAGTAACCTACTTAGTAAACAAAGAAAAAATGTCGCCATCTCGATATCAACAGGATTCTAGCAATCCCCCAACCGCGCGCAATACACCCAGCAGAATCAGTGCTCTCAGTCAAATCAAGAGAGAGCGGGAAAAGAAGTTGTCTGCGCGAAATCGAGGCTGGGCCACAGAGGCGCCCAGACCGGAAACTACTACTACTACTAGGAGTCGTGCGGGCACAAAGGGAGCAGAAGGGGAAGGGAGAATATCTGCTGATTACTTCAGAGACGAAGTCACCGGCCGCGCCCTAGCCTATGACGGCGACTCGTGCCTGCGGTGCATAGAAAAGGGGCTGCGGTGCACCCTCAACTACGCCGGCGTCGAGGGCGAGGACAAGTGCAGCGCGTGCCGGCGAGCCACAACGAACCCGTCGCCGCGATGCATCCGGCAGCTCGCGCCGAGCCGGCGCACGCCCTTCCGCGGCAAAGAGCCCTGGCAGAACCCGAACTTCTTCTGCCTCGGCGACCCGCAGCCCAGCAAGCTCGAGATGCAAGAGATCCTGCGCACGCACTTCCTCGGCGGGGAAGAGGCGGCAACCCCCACGTACCGCCACGGGACGTACGCGCGCGACGCCGACCGCAGGGCGCAGGTGCTGCCGCCGTTCAACGGCACGGACATGCCGCTCGCGCAGCGGCCCGCGAACTGGAAGACGGCGGACTGGCGCACGGCGCTACCGGCGTGGAAGAATCGGAGCTTGCACGCGCGCCCGATCTTGCTGGATCGCGAGAACGGCGCGAGGCCGGCGAACGCAGAGGAGATAAGGCAGAACGCGCCCGAGTTCGTCAGCGAGGATGCGACGAACTATATGAGGGTGGTACGGAGGTATGTTGCGAGGAATGCGCATCTGAATGAGTACATGAGGGATGTTAATGAGACTTTTTAGGCTGGTTGATACGTAGGTGCCCAGGTACCTGGATTCTAAGAGCGGCTTATTTGTGGGGGGGTAAATAAATAGGGGGGTGGGGGTGGGGGTGAGGGTGAGGAAGTTGTGCTTATTTAATAATGGGGCTTATAACTGATTGTATATGTTTAATGTAATGTAATATCATATTATTACAGTATATGTTTTAATGTTGGATACCTAATTGAAGCGTTTCTTCTTAATTTTTCGTCAGAGTGTTATTTGTGTCTAAGCACAGGTCAAGGAAGAGTACCGGTAGTTGAGTGGCAAAACTTTGGGATGTTCCTTTTGTTGTTCCAGGCTGCTTTTGGCCTCAGCTAACTAAGCCATGTAGTTTCAATCATGCAATGCGATTTAGCTACGTTTGTGGAGGCAATACCTACTTGAATATTATCAGTTATGTTGAACGTGTGTATGGTGATCGTACCATTGATCTCAAGTCAATATCTCGAGTTCACGCACGTAGGAAGTTAGACAACTAGGTTACTAGGTTAGGTACGTACGTACGTACGTTTGAAGTGTCCGAGTTGCCAGTTGAAGGTCTATCTATCCTATACATATAGAGTACCTCCCTACCCAGTAAGCACCTAGTCATTGGTATTTTAACCCAACCTCGGGCATCTTAATCTGGTGCGAGGGTGCGGTCGTGAACGAGCATTTCCCAGTCCCATCCTTCATTTCCACCACACCCCACTGAACTGGCAGTAGGAACCCATCCTCTCGGTCCTCGTCTAGGACATGGCAAGCAGTGCTGATTGCCATGCTGTTAGTGGAGACCATGCTCATAGTGCCGTCGTATTTACGGAACCCGATCACTACAATGAAGATAACGATGAAAGTTCCCATAATCAAAGCTAATAAGTATCATAGGTTAGAAAACACAAGAGTGAGTTAAAAGCTGGGGATGAAGGGTATTTCTAGTTTGTAAGAAAAGGGGGGGGGGAAGCTTACTGATGATAACCGAGATGGGGCTATAGCCACAGGTGGAAAAGGAATTGGCTCGATCAACTTGCCCGCTGGGACATGCCTCCCGGGAACCATCTCCGCATATCGCCGTTATCCGAGCCAAGAACAGGCTTTCGGCCACCAGCCAGTGCAACAAAATGGAGCTGGCATACAGCGGTATCCCATAGCGAAGCGGCAGGGAGATGAAGTAGCTGGACCGTTGAATCCCTATCGGCTCCGAGACCCGAAGCGGCTTTCGCTGCCGCCGATACATCCGACTGAACTCGCGCTGGACGAGAAACGTGCTCAGCATGGTGTTGTATAGTATGTAAAGAATAGATAGCACGAGTTGCGGTAAGTTGGCCAAGAGGACGTTCAGGATCAAGCCTGCGGGGTCTTTGCGTGGTAGGCCGATGACGAGATAGGTGTATGGCGTGACGGCGCCGAAGCCCAGCTGCCAGAGACTTGATATGGCCGTGGAGAAACGTCGATGGCGGAGACATACGAAGGACATCCCTAGTAGGACTGAGGCTATCAATATCGTGAGACAGCAACTAGAGATAGGTGGGTAGGTAGGTGTTTAGGTTAGCTTGCAAAGGCTATAAAATAGCGACAAGTCGACTGTTAGGTATATATAAGCAGGGAGCTCTCGTACTTACAAAACTAACAAGATAACCCATCGCCAAATACTAGCAGCCTCGAACCAAGTCCTTTGCCTCCCCTCCCACTCGCGCGGTTCCCTGTTCAGAACCAGCGGTAGTTTCACGAGACGGGCACTCCACGGCCGCCGGCGTACGAAGTCGTCTTTTCCAGAAAGCCCCATGTCGGCGGTAGTAGCGTCCGGCCTCCGCATGAAAGAGGCGATGGCGTCGCCGAGCGTACACAGGATCTCCTTCTCTGCATCCCCGCGCTGCGGGTTCTGCCACCTCCGCGTGACCCAGATGCAGAGCATGACACTCGCCTTGAAGAAGTTCAGCGCGCACACGGCGGCCATGAGGTACGGCGAGAACTCGAAGCGGCAGTCGTTCGTGATCGTGTCGGGGGATTGGACGCGGCAGTGCGAGACGGCGTATTTTCTCGGCCCGAGGAACCACGTCGTCACCGGGAGATCCGGGGACTTCGCTACGAACACGTTGCTACTCCCGTTCCCGAGCGCCCACATGTTCTTCGCCCAGTCGTCTAGCCGCGGCACGATCGAGACGTACATCAGCAGGCTGTCGGCCTCCGGGTCCGTGGTGTCGTTGCTCACAAATATGACGCCGTTGCCCTGCGGGGTGAAGTAGTCGTTGTACAGCGCGAAACAAGCAGACACGTTCAGCTCCTCCCACGTGTCGCTCAGCACGCTATCCTGCATGCTCTGGATGATCTCCGTGTAGTTGCGGCCCCTGGGGTTCACGCGGTCCTCGTCCCAGCCCCAGTCTCCTCGCCGGTTCGCCTCGGCCGTGGCGAGGTTCCAGGGGCTGCCGTCGACGAAGGAGTTCTTGACGACGGCGATCGTGTAGTCGTTCGAGGCGAGAGCTTGGAAGATGGCGGAGTTGTAAATGAGATGGATGGGGACAGAGCTGAACGCCAGCAGAAACCAGGCTAGCCGTCGCCAGTTGCTGATGTACCGCAGATTCCGCAAGCTCGGCACGCCGATATCCAGCCATGTCCCCTCCTGGTGGGCGCGACTCACCTCGTGCGCGCGAGCCTGGTGTGCGCGGTCGACGTCGGCGCGGGTCGGCGCGACCTGTAGCTGCATGCAGTAGTTCGAGGCCGACAGCATGCCGGTGCTGAGCAGGTTTATCAAAAGATGCATCCACTGGTTGAGGGTCTTGACCTTGCCGCAGTCGCCCTTGTAGAGGGTCCCCACCCCGTTTTCGCTGCCGTACCGGACGGTTGCAAAGATCGTCAGGCCGAGGTTGGTCGCGAAGATCACGCTGACCAGCACGATTTGCAGCAGCAGGGCCTGGCTCCGCCGCGAAAGATAGATGCGCCAGCTGTCGTTTTCGTCGTCCTGGATCTGGGGGAACCATTGGGAGAGAGTATGCTTCTCCGCGAATAAGTTAACGCGGAAGTTTGGTGTTGCTGTTGTTGCTGAATGTTCGCTGTTATCGTCGGGACTATCTGTTGTGTGGTCGGGCGAGGCTCCGGCCTGGGCTCCCTCCGTGGATTCTGGTGTTTCATTTCTCATCAACGGTTCCGCCTCGGGAACCCTCTCTCACTTTTAGTTTTCATGATCGTACCAGGTTATGGTTGTGTGACCTACCTATCCTCTAAGGGGGTTTCCTCTGCCATGATTCATGCTTGCTTCATGTATTCGACGCCGACTCAGCTTCGCACACGAAGAGCTTTTTTCAGAGTACCCATGGTTAATAGTCGAGTCTTGGGGTATCAATACTATATAATATTTCGAGCCTGCCTGTGGCATGTGGTGTGCTACCGCTTCGAGGTGTACTACTAGCCAAGGTATGTTGTGAGACTTGGCGAACACCGAGCTGAAACTTTGCGGCTACGTACTTCGCCTCCACTAACAGGGCCTTACACCAAGGCCATAAATTGATTGGTATTGATATGAAGTCAATGTGACGAGGTTGTTCTCAGCCGCAGCCACAAATCGCTCATACTGGCATAGTCCGCGGACATTGTTGCCGGTATTTGTGCTGCGTAGGTGGCGTATCGCCTGTTAGAGATACCTAGGGGTCATACGTACCACGTGGATGATACGGATAAATACTAGCCCAGTAACGTCCAGAGTATGTGTTATGAGTTTGGATATATACCTAAACACCTAGTAAGCAATAATACATGGGTCCCAGTTAATTATGGCTGAGGCACGTACAGAGGTTAGGTGTTACGAGGCGGAGCCTAGAAGATGCAGAACAGCCTCGTTATCATGCAGGGACCCGTAACGTCCCCCCGGATACTGTGAAGACTACCTAGGACATGATACATGTAGCCATCTTTGTTCTATTTAACCCCCTACTCTGCCTTAGCTAGCCCCTGAGTAGACCCTTGACATTAGGAGTCTGATAAATGATTTAAGGGGACTCCCGAGGAACAAGGAGAAGTATTTGTACATATATATTACAATCATTACTCATAGGTTCATAACTCTTCGCGTCCCTTCGTGGCTATGACTTTGGCCGCGCCGCTCCCTACGATCCAAGCTTATTCCTTGTGCACATCATAGTGGCCAACCCTCATGTAATGGCAGCTAGGTATCACTCAATTGTTAGACCAGTAATCAAGGTACCTGGCCTAATGCGTATCAATGGCAGAACGCCAACTGAATAATAGGTCAGTTCCTAGGTACGGACTTCGATGCGCCGATACCACCCACCATAGCGGAATCGTGGAGGCCATCACCTTAAATAATTATGATTATCACCATGACACAGATGTGAGTTGTCATGAAGGCATCTTTGAGTCAAAGCCTAGGTTAGTCACTTAACTGAATACTAAGGTAATGAGATGTTTGCCTCAAGTCTAATAGGATGAGGAATATGTGATTCGCAGCTCAGTTTACAACCCGGGTCATATGAATTACTAAGTTATGAGAGTAATTGGTAATTACACTTGTAGTATTATATATAATACTTTGTCTCTTTATCCTTTATCACTGTGAAGAGACACAGCATGAGTCCCTGTTCGAATCAACTCAGCTCAGCTCAACGTAAATTACAAACAATGATGAGCTGTAAGACACTTTCACAGCTCAACCTGGGCCTTGGAGTCACGTACGTACAAGTTTTCAGCAACGAATATATAAATCTAGCCCCCTCAACTGCCTGCCTTCACTCGTAGCCTCAAGATACCAGGCCATCGCACGAATCAGCACCGAGCAACAGATAACGGAAGAAGAAAAAAATCAGAAATCTCCAACTCAAGATGTCGAATATCAACATAAGGTACAGCCACGCCCAGGAGCAACGCCAACTGGACAGCCTTGCGAGGCTGGACAGCCTCATCAGCGACCTCAAATACGAGGCCGACACTATGAAGATCGCGCTTTCCTACCGCGTCCTCAGCGCCGAGGAGGAGGCGAAGGCCAAGTACTGGCGCGATTGGGTCGACGACGTGCACGACAATCTTCGCCTCGCCAAGATAATCGCCGAGGTGCAGCAGCAGAGCAATGTCTCTGAGATCAAGGACACGATCGAAAACCTGGAGAAGTTCGAGAAAGCCGTTGGTGAGGTCCAGGTTGCTAACGAGACGAAGAAGCTCGGCTAGAGAGAGGGACTCGCAGACGGCCTTCGACCTGATTCCTTTTTTTTTCTTTTTTTTTTCTCTTCATATTATCACTTATATGGTGGAAGATAGAATGGATTATATAGTAAAATAGAGAGAATCTAGTACGTAAACCTCAATGAGTTTAACGGCAGAGTGATATTTACTCCTGAGCCCCTTTTTGCCCCTCTAAATATCCAAGCGCAAGGCCTAGTGGAGTCATGTGCCTTAATGGCCATGGTTCAGACACCTGCAACAAAATGGTTCTTAAAAAGTATCGGAGTACGTTATTCTCTATGGTTGTAGAGCTGGGTTTGGTATATTACTCAGTAAGCATCGCGAAAATATCACTTTTTACGTTTAGAACATAGTAAGACTCCCTCATATTGTCAAGATGAGCATATGGCCCATGATTAGAGGCCAAGTACTGTACTGAGAGATACAGCCAGTCAATATGAGCTTAGTGTTACATAACCAGTAACCAGAGTGCTAGGTCTGCACCAACACCCAGTCTACCGCTGGGATCTGAATCTGATCGCTGCCTGCGAGCAGCTTGACCACAGCTTGACTTACAGTACGGAAGGAAAACTACCACCGACCATCAACAAGTTACCCATCTAGGTTCTGTCTTAATCTCCTCTATACAACCCCTTTTCCACCCTGAAAGCTTCAACCGTCCTTTCTACCACGTGACCATCTAGTGAATCAAACTCCTCCGTGCAAACAGATTTCACTCCTGGTCAAAATCAACATTTGAAGAAGTTAGATTGAGTTACAAGGACTGTAGATTGAGAAATATACCAATTTTCGCATGTATAAATAATAAAGGGTGGTAGTAGATAAAAAGGGGGAGTCACGTGAGTACCCTTAGCTGACACATCTAACTCTACTAGGTACATAGGTTAGCTCTTAGACGGGAAAAGATAAATTGGTCGAACTTCAGAAATTCAATCCTTGCCGATGTTGTCAAGCTACATGCCTACCGACGCATTCCATCTTCACCTTCCATCTAAATAGGTATCTACTTAACAGGTGATTTGGAACATCTTACTTAATGGAACGCTTCAAAAAACTCGGGAATAAAATGTACTGATATCACGTTCAACCTTCCTCGTATCCAAATACTACCTAGGTTACCCGCCTGTATTAGCACCAGACCAACCCAGGTACCTACCTAGGCACTCATACCGAGGAATGCACACCAAGCCCTTATTCCATCAAGTCGGAACCACTTCCTAAGCATGCAACTGACCTGGAATCCTCCTAGCATTGGTATGGCTAGGTAGGTAGGTAGGCTCAAATTGAGTATGGAATGTATTATATGGGTATCTCTATTGCCATACTAAATTTGCCTATCCGAACCGTAGGATGACGTGACTTATCGCGGCGCCATTCCGCGCAGTCCTTGTAGTTGTCCTAAGTTTGAAGGTCTTCAGAATAAACTTCTATCTGACTGACGTGCCTTCGCGTACGACCCACTCGTAGACGCGTGTAATTTGTCGCATCTTCATGCGTGCGTCGTGGTAACCAACTAAACCTATCAATACCTTACGTCGAGGGTTCATCGCCGTTTTCCACGTTTTCCACGTCTTCCATTTTCATATCATCATCTGCGGCAGCGCCGTTGGTATTGACCCCATTAGTCTCCTCCGAGGGCTTATATATAAACGCCTCGAGAGCCTTGTACGCTTCCTCTAAATCATCATTCGTGATGACGACATCGTATATGTCATTGGATTTGGAGTGCTCGATATCTTCTTGGGCAACCTCGAGCGCACGAGCAACCTCATCATCCGTTAAACCGGCTTTCCTCTGTCGAGCTTCCAATTCTTCCAAGCTTGGTGGCGAAACGAAGATAACTCGAGCAGAGTAGCCATTATCTTTGGCCATTTGAATGCCCTGACATCATTGTTAGCGGATGATCCATCTATAACTACTCCAGTTGAATCTATACTTACTTCACGGTCTAATTGTATAATAGGAACTTTCCCGGATTCCTCCAGGGCTTCAGCTGCCTTGCGATTTGTCCCGTACTCGCATCCATCCCGATTGCTGAACTCGAGGAAGTAATCCCCATCCAGTATAGTATTATACGTTTTGGAGTCCACGAAATGGTAATCTTGGCCATCAACTTCCCCATCCTTAGGGCTCCGGGTAGTATGTTGAATGACATTTCCAAAGACGTCCTTGTGCCTCTCCAGGAGCATCGAGACTATCGTAGACTTGCCAACTTTTCCAGGCCCTGTCAATAAGATTGGCCGTCTATCTGTTGGCGCCTGGCCGGTTTCAGACACTTCTCCTTGTAGCTCCTCTGGATCTGGTTGCTCTTGGAAGATGACATCGACCTTTTGCCAGTCATCGATCTTGTCAAAAAGGGCCAGCTTTGATCTCTGGGCGATCCTCAGGGCCCTCCAGGTCTTACTAGCTTTGGCTTCAAGTATCTCGGATTTTTCTTTGTCGTTCTTTGCGAAGTCAAGATCAAGATCGTCGGTAGCAATTTTCTCCTGGAAGACATTTAGATCAGGAAGTTTCCACTTTGCGGGATCCTTCAATTTTTCCATGGCGGTTTCACGGTCTTCCTCCTTCAGAAATTCGAGTGACAGGGAGCCCATCGGTACAGGTCGCAGTCTCTTGTTGGTTGCAAGGCGTCTGACGTTGGATTTCGCTTCGTTGAATTCGGCGGGAGAAACAGGGTCCTTTTTAATAGGGGGGCAACTTTCGACCTTCCAACGGACCCAACCTTTATCCCTCGAAATAACGCTCTCAACCACGCGAAAAAAGAAGTATCCATCAGTCTCGGACTGTATGTACGTAGTGATCCTTTCTTTCATAGCCTTCGCCCATTTGGCCTGCATATTGTTAGTGAATCCACCCCTTTCGAGTTGATGGATTTTTTTTATTAGAACTTACATCTTCGTCCCCAAGCGTTTGGTCGCCGTAAATTACTGATCGGTTTTGCACTTTGATATTAGCAAGTTTCGCTCTGGCTTGTGGCGTTAGTGATAAGAGGAAGTCCAGCACGATGAACGCTTGTATCAGGATATGACGTCTGAAGTAGAGATCGCCGATCTAAATTGAATGGTTAGTCCTAGTTGCTGCAATGTATCGTTTTAAGAAAGGGTATTGAGCGTACCTCTAGCTCGAAAAGCTCTCTGCTTGTAAGGTATTTGGGGTTGTTGGTGCTACTGCGAAGGTCCTCGTCTCCTTCAGGGTGTTTTCTTTTTTGAGGAGTGACTTTGTTGTCATCAGAGCTCTTATTACTCCTTTGCTGCTTGTCAACTGTCTCAAAAGCGGTCATGGTGGCCTCCAGGCCCGTCTTGAACTTGACTAATTGAGCTGAGTCAAATAGTGTCGTAGGTTGACTGAAGTAATGCTGGAGCGACCAGAATACAGGGTACAATGCATCAGCATCGATAGGATTCTCGGATGCCTGCTTGTTCTTGGCGTCGAACGAAACGGCCTTAACACTAGACTTGCTTTCATCTTTTCCATCCTTTGTGGGGTCGGCCTCGGTGTCTACGACCATTTTATCTGGCGAGTCTTCCGATTGGACTTGTGTCTCTTCAAAGGCCGTTACATTTTCGGCGTGGTACTCTCCTCGCAAGTTTACAGAGCTCCTATCCCCCAGAGGAAAGCATTGGAACATGAAGATGAAGACACGACCGCAGAAAGCGGTGTCTTCAGCACGCGACAACCGACGAAGGAGATCATTGCAAGATCTAAGAATGACTAGCTTTTTCGAGTTCAAGTTCTGAGCTATTATTTGCTCCCTTCGCGATTCGAGAAAGTCGAATATCTTGCGGCATCCTTCGGTAGTTTGGCTGTCAAGCAACTCTTCCACGAGCCAGAAAAGGAGGGCAGGGTCGCATTGTGCGCTATCCGATAAAACTGTCAGGAAATCGAAGAGGTTCCAGATCTGTACGAACTCGGGTGAATCGATCGGAGTCTCGGCCTAGACAGGATCAGCGACCAACTACTACGACAAATGTTGGGAAGATTGATACTGACGACTAAGCTACTAAACACATTGCGCGCAGCAGTTTCCACGATAGCCCATTGACGGGTCTTGTCAAAGAATATGGTCGGTACCCGTGCGAGGAATTCGCTAAAATCAGCCTCGGTCAGAGGGGGTTCGATTGAAGCGGCGGGTTTAATAGCCTGCGCATGATCCAGAACCTCTTTTAGTAGCGCTGCGAAGTCGTCTACTTGTGGTACTTCGTGGTCCGGATACTTGGCCGAAGGCATGGTGAAATGTAGGCGGTATATTATCGAGGTATTGAATAGTAGTGCCCGTATCGTAATTTAGTTAGGTGAATGCGCAAAATGCAATTCCCTAAACTACCCAGGGTAGATTCGGGCGCGGGATGGCTGATGGTAGAATGAATGAATAGCTATAAAGAAGCAGGATCGATGATCATGTTCAAATGATAGACATGTCGAAGAGGTTTGTTAGAGTTAAAAGAATGTCGTGAACAAGATCTTTGATAAGTAGCCTTTGTTGTAACAATTGCAGACTATGATAGGTGCGCAGGTGAACTTCTCTAATGAATCGCAAAAAGGTACCCTTAGATGTAGATAGAGATGAAGCAAGGCTGCATGTGAGCTTTAACGCGAGATACACACAGTTGTATCAATTCTGCCAGGCCCGACCGCCCAAGATTCCTGAGCTAGTACTAGATACATACGCTTGCAAGGATCAATTAACGATTAGAGTCATCATGCATGCATGGGTGGCAGGCACATTACTGGCTGTAACCTCAATTGTGTGGCGTAGGGATAACAAGGGCCAGCAGGGGGAAATCGGGACCAAGAAATTTTAGGGATGGTATCGAGCACGTACCTAGGTACCTTTTATCGATATGGACATGGACCTATTGATTGTACATCAATAGTACTAGGTAACATTGAACCTCGAAACTTTTATCAAAATACAACAACGCGACAGGGCTGAGGAAAGTCGACACTGCACTAACCTAGGCATTGAACTTGTTTGCGCCACCATCGTGAAACCTTACTTTTACTAATAGCAGTACATACATCTTCTACACCTACACACTACTCAACCTACCTCAGTTCACCTTCATCGAGAAAGAGCTTCATGTCTGCATGTTTGCATTGCTCAAGCCCATAAAGCTAGGCATTTAATTACCTAGTACTCGGCTGACCGCCAGGGCCATCAATCTAATAGCTATGCCGACCGCAAAAAGACTGAAGAGTGACGCCAAGGCCAAGTCGCGCGATACCCAACCGCGACCTACCATCGCCGACTTGGAGGGCGAGAGCGAGTTTGCTCAGCTTGCAAGAAAGCATTGGCTAAAGACCACCCGGCGAGCTACAAAGGTCAAGGTTAAGAATGATGTACTAAAGCGAGACATTTGGGATGTGCTCGAGAAAGATGGTTTCCCTTACAAGCTATTGCTTGTTCTCGAAGGACTTCAAACCGTCGAGAGCTACCTCTGGCCTGGCTATTCCGAAGACTCATCGAATTTCCATGTCCTTCTCATAGCCTTAATCACCACCGTCAAAGCGAGGGAACGGCTTGAGACTTGGAGCATTTTCGAAAACCGGCCCGCCGAATTCTCGAGCTTGTTCACCCGCATATTGTCCATGAGCCTTGACCAGACGCTATCTCTTACGATTCGAACCCACCTTCTTTGCTTTATTATTTACGCATTCCAAAGTCTCGATTGGGCCAGCGTGAGGAAAGAATGCGCTCCGTTGGTTTCTATAGGCATTTGGCACAATCTCTCGACCGACGCGAAGCGAGAAAGTAAGCTAGGACAAACTCCACAGCTCAAGAAATCTTGGAAAGCGGCGGCAAAAAGATACGATTCGGCAGACGATGCAACAAAGGCTCGATTGCGTTTTGAAAGAGCTTGGCTTTACACTTTGACCTTGGACTTTATACACCTACTCTACGACGAGAATAGGAAAGACGAGCACGTCATCTACTGCGAACGATTTGTCGAATTTATTTCCGATTTATTGAGCCAGCTCCCAACTAGGCGATATGTCAATACCTTGCTGCGGGACCTACATATATTGCCTGCTCTACGGCTTTCCCCTATGTTTAATGATGAGGATAATGGTCTGCTTCGGGACCAATGTTCGTTGTTAAGTCACTACGTTCACTTCACCATCGACGACCAGACAGGGGCCCAGCAAAGCCGCACAGAAGCATACGATCATCATTGTACTGAGTTGGCAAAGCTCCAAAGGGTTGCCTTGCGGTATTTCAAGGACAAGCTGACAGTGCTAGCCTTGTCCAACTATGGATCCATAGATAAAAGGGGCGAGCTAGAAAACCTTCTCGAAGCCCTTACTGACGAGGAGCTTAAGAGGCTTGCAAATTTTCTTGAACTTAGGACAGAATACCCAGAAACGGTGGCGGTACCTATTGATCGAGCATTCTTAATGGAGGTCCTTCTGTCTAACTATGAGAAACGGAAGACGTTCCAAGAGGTTGCTCAAGGTATGAGTATTCTTCCAACCGAGGATAGCCTTTTTGATCAAGGTCTACTGAGAACCGACAACTATGATGGGTCAAGACCACTTGCACTCCCTAAGTTGAGATTGCAATACTTGTCAGTGGGTGACTTTCTTTGGAGGGCCCTAGCCCTCTACCGGTGCGAATCCTTCTATGGTATCAGAAAGGATATTAGTGATGCGTTGAGACGGTTACGTCCAGAGTCGAAACGTCCGGGAGAGACCACTTTCGCTGGGTTCTCTCGAATGGCGCTACCTATAACTCGGCCATCAATATTAGAGGTCGTACCAGCGCTTGTTGGCGATGACAAGCCATCTGTGGTTAATGCTGAGATATCGCTCGATGTACGCCGCCTGGCGGACAATATTAGAAGAGAATGGGATTCACTCCGTCCAGATGACGTGGTGTTCCTTGTCGCAGTGGATGCTTCCATATCCAAGGCTATCTCTAATGGCAGCACACAAACGATATCCGAGGCACAGAAGATAGGACTAATATCCGTTCGGACTGCAGAAATTGCCCAAGTCATGGATGACAAGGGAAAATCTATCAGAGACCCTGCCACTTATTTCAACGGGCATAACCGATCTCCAACGAGAAAGATACAACTCAGACTGGACCCAGCGAGCTACAAGGAAGACACGGAACGAGTTTCCAGAGGCAAGCCAGATATATACGAACGGATCAATCTAATTGTGCGACGCAGTGGCCGAGAAAACAACTTCAAGCCGGTTCTAGAGTCCATTCGTAGCCTATGTCTTTCGGAAGTGCCCCTAGCATCGTGGCTCCATGAGAACTTCCTCGGTTACGGAGATCCTGCTGGTGCTACATATAAACACCTTCCCAATCGCATCGGAAAACTCGACTTCAGGGATACCTTCTTAGATTGGCAACATCTTGTTGCGAGTTTGCCTGGAAAAACCATCGAGCCAGGCTTTGATGTCACGGCAAGCTTCGGCCCCCCTTATGTGTTAGAGTCAGTGGATAAGCCTCCTGTGAAGACGGTTAAAATTTCTAAGAAGCGAAGAAGAGACACCGAACCCTCCCTTATTGCCGAGATTGAGACATATAACGTATCTACCTACAAGCCACCTAATACTGGACCATATCCTGTTGATGCTCCGAAGCTCAATTCTGTTCGTTTCACGCCCGCTCAAATCGATGCTATAATATCGGGCACCCAACCTGGACTTACAGTGATCGTGGGCCCACCTGGTACTGGCAAGACAGACGTTGCGACGCAAATTATCAACAATATATATCACAACTTTCCGGAGCAGCGCACGCTACTCATTGCTCATTCTAACCAGGCACTGAATCAGCTCTTCGCGAAAATAGTAGCTTTGGACATTGATGAACGGCACCTTCTTCGTCTTGGCCACGGAGAAGAAGATCTCGATACTGATGGAGATTTCAGCAAGTATGGGCGAGTGGAATCGATCCTCGCGATCAGACAACTCTACTTAACTGAAGTAAACAAGTTGGCAGCTAGTATAGGTGCCCCTGGGGAGCATGGGAACTCAGCTGAGACTGCAGGATATTTCAATCTCGTCTATATCCAGCCGGCATGGACCAAGTTTACTGAGGTGGCCAAAGTAGACGGTTCATCGGCAGCTGATATCATTGAAGCCTTCCCGTTCCATGCCTATTTCTCTGATGCGCCCCAACCTTTATTTCCACCAGGGAGTGATCGAGACGCTGTTTTGGATATAGCCAACGGTTGTTACCATCATATTTCAAAGATCTTCTCTGAGTTGGAAGGTGTCCTGCCATTTGAGATTCTACGACGAGATCGAGACAAGGCCAACTACCTCCTTACTAGCGAAGCTCGCATAATTGCCATGACGTCGACGCACGCCGCAATGCGTCGCACTGAGATCGCATCTCTTGGTTTCCACTACGACAATGTGGTCATGGAAGAGGCAGCGCAAATAACTGAAGTTGAAAGTTTTATTCCTCTAGCTATGCAGAAGCCCAAGGACGGGCAGATGGCGCTTCAACGAGTTGTCCTCTGTGGTGATCACTACCAGAACTCTCCGGTCATACAAAGCCTTGCCTTTAGGCATTATGCCAACCTTGAGCAATCGCTTTTCTCCCGCTTCGTTCGTCTAGGGATACCCGTAATTACACTCGACCAGCAAGGCCGAGCTCGTCCGTCCATCGCTACCTTGTACCAGTGGAGATACCCCAACCTTGGAAACTTGCCGCATGTCGAGAGCCTTGAGGAATTTCAAACTGCCAATGCTGGCTTCAAATATGACTACCAGTTTATCAATGTACCCGACTACAAGGACAAAGGAGAAATCGAGCCAACGCCTCACTTCATCCAGAACTTGGGCGAAGCGGAATACGCTGTTGCTATATACCAATACATGCGACTTCTTGGATACCCATCCTCGAAGATCAGCATCCTTGCCACCTACGCTGGCCAAAGAGCCCTCATCAAGGATATCTTGAGCCATCGATGCACAAAAAATGATATATTCGGGTTGCCCAAGATAGTAACTACCGTTGACAAGTATCAAGGCGAACAAAACGATTGTGAGTAATGTAACGTTCTATGATTAGAAGCCGTCGGGTCTAACTTTGACTAGATATTATCCTCTCCCTAACACGCACATCACGAGTTGGCTATCTCCGAGATATTCGCCGTCTTACCGTTGCTCTATCACGTGCTCGGCTTGGCTTGTACATCCTAGGTCGGAGAGAGATTTTTGAAGCATGCTACGAACTTCGTCCGGCTTTCGAGTTGCTGCTGCAGCGGCCAGACAAGCTTACCCTTGCCACCGGTGAGATGTGGCCTTCCAAGCGCATTCAGGCAGAGGAAGATGGGGCCGCGATACCTGGCGAGGCAGTAATGGAGAACGTTGAGCATATAGGACAGTTCGTCTACGAAATGGCGGCGACGAAGATTAGGCAGTTACGTGCGGAGCGCGGGTTACCAGATACGGATCAGTTACCGTCTATCGACGAAGGAGGTGTTGAGTATGTTGCGGCGAGCGACGACGAGGCCGACGTAGGGGCGGCGGCGGGGGAAGGGCCTAGTGCTGGAGAGGCGTAGTCCATAGGAAGAGAACAGCTGGAAGAAAACAGCTGAAAGGGAAATAGTATATCCTTATATTCTAAATTTGAGCATTTATAAACTAGGTGCTATGGGAAACTCTGAGGTAGAGTATGACTCTGGAGTATGAGGTATGGAGACCATTATGCAAGGACTAGAAGGACTCGAAAGAAAAGAAAAATAAACTACCCGTGGACTGCATATACACAGAACATAATGACAGATTTTAACGGCTTGAATAGTAGTCTTATCTACATCTGGGTATTTACACTTCGTGCTATACATGTTGAGAGCAAAATCAAAGTGTCTAAAGTAGTCTATGAGTCTGAAGTCTATGAGCAATATCGCATGACCTGTCAACAGGCCTTTTACACACACGGACGATATATACGCAAGGTAGCTATATTATCCGGCAGTGGAATAATAATTCTAAAAGCTACATGGTACCTATATGGTTCTCCAACATCTTCCCCCCTTCCTCAGCCCTATGTAACCTTACCCTTTAAGGCCATACGTATGTAATGCGGAATATTTTTTTTTTAATTTTTGTTTTTCATTTGACATGTTAGTTCTTGGCTTGTGGCCGTGGCTTGGGCCTTTTTTTTTTTTTTTTTTGGATGGAGCTTGTCCTGGAGGTAACCTAGGGTTTTGACGGAGAAAAGGGAGGAAGAAAAAAAAAAAAAAGGCTTGGAGAAAATGGAAAAGGGAGCTATGTAGAACTAATAGCTAATAGGGAAGCGTTCTTGAAGTTCTCTGGCCTAGTTAAATTCGCCACCCGTCTACGCAGTACTTAGGTTAGTTGTGTATGTATTGGCTACCGAGTACCTACCTACTAGGTTACATATGTAGTGTAGACTGTAAGTATAGTTGTTTCTGCTCTCCCTGAGAAGATGTCGGTGCTGCACGTAGAAGCTTACATGGAAGTTATCCATACATATTTGGGTATGTAAGTATGTGTGTATGTGTGTATGTATGTACAATGGCCGGATCATGGATGACTGTGCGAAAAAGCTGGTGGTGACAGGCGGGAGGAGGGCGGCTCTGTTGCACGGCATGGGATGTGTCATGTTGTTGGGCTACAGACATACTACATATACAGACAGTTGACATATCATACATGGTAGCACCCAGCTATTCTTAGTTACGCCACGTTTGGTGTTTATCTACATAGTACGGGCTTAGGTACATGTATGTGCTCCTTTTTTCCCTTTTTTTCTTTTTCTTTTCATCGTCTAAGAAGGTAGGTAGGTGCTATGTAGGTTACCCTAGGGCATGGAAACTCCGAATCGAATCATTGGGCGGCTAACCTAGCTTTTTGACTAGGGATTTAGATGTGCGTCATCCAAGTATGATTTCATCGTCAGGCCGTCCTCTTTTATTTTTTTTTCCTCTGTTCCTTTTTCTTTTCTTTCTTTAAGCGCGGGGGTAATGAGTTAGACTCTTAGGTTAGGGTATACATTGTCAATGTGCATATGGCATTTGTCATAACCTAGATAGATTTCTGATACACACGTTTTTATTTTATTCATACTACCTATGTAGATGTAATGTTTCTACACCTGCATGCGTACTGTTGTAGTACGACGTACGTACCATCGATGCCATGCTGTGGAAAATTATCCGTTACATTTAAAGGTTTGTGATGGTTAAAGTATGGAGGATATTCCGTGTAGTTCGATGTCAGTAGTAAATAATCATTCTAATAAGCTATCTCCAGAGCTACATACCCGACATGTATCGTTTTCAGGTGAGATTTTACAACATAGTGGACGGTGTTAACCTTATGTGTTCCGGGCTATATGTATACTAGGTTAGGTACCTACACGTAGGTAGGTAACTTCAATGTTTGAGTCTCAGTCTGTAGTAGACTCTGTACTGCAATTCTAGCTCTTATTTTTTAGGCGCTAGCCCTTTTCAGGGACCGATCTAGACTTGAGTGAATTAATTAATTCGCGTTTTAGCCGCAACATTGACAGAATTTGAACCTTGAAAATGTCCAATGTTGTATTTCGATAATTTCCTTAATTTCCTTATCAGTTTGGGAAGAAAATGTGAGTTTGTGGCGCGCATAATGCTGGATATTGACCCATGATGCCCGTGGCTTGAAGAAATATCGGTGGTATCAAATCCCGTTGGAAAAATAGGGGTAACAGACAAGCCAATACGTAATATTGATGGCATGTGAAAATATGGACTTACTGTAATGAAATGCAAAGCTGAAGATAGGCTGTCTTGAGCCCTAAGTTCAGACTCTTCAACTGTACTATGTACGAGCAAAAGCATTAATCATAAAAATTCGAAGCCCGAAACGAATTTAGCATCCGCACTGATTTTGGTTTCTTCGGATTTAGGAGACAAGGCGGGTGCGATATTCTAGAATGTGGGGAGACTATGCACATACCTAATCGAGGGCAACTTCAAGAGGTTCAAACAAATGGAAATGCCAAATGGTCTCTGTCCATGAATTGTCACATGGAGTTCCACTTATGTATTCTTTGGTGACCACAAACAACAACATTATGTTGTAAGTAATACTAATAAGTACATACCGACATACCGACATACCGACATGCCTACTACATGCCTACTACATGCCTACTACATGCCTACCTAGGTATATTATAAATATTTTCATTTTGTACACGTACCTCTTTGCCTACATACATGCACATACATTGCACATACATACGTACGGATACATATGTATGTACTGGATGGATAGACAAAGAAAACTGGGCGCGCAAATAGCACACGTGTATCGGTAGTTGCTCTGATTACATTTGCTCAACGTCGAAAAGACAATGGATTTGATCTCTTTATGTCATTACTATCCCGGGAGCCTGGCTAAAACAAAGACAATAAAATGAAGGTTACGATAGCCGAGTCGGTTGGCTATTTTAAGGGGTTACATATATGTATGTACTTATACATAGTAACTAGAGGTAGGATGGTCGAGGTTGAATTCGGAGACTCGTGGGTGACAACATTGAATGTGTATAAACCTTTTGGAACTTGAACTGACCGAATAAAGATATGTACTATTAAATTATTGAAATTCCGCCTTTTTCTGAGTTTCGAGATGGGATGGCCCTAACAGGGCCCACGTACTATGTTATGTAAAATGGAAAATGGAATTACCACATGTACGTACGGACTCAACTTGAAGTCAACTGGTGCAGTCTGGTGGCACTATACTACGCACTATGTATGTACTAGGATAGGCAGGTAAGAACTTGAAGAGCATTCAAATGTTATTAAAAAGTCAAACGCCACTGGGAAAGGGACGGCAGCCACGTACCGAGACACTGGATTTTATATGTCACAGTACACGTAGACTTCCAAGTTGGATGACTTTTTTTTTTCTTTAAATATTTATATGTAGTTATGTGGGACGTGCGTGGATACAGTACAGACTGTACAGTACATGCAACTACTGCAGCAGTTAGTCGAATAATCAGCCCAGTCTCCAGGTGCCCCAGGTGTCCAGTTGCCCTGGTGCCCATTGCACCTGTCCACTACAGTGGGCTAAATTGTAGTTACCTAGGTAATGCTGTAGGTATTGTACAAGTACCAGCTATATCCATGCATCATTCATGATTGTAGGTCTCCAGCTGTATTGGCAGTGTAAGCCTATGTAACTAAAGCCAGTGTATGGGGGTCTGTATGTACCAGTAAGAGGTGCTAGGTTCAATGTTAGTAAGTACATAAGTACATACATAGGTACCTAACTACCTAGTACACTTAACATTTGAATAATAAAGTGCAGCCCAGAGGGTTAGGTACATTACTTGTGCGTATCAATTTGGGTGGTGCGAGAATCACAGACGACCCAGTCGCAAACCCAAGCCTATTTCCCCTTCCCAAAAAATTCCCATGGTTATTTTTTTTTTAACCTGCACCACCTTTTTTTGATCATAGATCAACCACATACAACCTCTCTAGAAGATACCCCTTCTGAAGGTTGTAATTATTTCCTCCTTGACTTTTGTTCATCGAGGTCGGATACGGATATCTTTTTGTATTCTCTGCATTTCTTTACAGGCTTACAGGGAATACTACACTCCTCTCCACTCAATTAATCCCTCTCCCTCTTACTCCCGCGACAAGATTGAAGATTGAAATCGATAGGAAACCCTGCGCGCACAGTGCTCCAAAGGTTTATCCTACATCGATCAACTTTTTTGTTCACTATCTTCTCTCACCATTACAAACTCTTTATCGAGTCCACACAACCCCGGGATTATTCTCCAGGTTCTTTTTTTTTTTTGCGACGACGCTCATTCTATCAAGTTCCGCTGACAGATACCCCCACCACTCTTCACCTTTTTCTATCACTTTCACGAACAGACCCGAGCCTCTATCATTGACGCTTGCGTTTCTGTTCTTGTCAGTCAGCAAAAAGGCGACTACCAGAACATACACATCTAATATAATTGACGACAACCCTTCTCGACTAACCGAGAACTCGTCATTCACTTCTAGAATCGACCGCTCAATTTGATCTGCCTATTTGCAGTCTACTACTCGAATTTGATATTCGATAAACTTTGCGATCCAGTCTTTCTTTCTTTCTCCGACATTTAGGCGCGAAAGAAAGGCTTTTCGCTCAACGACACGAGAAATCCGAACGAGATCGTTTAGTACACATATAAACCTCACTGCTCTTGTAGCGCCAGTAGATTGTCACTTATGACTTCACCTGCTGCGCACGCAATCCCAACCCCGGCGTCGAACATCAACACGGCCGCCTCGGCACCGTCATACGCTTCTGCCGTCGGTACAGCGAAGAAGCCATCCACGACGCCGGTGGTTGCTACTGGATCACATCCACCCGTCGTTGTGGCGAGCTCATCTTCTACGCCACACCATGCCAAGTCGTCTTCCGTATCGCCTCTGAACGGCCGACCCAACATCATGCCGGCCATCCCAGCCGTTCCTGCCCTTGCACACGGCACATCTAGCGCCAACGGACTCGCAGACCATAGCCGCAAGAGCTCGGTCACTATGAGCGCCAACGGCCCCAACAGTTATTCGACGAATGGTGGTTCTACCGGAGGAAAGGCCAATATCCAATTCGGATACGATTCGCCTGCTGTCTCTCACAGCACCCCCCAGCCCGGATCGGCCCCAATCGCTATTCCAGATAGTAACCCGCGTGTAACTCAACCCGCGAAATCCCCTTCGCCTATTCCACAGCCATCCGCTAGCGGTGGACGACCCCCCTCTGGAACTGCTCAGTCCAGTATGACTTTTGGTAGTTTCGGTGGCGACAATGATGTGAGTGCTTACCATCCCCCACTGAGCTATCAACTGCAATATGAACCCATCACTAACATAGGTCGCCAGCGCCCTCACATACGAAACCCTTCTGTATCGCAAGACCCGAATGCGTTAGCATCACAACCGTCCCCTCATATGAGAAGAGGCTCGAATGTTAGCGACATGAGCAACCAGGGCCACCCTCAGTTAGGTCGAGGCAATTTCCCAGCAGGCCGCGGTGGCCGAGGATTTTCCAACAACTCATACAACCAACCGATGGGATATCCCCCCAACTATGGGCGGGGTCACCAAAACCCTGGACGAGGCGGCATGCCCCCGAATTTCGGAAACGGCCGTCAGCAGCAATTCGGTACTCCACCGCCACACAACCGAAGCCCGGCACTCCCACCGGCTATGCCCCAGCCTCCGAACATGCCTCCTTCCGGCATGCCGCAATTCTATTATCCCCCTCCACCTATGGGGCCAAATCAAGTTCCACAAGTATATATCCCCCTTGAACCCCCCAACTATGATCGTACCCATAAAGTCGGAAAGAAGAGAGGAAACCGTCGCGAGACCGAGAAGTTCTCGAATCAACACCGGCGGTCAGAATCTTCCAACGATGAGCATCGTGATTTGAGCCAGAAGGCTCGACGCTTTAGTAGGCGTATAGATCAGAGATTCGTCGCAGATGGCTCGCAGCGCCATGGTTCAACTTCACTCAGTAGTAGGGTGGAAGCGGCATACGCAATAGAGCCACCGATGTTTTCTCTAGAGCAACATTTTCCCCCAAATTCTTCATACCCACAAAGTTCTGGACGAATTGATTTATCGCCAGAAAGTGGAAACTTTGACCGGTTGCTGACTAGTACCAAACAGAACTTTTACCACAGTCATTTTGACCCTAATATGCGACCGGGTATGCCTGTTTCAGCTGGCTATCCCATGTACCCGATAATGCATAATCAAGGTCAATCTCCTGTCCCTACTTACCAGCAGCCGTATAGTACGGGCCCGTATAATGCTCCAGGTGGCCAACCAATGTCACGTAACTCTTCTCAGGTATCCGCGGATCATCGACCCGCTTCAAGCACGGGTCAGAGTCAGGCACCTGTCATTCCTCAGGGAACTCCACAAACCCAACCCGCTCAGATTAAACCCGCCGTCGTTGCGTCGCCCCAATTCAACCGTCCACCTAAAAAGAATATGGCTGTCACCATAAAAAATGCGGCAGGTGAGACCGTTGATTTCACTAAGATCAAGGTAGCATCACCTGTCCCTAGCAGCCACCAGTCAAAGACGCCGCCGGCTATCGTGTCGACCCCTACACCGCCCCCCAAATCTCAAACCCCTAAAAACGCGACCACTGTCCATTCACGGGGCGAAAGCTTAGCAACCGCTAAGTCGAGGGAAGAAATTCAAATTGAATTCAAGGAAAAGATACAGCTTGCCAGTGCCGATAAAGCTAAGGAAGAGGAACGCCTGAAAGCAGAACAGATGGCTCGGGAACAAGCCAAGGCCGCCGAAGAAGCGAAGGCTGCTGAAGAAGCCAAGGCTGCCGAAGAAGCGAAGGCTGCCGAAGAAGTGAAGGCTGCTGAGGAAGCCAAGGCTAAACAGGAAGCCGAGGATAAAGAGAAGGCCGAGCGTGAAGCGGCTGCTTCTAAAAAGGAGGAGGAAGCTCCTAAAGCTCCCGCTGAAACCTCAGAAGAAGAACTTGATCGCATCATTCGGGAGATGGAAGAAGAAGACGCCAGGCGTGAAAAGCAAGAAGAGGAGCGGCGTGTCAAGTATGAAGCTGAAAAAGCTGCTAAGAAGGCAAACGAAGAGGCCACGCGAAAAGCCACGGCTGCTGAAAATGACCGTAAACTTCGTGAGGCTGAAGCTGAAATGGAGCGGTTAGAAGAGGAGAGAGAACGCAAGCGTGCTCAACAGTCTGCCGAGAAGACGCCAGCTTTGGAACCTGTCAAACCGTCGACCGACAAGTCTGCTATTCCATCGACAACCGAAACCACTGCGAAACTTGCCAGTCTTTCTCTCAGCGATAAGCCTGCTAGTGCAACTACCAAGTCATCTGCAAGTGGACGCAAGCCAGCAGCCCTTAATCTTGCTCCGATCAACACCAAGTCGGTTGAGCCCCCCCAGCCAAGTGCCGCACTCCAATCCCTCAAGACAGCCAGGCTCTTAGGTTCTAGCTCCATCAAGGCAGACCTTTACCCAGCAGGAATTCAATCGCCCAATCCTGCTTTGAACGCCGCTGTCGCCAGAAAGGGCACATCGTTCAAGTATGACTCTGCTTTCTTGCTCCAATTTCAGAAGGTTTTCACCGAGCAGCCTTCGCTCGACTTCGGTCATCAAGTCAAGACCTTAATCGGCGACGGGGACAGTGGACGATCTGCCTCTATCAGAACTCCAGCTGGCGGTTCTGGTCGACAGAATTCTAGGCCCGGCGGCGTTGGTCTACCTATGGGTGCTTTTGGGGTTTCTACTCCCGAGGGACGAACTCTGCCTCCAGGAACCACCTCGGCAGAACGATTCGGCCGGAGCAACGACAAATCTATGTCTCGCCCATCTATGCCTATGGGTACTTTCCCCCGGCCTGCTGGGGTATTCCCAGGTGGTAGCCAAATGGCACGAACGCCGTCTTCCTCTAATATGAGCATGCCTCATTCTCCACGTCAAGGAAGTCGCCGTAATGCTAGCAGACAGAATACGTTCAACCCCAAGGTCGAAGCTCAGGCAGCTAAGACGATGCCGCTTACCGCCAACATGAAGATCGAGGCTCTCAGCACCTCGTCGACTGGCTGGAAGCCAACTAGCATCGGTAAACCCGCAGCGACTAGCAACCTCTCTCCCCAGGTTGCCACTCTTGATCCACAAATGGTTCAGCGTAAGGTCAAGGCTGCTCTGAACAAGATGACCCCTGAAAACTTTGACAAGATCTCGGGTCAGATCCTTCAGATTGCCGCCCAGTCCAAGGACGAGACTGATGGCAGGACGCTCCGCCAAGTCATCCAACTTACTTTTGAAAAGGCAACCGACGAAGCACACTGGGCATCAATGTATGCGAAGTTCTGCAAGAGGATGCTCGACATGATGAGTCCTGAAATTCGTGATGAGAACATCAAGGACAAGAACCAACAAGTCGTCAGTGGCGGTGCACTATTCCGAAAGTATCTTCTCAACCGATGCCAAGAGGAATTCGAACGTGGTTGGAAAGTTTCACTCCCTGCCAAGCCGGACGAAACCCAAGACAAAAAGAACTCGGAGGCTGCCATGCTCTCAGAGGAATACTATATCGCAGCAGCCGCCAAACGACGCGGGCTTGGATTAGTTCAGTTCATCGGTGAACTATACAAACTGGGCATGCTCACAGAACGAATCATGCACGAGTGTGTTCTGAAATTAGTGGACTACACGGGCATTCCTGACGACGCCGAAGTTGAGTCTTTATCCAAGCTACTGCGAACGATCGGAGGCAACCTGGAGACAACTGACAAGGGTCATGTCATGATGGACGTGTACTTTAACAAAATCCAGACTATGGTCGATCTACCAGACCTGCCTAGTCGTCTTAAGTTTATGCTCATGGACGTTCTTGATCTAAGACGGGCCAACTGGGTTTCCAAAGAGGCCAACAAGGGTCCCAAAACGCTCGAGGAAGTTCGCGCAGAAGCAGAAGCGGCAGCGGCACAGAAGGCTGCCGAGGCCGCACGAAGCAACACCAGAGGTGGCCCTGGAAGACCTCAAATCGGCCGTGGCGATGCCAGGAACTTCTCTGGATATGCCACACAAGCGCAGAACCAGGTCAGCAAAGATGACCTGCATCGTCTAAAGGGTGGAGCAAACCGAATTTCGAGCTCCAACCTTACATTAGGGCCCATGTCGATGCTCAACTCTCGTAGTAACAGTGGCCGTCGTTTGGGCCCTAGTAGCTCCTTGAGTAGGGGTGCGGAGGACTCTGCAGCCTCTTCTAGAACTGGAACGCCTCCTGTGAGGGATGCGCAAAGTAGCACCAATTCGTTCGGGTAGGCTTCCCTTGACTCCCTTTTTTCCCCTTTCCCCTTTCTTCTTGTATACCTTTTAGATAGGACAAAGCAGCTAATCAAGTTATTTAGTCTACTTGCAAACATGGATTCCGATCACCCAGCGTCGCCTCCTTCGACGACGGCCTCGCCTGCTCTAGCGAAGGCGCATCCGGATACGACAAGCGCAGCGGGGAAGAGCGGTTGAACTGTTCGACTTCCATGATCATAGAACGTCTTGCATTTGCGGCTGCATCGTTGTGCATAGACTAGGACACTGGACATTGCGTTGCATTTACGAAGGGGTTCAAAAAATGTGTCTTTAAAAGTTTCAGGTTTCTTTTTCATCATAATGATACCTCAAGCCGAATAGAACTAACCCTCCCACGACCTGTCACCATTAAAGACGACATTTCCCCAAAAAGAGAACTTCACTTCTCCCAAACTGTGTTTTCATTTCATTTCTACCTTTTCCCCATGACTTGGGACGAGTCGTAGGTGACGTTGTTTTTGGCGGGATGCTCACTCCATAATCCCAGCATCGTGACATGGATTGCCGTCTGGTCGGGGATAGCTGAGAAGAAGATGACGAGACCAATATGAAGGAGGAATGGGGAACTTTGAGAAAAAGGAGGATATTATCGGTTTCGAGGCTGAGTAACGCACGCATATGAATCCGACCACGAAGGGATCGGCACGGTTGCAGAAACCAACGGATTTGGTTGTGTATTCTTGATTGCATTTGGAATTCTTGGTCCCGGCGGACCACTGGCAATTTCTCAAAGTGCGTTTGTCTGCACGAGGCTCGGGCGGGGGGGAGAGAGATAGAGGAGTACAGGAGGGCCCTCGGATCTTTTGCTAGCAAGTCGAGTTGACTAGGTGGTTATTCATCTCGCTACGGTTTAGTTGCTTACGACAGTGGACGACGATGACACAAACAACACACTCACACACACTCTCACACACACATAAACACACACACACATACACACCTCTACAACTCGGACACTCGGCAGACAGGCACGGTACGCACAGACGGTGGTGGACATAGGGGAAAGGCAAACTTGGTTCCGTCCCGTGTACACCAACCATCTATACCTAATCATTAGACAGCAAGAGCCAGTGGCAGTCACGAAAAATTGATTATACTGATAAAATTATTGCCTGTGTGCTGTGTGTTGTGTGACTTGATGTATTCATTTGTGGTATTCATGTGTAGTATTCATGCAGCACTATGTGGTTATTATTCTATGGCTAGGTATTCATGTATGGAGTCTTACAAACGTAATAATGTCCAGGTACTATGACTACCTACCTACCTACCTAGGTTTCCAAGCAAGAGTTGATATAAATAATGGTAATGCTAGGTACCTAGGTAGTTGTATGCTATTATTCCCCCTTAGGTATATTCCAAGTTTTTTCGATTCCAAAGTCACTACCTCCCACGTCTTTTTTTCCCCTATAAGCCCCCTAAGAAGTACCCATCTACATGTATCTACTTGCATATCTGCCTAGGTAGCCTACCTAACTAACTAACTAACTAACCTAAGCTTATCACGTTGAAGATTACTAGGTTAGCGTGGATACCTAGTGTATGTGTGTGTGTGTGTGTGTGTATAGGAGGTAAGCACTTAACCAGGTGGGCTAGTAGGTAGGTAGGTAGGTAGGTATACATTGGATGGTAGACGAGGACGGAACTTCTATGAGGTAGGGTTTGTAGGTAGGTAGGTAGGTAGGTAGGTAGGTTACCTAGGTACCCCTGTTGCAAGTCATGGAAAGGCATCGTGGACCATCACGAATCATTGTATCTCTTTAGGAACTGCAGCAAAGAAGCACCAAGAAGTAGCAAGCAGGTGTGTATGTATACATATAAAGATATACGCCTACCTCACCTCACCTCACCTAGCACAAGCATGCCAGCCATCGCCAAGTACCTAACCTAGTTACATGTAGTTGAAAAAAAAAAAGGGGAGCAAAAGTCAAGCTAAACAGCCCTGGAGATATGTGTAGGTATATAAAAGGCACTTGAATTACTCCCGACTAACTGAGCACCTAACGTAGATAAATAGGCCATCCATCCATCCATCCATTGCATCCATTCATGCCATCGAATAATCAACCCCGAAACGCCGATTTCACCAAACGCCATAAGTCTTACTTAAACCATCTACTTACTCGACCCCTAGCAGGTATCTACCTAAACAAGGCAGGTAGGTATGTAGGCAGGCAGGTAAGATAAGATACTTAAACAAAGTAAAGTGTATAATATCTTGAATCCCGTAACCTTCGTCATGCTAGCTATTCTCCCTACTCCCCTTTGCCCGATTCCCCATCTCCCTCTCCCTATCTCCCCTTTGCCTGCCCATAGAATTCACCTCACAACCACCAAAAGAAGAGACGGCGATAACGCTCGTTCGCTTACTTACGCAGGAGCGAGCCCAATTTTCTGGAACAGTGTATCCATAGCGACCCACTGGTGGCCGCATTTATTGAGGTGGCCATCGACGACGGCCTTGACGGTGTCGAAGCGGGTGGAGTTGTGCGCGGCGAGCGCGAGGACAGTGTCCTTCTCGGTGCTGTCAAGGCTGCCGCCGTTGCCTTTGCCGCCGAGGCCGGTGGCGCCTGACAGGGCCTTTTCGCGAGCCTTTTTTACGTCCCAGAGCGAGGCAAAGTATAGGAGCTGGTTGTAGATGCCGCGCTCGCTGTACTCGTAGCGCATGCGGCCGAGACAGTCCTTGGCCAGGCCCTTGGGGCCGAGGCACCGCGTGCCGTATACTGACATCTGCCGCGTGCGGTTGCCACACGACGCGTCGTCGCACACGAGCCAGCCTTCGTAGTACCGCGCCGTCTCGGTACGGATGGCACGTTCTACCTGCGCCACGATGCTGAGATTGGGTATCAGCGCCGAGCACGATGGACACACGACCCCCTGAGGTGTAACCCGATTATCGGGTTGCGCTGATGGGAGAAGCCCCTCAAAAAGTGCGGAAGTCTTGCACTTGCGGCAACGCAGAGAGAGACGCGCACAATCGCGGAACCGGATCTCGTCAGGAGTTTGAGATTCTAGTGGATGTAATTCGAGTTCGTTAGACCCCGACTGGTTGAAGCTGGAGTTGTTGGTGTAGCGGCGTAGATCGAGACCGAGTTGTTCCGCAAGCTGTGTGGTAGATGTTCCGGCGATGTTGGCGCATAGACGCTCAACAGGCGGGAAGATCTGCTTGCCCATATACCACTCGACATCCACTTTGAGATCCGAGTTGGCCTTGGTCACATCTTCCAGCGTATACGAACGTTTGGCAACAGGCTCCGAACTTGTCTTGCTGTCACCCGTGACCAAGTACGCGATCACGTCTCCGCGACGGACAGTCTTACCACGTGCCATCTCTCGAAGAGCAACCTGAACCTGCGGCATAGAGTCCGCGTTCGGGTAATCCTTCGGTGCCTTGCCTAGTTGCGTGTAGATGATGTATTTCTGAACAGGAATACTGTGTTCCCTCATCTTCCCTGCAATCTCGCGAAGATATTCGTGTATGCGCTGAACCGAAACTTCTGTGTCGTTGCCCGAGAGAATCTCATTGAGGATGCGAGAGGAGATATCCTTTGCCAAACCACAATATTCTCTACGCTTCATATCGAGACCCTTGACTTCCATCTTCTCGATGTACTTGCCGCCAGGTACCTCTACCAAGTTGATAGCTGCATACTTCTTCTTGGACTGTAGCAATATACGTCGGAAGACATTGTCGATATCGATCTCGAGTAGGCGGTATCGTTCATTGACGGCTTTCTTGAACTCCTGGCCGACTTTGAGTGCCTCTGAAACCGAATCCACATTGGCATTTATCATGACTGAATCGGTATCACCGTAAATGACTTGGAGGGCCTTGGACTCTGCCAATTCCTTGGTGCTGCGGAGAATTTCCCGACCTTTGTAGGTTGTGAGAACGGCAAGGGGTCTTGCATAAAAACGAGATTTGGTATACCCCAGACAACCGTACATGGAGTTCGCTGTCAGCTTCAAAGCAAGCTGCTTAATTTCCCACGTGGCAAGCTGTTCGGACGTGGCATTTTTATCCTTCATGAGCGATTTGACTGACCGTCGCCGGCTAACCAATGTGGCAATGAGCCTAGGGAGTATACCTTGGTCTTGTTGAGCCGGGACTTCTGGTACCATATCTTCATCGTCCGACTATATCATAGGTTAGTTCATAACCTCCCATTAAAATGAGAAGACATGCACACAGGGGGGCTTACTAATGCACTCCGATCGACGGTGGTGAAGCAGATGTTGAACTCTTGAATAATTGACGGATAAAGGGAGTTGAAATCCATGACAAGCACGAATTTATCGTATAACCCCCTTTCCGGTTCAAAGACTAGACCGCCCTTATACTTATCCTTCTTCTTGCTATTGGCGGCATCTTCATCGTTGTTTTCTTCTTCCGCCTTAACTTGCCCTTTGAAGGCTTGCTTATCAGGACAAATGTACTTATTTCGGTGGAATTCGTGCAGCAAAATGTATTCATTTCGTTCGGCTCGAGTACCCGTCAAAGTTCGTGCCCATGAATTACCCGCTAGGTTTGTCAACACCTTCGTCAAAGGTAACATCTGAGTGCTCAAAGCCAATGCGGCAATGAAATAGGTATCGGCTTCCATGTGCGTAATATAATCCATGAGACCGGTCTTGTCTGTGGCCCATGTCTGGAGAGCCAAGTCATTATCGAAGTCACGCCTATGGCTGTCTTTGCCCAGATAGAGAGTGCACATCTCTGTCAAACTCCAGGTGTTGCATTTGTACATGGCAGACTTTCCGGCGTCATTGAAAAGATCACATAGGAGACGGCCAGCCATGAGTTGACGCTCTGCAAACACATTTCCACCATATTTTCCAATGGACACTGGCCACTGTGCTCTGCGTAATCGTCCTAGTCGTGACCATTGCGGGGTCTTCTTTTCGTGTAGTCGGTTGACTAGGATGCTATAGTCGACACCTTCAAGCTGATGACCGAGAATTACATCAGGGTCGATAAGACCGATCTGTGCTAGGAAGAGTGACAGTATTTCGGACTCCTGCTTTACCAATTTGGTGGGTGACTTCTTCCTCTCCTCGGCTAGCTTTTCAAAGCCGAGTGGGAAATTGGATCCATTTGGCCTCATGAGTGTGAATGTCCTTGAAGGAAGTTTCTCTGCCGGTGTAGTATCGCTCAGCAGTACATTTTCATATATGCGGGCGCTTATTGCAAGTATTTCCTGCTTGTTAGCTTTCCGGTTAAAGGTAGTCCGCATAGCAATGCTCATAAGTGTGAGAGGAGGTGCATCCAAGTTATCCGAATCACTCATAGAAGACACTGTGTCAGGATCATGGACAGCGACTTCAAGTTTGGCATGGGACATATTCTTCAGAGTACCGAAGTCAGCATCCTTAATCTTCAGCCAACACGGGCCCATAATATTCTTCCACAACACAAACTGCTCGAAGAGGGCGGTGTTGGTTCCGAAAACATGGGAGAAGGTCTCGCCCTTGATCTCGGGGGCAATTTGTGGTTCTAGTTTAGTTAGCATGCATCAGGTGGACAAAAGATGCGAGAAATAACATACTTGTGTAAGGGTATAAAAGCTTCAGATACTGTCCTTCTTTGGGAATATCCGGAAGCTCAAAGGCATATTTCCTAGTGCAGGGCTTAATCTTATGCATGTCGACTTTCATCTTCGTCATGATATTGTCTAGTTCCACGTAGACGTCCATCATGCTTACTTCTTCACTCGTATCCTCTCCGTTTTTCTGGCGGTACTGGCGAGGCAGAAAATAGAGCTTTCTCAAAATGTTGTCTATCTTGACAAAGCAACTCACGTACGTATTCGTTTTCTTGTCCAACACTTTTCCGAATAAGCAAAGTGATCCATTGACCTCTGTGTAGTCTGTCCAGAACATGTTGAGACTGCCATCTTCTTCGATGGCATCTTTATAGTCGATTTTGCCGATGGAAGGGCTCGAGGTAGGAGAGCTACTGACAACGTTCAGCCTATTGGTGATATTATTCCATGACGACGAATCAACTGCAGCTTCGAGGGCTTTTGTTGGAGAGGAGCTGGCAGGCGAAGGGTACGGCTCGGGCTTGGCCAGCTTTTTGATAGGTCTAGAGGCAGACAAATTTACACTTGCGGCGTTGACCGCACCGGCATGACCAACTTCCAACATCTCTTCATCCTCATCTTCCGCAGGCTTTGTTTTGGATAGGGGTTTGCGAGCTTGGACTCTCGTCGTAGGGGACGAGGGAGCCGGAGCTGTGTCACTCATAATAGGCAGGTCAGAAGCTGAGGGTAGTAGATCGTCATCGTCGTCGTCCATAGCTGCTGGCAGAAATGTGTCGTCATCGTCCATATAATTATCTTCTACTTTTGGTGTCGGTAGCAAAGGCTCCTCGCTAAGTCTCGCTTTCTTGGTAACTGGCTGGCGCGTCTCTCGAACGGGTGACAGGACACGAGCCCGGCGTCGTTCCGGAGATCTGTGTCGTTTCGGGGCTCTCGATACTGGGGCAGGGACGTTAGCATCTACTTCGCCAAGTAGATCCGCCAGAAACCTGTCGTCGTCTTCGGTTTTCACGGCCTAGCAACTCGTGTTAATTATATATGCTCTTAGATGCTTTCAGTGGCCATAAGATTCCATCTACCTTGGGTTTTTGTTTCTGTTGAGCAGTAGCTTGCCCCTTCATGAAATACTCGCTAATATTGTGGTCATTCGCATCTCGTTTGGCCTTTTCTTCGTCCCGTTTCTTCTTGTCTAAATAACAAGGCATAAGTAAATTATTCCAAGCAATTGAAACTAACTTGGCTCTACAGTACCTGATTTTCGAGGTCTCCCTCCGAGAGGGACTTCACCATCACTCTCCGACTCATATGTGTGCACTCGATCCCACTCCTCTCGACCATCGTCAGCGTAACCCTCGCCATTGTCGTCGACGACGAAGTCATCTTGGTTCAGACGATCGCGGACAATCTTTTTGTATTGATTTTCGTCAACCTCCTCGTATAGGTCTTGTTCTTGTTCAACTTCGTAAGAGTCGTAGGCCTTTTTGCCAGAAGCCCGCAAAGCTCGAAGCTCAGCGAACTTATTACGTCTGTTACCTGCCTTGGACATATTGGTTGTGATAGGGGATATGAAAGGATATATTATTATTATTATGAGGGCAGGAATGACGAAGAAGAATAAGTCATATTCCGAATGGAAAAGAGAGGGGTGTTTCTTTTTTCTTTTTTTTTTCGGTCTGTTACAGCAATTATTGTTATGAGTGTAAAGTAATTTAATTGATTGTCAATTGGACGCAAGACTTTTAGGGGCCCCAGGGACCTATTATTCTGTTATCTTTCCACTTTAGTGGGAGACGCGACGCGCGAGCCACCTATGTAACCCCGTTTCCTTTTTAATCGCGTTTTCGCGAATCCCTGTCCGACTCGTTATGTACTACTAGTACTAGGTATGTAACTACATACTAGGTAGTAATTAAGCTGCATATGGTCTAGGGTACCTTACATGGATGTCCCACCTTACGGAATCAGACCGTCTGCAAGATTCTAGAGACGTCACCGTCACAGTGTCTATCGATAAGAGGATTTTATACAACGCTTGCTTGAATGCGACAATTCAACTTGCTAAAAATGAAATTTGACAAGTTTTTATATTTATATGATATTTATATGAACATTGAAATCGGAGAACCTTGAACTTTTCCCACAAATGCAGAATATGCAATCAAGCAAGTAATCATGCTTAGTTCCATGTTTACTTGTAGATCTTGCACCAAGAGAGCTTTTACTTCACTCTTTAATCACACTCCTCGCCATGACAGTGCCAGGACCTTTGCGATAACTCGACCGATCCTAACTTCTACCCAATCCCATCACCCTAGGAGGTATGCGACAGCAACCGCCGCTTCTGAATGGACTACCCAACAAGATGCACCCCCTGACGGTACAATGCGGAGTCGGAGGTTATCCCCTCTGGAATGGGCCGCTCAGAAACATTTGCAATATCTAAAAGATCCATTACATATTGCAGACTTTGTCAAGAAGACTTTGGGGAAGGGGAACTTCGAGGAGGCTGCCTTAGTTACAAGGAAAGCCAGCAAAAACACAGATGTAGTTGTTAGCTGGAATCACCTAATCGACTATCAGTTTCAACAAGACAGGCTGCATGCCGCTTTAAAACTATTCAACGAAGTCAGTTTTGGCGACCTGCCTTTGTCTTTTATTTGCTTGCTTTGATGCTTATACATGCCTATAGATGAAGAAGCGAGCTCAGTACCCCAATGCTCAGACCTACACTATAATCTTCAGAGGCTGCGCTATTTCCTCTCACCCGAAACTGGCCGTGTCAGAAGCGACCAGAATTTACTATTCCATGTTAAACAGTGACCGTTTGAAGCCGAATACTATCCATATGAACGCCGTTCTACAAGTCTGTGCCAAAACCGAAGACCTCGACACCTTATTCAGTGTCGCCCAGAGCGCCAACAATGGCCTTAGAGCGCCAAACACGTTAACTTATACCACCATCATCAACGCTCTTCGTTACACCGCTGACAAGCGGCAACACGGGATCGTCTCGGAACTCGATATCGCCGAGCTTGAGAAAGCGAAAGCAAAGGCAATTCAGCAAGCAAAAGCTATATGGGAGGAAGTCATGTCCAAGTGGAAGGATGGTTCCATCATCATGGATGAAGAATTAGTCTGCGCCATGGGGAGGATCTTGTTAATAGGCGACTACTACGATGCTAACGCTGTGGAGGCATTAATAAGTCAAACGATGGCAAGGCGGCCACCTAAAAGGTTTCCACCAGAGCCCGAAAACTCTGGTGAGAGATATAGCAAGACGGAAAACTACAACGAAATCACTCCGGACAGACATCCAACATCTGACAATCCTAAGCCCCAGGCTTCAGGAGCACCTGCTATCAGCTACGCGACTCCGGGCATGAACTCTCTCTCCTTAGTCCTCTCTGCTTTGGAAAAGACTGGTAAGACGACCAAGGTGGAGCAGTACTGGAACAGTTTCACCGGACACCACGGCGTTATCCCCGACGCCAACAACTGGAATCAACTATTCGCAACCTTGCGTCGTGGGAAAAACAGTGGCAAAACGGCCTATTATTTACAGGCTATGCCCACCAACCTCATGACACCCAAGACCTTTCGGATAGCCATGAGCACTTGTCTCCGGGACAATCTAAACCCCCTTGCCTTTAAACATGCTACCGACGTGTTATGTACAATGACGGCTAGACTCAACATCCCCGACCTCCTGGTGATGCGCACCTATCTACGCGTAGCGTACGCCAACAAGCGGCACCTCATGCAAGCGTCGAAGGACAACTACGAAGCCGCGATGCTGTCGTGGGGGGAGCAGCTCGCCGCAGCTCTCGACCACCTCTGGAAACCCTACATGATAGCGACGAGGGAGTACGGGGATGACACGCCCGAGTCGAACGACAAAAGCGAGCTCGTCGCTCTAGCGCGGAAGATGATTGCAGTCTCGGACAGGATAATATCGGGCAAGATGATACCCCCCGAAGCCGGGGAGCAGATCAAGCTCAGACGCAACGGTCTAAACAGGGTCGTTGTCCAACACTTTGAGCAGATGGTGGCGATTAACCCCAACTTCCAGCTAGAGAAAGATCCCGATGACGACGAAGACGAGAACGATTTTGACGGATTAGGCGCAGAGTTCCGACCAAAGAAGATCATAAAGGACAGACGCCCACGAGCTAATGGCCGATAGGTAGCTAACCTAGATGTTTTCAACCGTATTTACGGTGTGCAATGTATGATAATTCAAATATTGCACTGTATATATAAGAAGTTGAATCATGTAGTTGAATCATGTGCTTGATGGTGTGCCTATGTAGGTTAGTACTATCGTGTGAAAGTCGCTCATTCCCTATAGCGTTAAAAAGGGGGTTTATTTTTAACAAGGAGCTACTCTAAGCTTAACCTAATAGCCACATCGCCCCTACTCGTTATACGTAGTGCTTGGGCGTGTATGTTGCGTTAGAAATGAGCAGGTAGGTAGGTAGGTAGGTAGGTATGGGCCTGATGTAGACTGGAGGCAGCAATAATCTCACATCCGAGAAGGGGCGAATAGGGGCTATTGCTCTAGCCAAACTTTCCATCCACCATGATCAACCTTACCTGCTACTAGAAGTGATACGGAACCCGTTCAAGCTATACATACCTCTCACCTACTCTCTTCTCGTTTCTCACTGTCATCCATCCATCCATCCATTCTGCATGCTTAGTATGTTGCTATTCGAATCTTAAGCAAGCAAGCACCCAAGATACCATCCATTTCATCAATTATAGCACTTTGGGAGCTTAGCATACATACATACAGACATACATAGCTTCTTCTGCTATCACTCAGTAGACACTCACTTATCATTCATCCATACATCTCAGCCCCCCACCACCATATTTCCAGAGTCCGGTAGTTGTCAGCTAAGCATATCTGCCCACCATGCTTAGCTTTCGCAAGAAGCTAGACAAACGGCCCATTCCTCGGCCGGTGCCGAACTACTTCGACCTGGAGCCCATGATGGACCTGAGCGAGTACCCGAACGTGAGGGGCGTGAGTGAGGAGACGAGAAGGATCCACGCCTCCCTGCGTGAGCGGGTAATGCAGAGTCTCAACCGGACCAGGCCCCCCCCCCTCCCCAAGAGACCGTCTATCCAACCACAACAGCAACAGAAGTGCTCCTCTCGGGAAAGCAGCCACGAGGAAGCACAGCAACACACCATCCGCAAAAGCATCAGCTCCCTCTCGTCATCCTTGAAGAGCCGCATTGCCAACAGTGCCTCTGGCGCCTCAGCCGACGGCAGCGACGCACACAGCACGCACCCGTCCGTGATCCGGAAGGGCGTCAGCTCCATGGCGTCGTCGCTCAGGGGCCTGCGCAGCTCCAGGAAGTTTCGGGACAAGTCCACATCGACGCAGTACAGCGGCAGCTTTCCGGAGCCCGTGAGACACGTGGGGGATTTCTCAGCTCACGACGAAAGATCTAGCAGCTTGGGCCGGGCGTCGGACGTAGCCGTGAAGCTGGATCCGACGCCTCCTCGCCTGCCTAGGCTGGAGGAGATAATTGCCAATGCTGAGGCTGAGGGCAGTTCTACTCAAGGCCAGTCGCCAAAGTCAAATTTCAGCATGAGTATGTTTGAGAGCCTCGATGGGCCATTTGCTATAAACTGGGAAGGTAAGAAACTCTTTCGTTGAACTTGATACCGAATTCATCAAATCACTCATGATCATCTCCCTTACCCGCTGTGTTAGGTGCGGTTGGAGATGTATCATTGTCAGCCCGCCTTATATGGTATGGTATTGGAGCTAACGGGAGAATTAGACAAGCCCAACAGCGAAGACGATAATCCGTCAACTCAAAAATACAATACTATAAGTGGACGTATTCCAATACGTCCCAAAGAGCCTAGGGTGCTCTTTGCTCCTCCATTCGATAGAAGCCCCGTAGACCCCAAAGCCAATTCATTGAATGCATGGAATGCAGCCTCTGAATTTGTATGGAGCATGACTACAGAGGCCGGTTCAGATGCCTGCTCGCGCGCTGCGAGTTTCACGAGTGACACACATTGCCCGGAGAAGCCCGCGTTCCGCCGGCGCCAAAACACACCGGCGACTTCGAGACTCCCTACACAATGGCTTGACTCCGTCTTGGAGTCGTCGATTTCCGTGCGAGATAACATATGCCCTGCGCAACGAAGAGTCTTTGCTTCGGAGGCGGAGGCGGAAAGACTTCAGAAACTGGACAAGCGGGTGCGCGTGCTGGTGCCAGACGAGAACGATAACAGCAAGCCGTGGCCCAAGACGAGCTACCCGGACTTGCAGATAGCCCTTACCGATCTATACGCCCGGTTCAAGCCATACTATGCCCCGTTCGCGGCGTACACTGGTGTGAACCGTACCGTCCAGCTCTTCCCGCCAGACTTTGTGCTGCCGGAGGGCGCTCGGTTCTCGGACACCATCATCTTCAACATCGAGGAGGTGCTGCGCAACTGGAACACATCCGAGCCTCCGCAGTGCCCAGATATCAGCGCGGGAAACTCCATGCTGACGGAGAGAACATTCACGCCTACGACAACTGCGGCATCGGTGGAGGGGCTGCGGCCGTATTCATCGCCTCATCACGAGTAGGATTTGAGCAGCGTGAAGCTGGACGAGGACTTTGCGGTTTGCATGCTGAAGCCTGAACCTGGGAACGAGGTAGGGACAGGGATAGAGACAGAGAGGCAGCCGTTGAGGAGCATTGATGTGTCTCTGATTAATTCGGAGATGTGCAGGTCGCGGGATACGTTGTTGTCTGGCGATGATGATGATGATGATATGGCTATCGCGTCACGGATGGGGTTTATCCCTTGAGTGATGGATAGTGTTTAATGGGTAATACTTGTTTAGTATTGGTTAATGCATGTACCTGCTTAACTTAGGTAGGTACCGAGCCTATCTTAGGTAGTACCTAGAAGGTATCGTCATTCCTTTGTCTACGGTTAGGTACCAGGTATCAATCAGATTGGGGTTGGCGGCTGGCTACATGCGGAATGCAGGGTGCAGAATGCAGAATGCAGAATGGATGGTAGATTGATTACTAGGTAGAGAATAATGGACATTATTGAATTACATTATGCCCTGGTGTTTAGGTGGCCATGGTTGGATATAATGTTGAAGGAGATGGATGTTATACTTCGTATTGAAGGATTTCCATACTATATAACTATCTATTTAACAGCTCTATTCGTATATCGAGATTCCATCGGCGCTACTAGCCTACCAGCTGTCGACAACTGCATGCAAACGTCATTTGTCAAACCACCCACCAAGCTTAATTCAAGCTTCAAGCTACTAGTTAACCTTAACCTACGTACTAACATCCTAGTAGGCGCATAATGCCCATTTGGACAATTCAATCTTCCCTTTTCCTTATACCTCGAACTAGGTTACATAATTGAAGGATAAAACAAAAAAGAACATGTAAAAAGGGAACAAGAAAGGCATAACAAAACCAACAAAAAACTGCATATATACAGTACCACCGAGGTATCCATCTATCCATCTATATCCACCCCGTGCGCCATGGCCTCCAGCAGCAGCAGCATCCCAACGCAGATCGCCGAGACGATCCAGACGGCGTCCCTCCAGCGCAACCCCTCGCCCCGCCACGACCTCAACCCGTCGACGGCGGCCTCGGAGATGGAGCCCGTGAGGCTTGTTGAGGAGGATCGGGAGAAGAAGCAGCAGCAGCGGAAGCAACGGAGAAGAGAGCTAAGAAAAAAGAGGGGGGAGAAGAGAAGGAGGCACGAGTCGTCGATTGATGGGATCGATGACGATAGCTTATCTGATGATGATGAGGATTACGGCGATGATGACTTTGGGGATGGGGATAGTAGCGAGGAGGATGACGACGACGACGACGAGATCCCGATCAGCGTCCTGCGCCCAAGACCAAGGGAGCGCAGCAGCTACCCGCCCATGCCGGACCTGCGCTTTGAGCAGAGCTACCTGCACAGCCTGGCGAAGGCGGATACGTGGTGGAAGGTTGCGTGGGTTACCGTGAGGGATCAGGTATGTATCCATCCTCCTTTCCCCCTTTCCCCCTTCCCCCTTCCCCCTTCCCCCTTCCCCCTTCCCCCTTCCCCCTTCCCCCTTCCCCCTTCCCCCTTCTTCCTCTTCACCTCCTCCCCCCCTCTCTCTAAAACCAGCACTCCGTAACTAAATGGGTGAACTCGACATAACAAACCAACCAACCAAACAAACAGATCATGATGCCCTTCGCCCAAGGCGTCCTCTACAACCTCGCCATCTGCGGCTGGCACCACTGGAACCGCCACGCCCAGCTCGGCGGCAACTCCGCCGGCGCGCGCCTGAGGAGGTGGTGGTACTCCGTCAACAACTGGCCGCTCGTGTCGGGGAACGTGTCTAGCAGGCCGAGGAGGAAGCCTTATTTCGGCTAGGTTTGGCTGGAATGGGTTGTTGATTAGGCACAGTTGGCTGGTTGGTGAGGCGGTTGGTCAGTTAGGTGGTTGGGTGGTTGGTCACTTGATCAGTTGGCTGGTTCGGGCGGTTGGTTGGTTGGTTGGTTGGTTGACTTGGGCGGTAGGAAGGAAGGGGACGGAAGGGAATGGGGATGGGAATGAGGGAGAAGGGAACCGGATGGACTGGGGTTTGGCGATACCTTTCTTCCCACTTGCCTAGTACCTACCTACATAGGTACACACCAAGGTCCAGCCGACGACTTCTTCTAAACATCCAAACATTCTGAGGGTATGGAGGGTATGGAGGGTATGAATGGTATGGGTCGATACGTTAATTGTGTCTACGTTACATATACATAAGAGAAAACCTCAACACCAATGTATTACCAACGAAACCAAGACACGAATCAAATGATTAAAAGTACATTTCACGTCAGAAAAGAAAAACAAGAATAAAAGAAACAGTAGCAACAGTAACACAGTAGCAGTAGTGATAGCATCAAAGGCTCGTCTCTGAATTCATCAAGTCCACCATATGAATTATATAGGTATGTACCTATCTAACCAGGTAGGCACTATGACTACCTATGTGACAATGAACCCTTTTGGAATGGCCATAATTACTTATTAGCACTTCGCTCGTTGCCTTCATGACCGATCAACCAATCCGATCCAGCACTTATCCGTAGTATAGCATCAAAACATCCATCGACATATAATGGATGCTAGGGCCTTGCCATCTACCTACTAGGTATGATAGCTGGTCAGGTGCCTATCGGTTCTTCTACAACAAGTCTGTACAAGATTAACCGATTCCCCTGCTTCCATTCCCGATCGCCTTTTCGTCCGTACTATCGCTCGTGGTTTCTTCCAGTATAGGTGGCTGCATATTGCACACCTTTTTTTGTTCCGTTCGCCTACCTAGCGAAAATGGCCAGTCCACCTGAGTATGTACATTTTGCAAGTAGTATGTACGTGAGTATGCGACTTCTTCTGTTTAGGTCCGTCGTCCATGAGGAGAAGAGTGTATTCTTGTCGTTGCTTTCTTCCTCTTTTCTGGCCTTGCGGCAAATATTTTTGGCGAAAGTGATTTCTCCTTTATGAGCATGCGAATTTTTATCTTGTAGTAACGGTAGGTTGTATCATTATTATCGATTTGGACTCTGTCCTTTACCGAAGGAAAAGCCTCGGTATGTTTCATGACGTGGATAGTTTACTCTCCAGCGCCAACATCGACGTGCTTGGGTATCGTTTGCTGCACTTTGTCTGGGCTTTCTCTAAAGGCCAGCGACGTGGACTGAACGGAATTCAAGGCAGGTGTGGAGGGGCGGTGCTGGGTTTTTCCTGCGATGGCCGTAATAGCTTCCGGGATGTCCTTCTTTCTCGACGTAGCCACGGAGATAACCTCTTCGCTCTTATCCTCTGGCATGTCCTCCTTCTCAGAAACATTTTGAGTAGTGGACTCATGCTTCTGTCCATTGTAGCGATAAGCGTTCAGATCTAGTGCCGATCCGTTGGATTCTGGCGCCTTGCCCTTCGATGGCACCTTGAGCTTGACTAGCATGCTATCCTTAGCACTTTGGTTGTCCAGGTCATCATCAGCCATTTCCTCATCTTCCTCGAAATCCTCCTCGTCTTCACTATCATCATTAGGGACATGGTCGTCCTCCTCGTCATCACCAAGCTCTGGCGAGCTTTCGTTGTCGTCTTCATCGTAATCCTCCATTTCATCGTCCATGGAGCCGTAGCCCGTCTTCTTCTTACTAGACGACGAAGTCCAACCATTCGTGCCGTGGTTGATGGCAGCCGATCTTTTCGGTCTGCCCGAGGGGCCAAGCGAGGATTCCTTCGATGTGTTGGCTCCGTTGTGACCCTGACTTGTTGTTGGGCTAGTGGTGACAATGTTGTTAGAGGCATCCACTGTCATACGCGATGGTGCTTTGATTTGACGACCACTAGCTGTGGTAATGGGACCGACAGGCTCGGCAGGCGTTGGATTTCGCGTATTCCGCGATGATCGGCGCACAGTTGAATCAGAAAGGAAATCCTCTTCATCAGAGTATGTGTACTTCATTCTTTTTCCTCGGGTTCGGCCCTCGTAACTGGAGAAGCCGGGTTCGGGACGCTTGAAAATTTCCTTGCGCATTATACGATACTCACGTCGCTTGCGCTTCTCCTCAGTCGCTTCAAAGCGTGGTACAGCTGCCAACATCTTAGTTGCTAGCTTCCTAGCTTTGGGACCACCATCTGTATTGTTCAATTTCTCTGCCAAGGCATTCAGTTCCTCAATCGTCCCGGCAACGCTCCACCAAGTTCGGTTGAAACCCTGTGGGTTGCTTTCGCGATATACTCGGAAATTGGTATCGTCTAAACCTTCGATCAAATAGTATCGACGTTTGTCGCTGTCGGAGCCCCATGGTTGAACAGATAGGGGTTGATTGAGGTCGTCCTCGTGTCGATTGCGGTACGACTTATTGATGATGCCCTTGATGGCATCGGACGACGACATTGTCCATAACACGAGAGTACGGATCAGGGTCAACTAAATAATGGACCGTGTTAGTTTCAAGTTATGATTGATTCATCTAGAAGGTAATATGGGTAATATAGTTAATATGCTAGGTACTTACTCGTTCTGTTGGGTTCATTGTAGCGAAGCTTCGATTGCCCGCCACCGGGTTTTGTCCGTCCCAATCTTGAGGCCATTGGCTCTTGTGCGAGGTAATTGCATCTTCTAGAGCTCTACTGTATTGAGTAGATCTGTTCAAAAAAGCAAAGGTATTAGAAATTGTCCTCGCGTCGGCGTTGTAGTATTGGGGGGTCGGGTATTGCGTCATACTTAACATCCTGCTTGCGGTTCAAGAGCAAGCTAAGAATAGCGCACAAGAAGAGTACAGCTCGCTCTCCAGGACTGGATTCGGTCACGTCTCGTTCGAGTTCTTGAGGGCCGAAGTTAGGTAGAGATTTGGGAAGAGCGTCGGTGAATCTTGCACGGAACATCACAATAAACTACATTTTTCACGTCAAGTTAGCAAGTGGGGGAAAAGACGCGACATTTCGCGTTTTTTTGACGCGAAAAAGGAAATCATCACGTACCGCGATACTCGGATTGTCTGCCAACACATACTCGTGCGCAGGGGAAGGTGATCGTTTGCGCGGCGGCGGGGACACCTCCTTCTTCTCTTCGGCCTTTTTTCCAGCAGGCAATTTGTGAAAAAACTTCATAATGCCACCTGCTTCTTGCTTCACCTCAATGTCGCCGTCATCTTCAGATGGGGCATCAGACAAAGAGGAGAGCGAAGAGAGTTCGCTAGACTCGTCTTCGGTGGCCATCTTGTGTAATGCTATCGTTAACGATAGAAACTGAAACGAAAGTCAAGTTCGAAGCAGTTGGGGGTGGTTACGTAGATGATTAAGAAGGAAAAAAGAAAGTGGGATGTGGATGTGGGTGTTGGAATGTGATGTATAGTGGAGCGTGGAGGTTTAGGAAGTTTAAGAAGGTCGAGGTCGAGGTCAAAGTCAGGACGAAATTTGGGAAAACGCTAAAAATCCACCCTGATTAGGCTTGAGCCGCAAATCAACCAGGGCAGGGAAAGAACAGATTTGATAGGTTAGGTATTTGTTAAGCTACCACCTACCTGTCTACCTGTCTACCTGCCTACCTGCCCTACCTGCCTTACCTGCCTACCTTAATCTCCCCCCCCTTCCAAGTAACTGGAGGTACTATCTATTGTATATCCCCCTATCCAGCCTCCCTTTCATCACCTAAACCCCCCATCTCCTCCTATCCCCCATTTCTCCGCCTCCCCGTTGATAACGCCATCCTCCATCCGTAAGCCCTGCCCTATTCTGCCATGTTCCGCCTTGTCACGGCCAAGACCACCGGCTCTGTCTCTTCCTTTTACACTCACCTATCACTAACCATCATCCTTCTTTACTCACACCGGCTACCATAACAACGTATAGAAACCCTCAATAGAAAGCAACAAATTCTACCCCAATTCCCTTCCAACCCACGTAGTGTCAATCAGGTATCAGGTACCGTAAGATATCCCCCTTGGGAGACCCAAATGACCAAGGTTTGTTTGTAAGTGGCCATCATCATCATCATCAGAGTTCGACTAAGCCAACCAACAAATAGCGCACCCAGTGCGTATCGTGGGCTATTGAGTTGGTTGTTTTGTCGGTCGGGCCAAGTGTCTGCGTCTTCTTGACCGAGACCACCAATTAAGTTGATACAGGTTGGGTGCAATACTCCTCGAACCTTGGTGCAAATAATTGATGCCAACACAGTATTAAAAGAGAGTAAGCCCTGGCTGGGATGGTAACTTGGTGGACGCTAGAGTCCATCTTGCCTCGATTTAATCGTGCATCATATCGATACGCTGGATGTACACAGGTATGTGTCCCGTGTATTGCCGTTACATTCTGGTGAAGTGGCCCAAATCGCTTAGCTCCACCTCGGCTTTGGGGCAACGCAGACCGTAGCCGACAGAATTTTTCATTTTCCACCCGATACTCCTCGACATTGAGGCTATCGTGGGCAGTCAAATTCTGTCAAAACTATTCCTGCCCAGGATGACTAGGTACTGAGTAGCCACATTTTAGCCGCCCGGTTGGCTGACGGCGGAAAGACGACAGCTAGACAACCATACATGGCCACAACCTTTGCCATGATCTTTCTTGCGGTCATGTTAGTGTGTTGTATGATGCCACTTCAATACGAGAGGCCCTTTTTCCTGAGAAATGGGCTCTTTGTTGCACCAACCCAACAGCTTGCTTATCCCCCATAGAAGTCGCACAAGGACAGTCCTGCAGGCTTGGACCTGCAGGTTCATGTAATAATTCATTGCCGATTCTTTTTTTCTCTCTCTTTCAAGTACGCTTTTGAACGGCCTACTGCATTTGCATTATTAGTAAAAGGTACACTTGCTAAACGATTAATGATAGGCGATTTGAGTAGATGGTTGTGCTCATGGCAATATGGCTCTGCATTTTATCAGGATTAAATTCTGTTGTTATGCCCATCACTCAAATATAAATATTCGCATCGTGAACTGAACCACTACTCATCGACAAAAGGACGAATCATAAGACATGCGAATCCCCACACGAGGTGATGTTGGAGGCGCGGACGGTAGTCAGGAGCGGCCGCTCAACTGTGTCTTCCTACATGATTTGCACACAAGGCCATCACATCCATGTTCGGACATGTTAACTTTTAGTAAGTCAGCATCCAACATATTTGAATAGATGTCTTGATGAAACAATCATATATCATCCTCTCTAGAGCCGGGTTATATGTTATGAGGCTGGCATAACGAGGCCTTAAGATATAAAGGGAAAATAGATTAATCAGTGTAATATTTGGCTAGTGCGGTAAAATTACACGTTATGTCATGGATTGAATGCATTGTTTTCGTGTCTCATCAATGATAATGGAGGGGTGTCGTTGATGGCCGACATTGGAAACTGCCGAATAATGTTTGGATTGACGTGTTGTTTTTGAGACGGACAAGGTTACGACTCGCCGGTCAACGTCAATGCGGGCGATGGATGGAGAATGGGAAATCTGGAGTCACGGGCTTTTTTTTTGGTTCAGCCATCAGCCTAGCAGCCTAGTCGTCCGAAGGCGGTCAGCGGAATTTAATTCGACGAATTTCAACTTGAACTAATTAACCTGGTTAGTGCCCACATGCAGTGCCAAAACATGGACCCACTGCAATAAGCAAAACTTCAATGCAGTGCTCAGTGCTGACTGGAGCTTATTCCTGACGCCACGTTGTGGCTTATGTACAATAAAATTATGTAAAAGGCTACTAAAAGCTCACTACTAGGTATGTATGATTAATGTGCAAGTACGAAATACGTAGGTACACGTGCAGTACGTAGGTACAGTACGTAGGTACACATGTACTTAAAGTCTTACCTACATTTGTTCACAAATCTACATAGTTAGAGGGCCCGCCCTGGCGTCGCCTGCGCTTCCTTGTTTCCCTCAACCACAAAAATTCACCCAACTTTTCTTCTTCTTGATCCACGATACGATCTTCAACCCACTCAAGAATTAACTCCACAGAAGAAAGACCGTATCTTAGATCGCTCATCATCCTCGAGCCAAAATGAGTGACGCTCAGGCTACCGAGGCCGAGAAGAATGTAAGTTACCTCTTACGCTACACCGTCATAGGTGCCTCTCTAGCGTCGCTTCCATAATTTGTCCCTCATCCTTTGTTTGGTATATTGAAGTAACCTGTTCTTGGTCAATCTTGGTCTAACACTTTTCGCCTTTACAGATCGAGATATGGAAGGTGAAGAAGCTGATCAAGCGTCTTGAGGCAGCTCGAGGAAATGGCACAAGCATGATTTCCTTGATCATTCGTATGCATTTTTACCCCTCCCCCGCTTTTTCTCCTATAAAAATAAATTTCGAAATGAATACTAAAACCAACCAACAGCTCCTAAGGATCAGATCTCACGCGCAGCCAAGATGTTGGCTGAAGAATACGTATGCGACCTCCTCCGTTTCCCCTCCACTCGCGACTCTAGTACAATTTCACGGTAAGCTGACTGTTGATATTATAGGGAACGGCATCCAACATCAAGTCTCGTGTCAACCGACAGTCCGTGCTCTCCGCCATCACCTCGACACAACAGCGACTTAAGCTTTACAACAAGGTACCTCCTAATGGCCTCGTTGTATACTGTGGTGAAATCTTGACCTCCGAAGGAAAGGAGCGAAAGGTCAACATCGACTTCGAGCCCTTCAAGCCCATCAACACCTCCCTATACCTTTGCGACAACAAGTTCCATACCGAGGCCTTGGCCGAACTACTCGAGTCTGATCAGAAGTTTGGTTTTATTATCATGGATGGAAACGGGGCTCTGTTCGGTACACTCAGCGGAAACACTCGTGACGTTATTCACAAGTTCTCTGTTGATCTACCCAAGAAGCACGGCCGTGGTGGACAGTCTGCCCTTCGTTTCGCTCGTCTACGAGAGGAAAAGCGTCACAACTACGTCCGCAAAGTTGCCGAGTTGGCCGTCCAGAACTTCATCACCAACGACAAAGTCAACGTTGGTGGTATCATTCTTGCCGGTTCCGCCGACTTCAAGAACGATCTTAATGCCTCTGACATGTTCGACAATCGACTACAGAGCAAGGTCATCAAGGTCGTGGATGTGTCGTATGGTGGCGAGAACGGTTTTAACCAGGCCATCGAGTTGTCTTCAGAGACTCTAGGAAACGTCAAGTTTATCCAGGAGAAGAAGCTCATCGGCAAATACTTTGAAGAAATCAGCCAAGACACAGGCAAGGTCTGCTACGGTATCGAGGATACACTCAAGGCTCTGGAGCTTGGCGCAGTGGAAACCTTGATCGTTTTCGAGAATCTCGAGATTACTCGATGGGTCCTAAAAGAGAGCACCGGCTCAGAGATTGTTCTACATACCACTAAACAACAGGAGATTGGCGATCGGGCTAAGTTCATGGATAAGGGAACTGGACAAGAGATGGAAGTAGTATTGCAGGACTCGTTCCTCGAGTGGATTGCAGAGCACTACAAAGATTTCGGAACCAACCTCGAGTTCGTATCGGATAGATCGACTGAAGGCAATCAGTTCGTAAAGGGATTCGGCGGTGTTGGCGGAATTCTCCGCTACAAGGTGAACTTCGAGCAATTAGCCGAAGTGGATGACGACGATGACTACTATGACGATTGACAGGTATGCGCATGATGTCCCTTGGCATAAAACTTGAAATTTTCGTGTCCAATCGTTCCTTTGAACATACCGGCAAAAAAGTTATAGGATGAGAACAAAAGAAAGAAAAAAACATATCCCACAGTGATGACCTTTTTCTTCTTCTTATTCTTGATAATCTGGGTAGATTTCTTGTTACTAACCTAGATGCGTGTGTAGTTTGAGGAATCCCTCGTAATCGACGAGGGGAAAGCTCAAGCAGTCCCGTCTAAGCAGGCATTTGTCGTGAAAGAATCGGAGCGTCCCCTGCCGCAGCCCCCGGCGCCCTCGGCCAAATCGGTCTCCGGACCGGCGCGCAAAGGTACGGCAGCTTCGTTCGCACAGCGGCGTCTGATGAAATCTGGCCCAGCGAACTCGGAGCACACGGCTAGACAGGTCGCGACACCCAGCCCGCTTCGCTCTATGATGACGGCTTGAGTTGACTTATGGCACAGAAAGGAGGTATGAGGCTAATTCCCACTCCCTAGCATAGCAGTAATATGAGACTATAAAAGACTAACGCGGACCTTACCAGATGCTATGCCCGGGGGTCTATAAGAAGTCGGGAGCGTTGGACCTGCCTACATCATAGGGCTTCATCCTTTGAAAGTAATACTCAGAGTGCGATTCGACAAGCCTCCCCGCCTCACTACTCCCATGACACACTGGTGTTGATATTTTACTTCTTGGCGCCCTGAATAGTTAGGTATACGTAGTGTATCTTATTCAGGGTGTACAACATTGACGCGATGCTTTTGTAGTGGTTCGCCACTAATTCCCTTCATTAACGGTTCCTATGGAACATTACACTTAGACAATAGTGCAGTACGATAAAATAGAAAAGGAAAAAAAGGTCACTCATTTATATTATGTATGATTTGCGTATCTATTTTGAATTGTGATCTTTCCTATGTACCTACTAGGTTACTACTATGTATGTAGGTAATACGTGCTAAATTTTGGTTAGGTATTAATTGGCCAATGAAATGAGGCCGAACTACGGAGTATACCTAGTAGTGTTTCCTAGCATGAGAACCATAACCAATGACGTTTACTCAAGCTCACAATTTCGACTCCACATATTCCGGGAAGATTTGATTCGGTATCGGAGTCCGGACATGTAAAATACTGCACATAGGTACTACCTCTAGTACCTACTACGTAGTACCTGTAGTATGTACCAGTAAGGATCAGTACATACCTTAGTAGGTGGATTGGGAAGTCAAGAATATGTAATTCATGTCACTGGCGCGCCCTTTCAACCTTCACGCCCTTTGCTCCCCCCCTTTTTTGTTGTTGTTGTTGTTGCCTACAATACCCTAATCTAGATAGTGTCTGTCTAGGGCCAAAGCTGAGCATAAAGGTGACAAAGGAAAGCCTCTCTTCGGACTCCACTGCTGGTCGGCTTATTGGGATATTATATAATATCACAACGAACCTGAGCAAAACAAACCCCTTTGCTCCTTGGTTTGTTGTCTCGTCGCAACATTTGAGATCAGAAGCGTTTTCGAGTCAAGCTTTTTCGAGGGGGGGTTTTTTTTTTTTTTTGAGATACTTTGAGATACCAGGCTGTCGGTAACTTGATTATCGCCTTGTTTGACCTTTGTGAGGACGCAAAACTTCCCTCCATCCCTCGCTCTTCCGAAAACCCAAGCTGGAAAGTTTGAAGTACTTCGTTTCGAGATGGAGTCAACCGGTGGACAGGAGAATGGCTTGAATGCCACAACGACGGCTGAAGGGGTACCGAGTGGGAAGCCTACCGTGTGCTTCCTCGGCCCCGTGGCGTCGTATACTCATCAGGTACGGCGCGATTCTGGATCCCAACGGAAGAGGGGTCTCTCTTCTATGTGGTTGCAGGAGACACCCTTTTCGTAGTCGTTTCCAAGCTTCTGAAGATAGAAGGAGTAAAAAGAAGCAAATATGAGATGGATATAGAAAGCTAATACTCTGTCTTCGTTCGCGTGTAGGCTACGCTAGACACGTTTCCGACGGATCAGTTTGACTTGGTACCGGTTGAGACAATCAAAGGTATTTGACATTCTTCTCATCTAACCAGCCCCCTACCCCCCTTTTCCCCTTTCGCCTTCTACTCAAAGACACAAATCTATGTCTCAGAGAAGCAGCGTATCAAACACCAGCAGAATGATAACTAACAGACTAAAGACATCTTCGACACAACGCAATCCGGCCGCGCCTCCTACGGCGTCGTCCCCTTCGAGAACTCCACCAACGGCTCCGTGGTGTTTACCCTCGACCACTTCGCCGACCGCGCCGGCGAGTACCCGGACCTGTCCGTGTGCGCCGAGATCTACCTCGACGTGCACCACTGCTTGCTCGGACATCCTCCTCCTCCTTCCCCTTCTTCTTCCCCATCACAGTTCTCCCACATCAAACGCATCTACAGCCACCCCCAAGCCTTCGGCCAGTGCCGCCTCTTCCTGCAACAGCGCCTCCCCAAGAACATCGAGACCGTCGACGTGAGCTCCACCTCCCGCGCCGCCGAGCTCGCCCTCGCCGACCCCTCGGGCGCCAGCGCCGCTGTCTCGAGCGCTGCCGCCGCGAAGCTGGTGGGGCTGCAGGTGCTCGCGAGGGATATCGAGGATAGGAAGGATAACACGACGAGGTTTTTCGTGCTGCGGCGCGGGTTTGGGGGCAGTGGGGAGGATGGGGTTATGGAGGAGCTGCTGGGGAGGAGGAGTAGCGAGCGTGAGCGTGAGCGCGCGGCGCCAGACAGCGAACACGTCGACACCATATACGCGACCGCCCGATCCCTCGCCTCCTTCACCCTGCCCCTCACCTCCCGCCCGGGAGCCCTGGCCGACGTCCTCGAGTGCTTCCGCCGCGCCCGCCTGAACCTCACCAGCATCAGCAGCCGCCCCAGCCTCGCCGCGCCGTTCCAGTATGTCTTCTTCGTCGAGTTCGAGGGACACCTGCACCGCGACCCCGAGGGGCGGGTGGCGGACGCGCTGGAGAGCGTGAGCACGGTTGCGAGGAGCTCGCGGTGGTTGGGCAGCTGGGATTGTATGCGGTAGGGTGCTGTTTCTCTCTAAGTTACCTGCTGGCTACTAAACTGGGAAGGTGGTGGTGGTGGTGGTGGTGTGTGTGTGTGTGTCTTTTAGTTTCTTTCTCTCGGGAAGGGCTGTTGAAAAAAAAAAAAAACACACAAGGGAGGCGGGTAGGTAGTAAAAAATGGGGAGATGAAAAAAAAAGGGAAAGGGGGGAAATCAAAAGGAAGAAGAAAAAAAAGCTATAAAAAAAAGCTAGGTACTTACTTACTTACTTACTTACTTGTTAAGGATACCTACCTATATGAGATTATTCGGCTAGATCCCATATAGTTATATCTACCTATCTACCTACCTACGTGTCACGCATCTACAAATCCATACTCTCCACGGGATGGATCATCATCATCTAGGTATCAGCCGTAGGTATACTCATCGACAAGGACCAAACAAACCCCAAGCAATGCACATAGCCTTATTTGTGAAATTAAGCACTACGCCTGTCTCACTTACCTAGGTACCCTCTTGTTAAATCACTCTCTACCACTGGTCACCTACTCCCCCTTTATATACACCATCTCAAAGGTTATCATGGCAAGTCCTACAAACCACCTAACTACCCACCCACCTACCCACCACTAAGTAGGTACTTAGGTAAGGAAGGCATATAACACGCACACCCAAACCAAGCACGCAGAATAAGCACGACAACCGTACTAGTCAGCCATAGTCATCGTTGCACTTAGTACTTGAAATAAAGGGGCCGTAATCGTTTTTGACATGGACAGTTAACATGACATGACTTTTAACATTACTCCAACCCTCCCCCCTTCCCCTACGCTCCCCTCCCACTATCCCCCCTGCCCCCCCTTTCTTCTATTCACCATCCGGTCCAGTCCAGTCCAGTCCGTTCCAGTCCCAGCCATGGCCGTTCGTTTCATCTCTATCTAAATATGTAATACTACACTGTGGACTTCGTCGTCATCATTGGCCATTGTCGTTGTTGTTGTTGTTAGTGGTGGTGTCGTCGTCATCGAGATTTGTGCATTGCAATAACGAGAAGAAGAAGGAGGAAAAAGATAAGTACATGATTAGGCGGGTATTTATTTTTCTATTTCTTCAAAGTCGTGCGTGCTATGCATCAAGTACAAGGTTACTAGGTAACTACCTAGATTCTCCGTATCCATGAGAGAAAATCTACGAGTTAAAGTAGAAGTTCTCGTCGGGGGTACGGCCGCGTAGGAATTGCGGTTCCGATCCCTTGACGTAGATATCCTCGTATAAGATCTGGGGGGTGGTCTCGGGGACGGCCATGGCCTCAGCGATGGCAACCTCCTCATTGACGTGCTTTCGGGCCTCCTTGTCGATTGACTTGAGTTCCTCCTCAGTGCACACGGACCAGTCTAGGATCTTCTGCTTGAGGCCGGCGATGGGGTCGTTGGTGGAGCGCATGCGCTGGATTTCCTCTCGGGTTCGGTATGTGGTGCCGGGATCGGACATGGAGTGACCACCGTATCGGTATGTGACGTATTCGAGGACGAGCGGGCCATTTCCTGCGACGGTCCACTCCTTTCCGTACTTGACGGCCGCCTTGACCGCAAGAACGTCCATGCCATTTACCTTGAGACCGGGGATGTACTGGCCACGCTTGTAGTAGTCTGTGAGAGCGGAGGACCGAGCGGCAGCCGTACCCATACCGTACTTGTTGTCTAAAAAGTATATATATTAGCAACAGCAAAACGTTCATGATTGTAAATGTGCAAAAAACCTACTTTCACAGCCGAACAAGGCCGGGAGGTTCCAGAGCTTAGCCATGTTGAAAGCCTCAAAGACTTGACCCTGGTTGCTAGCACCGTCACCGTACAATATTACCGCAGCGTTCTTGTTGCCGTTGTACTTGTGCGCAAAAGCCAAGCCAGCACCGACGGGGACCTGAGCACCGACAATACCGTTACCGCCGTAGAAACCTTTGGTGAACATGTGCATAGAACCACCCTTTCCGTACGCAATTCCCTCACGCCGGCCCAAGAGCTCACCAATGATAGATCGGATGGTACCTCCGCGCATCAGAGCGAAACCGTGGCATCGGTAGGCAGTGATGATGTCGTCCTGCTTAGTCAACGCATGCTCGATACCAACGGCCACGGCCTCTTGACCAGTGGACAAGTGGCAGAAACCCCGGATCTTCTTCTCCTTGTACAATCGGTCGGCGGCCATTTCCATCTGTCTGTAAAGCAAGCAAGCCAAGGCCCCATTAGCAAATTGCGTCATTGCGACTTGGCCCGAATAATCAAGGAGAGCTCGGACGCAATTTCTTACCGGATAACCACCATATCGTAGTACATCTGTTTGAGCTCCTTCTTGGTGAAATCGAGAGTGTACGGGGGTGGGTCGAGCTCGTACGTCTCGAAGCTCTCGTCGCTCAAGGTGACTTGGAAGGGCTTGTCGTCGGCATCGGGGACGGCGTTCTTGTCAACGTGGGAGGATGCAGCATCTGTCGTGACGGTACGGAAAGGTGCAACGGCGAGGGGTCTAGCAGCTCGAACACGCGCAAGAGGCGCTACTGCTCTTTGAACTCGCAGAGCACGCGAGAACATGATGTCTACTATTATTGTCGGAATTGATGATGGAAATTCCCGCAAGATAAAAAGACAAGATTGAGAAAAAAGAATGAGAAATACCAATAATGTAGTTGGTAAGCTCTTGTTTGGTGGGATGGGGGAGAATTGAGGAATTGGGGGAATTGGGAAATTTAGAAAAAATGGAGAGCTCCGGAGCGGAAAGTCACTCAAATTTCTCAAAAATTCAACGTTGGGATTTTCCGCCCGACATTTTCCTTTTGGGGGACCCTGAGCCGCTTGCCTTACTGCCCGTTTACGTAGTTAGCTGACCTAGACTAAGCCCGCCTAGTCCACTTTTAGTATAATCCTTTTTTAAATAACTCCGTGGTGGAGTCTCAGATAAGCTTTAGACATAACTGCATAGTACAGTAGTTGTTAGTGTGTAGTATGTAATCAAGGGATGAAAGCTTACTATCATACAAATTGTTGATTGCACCTATCTAGCCTCCTTTAGGTACTTCATATCCCTATTAACCTAGGCTAGGTTAGATATGTACTTGTACGCATGTTAATTTTGAACATATATTTTCATATTCTGAACAATACCTCACAATGAAAAATACTAAATAATAGCACATGGTAGTTAGGTATATAAGCAACACATAGTTATAGTCAACTAACAAGACTCATTAACGTGTACTTGTTAGGTAAGTAAGTAGTTGAGTTGGTAGATAGGTCAAGTTAGGTAGGTAAGGAGGTAAGGAGGTTAACAATTCCAGCCAACAAACAGACACCCTTCACATACATAAATACATACACATACCATCCAGTCATCATTCACTTCAACTTCCTTAAACTCCGTCAAGAATGATAAAACGCAAGGCGGGGTGGGTATGGGGTATTCTGTAATAAGTGAATCCAGCAACGTCGTCCAGGAAATCGAAACCCTCCAAACAAAATAATAAAATCAACCAAAAAACCATCGTTGCCTAGGTATCAAGGCCCTTCCGAGTCCCATCGCCATATTCATGAGCCCTTAACAGTAAAAAATAGGTATATATCCCCCTTTTTTCTCTCCCTCTTCCTCTGCCCCCTTCCCTCTTCTCTCTCGTCCACCTCTATGTAATAATATGGTTTATATGTCCTTTCGTCATTTTCCCCGTAAAAGCCCATGTCCAAGCCCTGAGTTTGGCCACGCGCTCCCGGGGCATTGACAAGGCTTCTCCATATCTCATAAAACCAAGCGCGCAGAGACGCCCTCATAACGTATAGTATAGGCCACCCTAAATGTGTCCAAATCCTTGGAGCAAATTAGGGAACCCTCTAGAAGAGTGTCAAGATCTTCTAGTCCGTTTTACTCGGCGTTGCGCCGATCCACCCCCGTCTTCTTCGTCCTCGTCGTCTTCATCACTATCGTCACGCGCATGGCTCCTCTCGTTTCCCTTCTTGATAGAAATGAGGCATCCTTGCTCTTTAAGTCTCTTGGTTAACGCTGTACTTGCCCGCATCCCCGGAAAGTCTTTGGCATTATAGACGGTAAATTCGTTACTCATGGCGATGGCGCATACCGGTGTCCTCGACCCCGGCACCGAGTTCGGGTCCAAAACCACCAAGCTGAATCGCAGACGAAACGTACCGGGCGTCCGGCAAGATAAGTCGGGAAAGCAAAAGAAACATCCCTCCTCGTTGTTCTCGTCGAAGCCCACAAAGGGTGATGATACGATCGTCCCCATTAGTCTTCGCTGCTGTCGGTAATCGTCCGGCATGCCCGAGCAATCCTGGTCACCTGTTTGGTTCCAGATCGTGCAATGCATCACCGAGAATCGGAATTTGAGCTGTGAACGAATTTCTTCTTGTGAAGCTTTCGGATCATCAATGAACACTTGTACGATCGGAGGAGGATCAATAACTCTGCGGTCCCTTTCGCCAAATCCACAAGATCTCGCGGCAGCCGGTTGCTGGCGTACGTGTAACCTATACGTCGAGGACGTTGCGGCGACGGCGGCGGGAGCTCGCCTGCGCTCGGGAGCCTTCGACTTGGACTCGGACTTCGGCTCGTCGCTTAATAACTCTGATATACTAATCCGCTCCGTAGCCCGAGGTTCGGCTGGGGGTGCCCATGTTTGTCGAGCTAGCGTTACCGCCTGTGGAGAACGCTGGGCACGGACGTCTCGGTGTTGATAATCTGAAGCACGTCTGACGGGTTGAATTTCGGTGTAGTGATGCTGTCGGGGAGATCCCATCATTTGTCTCGGCTGTATGGGTAACCTTGGAGCCTGCATGGGGCTTGGTTCGCCGCTGAGTTGCCGAAGTCGGATGTGCTCCGGCGGGTCTCCGGGTCTGTCACCCACATTAGGCGGGTGCGCAGGACGAGGATGACCAGCAGCCTCGACGGGTCGCCTAGGGTAAGGACTCGGCGTCGTTGTACGTGGCCCAATGCCTAGCATTGGCGACTGCGGGCTATGGTGGGTAGGTGAGGAGATCGCGTACCGGTCCTCATAAGGGTTATGTCTATAAGCGGCCGGGAGCCTGCCATTCGACGGCCCTTGCGTCGCGTGTGGTCCGGTAACCAGGCTAGGAAGTGGAGGCAAGCGCAACTCATGGCTACGCTGTTCTGGAGGATAATAGGAAGCGTGTCGTGGAGCATAAGGGTCTTGGGACCACGAGTCGGGTGGCCTAGCCATTGTGTCCACCATGGTACTACAACAGAAGCCGCCGTGTGATGGGACCTCGGGGAGAGCAAGCGACTTAAAACGGAGGCCGGTGTATATACTCGACAGCTCGAGGTCGCAGTGGAGCTATATAGGATTAGTCTGGAGGTCAACCCACACAAGAGTGCGGGCTGTGTCCTGATCGTACTGTGCAAGTGAGACCAACTGCACAAAAGATAGCCCCCAAAAATGCTATCGTTTGAGTGACGATGCAAGACTGTAACGTAAGGGTCGGCGGGACAATAATCATCGATATATAGTAGCCAAAAATGTTTGACTGAGGTGCACCCCGATTCCACCCGGCGAGAGGCTGGAAGTTGAGAGGGCCAACTATCTAAGGAATATCTGGTAGAAAGCGGGTATTCACATATCTGTGGTCGGCAACAAGCGCAATGAGAGGTCGAGACGGGAGAGCTGGCCGGGAATATCCTGGTAACGGGAAGACTACTAGAGATGTAGTGCAACTATTGTATGGTGCTATTTGGAGTTTGTGACAAATGAGTGTTGACACGGACGTGATGGCTGGGCGAATGCGGAAGGTGAATAGCGTGTCTGACGTGCAGTTCATAGGGCCACAGACGTAAGCGAACATTTAGCACCTATTCCGCGCCACGAACATGATGCTCAGCTTGTACCTAAAGTCGAGCTCTGCGCGGAGGGGAGAAGAGGAGGAGGGATCAACGGGTGGTATAGGATTGTCACGGACCGCGACGGGATCCCAGCTTTTTTGAAGAAAAGTTACCGATGACCAGAAGCGGGTACGCCTCTTCAAAGCAACCCGTTTGGGTAGAAGATGATGATGATGAGGATGATGACGACAAGAGAGATAAAAAAAAATTAACAGCCTAAGTTTGAATAGGTATGTACTACCTAATAGGTATAGGTCGGTAGGTAAGTAGAAGGTAGGTAGGTTAGGTATGCAGGTATGTAGGTAGGTAATGCTTTTTTTTCCCGTGGATGCTTTACTGGTATTTTGGAAAGGGCATAAGAATAGGATGAATAGAATGGATAGGATAGGCACAGGACCGGCTAGGCTTAATCCGAGCTAGTAGTACTGTACTCTGGGTAGGTAGTTGACATAACTGTGGTAGCAAAACCGAGATATACGTGATGGAACCCGGCTGGGAATGATAAATGAAAGAGTGGCCGGGCCACGGTAGATAGAAATCGACGGAGGAGAGATGCCTGAGATGTTGCACGCAGACATGGACCAGGAGAATGACTAGTCCGAAACAGTAAGTTGGCAGCGGCAGTGATGCAGGAGTGGAACTGGAAGCGAGTTCCGGTTGAGGCGTGAAAACCGAGTATTTGGGCCGTTTGGTCCCCTCTTCAGCCCGCTTTCCTGGCCCCTGGGGCGTGGGAGAGACATACATCCATATTTACACCCACATACAACAAGATGCTTGCTGGTAGTGTTGCGATCTAGTAAACTGGGGGGCAATCTGACCCATACCTCCCCCTGCTTCCCTTACTCCCCTTGTTCTCCTGGCTCTCCTTTTGGCTCCTCTTACATACATAGCGCTCTCTCTCCCTCATCAGTTGCTCTCTAATAAATCCTGGTTATATTTTTTAGGGGGGATGCGGGACGAACTCACTCTAAACAGAACCCGATTCAGCCACGGCTTCTTCCACATTATTTTTCCATTGCTCTCACCAACGTTAATAATATCCGTGCCGTGTCTTGCTCCACCGAAATTGGGCTTTTCGCTCGTGATGGCGTGGGTATTACCGTCCCCCGCCCCCTGCCAGACAGCCCTGGAAACTAACCTGGGCGTAACGTTGGGCTAATCTTCCTGATCCGCCATTCGTGACATACATTCATAGGCCAGTATAATTAAATGTCACTAGGTTAGCATAGTATGGTACCTAAATTATCAACCGGTCTGAATAATCTGCGACATTTTTTTGTTCTTCCCATAATAAGGATGGGTACTTGTAGATAAACTTGGAAGTTCGAGACTCGAAAGACAAGAGGCGCGGCCTAGGCGGCGGGCACCCTTTGCTTTTGCTTGTGTCGCTTGTCAGCCAGCTTCCTACTATGTATGTACGCACCTGCAACAAAAGATCATTTCTTCATTTTGGTTGTTTGACGGCATGTCCAGTGAGATCGCGCCAAAAATCCTGATGGCGTCGGATCCTAGCTAGGTATCGAATTACACAGCGTTACCAGACTTTGGGAGGCGTTGTGAGCGGTCGAGCATCACGATGCACACTATCCTTATTAGATAGTCAGATAGGTACTCGATGGCAGCAAACTGCTGCCTTGTCTACCTACCTACCTACCTAATACCTCGGTACCATGCTAGAGCGAGAGACCGAGACAAATCCGTGTGCGCGGATCACTTATGTATTTTCATGATGGTTAAGGATGTTGTGACATTTCCTTCGACGAAGTTTTCCACAGACATGGATCTTTTTCACGAGAACTCGGTTCATCCAGGGGAATACACGAACCACAAGCGTGGACGTGGACGTGGACGTAGACGCACCCCGTGGCACTTATTCGGGCCAATTTGCCATTGAAGCAACAGTGAGCCCAGAGCCTAGCCTGGCCTTGCACTCGCGAAAGAAAAAAATTGTTCATGTTCCATTCATAGACGGTCTTTGGTCGAGAGGGAGTCAGCAGTTGCATCACCAACCGTTGTAACATCCTAACCTGGTGGAGTCCGAGAATTTTCCACGGCAGGACATCTGGGCCTGTTTAGGTATCAAGTAGGGTACAATACAACACAATACATACCTATTACCTACCAACATATAAGTAGGTACCTAAGTCCCATAAGCAGCTTGGAGCGTAATGTAGATAGATAACCGGGCAAGCTATATGTATTATGCGGGCCGGCTATAACTAGTGCTAGATACTAATCCCCTTGGTGATGCAGAGGCGATTCATCCGAGTCGTGGTAGGAAGCTTCAAGTATCAACCGGCCTGGAGAGAGGGTCGTGTGCGTTGTAACACTGTAAGCACAACACAATCCCAGATTCTGGAATACCTACCTAGACGGATGAGTGCATGCTGCAGGTGTTGCCTTGTCTCGTTTACGTGTACTAGATTGGATGATAAATAATTGTCTAGCCGGTCGCCTGATACTCCTTGGTGCTCCTGAGACTATGATTGCTTGTCATGTACATTACAATGATTACATTACATTGGTACAATACAGTACCTAGTGTAAATTGTAATTTGTAGATACATATTACATGCTGGTACATAGTGTCAGCATACCATATATAATACCCAACAGACAACATACGTACATACGTGCTTATTGGAGTTCTGTATGCTACCAGATTTGGTCTGATCCTGGGTCGCGTCGTCGGGGAAATATAGAATTAGTTCCAAGCATAAACTAGTGGAGTGATGAGTGATTCTTTAGCCTTGGTCACAAAGTAGTTACAGACTGACAGTAGGGTAACCTTTAGAAGGCAAAGAATGGTAGGGGAGGATCATGGATGAGCCCCGATTTTGATTTTGCGCCAAGCAGGTGAGATGGAGGGTTGATGGTTGAATGGAAGGGTATTTCTTGATCGTTGATGTGTTGAAAGATGCAGTGCAGCCCGGTGGATGGCAATGTTACCCTGGAATCCGGGTTTTGATCTTATTAGTTGTATCGAGGGATGTTGTAATTGTTGTAATGGGTGGTTAATGGGTGGTTAATGGATCATGGATGGATCATGGATGGAGATGTATCAAGTTCAAAGGTCTCTTCCGGCACCCCAGACTGTGTAATTACAGGGGAATACCCGTACCTTCCTAGTAAATATTATACTTATTAGAGGTAAAACCAGGGTACGTGCCAGCCTATTCCTTAACCTATTATGTGTACCTATTACTACTAGGTACTAATATATTAGTATGTAGGTACCTAGACCTAATATTATATCCATTTCAATGTTCTTATGCTCCTTCCCCGGTCGAAGCCGAAGAGAAAAAAACTCCCGTCGAATATCCCACGCTCCTTACCCAGTAGCTACATACATACCTAGTAGTACTAGGTAGTAAGTACTAGGTAGTAAGTACATAGTACCAAGTACTTCAAGGTTGAACAATTGAACCTTACAACATTCGATGTTCAAATTTGAAACTTCATAGCTTCAACTTCTACTTCTAACATTGAACATTGAACCTACTACCACCACATTGATATAGCGCAAGTTGAATCTTACGTACTCTTAGGTACTTACATCACGAGTGGTTCGCGACTACGACGGTCTCCCACCCTACAGGTTCAATATGAAACATTGAATACAACTACATAGGAATGTCAATGCATGCTTGCACATTCTTGGGTATTTACTAATTACTACTATGTATGTAGGTATGTATGTATGTATGATAATACTCAATCAGGGTTTCTATTGTACATACCTATCTACGCATCGCATTAGCTCTTTATAATTGTCCTCACATTAGTACTTACCTAGATCTCCCTACTTTGCGGCTACATATGGATATCTCCGTCCCCGATCCTGAACCCTGAACGAGTTGAATGTCGGTTCAACTACATATGTCCATGCCTATGTCTAAAAGCAGTACGACTATCAAAGGTACATATTCATGCTAGGTAATATACACCTATTACTAAGAAGTCTTCTGTGTTCTCTAACATTGACGGTTCTCGTAGATTTGGTGCCAAAGTTATTCTCTTGAGGGTGTACCGAGATGATCAATGGCATCATCCCTCTGTCTACGCAAGATTAATGACTTGATGACGTCTTCAGTCGGAAAATGAAGCAGCTTCCGAATGACTACCAGATGATAATACTACTCCTAGTACTGGAGCTTTGGTGCCTTCATCCACTCCTGGGCCAGGTCTACGCGCCTCCTTAAAATATCCCAACCTTGGAAAGCATCGACAAATACTCTCTAATTTGTTGACAGACGGCAGTTCTCCTACTGGTTGGCACTGGACGAGGAGAGCAACTATTGGCGCGTAGCAATTAGATGGAACGAAAGCTATGTTTATGGTCGTGGAGGTTGCCGCTTAGTTAGCCACATGACAATATCCCGTCGTAGGAAGCCACCCTTCTTCCACCGTTGGTTCCATGGATGACGATACTGCCTGGATACCCATCAAGACACAGTCAGCCACGCTCCGATGCAAGTCGCCGGCGTGTGCCCATATTCGGCCGATTGCAGTTGAATCGAGCGTGCCAAGATACGACATGGCACTACAACTACATGTATGCAAGCTACGCGTACGGAATGTAGCATATTCAGCTATGGAATCATTCCGTATGTCCCAGGCCCGCAATCTAGTCTTGGTTGCCAGGTACAAGAGTTGGAGACGATTCTGAGCCGCTTTAATATCACATTCAAGCCGTGACCCGGACCTTGGTACTTTCTGGGTTCTTACCGGTCCGGAGAAGAGCTCAAGTCTCCTGGATCCAAATCATCAAGCTCGCTATTCCTTGTGTGGATGTCAATTTTTCTCTTCCCTGCGTTTTCCGCCATGTCCTAGTTCCACCCGTCTAGTTAGGCGTCTTCACTATCAACCGAAGAGAACCTTTTCTTCTTAAAGGTATGGCTCCATCAGGAGATACACGCTTACGTACAGATATGGTTGATTTGACCAGAGAACCCGAGGCCAACAGAAGGACCCGCCTTCATGAACTATACCTAATATATTCCTTTATATGCCTAGGTACCTACCATTATACATCCAAGACAAGTCTACCGAACCCACACGATCTGATTCGTCAAGATATGTATTTCACGGTTGAATTGTCAATCCCGTGGCTGTCGACCCTCCTTGGAATATTCCGACCCACCAAAATGTGAACGACAACCGGCCAAGATGCCCAAGTACCTGGGCAAGACATTAAGCGAGCTAAACCAGCCGCCTCCGGCTAAAACGCGTCCGAATCCCTGTTGCAGATCTCACAAGTTCATTACGATAGAGTTTAGGGTTAACAAAGCCCCCTCCCGCTCAATTCAACGAACCAAACTTATGCAGTGTTGATGGAAGACCTCGATGCTACCCTCATAGCAAGATTGAGGGTAGTCCCAACCCTTGGGAAGTTTGGGTCCAATAAGCCATTTTACTTATTATTCTCAAATTTCATATGTCGAACTATATTTGCCACAAATGGAAAATTTAGTCTCCTGGGGATCTTAGTGATTACTATTCCGCCATCCTAGAATAAGGACATGGATAGGCTTGATCCATACTAAATAATTACATCCATGGATACTAACCTAACCTTAGACAGGTGTCGCTCACACTCGATATAGCATCTTCCAAGGTCAAATTTGTCTTCAATTTACCTCAATATCTCCGGTTTTAACAATGATGAATACTAGGTAGTCACCTCTAACTGCAGTACAGAAGAAAAGAGAATCCCTACGCTTAGGATCAAAGTGACAAGTCATTTATCAGCCGCTATCGTACCATACGGCACGGGAGGCTAGCCTACTAGGTACCCACCGCCTAGTCTAGGTATTCTATACCTACACGGGTAGTTAAGCTCGTTGACGATCACCGGGATACTATGAAGAGAGAATCTCCAGGCCTTAGCTGCCTTAACTTTGCAGCTATGCAAGCCACAGCACATCTGGCCTACCTCCAGCTCTCCAGTCGGTTTTCGCGCGAGAAAGATACCCCACGCCAATATTCTAGTAAAGAATCGAGATCTATGTTATTACCTAGGCATCTTTGTTCAGCTTTACCCCATGCCTCGCCTGAATCTAGCAGTTTTGATTCCAAGTCAGCCTCTTCTCATGTCAAAAGTCCATCCCATTGCAGCCTGAGAAATCCACTAGTCATACGCTCGTTATCGTTACCTTTCCGGACGAAAACCAGGATCGTGACCATGTTGTAGGTACCTCTAGCGCGGCATGGGTACGCCATTGTCGTCTACTTTGGGATACGCAGTACCCGGATTTCTTGCTGCCAAATAATGAAAAGACATCATTGCAATTCTCTTCGACTGACTGTTCATAGGTATGTACCTGGCGAGCATACCAATAATGCCGAAAACAAGGGACCAGCCGGCCACCTACACGCGCCTAGATATTTACTATACTTATAGGAACTTAGGAAGTGGTCTGAAATCTCATTATCGGAGAGGATTTATGCACATCGTCTGTTTCCCTTCACCAACGTCGTCAAAAGGCGATATTCCTTTCACCTAAGTATATGCCTACAATTCACGTAGGTATCATCAATGGGCCGGATAAAGTCTGCGAGGATACGCACACCTCCGTTCTCGCAGCCACGAGAGACATAATTGAGTGACCGATGAAAGATTTAATACTACCTATGTACATATTGACATCTAAAAGAAACGCTACGTCCTCTATTGTATTTGTTAATTTCCCAGGCCGATATCAAATTGGATTGTTCTTCACAGCAAACAAAGGCGCCTATCTAGCACCTACCAAAGTAGGTAGTCATATGCGGTCTCCTGGTAATTGGGGTTGGAGATGAACTAGTGATCTCCAGGAGTGGAATCGATAATAGGCTTTATTTTCAATAACTTTGCCATAAATCTCCGACCGTTTTCTATCAGCATGGAAACTCCGCTCCAATAAGCTCTTGTCGCATTTGGCCCCATCTGAGATACGTGAGTTGTTATAAAGCCGCCACGCATGCAAGGGATCAGCATACATAAATACGCGAACGCCTTGTTCATATACATATATATATATATATATATCTATACCCATATAGGTAGGCATTAGGTTAGGTAGGTAGGTATGCTCACAGGTCACCTATCAGCTGCATGGCAGAGTAGCATTTGAAGCTCTCGCTTAGATCTTGTAGCTACCTACCCATGTGCCGATGGGAGCTATGGATGTAGGTATTTATGTACCTATCTAAGTAGGTAGGTAGGTAGGTAGGTATGCAGACTGGACCCAAGTAGCGATTAGCTCTATCGACCTTAACCAATTACCCGACCAGAACAGCATGATAATTACGCAGTGCAGTTGAATGGTCGTTGATGGGTAAGTAAGTATGTAGCTTGGCTTCGGAAAAGAAAAGGGGCAGATCACAACGAGAATCGGTCATATTTCAGAAATCCCTCATGATCTGTAGCTAGGTAGGTTACCTGGTAAAAAAAACGTCGACCTATCTACCGTGCGTTCCCAGGTTTTTTTTTTTTTTTTTTTTTACTTGGACTAGCTCCGTGCAGAGCTAACGACATCCACATATCTATCTGCCCAGTACCTACCTAGGTACTATACGTCTGCCCTCGGCTTTTCACGGGATTCCTGATACGAGAATTGGCTGGCTTCCTTCTTCCTTCTTCCCCGGATATCCTCTCTCATACCCACTTCCCGATTCCGATTTTTCCAATGGCCCACGGGAAGGAAGGAAGGAAGGAGGGGGGGGGGGGGGGGGGGGGGGCGCATCCCCGGAAATCCATATGAGATCAGCGTTTTCTTTGGCGCGCGCGGAAGAAGAGAGGCTCGATCCTATTGTACGTACATATATAACCTACTAGTATGCCTATGTATGTACATGCCTACATATACCTACATATACCTACATACAGGCAAATACTAAACTTCCCCGCCCCGATGGAACATGGGGCTAAAGCTTCTAGTACATGCCTACCTACCTATGCCTATACCTATGCCTACTACCTACATGTATGTAGGTTGGATAGCTTACGGCTTAGATGCCACACTACTACTAGCCAGGGCAACCGAAACATCGCGGCCCGACGATGATGTATGGTAAGCCTCGCTAGTGTAGGTATGTACATCCGACATCTGGAGGCTATTTAAGCTTCGGCACCGTGTCCCCGGGGCTGCTGTGCCGCGCTCGTGCAGTAGTGGCGCCTGTGAGCCCTATGTGTAGGTATGTATGTATGTTGCCTGCGGAGATCAAGGCAAGCCCCAGATATGTATGTAGGTATGTATGTATGTGCCTAGGAAGGTAGATATGGATGGGTGTGTGTGTCGCCTGAGGAGGTAGCGATGTACATGTGAGGTAGATATGGATGTATATATATACGTACGTAGGTGTGCATGTATGTCAGGTAGGTATCATAGGCAGGTAGAGATAACGTCGAGGCCTTCATCTAAAACGTCGTCTATCTCATGCAGGGTTTTTGGCAATATATCAGTACCTGGTAGTACCACTCGTCAAATATCGGCAAGCTCTCCCCCCTTTTTACGGAGAGGCGGGGTGGTTGCGGATGCTTCTTCGTCTTCTTCTTCTTCTTGGGATCCCTGGGTTGGGTTTTTGGTTATCCGATCCAAAGCAGGCCGCTTGTCTGGAACCTTTGGGCGTTTTTTTGTTTTTAATTCTCCACGGATGGTGGGCGTATCACACACGGCTCGTGGTGCAGGGTATGTATGTACTGCACGCACTGAGATCTTAATCCTGGATAATGCTGTGCATGGCCTGGGTACTCTCGGTCTCGTATCATCGTGTGTAGGTAGGTTACGCAAGTACTTGGTGGGTTTCAGCCGCCCTTCTTCTTCAAGTTGTGTTGAAAGATATGAGGTATGAGGATGGATGATCCTATCACGAAGGTCCTCAGCTACTGTCACATATCAACTATTGGCATTTGGTGAACCGCGAGAATGGTAGATGAACATCGTATTCTTCTACCCACCTACGGTCGGAAGTAAAAGGCTAGGATATGCACTGGGTATTCGTGGGAACTACTTAACGATCGGTCAGGACAAGCAAGCACGCACCAATTTATACATGCCGCACTAGCACTGGGACTGGGACTGACCTATCACCCACAATCCAGCACCTACGTATAATGCCCTCACGAGCAAGGAAGTATCAACGACCACATACATGGGTATAATACGTCTCTATCTCGTAACCATCCGAAGCCATGCGCCGGTCATGTCGCTATTAGATTTATGATACGGGATTACAGATCTGGGTTGTTGGTAGCACTCGGATATTCAACATCGGCCATCCTAGGTTCTACAGCAAGCAGGGGATGCGGCAAATTGATATGATCCATAAAGCCCGATCTCCCCGGCATATGCTGGGTAGGTAGGCATGTGTGTAGATATGACCATTCATACGAGGGTAGCGTTCGTCGTTACGATTGGTCCACTGTAGATTTTCACTCAATGGAGAAGGATGAGTATGAAGATAGCTAGGTGCTCTCTAGATGCAAAAGCGATTCAAGCCGAGAGCCTATGTCTTCGCTACCAAGGCCAAGGCGGCTGTTAGGTAGAGCCCTGTTGTGAAACTGAAACTTCGATACTTGTGAGCGCGTGTTTCCCCCTGAAACGGTGACGGAGGGTTATCTTGACCGCACACAAGCTTACTACTAGGGTTACACACATCTATACATCTACCTTACGTGATTCTCAAGGGACAAGATGGCTGAAAGGGATTCGTCTCTGCATCGTGCGTAGAGGCGTGATTAAGTGCCCAAAAGGAGAATATACACCTAGGCACACATACTTCAGCTATGACCCAAGACAATAAAAGAAGTTGGCTCTCTTCTTCTTCGAAGATTGCCAATAATGATGCCATCACCCAACTTTACAAGCTACCCAAGAAAGAGGTCAGCAGAACCGAATGAAAGAAAAAGGGGTTCGCTCAACTTCAAAAAGGGTATTACGTATGATATCTCGGACCACGTTCCTTGGAGGTGTGTATAGGATTTCTTGGGGGAAAAACCGGGGCCTGATGATTTCATAATGTGTGGTGATGTTGCACTTTCTCCAGCCGAACCTCATCATCGCCATCGCCGCGCATGACGTCAGTGACGTCAAGGGGTTATATGTCCAGGAATAGCAATACTAATACTACCAGTATTGCTGTTGCTACTGTATGTAGGTATCTACCTAGGTAGGTAGGTATCTAAAGAGACTCATAATAGGTAGATAGGGGGAAAGGTCTCATACAGAATTAGGTATCAAACCTTAAGTCTATTGCATAAATCAATTCTACGAGTTGTCTACCTGCCTGCCTAGAAGTTCCACCAAATAAATAAAAGGGGTAGCTCGAAAGCTACTGACATATCCATACAAAATGGCGCCGTCCTCTCAAACCCTCCGCGACATCACCGACCGCGCCGAACAGGACCTAAATATCTACGCGGCTAAGACAAGCGCGCGCGAGACCTCATCTGCCGATAGTAAGTTCCCTGATGCCGGCTACGGGAATCGGGTACCGCCTGAGGAGGGTGGCGAGGTAGATGCGCGCGGGAGGTAAGGTATCGTCGTTTTCTTATCCCCCCCCCCCCCCCCCCCCCCCCCCCCTTCTTCCCGGCGTATTGGATAGGTAGGTAGTCTGAGTACGCACAGTTGCAGTAGAACCGCGACGCATGATATGGGTACCTACATAGCTGACTAAAAGTTCCAGACGCAGACAAACCCACAGCCACCACCTATCAGGCGGCAGCGGGCCCTCCTCGGACAAGCTGGCTCGCGATCACGGCGGCGACAGCGTCAAGGATTCTGAGCTAGCCCTAACGACGACGAGGGACCGTGATTTTGGGCCGTCAACCGTTGGTGACAAGACAGAAAAAGGAGATGGTCGGCGCCGCGATGTGATGATGTCCGAGGGGAAGGCGAAGGAGGCTGTGCTGTCGGATAATTAGGGGAACATGCAAAAGACACGCTTCAAGGGCTCTGAGAAGTATAGCAGTGAGGATGGGAAGGGAAGTACTACTGCTGAGGGGCGATGAGATTCTAGAGAGCGAAGTGTGAAGCTTGAAGGAGGCGGAGCGGGGCTGGGGTTGGGTTGTAGGTATACATGTCTGGTAGGCCATTACTCAGGTGGTCTGCGTACTTGATGAGATGAATGAGCAGGCACATATGTATGAATAACTACGTTCAGTCAAGAATGAGTCCATGCATCCCAACGATAGGAATCGAGAGAAATCGTTGGGATGCATGGATTCATTGGATGAAGTTCGGAATGATTCTCGCGAATAGGGGGTTCCTGCTACGGTACCTACAGCGAGTTTACATGCGAAAACACCATGTATTTTTGGTACTTTCATAGGGTTTCTTCGTAAGGATTCCGGCTTCTATATCATGGCTTTATGCCACAGCTTTATTCTTGATCTTATTGCAAGAACTACCTACTTAGATTATATGGAGGGAGAGTATTCTACTGGTTAAGACGAGTAGACGAGCACTAGAGACGACTTTGATGCATTCATGCGTGCGGACTTGATGGCACTATTCGGCCCGTTCACAGAGACGCTTTACCTGACATACATGTCATATCATATCGATATGCCCTAGTTCGTTCCTCAAGGTTCCTCACTCGCATTGTTCGATAGCTAGTGTAGTTGATGAGGTTAGCTGCCACGCTTGATGCATCAAGCTGATCATGTTGATATTCCACGGATACGAATCGTTCGATTAGAGTAGCAGGGGAGGTGCTGACATCTAACCTATTCCCTCGTCTCGTCCTCGAAATTTATATAGTTGCGTGTGATACCCCGGTGTTGAAACCTTCACGTGTGAGAGCAATACGAGCCACCGAGATGTCCGCCTCATTTAATACCTTAGTACCTAGATACTTACATATATATTGTAGAACCTCGGCTTAGCGACTAAGAGATGCCAGCGGTGTATTTGCAGGTCCTTTCGGTTAGTATTGTGCTAAGAATTGAGAGCTGCTTCAGAGCTATGTTTAGAACGAAACCACGGGTCTCGGCTCGGCTCTGCGTTATAGCATGTATAAGAGAGAGCCGAGTTGGGTGTTAGGCTAGGCACCTAGTACGTAACGAGTTTATGACGTCGATGACAACGTTACCACGCCTCTACATTCTTATCTTGTGATGTCTCACGGCTAGATACCTAGGGAGTCTGACGCTTGGGGTTACAGTGCTTACTGCCGCATGCATGCATTAAACCCGCATGACGGCTCCCCTTATAAGAGGGTTTAGGGAGACCATATTCCGCTTGAAGCTGCTTGTCTAAGTGAATAAACACCACTATATTTTCTGACTAGATATGAATGTAGGTTAGATTATTAGACTTGCACATAAAATACATATCCACCAAGTCGTGTATCGAGTCACAGCACCTGTCTTAGAAAGCTTTGAGGTATTTGATTCTCGAGACTAAGCTGATCTTTTAATATAACAGAATTAGTAAGCCTCTACTGGTAGGTAAAGTAGGTAAGTATATATACATTTATTTACTGAGTCTTTGAAGGCCAAAGAGCGTAGGCTAGGACGGTGTCACATTGCATATACGAGTTTTTCTTTTCTTTTCTCTGCACTTGAATCGACGGAATAGGATAGACTATCGGCATCTCTCAGATTCACTTACCCTAAACGTAAGCGCCTCGATGACCATGTGCGGAGTAGCTGATACGATGCAACCAATAAGATGACCCGAACTGGAATCCCATCGCCCTGAGGCGAAAGATCATCGTCGTGATGTTCACCTTCCACCTTCGTCCTGCAGCATCTCAATGGCCTCATGGCGATCACCGTAGCTCGTTCGGTAGGCTTACGAGCTATTGATATATAAGAACCACTCTCGCCTTGTCCTTTTTCTTTCTCTTTTTTGATCTCACTTCACCTCAACCAACAAATAATCCAAATCATCTGGTTTCCATACCTTATAATATAATATCCTAATATTACCTGTTAAAAGCATCATGAAGCTCCAACTCACATCCCTATTCCTCGGCCTTGCCGCCACGGTCGTGTCTGCACAGGAGCAGCTGCAGACCGGCCCCTTTTCTCTACACATTACTGGTAAAGGAGAGAATAGCTCAATTGATGGTACGCACCTACTGCAGACCCTATGATGATACCTAGTAACTAGAAACTGACACTCCCGAATAGGCTACGCAGGATCTTGCCACGCCGGAGCCGCCATCGAGGGATTCTGCTACTCCGCCGGCGAACTCCCCGCCGGCAGCAACTCCTTCCAGTACTACTTCAACTACACGAACGGCAGCAGCACGATCGGCGACGCGCCCATCGGCCAAGTGATCTGGAAGCTTCCTTACTTAAACGGGACTGAGCAGGCGTATGTCGAGCAGACGATGGGGCTGCAGTACTCGGTGAACAGCAACGTGGCGGCGCCCATGTTCGGCTTCGGCTCCTACTCCTACCTGCCCCTCGGCTTCGACGCCGACGGCAAGCTCTTCGCCTACAGCTACCTCGACGACTCGACTTTTACCCCCGGCCAGAACCCCGGCCAGGGCGCGGAGCCAAAGGCGTACTACCAGTGGTACGTGTGCTGGCAGTACTTCACGAGTTACTACTACCAGTCGGTGGGGTGGTCTACGACTGATACCCCCCATAACCCGACTTGCGAGGCTGTGGACATCACCCAGGTGTTCGCTACTTCTTAAGGGGGGTGGGGAGTGGCCTATCTTATTTACCTACCTCTTAACCCTAATGCTTGATATGAGAGAAAAAGTTGGATGGCCACTCGGGTATATGATGGACGATAATGAACAGTATGAGTATACGAGATTCTGTTAATGGCTTGGGATCATGAAAATAAAGAGGAAGAATTTAAAAGGCTTTAATGATAGGAATATAATAATAATAACAACTTGACCACGAACCTGTTATAGTGATGAGCCTAGGTGTAGTGGTACATTTACTCCAATCGGGGTGAATTCCGAGCAAGATGAACGTATCCCAAGCTTGTGATGTAATCTCGATTTCCTAGAGATCCGTTGATTTCCGCTGTCCAATGGATATTTCCTACATGTTTTTTATGGTTAGTTGCCGAGAGGATATATTTACCAATCCAGTCAAGCCACGATCGAGATATGTAACTCACCAAAGCTGTCGGAGCACAAGTCGGAACTCCCCGTTTGCTCACATATCAAATATGTAACCAGCCGTTTGCTCTTCAACCCAGGTACATATATGATATGTATGTACTACACACGCATAAGATGAATACACGTTAGGTACTCATGTGCCTAGGCACATACATGTATCTGCAGACGACCAAAGAATTGGACACCGGCAAGATCTGGCAGATGCTGAGCTGCACTACATACACTACATACCTAGGTTAGGTACATATACTTAATGCTGCACGCCTCTTTTCATTCAGCTCGCACCATAGCAAACATTTGGACGCTTGAACGGGCCGCATTTATATCGCCGAAGGGCTACAGTATGTATCTGTCCGACATTGGTGCTTTCTGTCGATGTCGCCGAGATCGGGGAGTTCTGGCTACATTTTAAGCAGTCTACCAGACTCTGCCTGAGTAGGTAGGTACGGTACGGTACATATGTACCTAGGCAGATAATAGGGAGCAAACATATACACAATCAACGTAGTTGGTGATACTTCAAGTATAGGCATGTTGTAGTTTGTGGGTAGAGCTTTGTGCAAGTAGAATACATAGATAAGTACGTAGGTTGAAGCTCCCATCAGTCTGCGGGAGGAATATATGATGAAGCCTGGACAACTGCGTCGCTTAGCGAATACTACACTCCAAGTCTAGAAACACCGCAAAGATATACTCTGTCTCCCTAATACCTGAGATATGGTGAATAATATCATCTATTTCGTGCTGTCGCAAACCCAACAGCCAACCTCACACGTCAAACAACTCCCGCCCAACACCACAGCCGCCATGTCAGCAACCACAACCACGCTGAGAGCTGTAGCGCTGGCGTTGGCGCTGCTTATCTCCACAACAACAGCAACATCATATGCATCCCCGGACAACCCAGCCACCACCACCACAAACCCACCAGGCAACCTCACCGTAGTCCCGCTTCCACCGATCTCCACCACCGCTCCCTACATCACCATCCCCACAACGACGACTTCTTCGACCTTCACCGGAAAATGCGACTACAGGTACTGCAGTGACGGCGCGGACATGTGCTTCTACTGGGCCGGGTACACGTCGTGGGATGTGTCGCGGGGGCCGGTGCCGGGGGAGGTGGTTACGAGGCTTGGGTCTTGTTAGGGGGGGGGGTTGAAGGGGAAGTAGATCACAAATACCCAAAGCTCTGCCTAGGTACGTTTTGACGTCCTGATACCTATGGGGACTATGGTGGCGGTGATGATAGGAATAGTTATTTGAGCTACCTAGGTACCTAGGTAGGCAAGTGTGGCTGGGATGGGAGGAAAGGGAGTTGATCGGCTGTTGATGACGATGGGAAATCCATCAAGTTAAATAGTTTATGTCAACCCCATTTTTTTTTTATACTTCTTATTGGTATCCGTGGACCAAAGGCGTCACGTAAGGATAGATGGTATGTAGGAGAGTAAGCCAGCGAAGATTCGGACCGGCTCGTCTGTATAGGTATATAGGTAGGTATAGGTATACGCTTAGTCCTAGTTAGAAGTATATGCAAAGACCAAAACCACATCACCTACCCAGCCCACTCCCAAGAACCAAACCCTCCTTAATCTAACACCTGCATCTCTCCGTCCGGGAATCAAACCCCACGACACGAATATCACGCAGCTGAGAAAACCCATATTAGCCATAGTAACGTAGGTAGAACCACGCATAAAAGGGGGGGGGGAGGGGGGAAGCCATAATCTCCAAAGAAAGAAAAAATCACATACCCGGGCCCCCCACCGCCGTCGTGATCGCGCCGCTCTCCACATAAACCCCCGAGAAGTAAAAGTCCTCCACCGCATCACCGTACCCGGACCTCGGGAGCTCCAAGACCCCAAGATGCCAGTCGGCGCCGTTGGAGGACGCGGACGTCTTGACGGGGGCGACGGTCTGGACCAGCGGGTCGCCGCCCTCCGAGTGCCAGAGGCCGACGGTGCCGCTGCCGAAGTCGATCTCGAAGGCGACGTTGTGCCACACCGAGGGCTTCCACTCCGTCTTCCATTTGGAGGTTTGGGAGACCATGCTTTTTTTTTTGGAAAAGGGGGGGTTAGTCTTTTTTTTTTTTTTTTTTTTTTTTTTTTTTTTTTTCGCTATCACTGTTGCTACATAATTCCAAGGCAAGGAAAAAGAGTACTCACAACTGCAAATTCGGGTTCTCCGCCCCCTGCTCCCCCGAAATCCACCCATACTTCAGCTCGACAAAGTGGCTCTCAAAGAAGCAGATCTGGTGCTCCCTGTTCACCGACGGCGCATTCGCCTCCTTCCGCATGACGCTGAAATGGTACCACACCTTGCCCGCATTGATCGCCGCCTTCGTCTGGGGGATGAGTTCCGTGCGGCGCATGTTCTGGCCGTTCCAGAACGCGGTGCTGTCGAGGGTGAACCTGGCCCCCTGCTTCGACACGGTGTCGGCCGGGTTCTTGAAGTCCGGCGACAGGTTGACGTACTTGTCGACGGACCCGGAGCCGTGGATGTAGTACTGGTACGGCCCCACCTGGTTCGACCACGACCACTTGTTCAGGTCCGTCGAGGCGGCCATGTCGTTGAAGCGCCCGTCCCAGAGCACGGCGGCGCGGGCGGCTGTGGCGAGCGCCGATGCTAGGGTGAACTTCATGGTGAGAAGTGTAGTGACTGATGTGCGGACCCTTAGAAATGAGAGAGACGATAGTTATGCTGATGGTGGTAAAAAAACTGAGCCGTGACTGTCATGGTAGCAGGACTAGGTTCCTGGTGGTCAAGCAGGGCTATATATACCTCTGTGAAATTGACCTGCTGGTAATATTCTACCAGGTTATTGGGCACCCTAACCGGGGAGAGCTGCTCATGGTCGGGGCTCTATTCCATAGACCATTCAGGTACGGTCTAGATCCAATATAAACCTGGTAGGCCGGTCCGTAGCCAGGAAAGCTTGTGGGAGTTCGTAGCGAACTGCGGATAGAAGGCCCCGATGATAAATATACCCCGGAATAAGATCATATTAAACGTGGGGGGGTATCTATTGCAGAATTTAGCCTATGCTTCTACAATGACTTTTCAATTCAGATTAAACGGTGGCCTAACTTCATACAGATACACAGGTATATTAATATATTAAAAATAACCTCGTGCGCTAAATCACAGATACATATATCATTCCACACATAAACAACATTTGTTAGTCCTGATGTAGGCAATCTGAATCTAGATCATCCCGAACCCTCAGAAACGAACCGAAAACCCAAAAACTGATGAAAAATACCGTACATTGCTTCCTATGAGTTACAAGGTGTTGAATGGACGATGAATAACAGGGGGGTATATCATAATCTGAACGAACTGGTCGATGGGTATTGTCTATGGTAATTTGTGGACATAAGCCACCTAAAGGATCCTCAGTATTCTAATCCGGCGCCGAAACTGCTGCTTCTAGCCCCATTTGCTCGATCTAAGCTAGCTCTCGGTTGGTCAAAACTTTTCTTACTATGTGATGTGCTCGGCCGAGACTCCTCTGGGTCACCCTGTTCCGCGGCGAAGAGTGCGGCCTCTGGTAATGACATGTCATCGTTGATTCTGTGGATAAGATAGGCGGCTATGAGCGCGAAGAAGCCACCACAGGCTAAGACGATAGCCATACTATGATCGCCAGGGACACCTCTGGGCTTTTGGAAGAAGCGGAAGATGACACTGGAACCAAGGGTAGCGATAAATTGTGGCGATGCAATAGCCATATTGTGAATTCCGAGAATGACACCGGCTTGATCTGGCTCATCCTCATCAGCTTGCAAGCGGGACTCTTGATCGAGAAGCCCGTCAGTAGGACTATCGATATCCAGTTGTTCACCTTGTGCGAGCGACCGCATCTGCTGCTTCCGGGCTCGGTAAAGAATGTCACGGCGACTTATTTCCGCACTAATGATAGCCCACGGCGCCCAAAGTGCCAAAGCCCACGTGATACCGATGAGGCCGATGAGGAAAGTTGCTGCTTCAACGCTTCGGACAAGCACTGTACAAAACATGGCTCCGGCGAACAGAATTTCGGATAATAGCCAAGCTCTCCGCAGTGTGAACCCAGGAATGACCAAGCGAGCCAGAAAACTTTTACCATCGGATAACGACCCCCCGAGGACTCCAGGTGCTTCGCCAGGGGCCTTGCTGCCGACAACGGGATTGTTATCATAAGTTGGGTCGATGAAGAAAGGGAGTAGTACATTGGTTGCTAAGCTGGTAATGGCGAAAATTAATAAGGCGAAAGTACCAACCCGGGTAGCCCTCTCGTAAAGCTCGTCCAGCTCTTCTGGAGTCATGTGAGGGTTCTCTTCCAAAAAGGGCTCGACGTAGATCTCCCCGATGTAGGATGATGTGTAGAAAAGCATTGGAAAGAAGCCGATCCATGCCGCTATCTGGACGCCACAAACTTTGGAAACCTGGGGAGGAAGCTTCTTAATAGAGGCAAAAATCCTGACAAAGAAGGAAACTAAGCCAACTTTCTCGGCAGGACGTCCTTCGAGTCGAGGGTTTCGTTCACGAATTAAGGTCGTACTCAAAAAGATTGTGGAGAGGAGCGCAATGCTCGCGATGGCGCAGAGATCCTTAAACTGAGAGCTTCCGAACCACCAGAAGTATCTCGGTAGATTAATACCACCGGCGATGTATCCAATAATGTTGCCAACACCAACTAGCCTGCTAGCCATTGAGTTGGCAGCTTCTTGTTGATGAGATGGCGCACAGTCAACAATAAAAGCTCGAATGGATGCCTGAACCGTGTTAACGGCAACATCAAGGACATAGATCCAGATGACAGCCGTAACAATGATCGTCACCTTTACTCCATGAGATTCGGGATCTGCTCCAAATAATGCTAGTATGCCCCCGACGATTTCTCGAATCCAGGCGAGAAACATTAGGGACAACACGGTAGAAATAGCACCTCCAATCATGAATGGTTTGCGTTTCCCCCAAGGCAACCTGCAATTATCACTAAGCATGCCGATGTACGGCTGAACTAGGGTGCCGGTGATGGGACCAGCAACCCACACCAAAGCCATAAACGACTTGCTGAGGCCGAGTGACAGTAGGTAGGGCGTGCCATTGGAAAGTTCCACGGCCCAGGCAACTTGCAATCCTCCAATACTGATGGTCAAGAGTAAAAGGTACCATATGCTTTTGGTTTGTTGAAATTGATCTTGTTCGGTTTGTTGCGCGTGTTCTCGGTCAAAAGAATCACCCCCAGCCCTGCTGGGAGAGAGAAGAGGAGAGTGTTCATTGAGCCTATCTGACTCTGGAGCTTCTCCAGTGTTGACTCGTATCGTACTTTCTGACCAGGCTGGGTCAGCATAATTATCGGGTTTCAGGGATGAATCATATTGGCGGCTTGAGGAAGATTCGGGGTCCGCGGACGTGGAGCTCAACAGTGACGAGGTCATTCGATTGAATGGAACCGCTTCCGCGATCCGCAACTAGTTTCGAATAATATAAAATCGGACGATGGAAGTGGGAGTTTGTTGACTATAGTGGAGGAGAGAGAGTCCAAGAATGGGGGGAGGAGGTAGTGGTTATTATTTTCGACAATTTTCGATGGATTTGCGCAAGTATGCTGCTGACTTAGTTAAGCACGTCAAAGAGAAGTTATAAATTACCTATGTATACAACTTGTATACAATATAGTAAATGGTGTAGGTATAGGTATTATGTATGTATGTATGTAGAAGGGATTCGGCAAGTCTGGGGATTCGGGGGAATTTAGCCGTGATGTCTAGACCAACATTTGGTTAATGTACCTAGGTAGTTGGTACCTGGTAAGTAGGCAGGTACATAAGGTCGTGACCCCCCAATATTGGTCGTCACGCGGTCAGGACTCGAGGCGGCAGCACGAGATTCGACCAAAATGTTTGAATGGTGGCATGTAGTAATTGGTTCAAAAATGGTTCTAACAAGAGATATTATACAAAATACTATCAACACTTAATAGGTTCCTGAGACACCGCATAATTGCCCATGACCTTCTTTGACAAGTCGGAATGCCGAGGCTGGGAATATTGTGACAGGACGGGAAGCGATGACATCAGGCACTTGGCGACGTAAAGGGCATAAGAAGAAATAGCAGCTTCCGATTTCCGGGTCCAAAGTCTACATAATATCGTATAATAGTGGAGTTTGGATCTGGTAAGTTCCAATTTGCACCTGTTCTTATCTGTTTAACAGTTGGTAACGGACAAAACGGCAAGTGCTAGTGCATACTTATTAGTACTTGGCACTCCATACTCTAAAAGGGGTTAGTTAGTGGGTAGTTAGGTCAACTACTTTTTACATCATAAAGTGTCTGAGACTCTGAGTCTCTGAGAATAACCACTAGTTACACGCTAAGTGGGCACCGATGCCATACACAGTTAGTACTTATATTACATAAAGCAGCTTAGAGGTGCAGTTATTGAGAGTAAATATGTACATAATGAGTAGATTAACAAGGCCCCTGGCAAATGTACCTAGGTACATACATACCTGATACGTAACATTCTGGAACTGACTACACCTTGCGGCTGCAGCAGATCACATTCAATGTTGAGCCAAACTATCGAATTCAACATCAATGTTCTATAATTAATTAAGCGCAATACCAAAAAACCGACCTTCACAGCTTCAGCACAACTGCCATTCATCCCGTTTTCTTGTTCCAGCATTGCGAACCTCCTACGTATATGAGTTCACACGCCGATTATTCAGTGCTCGCTTTGGAGCGAAAGGCCTTTATCTTGCCAAGCCTTCAATCACCCACCTGAGGCCCTCACTATCCGTGTCGCGATCATGCTCACAGAAATCGCTAGCTCCGTCATGGAGCTTGCTCGTATGTTGAATATGTGCTCTTATGATTAATATCTTCTAATATGATTGATATACTGTAGGACGAGCGGAAGAGGAAACGGATCCCGATGGTATGGAATTGATCCAACATCTCGTTGCGCAGCTCGACCCTCCCACTAGTCAATCCCCCTCCATCTAACATTGCGTAACAGAACCCGAGGATGGGGACAAGGAGGTATTCGCATCAAGAGCCCTCCTCATATCCGTCATACTCCTCCTCATAGCCTTCTTTACGAGCTATATACTACAACAGAAGAAAGTCCAAGCTGTCCACGAAACAGTCATCTCGATATTTGCTGGTTGGTTCCATATTCCCCGCCCCGAGAAAATCGAGAAGAAAACGATCGCAACAATCAACTAATAATTGATACTAGGAATGACGGTTGGGTTGATTCTTCGAGTTAGCACTGGCCACTCTATTCAACAGCTTGTGAGCTTTGATTACCAGATCTTCTTCAACCTTCTCCTCCCGCCCATTATTCTAAACTCGGGTTACGAATTACACCAAGCCAACTTTTTTCGAAATATCGGCACCATTTTGACCTTCGCTTTTGCCGGAACCTTCTTATCCGCCGTCGTAATAGGCCTTATACTATGGCTGTATACTCGAATACCGTTGGAGGGGTTGGATATGACATTTGTTGATGCCATCTCTGTTGGCGCAACGTTGTCTGCCACTGATCCTGTCACCATCCTGGCCATTTTCAACACCTACAAAGTGGACCCCAAGCTATATACTGTGATTTTTGGTGAATCCATCCTAAACGATGCTATTGCTATTGTTATTTTCGAAACCGCGCAGAGCTACAAGGGTGGCGCTGAAGAAACATACGGCTTTATCAACTTCTTCGAGGGTGTGGGCCTTTTCTTGCTCAATTTCTTCGGAAGTTTACTCATTGGTGTCCTTTTTGGTGTTGGTACTGCGCTCGCCCTCAAATTCACGTATATTAGAAGATACCCTCAGATTGAGACTTGCATGGTTGTGTTAGTCTCATACGCAAGTTATTTCTTCGCTCAGGCAGTAAGGCAATCAGGTACGGACTGCCCAATTCATTATCCTTTGCATATGAACCAGGAACTAAAACTTGAACGACAGGCATCGTGTCACTACTATTTTGTGGTATCACTCTCAAACACTATGCTTATTTCAACATGTCGCGACGAACACAACTCAGTACCAAGTACTTCTTTCAGATATTGGCGCAGTTATCTGAGAATTTTATTTTCATCTATTTAGGGTTGTCGCTATTCACGGACAACGACTTACAATTCCAACCGCCTTTAATCATTGTCACTATTGTTGCCGTTTGCGCGGCGCGATGGGTAGCTGTATTTCCTTTATCAAAGGCAATCAACTGGTACCATCACTACCGAGCGCGCCGACAAGGTAGAGAGGTTGCCGATGAGCTACCATACAATTACCAAGCCATGCTATTTTGGGCCGGTTTGCGGGGTGCTGTCGGTGTAGCATTGGCTGCGGTATTGAAGGCAACTAACAAATATGCACTTCGAGCGACCGTGCTTGTTGTGGTGGTGCTCACCGTTATCATATTTGGCGGCACTACGGCACGAATGTTAGAAATACTAGGTATCAGAACCGGGGTTGTAGAAGAAGTTGATAGTGACGATGAGTTCGATATTGAGGCGGCACCAGGGGGCTCTTATTACAAGCGGTCTGGGAACGGAATTGGGTATAACCCCAGGCAGAGGAATGGATCGGTACGTCTTGACCGTGTGGGTTCCGGGAGATCTCGCGCAGCCACAGGCCCAGAACGAGGCAGCTACGTATCCGGGCATCGATCGCCATCATTCCCAACCTCGCGCGCTGGAAGCTCGAGTCGTAAGGGGGCTCGTCCAGCTTCTGGTGATGAGACTGAACGAGCGGATCTCTTGGGTCGTAACGGTAGCGTGACGGACTCAGATCTAGGGAGTGATATAGACACGTCGGATCTGCCGCCCCCTGCGCGCAAGTCTTCTCGTAGTAGGTCGAGCCCTATCCTCACGCCCGGCGGTACATCGGAAGAAGAAGGGGTATTCTCATACCCAACATCAGGTCATCGGGAGGCAGCTCCCGTTTCTGCCAGAGCAGCTTTCAAACAATTACTCACCGCCCCTGATCCCCACGCGTTATTTAGACAGCTTGATGAGGATTTCATCAAGCCTAAACTACTCCTCGATGGTGGTGGTGGTAGTGGTGGCCAAAACCACGGGAGGGGGAATGGGGAAGGAAGCTCCGGGTCGAGCTGAGCGTGTAAACTATTTTCATCTTGAAAAGTGTATCACTGCGTACCCATAGATAGGATATTGTAATCTACCTACCTACATACATATGATATATTAGACCAGAGGTTCATAAAAGCAAACTGGAGTTCTGGATGCTTGTTTTATTCGTACCTGGGTTTGTTGTATGCTATGCCTGCAGTTGTTAGTGACAGCCCTGGAGGTGCAAGGGCTTAGCCTAGCTTACATGTAGGCAATGTCTACGATCATTTGTAGCACTCTTGGCATAGTCTTCGATATTGGAACGCAACGTTTTAAAGATTGAATTCCATGATTACATACTTATGTAGGTAATGAGTGCATGTCTATATGTATCAATACCATACAAACAATGGTACCTTCATGCATATGTGTATGTACATCAATTGTTATCTGATGCAGTGATGTGTTGCTAATCTAATATAATATTGGGTAACTGTTGGCTGTGTAGTTTGTTAGCGGCTAACTAGAACAAGTAGCATCCATTGAATTTAACTATTAGATTTCCAAACTTACCAACCTAGGGTACATAAGTACTGGGTAGTACTAGGTAGTAAGTACCTTAGGTACTAGGTAGATACATAGTTAGTCAGATTCCGATAATCTGCCGGGCTGGCTAAGCCGGCTTAAACTGTACTTATCAATAGGGGATCTAGTGGGGAACAATTACAGGTGGCACAGGCTGTTACGAAACAGCTGGACAAATGGGACTTGATTACCCCTACGGATTCACTACAAAGTACTATAACCTTAGTACGGTGCATTAACAACTACTATTAACACTACCACTTACCACTACCAACCAAAACTTGGACTCCAGTATACAAAAGACGAAGAAACGAAGAAACGTTTCTAGGTACCAACAACCATTTCCCAAGACATCGCCTGTTTTTTTGCATCTTGGAGGCGCATACTTGAATTTATTCACTGTGAACATCAGTAGCTTACTCTTCCGTATGGATATGCGTCAATTATAGCTGCAAGGCGCATGCTATCTTCCTCCATGCCACGATCGTGAAAGATAAACCCCCCGACCGCTGCTATCCTTTACCTTTACCGACTCCCACCCCATCTCCCTTTACCAACGAATATACCCCTAAGTTTTGAACCGTTAGTATGGCCTCCTACGGAAACACCATCCCAATGGCTGCCTCCCGCCCTGACCACCAGGCTGCTTATGGTGCGCCAATGCAGATGCATGCTCAAATGCCCATACAAGGACCGCCTGCTCCCGCTGGCACCTTTGCCCCGGGAACCAAGATCCAAGTCGGTAATCATAGGGTGGTGATCCAGAAATACCTTTCAGAGGGCGGCTTTGCACACGTTTACCTGGTAAAACTGCAACGCCCCGTCGACGGAACCGACCAGGCCGTATTGAAGAGGGTTGCCGTGCCGGATAGGGAGACGCTCCGCGGCATGCGGACAGAGGTTGAGACTATGAAAAGGCTTAAGGGACACCGAACCATTGTTACATATATCGATTCGCACGCATCCGAGCTGAATGGAGGGGGGGGTTACGAGGTCTTCCTGCTCATGGAGTACTGCAACGGGGGTGGCTTGATCGACTTTATGAATACACGACTGCAGCACCGTCTTACTGAACCCGAGATCCTAAATATCTTCTCCGACGTTGCAGAGGGTGTTGCTTGTATGCATTATCTCAAGCCACCCCTGTTACATAGGGATTTGAAAGTCGAAAACGTCCTCATTACGATTTCTGGCTCGAGGAAGAAGTTTAAGCTGTGTGATTTCGGTTCGGCCGCACCGCCCAAAGCCGCACCCCAGACTGTCACAGAATGCCGCTTAGTGGATGAAGACATCCAAAGACATACTACATTGCAATACAGAAGCCCGGAGATGATTGACGTATACCGAAAGCAGCCGATAGATGAAAAGTCAGACATCTGGGCTCTGGGAGTCCTGCTTTACAAACTATGCTACTATACTACACCCTTTGAGGATCAAGGGCAGCTGGCCATTTTGAATGCAAGCTTCAAATATCCTAGCTACCCGATATTCTCAGATAGATTAAAACAACTAATCGGTAAGCGATGGCATCCTCTGTCTAAGGATTATTACGCTAAGAACAGTCATTAAGCATCCATGTTACGAGAGGACTTACGATCTCGACCTAACATTTATAAGGTACTCCGGGAAAGCTGTTTGATGCAGGGCCGGGAAGTGCCTATCCATGATGTACGTTAAACTACTTCTATTTCGTGATACTCTAACTGACATTCCTTAGATTTATACCGGTCAACCTCGGACAGAACCGAGGAGTGAAAAACAGCCAGGTACGGCTATAGGTGCAGTATATTCTCCGCCGCCAAAACCTCAAGGTCAAACGATCCCTGATATTACCCCCATGAGGCGCGGTAGACCATCTGCTACCAGCCAAGCAGCACCAAATCATCTATCAAAGCCCAGTCCATCCCCGGGAAGAGTCACAAGTGGCGATCCATTTGCCGCACTAGACTCCAAAACCGGTAGCAATTTCAGTGCGGACGAATTATCATCGAGGTTCCCAACCCTCGACCAGTTCTCTCTCCTACATGACCATGGCGCCCAGTTCGACTTTGATAATGCAACATCTCCTGCAGATTCACAGAGGCAACCGGGTCAACGCATTGCGGATCATGTGAATGATGCTTTCGCTAGGACCCAGCCTATGGCGGGAACAAGCCGAAGAGGATCAACAGATTTAGGCAGATCAAAGCCGCCAATGGCTGCGAACGAACTACGGAGGTCATCACCGCCCCTCGGATCCGTCAACAAACCTGGTTCTGTCCCTCCAAAGCAGCCTTCAGAAATGAGCCGTGCTTCAGCTATCATCTCTAGTAATCCTGAGCTTCAAGCTATCGCATCCCCTCCGCTGCACGCTTCGCAAGAATTTCAAAGCAGGCCATCCATGGTATCTACTGGAACAATGACCAGCACACCTCCTCGAGATTACCCCCCAGTTCATCGATTTCCTCCAGCCGACCAAAACCACCTGCCGAGTTTGCCTGGCCAACAAGAGTCAGTGGGCACTGGTCAAAAACGACCAGAATTCAATTATGCGTTGCGGCCTATGCCGGCTCCTCGGGCAGAGTCCATGCAACCACTACCGTCGCATGCTCGACACACGTCTTCGTCGCGTCCATCACTAGAAGGTAGTCGACCAAGTGTTGAACACCTGGAACCCTTAACCAAGTCGTCGTCAATCGGAGGACGTCCCAGACCGGCCAGTACATATCTTGAATCAGACATGGACTATCTTCGAGAAAGAGAGGCAGCTCCTAGGCCCCTCCGTTCCCCAAGCTACTCGCCGAATTTAATAGGGAATTCTTCATCCCCGAGACTAGAGCCACAGGACGAATCAGCGATAGAATCCAATGTGGATTTTCTCCGAGCTATGGAAGACGCTGAGGGAAAGAAGAAGGATAAAGGTACCAAGCAACATACGAAGCGAGCTAGTCTCTCCTCTTTGGCGGGTACCAAAAACATCCTAGCAGGCAGATTCGGCGACGCGTTCAAACGCTTCGAGAGTAATCCCTCCGGCTCAGGGGCAAGGACCCCTTCCCCGCTTAAGGATATGGAACGCCATGATTTAACCCCTATTGCTGGATCAGAAGCCACGGACGACCACAGTGATAATGGCCAACTTCTGGGAGAGCCCGAGCTGACACCAGAGATGCGACGAGAGCTTGAAGCACAAGCTCTCGCCGAGGAGGAACGGCGAGTGGAGGCGGCAGCAGCTGATTATAAGCAGCGAATGGCGGCACGAGATGCTGCTGGCTCATCAGCTCCGCTCCCTAAAAGTATCGGTGGAGTCTCGCGAGCAGTAAGTATACAGAACCGCGTGCAGAATCTGCTAGACGAGTCTCAGAAATCCTCCCAACAAGTCCAACGTACAGCAACAGGCTATGGGAAGTTTTCAGATGCCGCCGCGCCAAAAGCTCGGCCAGAGAAGCAAGCTCCCGAAGTCCCTCGCAAGCTAGTCACGGGCGGGAAAGGTCCTGCTCTTCCGCTCAAGCCCGTTAATACCTCTACGGAAGCCATCATTACAAGAGGACGAGCTCCTGATCCCATCCCCATCTCGCCTAACAAACCGACGCTGCCACCGAAGCCAACACACCTCAACAATTTACCAACCGGGAGTAGCCGGGCGAGATCGCCTCCTAAACAACCGCAACAGCGAACACCAGGTCCCTCTCACCGCAGCTCTGAAGAGCACCTTGCTGGCGTCGGGTTGCCAGGGCGACCGATCCTCGATATGACCTTCAAGGAGAAGGAGGACTACATCCAGGACTTCTCCAAGAGGTTTCCCAGCCTGAGCTCCATTGAGATGGTGGAGCGCGATCTGGACGCTGAGATAGATAATAAGGGGAAGCGATAGGGGCGCCTTACCTTATCTAACTTGACATGAGGAAGAAAAGTAAAGAAGAAGAAGTGTACGCTTATATGCGAAAGTGTCGATTGATGTTGTGTGACTAAAAGAACGAAGATGAAGAGAACATTGAAAGAGGACAGGCGATGAAGCCAGTAGAGAGAGCGAGCGAGAAAGACGAAATAGAAGAAGAAGAAGCAAAAGCTAGAGCAGCCATATATATTTTACCTACCCCATACCAGAACATCAACATCAACAACTACAACAACAACCAGAATACCTACCTAACCAACCGTTAACTTAGAAGGGGGGAGGAGCTGGGAAAGGAGGCAAAGGGGGGCGGTATAAAGAAAAAGAAAGAAGAAAAAAAACCGTTTTAGTTGGTTGGCTGGTTCGGTTCGGTTCGGTTCGGTTTAAGCACAAACAGTTGGGTCGAAGTTGAGTTGAGGTTGGTTAGTACATACACATACACATACAATATCATACAAGTCATACATATATACCTACCTACCTACCTACCTACCTACGCACGAAGAGTACGCGGTCCATTTACACCATATACCTCTCTACCTCTCTTTTTCACCTTTACCTAGGTATATATTCAACCTTACTCCTTACTTAGATGTCTACCAGAATGTAGGCCCTTTCTACTACCTACTTCCTTCCTTCCTTCTTACCTAGTACCTACCACCATGCAATAATGGTTAACCCACTCACAAATGGGAGTCATCATGTCAAATTAAATGTTACCTATGTTTTAGACGTGGAGAAACAAACAAACCAGGCGTTCACAGAAGGGGGTAATTGAATAAGCATGCATCATCTGGCACATTTTTTTACCTTTACTAGGAACACCAACTACTACTGCTTTTTGTTATCTTTTTTATTGATGATATTGATAGCTACCTACTTTATGATGCTGGGTGATTTCAAGTTCGAATGTCGACTTGATGCGAGATAGCTTAGCTAGTTGGTAGGTGGCTATCAGTACTTATAAGCTAGGTGTTATACCTGGTCCTTCGCGAACTGTTGGAGTAAATATCCGCCGTTGTATAGCTCACGGGCTGTCTGTCTGTCGTCTCTTCCACCACGACGCGTGCCTATATCATGTGCTGCAAATCATAGCAGCGTGGCTCATAAATCCGTCCAGCTTCATGTTGAAGCAATATCCCCCCAAATCGTAGGCACCTCTGCGACCACCATGGCAGAATCAGTGTTCACTACGTGTGCCTTTCTCTTGTAGGCATGGCCCGGAATAGCGGTTTTTTTCCGGTTTTTTTCCGGTTTTTTTGGGGGGGGGGGTTTTTTTTTTTGGGGGGGGGGGGGGGGGGGATGCGCGCGTGTATATGCGCGTGGTACAGCTAGTACTCAGCGAGGAGAACAAAGAGGAGACCGAGTTTAGGGATCCTGTCAATGATTGCATCAATAGACGCATCAAGAACCACATCATCCTCAGCCTCTTCCTCAAACTCGTCATATTCCTGCGGTGAAAACCCCCACCGACTCACAGCAAACTTCTTATTCTTTTTATAGATTCTGTCTGCCATTTTCTTGAGCTGTTCTCGGTTGTATAACAGACAATACGCGAACGGGTCCCGTATCAAGTCGCTTCTGATCCTCTCAAGAAGCCTGCCAATCACTGCATTTTTCAACTTTGGGTTGCCAGGCAAGTTGTGATTGTTGCTCGATCTTGCAATCCAGTCCAGCCATTTGGCTTGAATTGAGAACTTCATGGTATTCCAGTTGAATATGTGCATCTGTTCGTGGGAGTAATTTGCTTCGAATCTCGCTGCACATGATTTGGTGGCTTCTTCTGTTTTGAGAGCAAGAATGACCTTGTCGACTTCAAAGGGGTCCAAGAGGTCAATAGTTCTGAAAGAATCGTTGCCAAATAGATTCGTAATAGCCTTGTTTTCAGAGTTGCCTTTCAGAGTGAAAAAGTTTTCACCCTCTTCGCCTTGCATGATGAAATTGACAGTACGAAGCGCCGGCATGTTGTCGGCCAGGCGATCAACCCAGGCACGCTCCTGCTCCTCCCTCCAAAAAACTGTAAACCCTTCGAAGACTTTAGAAATAGTGATCGATTGGAGGTGCGCTGCAATGTTGCCGCAAAACTTCAAGCAAGAGTCCATCTGAGGATCAAATTCGTCAAGAATGACCACTAAATGTTAATGTCAGTAGAATGTTAAACGATACAACCACATCAAAGAGACAGGTAAATTGATGACAATATGCCACTCTGGATTGTACATACCGAAATCTTTCTGTGGATCAACCCATCCACGGCGTCCGGGATGACCGCTACGGTAAGATGGGCCTCCATCATCCATATACAGACGGCGAGCGACCTCACCCTCGCTTTCGAAGTACACCTTTCGTGAGTCTTGGCAGGTGCGGGTGATGGCTGGTGGTGGAAGTCCCTTCATTTTTTGGTTGCTCCAGAGAACAGAGGCTCGTCTATAGATTGACGCTTTCCATATCATGAATTGTAGCTCTTTAGGTAGCCTGCTGAACTTGGGGAACGTATCGGGTGCCATCTTTGCAGGTGGGCTTGTCAAAGCGGCAGATGAATTAGACGATGCCATGTCTAGAAACCCTGCCCAGAAGAGGCTCAGAACTCTAGTCAATGGGTAGGTGTATAAGGTGAGCTTATGCTATAGATGAAATTGTTAGTCAAATATGACACTGATAGTTGGACACCTTAGGTTAATGTTTATAACCTTGTACTTAGTATTTACCTTGTAGTTTCGTGGCTGTTTCGTTATGGATCACGATCAAGTTTACCCTGATAATAGTACTGGCAATGGCAATGATGGAAAGTTTGAGTTTGAGAAAATAGAATTGTGCTTCGCATTAATTGATTTATATAGGCGAGGGAAGTACATCGTGCCTTCCTCAAGTATATAGAGGTAGTTGCCCGAAACACCATTGAACAGTGCGGCCTGCTTTTTACTGTTATATTAAGTTTGCTAAAATTTATAAACGAGGGAAGTCGCGATATTCACACGATGCGTGACTTCGTTAAAATTTATAAAAGAGGGAAGTTGCGAGAATCAAATGATGCGTGATTGTCTCTTTTTTTCGGCAAACTTGGAAGCTTCCCCCCCTATCTTGAGTTCAGATGATCCACATTAGACGGTGCACCTAACACCGGCGGCTTCCCTATGACTTTATCAACTACTAATATAGAAGTGACATACTACTAGGTAGGTACTGTATTAATTCGATACACTTATACACAGTAGTTTCCAACTATATATAGGTAAGCAGTCGCATTGCCCTTTCTTCAAGTTATTTTAGGCAATTCCATCCAGGACACCGTGCCAATATCTACCCTCCTAGGTACCTAGTAGGTACTAACATTTCTCAACCTCCAGGACTAAAATACTGCTCTAATCAAGCGATAAGGCAGATTCTTCCAGGTCTTCTCCTCCATTTCTTCCATTCCCTCCTCAATTACTATTGGACGAGCACCAGCATTCAGGTCGATGTCAGAGAGTTTGACCCACATCCTCCAATTACCAGTCCAGGCCTTCCAGAACAGATACAACATGATGACAATGGGAGCCGCTAGGTATTGCTGGAAAAAGGCTGCCGCGTCTGGCTGCGAGTCGGGTGAAGGCTAATGATCCTACATGTTAGCCATGGTACTAGTACTGACTCACACATCTACTGCCTCCAAGCAAAGGGCAAGGGAAGTAGAAAGATACTGATTTGCAACGGATTTGGGTACACTTACATAGAGGGCATTGTAAAATGTCGCAATCAAGCATAGCCAGTTGAGGCCCAAGCCTATAGCACTACCCCAGATTCCCAGCGGAGCCCGATAGGGAATTTCTCTCAAGTCACGCCCTTGAGCCTTCCATGCCATTCGAAATCGGATGTGAGCAAGGCAGCAAGAACCCCAGACGAAAAAGTAGGACAATCCTGAAAGGGAGAGCAACCAAGTGAAGACGTCTAGTCCATGCGATGCGACGCCTAGGTAACCCAGAAAACCAAACAAAAGCTGGATCACAATACACCATAACGGGCGCCCCGCCTTGTCGATATAGGCCAGGAATTTGGGCGCCATTCCGCGTTCTGCCATTGCTTGCATCGTGCGAGTCGATCCGAAGGTACACGAGTTGGCGACACTGATGACCGAGATAGTGATGACCACGTTAAAGATAGACGGCAAGACAGCGATGCCAGCATCCTGGATAGCAAGCACGAAAGGCGAGAAGCTCGAGTTCGCGGAGGTCGCATTCTCCAGACGGCTATCGTCCGATGGCATGATGAGGCCAAGGATGAATAGGTTAATGATGTAGAAGAAAGCGATACGGAAAAAGACTTGCTTAGATGCCAGGGGAATCGCGCGTCTAGGGTTGGATGACTCGGCAGCTGCTAAACCAACGAGCTCGGTACCGCCAAATGCGAAGGCTGCCACGACGAAGACGCCAGCAAATCCGTTGAAGCCATTCTTGAAGGCGCCCGGTTCATGCCAGTACCTGGCTCCAATGTAGCCCTTATCACCGACTCCTCCGCAGTTTATGACGATGCCTAATATTATAAATCCTAGCTTTCATTTAGTAAACGCCCATGTTTTCAATGTGAAGATACGAACCTGTACAAGCGGCGATCTTGATCATACTGAGGACAAACTCGACTGTGAACCGTTAGTTATCTAGCTGATAATGGAAACCGTCGCCGCGATGCATCGGATTCTAATTTACCTTCACCATAGCCTCGCACACCAAATATTTGGATCAAAGCTAGGACAGCCAAGAAAACAGTAACCCAGATAGCCACGTTGAGATCTTCTCTCCAGAATTGAATGGTGATACCGGCAGCAATCAGTTCAAACGGTAATACAGTGAGCCATGCAATCGCATAGTCCCATCCCATCGCAAACCCCCTAGGCAAGATGTTAGTGTTAGCATTATGGAGGCATGTTGAAGGCGTACCAAGATGGGTCGACGAAGCGAACAACGTAAGTATAGAAGGCACCATTGACAGGGTAGAGCACAGCCAATTCGGCCAAAGCCTGCATCGTGAATAGCAACATAATACCAACAATCAAGTATCCGATAACCTGTGAAAAGCAGGATGTCAGCACCAGAAGCGACCACAATATTCGCATAATAGAAAGAGAAAAGGGGATGCTTACCAACGCAGCTGGACCGCCCTTGTACAGAGCACTACCCGAGCCAATGAATAGACCAGCTCCAATAGCACCACCAATTGCTATCATCTGCATATGGCGACTTCTTAGATCGGTGTGAAGCTGTCCGGGTTTGCTGACGAGGCCGACTTCTTCATCGTGGGTCTCGGCCGTGTGCGTGCGCGGCTCCGTCGCCGCGTCTTCCTTCTTGGCATGGTGCTCGGTAGTATCCGACATGGTGACGGGTATGTATGTATGCTGTTCCTCCCCCCAAGAAACTTGGCGTGCCTACAGCGTGGGATGATCTCAAAAGCTTAAATCGCTAGATATGGAAATGCCAAGGCTCTGAGAGAGGAAAGGAAAAGGGAGGGAAGGGGAAGGGATGTGTGAGGTTTTAGGGGACGCGGCTGGATTGGTATATATGTGTATTCTCTCAGCTTGCTGGGTACAAGGTTATGCAGACATGTTCATGTAACTAACATAGTAGAAGATTATGTACAGGCGGGCGCCGTCTACGGGTCTAGGCCGTTCTCCCTGGGACTGCCCGGGTCACTGGTCTGTATTGTACAATACATGTATCGTGGCGCTCCAAGGATGAGCTTCTGTGTACGCCTACATACATACATTGATACATAGTAGTAGGTTAGAATGTATGTAGCTGCATGTGTGTTTTGACTACTGCGCCTGGTACCTATCTGGTTAGTTATTTACTTACTTACATGTTCAAGGCAAACCCAGACAGACAATGGGCGAGCTTGGCTGCCTCGTGCAACCCGAGAACCGCGTACCTACCTACATATGTACTGTAGCTTCCTGCCCTTTGAGACAATCGCGCGGTTAGGGACGAAAACATTTGATTCAATAGAGCTTAGTTAGTACCTACCTAACTTTAGTATGTATCGATTTCAGCCCTCTCTCTCTCTCTCTCTCTCTCTAGTTATCTCTCGCTTTCTGTCTCTATGTACAATGTACATACCTAGTTCGGAATTCGAATCTACCCATGTCTGGATGTCTGGATGGATGGGATGGATGGATGGATGAATGTATGTACCGGACGGGGGGGGGGGGGGGGGGGGGGGGGACGATACCGATACCTACATTTGATATCTATCTACTGTACGTAGGTAGGTATGTATCTGCTCGATCTGATCAGCATTGAAGTTCAATAAAAATTCCATGGCGATGGGCAATGGGCTCTAAACTACCTACCTAACTGCAAGCTGTGTAGCTTGGTTTGGAAACGCACATACATACATGGGTTGTGCCTGCTAGTAGTAGTACTAGGTTAGGGAGGGTTAGTTGGTTAGATAGGTAGATAGATAGATAGATAGAGATGACTAGTTAACTATGTCGATGTTATGTTATCTTGCTTGCTGGCTGGCTTGCTCAGCTGTATGTACATTGTAGGTAGGTAGGTAGGTAGGTAGGTATGTATGTATGTATTAGGTCAGGCGGGTTAGGCCCAAAGAAGATAGATATTACCGATGTAGCCTTCAGTGCCCTGCTTTTTATGTAACTATATACAATGTAGGTAGTTATAGGTAATCAGGGTTTTTTGGTAGCTCGAGGGTAGATATCTAGTTAGGTTAGTTAGGGTTAACTACCTAACCTAGTAGGTTGGTAGGCTAGGTTGGTGATGCGGTGATTTGATCGTTTGAGGGTGGCCTTATCTCGATGGATGGATGGGATGTGGATGTGTTTTGTTTTGGGGGAGGACGGGGAGAGGAGAGGAGAGAGAGGGGGGGTCCGCTCAGCCCTGTGGTAAGGTAAGTATGTAAGTGCTTTCGGATACCTACCTATCTACATAGACACGACGATGTCCGTTGTTTTAGTCACTTATTACATAGGTAGGCTTATTAGTAGGAATGTAGGTTAAATGTGTAGCGAAGGAAGGCTGCTGCTCGTTATTCTTGAATCTCGAGATACATGTAGGTTTCAAGGTTGACTTACATAGCTAACATTCCCTACCTAGTACGTAGCATCATTCTACTACGTACTACTAGTATTACTACTTGCACATCGTACGAAGCTAGTCAGATTTAGGTACGTCGCACAAGATAAGGTTCTAGAACAACCACGCGCTAAATAAGAAAGAGACTAGCCCCCCCCTGGGGAGTTGGAAGGAGAAGCGCGTTTGGGGATGATCCCGCCAGAGAAGAAGCTCGGTCTTACTACGCAGTATGTAGGCGAATGGGTAATGGCCAATGGGAGTGGGCGCATTTGTTTCTTCGTCCTTATCCTTATCCTCCTCCTATCCTGCGAAATAAGGGTAGGTTGGCCCATAGTAACATACATCCCCCCGGCCCCACACCCAGTCCGCGCTGTCGGTTTTCTTGAATGGACGTCATTTTCGATTTGGAAGCTAATTATTACCCTCCTTTATTTAGTTTGGGGTTGGTTTAGTTATTATCTAGTATCTAGTATGTGTTCCGGTGGTTGATAGGTAGATTAGGTTGGGTTAGCTCGTTGATTCGAACTCGGGGTTGCCTTGGCAGGGATATAGAATAGGTACGGTAGGTACCAGGTTAGGGAGGTATCTGAATCTTGTATGGAGGATCGATTGGCGTGGTTTAAATCCAAGATTCACAGTTCTATAGGAGGGGGGGAGGGATGTGTATAGGTACGGAGTCGGATAGATACCTATTGGTTGGGTAGGTAAGTAAGTAGGCAGACAGACAAACATTGAAAGTCCTCCTTGCTTCATTACCTAGCCATAGTTATTGACCCCGCGTCAACCTTTCTCCTTTTCTTCTAACTATCTGTATCTAATGTCTACATGTAGCATCTTGCTATTCTCTTCATGCGCGTTCGCGGTGACTGGATTAGGAACCGAACTATCCAAGTTAATTAACCTAACCTAACCTACCTACTTACCGGCCTCTAAGAAACGCGTCTAAGTAGCCTTAAACCTTTAGTAGGCACCTAGGTAATTAACCTAAGGTTAGTTGCTTGCAGCATGATACGTAGCCTATGTATGCATGTATTTCGCCTCGGCTTCCGCCCCTTCTTCAGCTCGTGCGACACGTGGGATGAGAAATCACCTGAATTGAGTCCGCCCGGATGTCAGCCGTGTCTCGTCTGACGCATAGGTACTACGTGGTTTTGGGAAGTTTTAGAATGGTAAAGTGTGGCGTGGCGTATTTTTTGTGACACCTAGGTTACCTAGGTGGTTTTGTACTGTAGGTATTGTGCGTTTAATTGTCTATAGGTACCTACCTAGGTAAGTCGAATAAAGGGTGACAACGAGAAAGATGGGATACTATAGGAGAGAGCTCTACATACTTAGTAGTCGTTGATCTTGATATGTTTGTACGTCAATTGCCTAATACACCTAGTAATCCAGTAAATATCTACCTTCCCCATGGAGTTACACCCACGGCACTAGGTTAGGTACTAGTCTAGGTAAACATATCCAAGATACCACATGTGATGTGATATGCTCCTATAGGCTAAGATCATGCAAGACCAAGCGGCCGCTACGAAGCTTCTACCTACCGATCCTACCCATTGGTCCCATCCATTCCTTCTAGAAGCCTAGAACCTCCCATGTTTTGTTTGAGGTATTAAGAGGTAATAATACCAAGATTTATCAAGTTACTAACCGTACCTAGTGTAGGTTGGACAGTTCCATCGTGTGATGACGACGGCGAGATGCGGAGATTTGGGGATTAGACTCAAAATAGGGAAATAGGGGTTCAGCTACATGCAGGTGCCTACTTGCCTACCTAGGTAGGCCTACGCGGGCTACCTAGCTCGTCTAGGTAATTACCCAAACAAACAGATAGGCAAGCACCTCACAAACACACAAACGTCACGCCCTCCAACACCGGCACATCCATCCCCATCTCCTTCACGTCCACCATGCCGCGCTCATACAAGAGCAGCCAAACGGCATCGGGATCCACAGCCTCGAGCGCGGCCCTCGCCTCCGCATTCGTGGGGAGGCCATCGAGCAGCAGCAGCAACACCTGATCCAGCACGTCGTCGTCGAGTTGGACGTAGGACACGATGGCGACGAGGAGGCTCTGCACCGCGTCCCATACACGGGCCGCCTGAGCGAAGCGGCCCAGGCCCCCCGCGGGGCTCGAGACAGTAGTAGCTTCGACGGCCGTGCTGCTTATTCCTTGGTTCTCGATGATGCCGTGCTGTCGTGATCGCATCGGTATGAGTAGGCCCTTATCGACACTAGCACCCCCTTTCCTCCCCCTCCCGCTGTTTTTGTAACTACTGTTGTTAGACTGCCGTGTCGCGTCCGCCTTCACCTTCCTACACCACCTCCCCATATTATCCCACCACTCCGTCTTGATCCTCGTAGCGAGGAAGTCCCCAGCGCTCTCGCACAGGGTAGCCACGGCCCTGCAGGCCGATATGACGACGAACGGCTCCTGGTCGTACAGCCGCTCAACTAGAACCGGCCAGATCGAGTTCACGAGCGGTAAGAATGCGTCTTCATCGGGCGAGAGGGCCGGGCAGACTGTGGTCAGGAGGTCGAGGAGGGATTTTCGCAGGGTGGGCGTGGGGGAGGTCAGATAGTGCTGGGTCAGATCTGTAATCCGGGCTAGGATCTTGAAGGTGGGTGTTTTGGGTGGTGCCGGCTTCTCAACTGTGGTGCTGCCCTCCTCTGCAGCGTCGTCGGCTTCGTCTTGGTTCTTTGCTGGCTCCGTGGCTTTCCAGGGACGTTTTGGATGAGACCCGATTTCCTCGATTTCAGACGCTTCTAGCTGTCGCTTCTTCCGTTTGCTTACGCGGGTGGAAAGGATATCGCCGATCTCTTCGATCGTGGCTGAGGGCGGTGGAATTTTCTTGTGATTGTTCGTCGACGAGTTTGCAGCTTCTACAAGTAAGTGGTCCGATTGCGATCCTTGCTGTACGACTTCTGTGAGGACACTGAACAGACTTTCCACGAATAGGGGATAGCCGTGGTAGTTGTCGAGGGCTGCAAATATGGACGCAATCACATCATCAAGATACGGTATCAGTCGCGGGCCTGTGAGCCGCATCATCATTCGCAGGACTTGGGTTGACGCGGGAGATATATCAAAGGTATTCAAGCGTAAAGAGATAGAGTTGACCATATAGTCAACATTGTCAATGATTAGTTCCGTAACGTTGGAGTATCCGCACGAAGCAGCGATATTGTTTAGACTGATGATCGCATGATCCCGTAATAGGGGTATTTCAGAGCCTAACATGGTGGTAATGGGAAATAGCACATCAATAAGCTCTGGACGAAACCCTTGTTCCATCCTTGACGCTGCAAAAGTAGTAACTTCCAGAGCCAGTGCCTGTAGCCGCCAATCAACTTCTTCCGTTTCGGCCTGCGAGTCTAGAACCGAGACGGAAAAGGAGTATAATTCATGGAAAATAGACTCGCTGTCATCCGATGCACCGCCTACAGAGCTAAAGTCGAGAAAGTCGTCTAGATCTGAAGACTGCGAGACAATCGACTTGACTAGCTCGAATGTTAACCAGTACGATGCTATCTGACTCGGACCAGTAGACTCGCGGACGTAATTGAGCAAGTCGTCTGCCAGCTTGCGCTGCTGCGAGACAGATCCGGCCTTTGAAAGCAGGTTGAGGAATGCCGTTCGGGTAGCTCGCTCTGTTTCCTGTGCTATTAAAATAGGCGGGAAGGCACTAGACCCATCCCGTTTGACCACGTTCATATTCAACTCGACACCATTTGATGTGATCTCTGACATGCCAGTCGATTTCGAAGCAAGGACAAGCGCAGTGGCACTGTCCCTTAGGGATACAGAGAGGGAATCGTCCAATATGGAAGAGTCAATCTGAAGAGTGGCGATGAAATGCTGGCCTTTCGTGAGGTTTTGGATTGCTTGTTGCTTGACTCTATCGTCACTGGCTTGCACCAACCGAGGGAGACTTATGACCCAGTTATACACTACAGTCTTGATTGTATCACCAAGCTCTGGATAGATCCTAGCTAGGTCTGTCAAGGTAGTCTCAAATGTAGCTTTCTCATCTTCATCTTTGGATAGGATCATGGCACTCTCTACTAGTATAGAAGCACATTCCGCGAGTGACTGATGACATTCGTCCAGGAGAGAAATGCAGAGTCTTTCCAAGGCCGACCGAATGTCGTCAAAATTCGTATTGCGTAGCTTCAACACACTTGCAAGAGCGAGTTTTATCCTGGCGGTGGTAGCCTTTAACCACGAAGGGGTCAGAACCTTCGTCTCGTTGCCAGTTTCATTCTCTATTGTCGCTTGCTTCTTTGTCAACCCCATAACATTTATATCTTCTAGGACCTTGATGAGAACGTCCTTTAGGATATTGGTACCGCTGATCAAGACTCTCCTCTGGTGCTTTAATGCCACCGGCGGTGTAAGAAGTCGGCTGAGGGATGACACGATTCCAGGGAGGAAAGTAGCCAGAGCGGCTCGGTCCTTGATTGCCACCACAAGCGCATTTAATGTCCTTAGCGCCTCAAGCTGTATCTCTGGTGTTTTACCATCAGTGATGCACTCTAGCACAATGCTAACGGCGTGGCCTAAGGAAGGTATTGCATTCGTGTTTACCAATGCAGCGGATCCAGCAGATGATAATCCAACGGCCTTGATCAACGACGTTAGGGTACTAAGCGCTTCCAGCTCCGTCTCCTCGGGAATAGGGGCCTTTTTCTCCTGGCCGGGAACACCACCAACGATGAAAGTGAGGAATATTAGAAGCTGCTGAGAAAGCTCGTTTGATATTTTAGCCTTCCATCCATATTCAATGAGTATCCGCAAAGATCTAATGGTGAGTTCTATTAATCGGATGGGATACTCTTGCTGGTTTCGCAGGATATTGGAGAGTGGGAAAAAGATATATTCAGCAAGCTTCTCATCCAGGATAGAAGCATCGACATTAATCTGCTGATCCAAGACGGATAAAAGGTCTTGCACAACATCTGTTAACTCTTTAGCAACCGCCCTCTTGTCGGGTGCGCGCACAGCTAAATTATTGATGGCAACACATCGTGGTTTGAGCTATCATAGATCATCAGTAATCCGGTCTTTACTGCTATAATTGAAGAAATAGAGAAGAGAGATGAACCTTCTTGAAGAACTCCTCTCTAGGGGCCGAAGTATGACTGGACATCTTGAAAGGTTCCCATTATTTCATTGAGAAAAGGGGGTTCATGGGTAGTATTCTGGTTGTTAAAATAGTGTGTTCACTTGTGTTGTTTAGTCTCAAAAATGACTTCAATGTTGACTTTCGGTTTTTGATAAAACATCATTGATGCATTTATCCAGTTGGTCTAGTTAACTACTTAGGTAATTATGCAGTACTTATGCATTTAACCCAGCTTATAGTCGTAGGGCCGATGTCGAATTCCTCATAGCCAACAATTTAGGTACCTAGGTAGACATGATTTACATAAACGAACATCTGCCTAATATATTTCATATATTTCATATATTTCAAAATTAGCAAGATAGTTATCGAATAATCAATTCTATTAAAAGCAAAGAGAGGGAAATGACACCAACTGAAACCTTCACCACGACGGTGCATCCCTTCGACTCGCCAACTTCAAACGCCTGTGCTTACGAAATCGGCCTCCACGACTCAAACAACGCTCTGGTATTTATTGGCGGGCTCGGCGATGGCCCTCACACAGTGCCCTATCCGCGTGCTATAGCAAAACGTCTAGAAGCCGAAATCGACCTGGGCTATTCTGTCTTCGAATTCAGATTAACCAGCTCATTCAATGGCTTCGGCTTTGCTAGTCTAGCTAATGATGTAGCGGATATATCGGCCTTGGTTGAGTATCTACGAAGCATAGGAAAGGGACGGGTGGTCCTCCTAGGTCATTCTACCGGGAGTCAGGTATGCTTTAGCTCATTGCCATGCTTTGTGCCCCTGCCTACATAGTAGTACCCAGTACCTACCTAGATACCTAGGTAGGTACCTAATTAACAGTACCTAAATGCAGGACTGCATGGAATATACCTCACCGTCTCATATCGCCACACCAGTTGATGGATATATCTTGCAAGCTCCCGTGTGCGACCGAGGAGCGATAGCCCTAGACATGGGCGTATCTGCGCTCGACGACGGCCTCAAGGTCGCCAAAGAGCTCATCAAGTCTGGTAGAGGCCTGGAGCGTATGCTGCCTAAACACCTTCCACCCTCATTTGCAAGCACGCCGATTTCTGCTGAGCGCTGGTACGCTCTGGGAGCAGCTGAGTATGTGATCCAGCATTTCTTGACACTCATTCCCCTTATTTGTCTTGCGTGCCTGGTATATATACCTATCTAACCGTGTCTCGTAGTGGTAACGACAACTATTTTGACCCTGCGCTTCCGGATGAGGTAATTGGTCCCTATTGGAAACGAGTAAATAAGCCGATTTTGATACTTCATTCGGGTGAGGATGAGTTTGTGCCTAAATCGGTCGATAAGGAGGCGCTGATCCAACACTGGAAATCGCTCTGCCAACCAGGCATCGCAAGTGAGCTCTCCGGTGTAATTCCGGGTGCCGGCCATAGAGTAGAAGAGCCCGGGGCGGAGAAAATACTCGTGGAGACGGTGGTCAAGTTTTTGAAGAGCATCGCGTAGGTAGTCACGGGAAGAAAAGGGGAGCGAAGAAAAAACTTAAGACCACCTAGGTACAGGATTCTAAGAAACAATATTCTAAGAAATAAGTCGAAAGCATCTATGGGAGTGCTGTTCAAATTCAATCATTCGGAAGGTATATACATAGAATCCGTCATAGTCTTGACTTGAAACAATTCAATCGATTACCTAAACGAATATTTACTAAGTTCCGTAACACCAACATAAACGGCGACCTCGACCCGGGAGCGGGCTTAGACTAAGATTGAAGGCTGTGGCCGTTTCCTAGCGGCGAGGGGTCGCCGATGGTAGACGCCGGACAACTTTCCGTTTAAATGTCATCGCCGAAACGACTCAGGTAGACGCCGGTAGGACAGCAATCTAACGTAATACCTAATAATCTGTTGGATTTCTCATTCCAAGCCTTTTCAACCTTCTTCCTCCAAACCTGATTGTTTCCAAACTACCTAACCAACACCATCACCATTTCCCACAATTTGACTCTAAATTATCATCTCAACCTTCAAAATGTGTTTCGGCGCAACGTGCCCAACTTGCTGTTAGTAAATTCTACACTTCACCATTTTTGATATCGACCTACCTACTCCATCATCGCTATTATTAAAACTAAAATATTAACCGTGTCGCAGCAAAGAAGGCCTGGCGGGGCTGCGGCTCGCACATCCCTGCTGCCCTTTCGGGGGTTCCCGAGGATCAATGGTGCACTTGCGAGCCGCGGGTCACGGTCGACGGGAAAGCGTATCCTCCCGCCGCGAAGGTGGCGGTTCCCGGCCTATCGTGGTTATCGAACGCTTTCGGAGGCGGAGGTGATCAGGCTAAGGCCGGTGAGGAGACAAAGGGAAAGGGAGGTGGAAAAGGGGAGCTTTGAATAACTACCCTAACCTAGGTACTTCAATGTTATCAATATTATCATATCTCAAACTAGTCATTTTAATGAAGCTTTTTAAAGTTTATATAATAATTACGTCCATAACTGCGACATCGCTCCTTATCAGTTCTAGATATTTATCAGAGTTTATACTTGCATCTACCTAACCTTAGGTTAGCTATCTAATACCTACATACTATGTAGTACTATGTAATGCTACCCCACGCCCCTCTCTTCTCCCCCCTCTCCCCAGTCCCCAATCAACCGTCATCATCCAATCACGATAAGTACATAAACATATTACTTGATTAAGCAGCCTTATCTCTACTATCTCCTTACAGCTCGACTTCATCAGACGATGAACTCTTTATAGCAGTTTTCAGTCTCAATTTATTTGTACAGGTTCCTATTCTTAGATGATTTATCTAACTGAAGGCCTCTTATCGCTGATATAGCAAGGTAAAAAACAGCCCAAGATGCTACTCCTGAACCCCCTCCTATTAGCCGCCGCATCTGTGGTCTTGGGCATCCTATATATCTGGCAATGTGTCGCCTCCCCCTTACGGACACTTCCCGGTCCCAAACTATCCCTCTTCACCTCGTGGGTTCTCAAGTATCACGAGTTTTATGCCCTCCGAACGAGATATGTTCATCTTCTCCATCAAATATATGGACCCGTGGTTCGGATAGCACCGAACGAGGTCTCGTTCGCATCTGCTGGGGGCATCAAGGAGATATACGGCTCCGGGGGCAGTGGCTATAATAAGACCGAGTTCTATAATCTCTTCCAGGTATACAATAAAAGGTGAGTGTCTAAGCATGCAATATACTCGACCGTGTTACGCCTAGGCCAGGCGATTTGGGTGAATAGATAAGCTCACCAGAGGTTGCATAGAACTATGTTCAGCACCTTGTGCAAAGAGGATGTAAGTCTTGTTCATAGGTCGTCTACCTGGCTACGTAAGCTTAGTCTGACGTCCGTCTAGCATGCTCGGAGGAAAAGAGTACTCGCTGATCGATATGCCAATTCCAATATCTTGAAGCCGGGCTCTCTCGATGGAATCAGGGAACGCTCAAGGAGGTTTATGGAAAGATGTTCGAGATCCGTCGGCGGGAGTGTCGATGTTTTTGTAAGTAGTCGAACTCATTGAAGTCCTGAATGATATGTTAATCAACTTTCAGATTTGTAGGTACCCCTGGATGAGTCTTACGAGGCACTCGCTAATACAGAATGCCAGACCTTCATGACTACGCGTTTGACTGTGTCACTCATCACCTGTTCCACCCTTATGGCTCAGATTCTCTACGAGACGAGAAGGACGAGGAGGTCATGAAGCAGGTTACCTTTGACGACAGTCTTCAGAGTGAGTCCCAACCCCTGAAACTGCAACCATCCACTGGTACATTCTAATTCGAACAGACCGTCTGGTTCGATACTATTCCCCGACTCTTCACAGCATGATGGGTAGCATCTTGTCGCTCTTCTCCAAACCACGCGAGACACCCCTCGCTGATGACCTGGTCATATCTGCCTGTGCTAAAACTGGACCAGCCCAGTTCACTCTTCTGAGCCGAATGCAAGACAAGACTTACGGCATGGAGCATATCGAGATGGCTGCTGAATGTCTCGACCACATGGCTGCCGGGATCGATACGACCGGCGATGCCTTATGCTTCCTCATGTGGGAGATCTCGCAGCCCAGCTCCTTTTACGTCCAACGACATCTTCAGGAAGAACTCCGAGCGAACCCCGACGCCAGCTTCGACAAGCTTCCCTACCTCGACGCTGTCGTCTCAGAGGGGCTGCGCTGCTTCCCCGCTATCCCCATGTCTCTCCCTCGGTACGTCCCTGCTGGAGGTCGCACCATCGACGGCTACTTTATCCCGGAGGGGACGATAGTGAGTTGCCAGGCATACTCCACCCACCGCATCGACGAATCTGTCTTCCCCCACCCCGACATGTTCGATCCGGACCGTTGGTTGCAGGAGGTAGGGGAGTCGGATAGGAAGCGGCTCTTCTTCGCTTTTGCTAGCGGTGGTAGAGGTTGCGTTGGAAAACAGTGAGTTCTAGTCCACCTAAACCGTCAATGTGATTTAAGACAGGCAATTCTCACACATTTCTTGTAGTCTAGCAATTGCCGAGATGAAGACTCTGCTTCGGGACGTCTACTCCCGATACACCACGATACCCGATCCCTCGATGTCCGCCGACGACATGCAGATGTCGGATAATCTGATCTCATCGCAGCCGAGGGGGAAGAGATGTCTCTTGACTATGATACCATTGGACACTGGTCGTGCTTAAGTACCACTAGGTGGGTATCCATGTTGGCATGGCATCTATGTTGGTGGGCAAGCGCCTTACTTGGACTGGCATTTTTTACGAAATGTTGTTCATCATATTTATATTCACATATGGGTATACTATTAAGGTCTATATAGCCCCTGAATGGGATTCTGTAGTAGGATTTAGGTGTGTATGTCGCACAAATCTAAGACATGAATCATGTGATAAGTCATCTTTCGCTTATCTCGGGAACCTCACAAGTTCAACTACATACATAGCCTAGGCGACTACTGCTACTAGTTAGCTAGGTTAGGTGACTAGTAATGGGTAGGTAGGTTGTAGTAGGTATGTATAACATATCTATATCTCTGATCTCTGTATCACCTTACGTGTCATTTCTGGTAGGGCTAATCATGGGATGAGTATCTGCCTACCTACCTACACACCTTAGATACTAGCAGGCAGGTATATGAGGGGGTTCATCGTACTTGGTTTGAATACACGATGGGAAGTCCCTAGGTAAAACTCAGGTTGGCTGTATGTTTGGATAAAAGAAGAGTTTGCACATCAGGTGAGTAAGGGGCTTGTTGATGTTATGTATGTTGTTCTACCTATTTGAATTCGGATTACCTAAGTACCTATCTACTCATCTACCTGCCTACATATGTATCATCTAAATTGCCTACAGCTCAGTACATAGATTGCCTACGTACAGACCTACCTACCTAGTACCCAGAGCTTCATGCCGAGGCGCATACATATGTATGTAGGTCGACAGGTAGGTTTTATTAATCTACAGCCGGATGATCCGCCTGGCATCCGAGGTGAGTATTGTTTGGATGAAACTAAGCCTCATGCCGGCAGCGTGCGGTGAAACAAACCGATGGCCTACATATGTATATGTACGTAGGTGAAAGGTATCGTCGTCAATGGTCTGCATGTGTGTTAGTAATGCATATGTGGAGGTTGAGATGGTCTAGGCACTCCTTGTGAATGGGATACGTGTAGTTGATATGTAAGCAAGAAAGGAATGATGTAAACCTAGGCCTGGAGGTAGTTATTATCTGACGGCTAATATCTCGAGACAGAGATACATAGATCAACATGCCTAGGTACCTTTTTTTTTCCAATTACCACAAAACGCAGAGCAACGCAGACGTACAATACAATACAATGCAATCCATCCCACAATAATCAGCCATAAGATGTGAAGTTTGCTACTTCATTTCTTTCATGCCATATACAATACCTGTTCAGAGAGTGTGTCATTGATAAACGGCGACTACCAGGGCCCTTCGTCTGCAGGCCTACTGCACAGACTCCCCGAGACCATGGCACATATATCATATGTCTCCATGTACCTACCTAACTACAACAACACTTTAGCACATACGGCATGTACATTAGGTATGTAGGCCGGCAGGCTAGATTGCTTAGTACCTAGGTTAGGTATGGCGCGTACTATGTATCTCGCGTATCTCTCCAAGCCCACAGCCCACATTACATAGACATCATCCTATGACCGGCGCATGCAAGCCGTGCATACCCACCCACCGACCCAGCCTACCTACCTACCCAGCTAGCATACATATGCAACCCTCGAACGAGGCGCGCCCCCCGTCGGCCCTTCAGTCAGCCACGAGACGGGCCCCGTACTTCCCATGTGGTCGAACTACCCTACATACCTAGTACATACCCTGACGCAACAGGGGTGTGGAGAGAGAGAGAGAGAGGGAAAGGGGCTAACTAGTCGTTGGCTGCCTACCTACCTATTGGAAAAAAAAAACCGTGCAGCTGTCTGTCTCCATCATCCCCCTCCCCCTTCCCCGGGCGGCATCGCGCGGCGTTTAATCTCCTAAGCCTCGTCGAAGCGGAATTTGTGTCAACGCCGCTAGAAAGAAGGGTTGCGGTTTGATTGATTGATTGGAAAGCGCGGGAAGGGGAAGAGGAACTTTGCCTGCCCCCTCCCCCGATGTCTACTCTACCTGCATGCTTCCATCTTACATACATACATACATACATACATACATACATGTCTGGACTAGTGTACGATACGATATATGTAGGTAGCTAGCTAGCTTGGACGCAACGGGATGGAACTAACTATAAGCTTACAACCGACACTAGTTACCTGCCTACCCCCCCGGCGCTACTGTACATACATACATACATACATACATACATACATACATACATACATACATACATACATACATAGTACATAGTATCTCATGCGGGCGTCTGCACCCGTCGTCTGCACACCCGTCGATGATCTAGATTAGGCAGGGAAGAGGATCGAGATGGGGGACTATTGACTTTTTTTTTGGGGGGGGGTGTGTTGGGGTTCCCATCGACGGACGGGAACTTGAAAGTGCAATCTAATTCGCTGCCTGCAAGTTACAACGCCCCTTTCTGGGAGACTTGCATTTCCGAAGGGTAGAGCTGGAGAGAGGTTTTGTGCGGGCAGGTTAGTTAGTTAGTTAGTTAGAGCCGCTGTCTAACGAACGGGCTGGGGGGGGATAATCACACCATAGGTAGGTATGTATGTAGTCGTTACCTGCACCTTGTTTATTTACATGAAGAAAGCCAGGATGTGGAGAAAGAAGAAGAAGAAGAAGCAAAGGCGAAGAAGAACATCCATGTCTACCTAAGTAGGTACCTAGGTATTGCAGTAGGTACCTAGGTTGAAAGTTCTAGAAATCCCCCCCCCCTTTCTCTCTCTCCTTTTCAACCCCTTTCCTTTCATTCGCACCCCAAAACGCTTTTTTTTTCAATCCCGCAACCGTGGAACCGATGCTACATACAGTAACCTACATAGGCCAAGGGGAGAAATACAAACGACTAACTACTACCTACCTAATTACCAGCCAGCCTACCTACCTTCCTTCCTTCCATTTCCAAGCTACAGTCGGAACGGAGATAAAAAAAGAAAAAGAATCCTTCAAAACTTCGTAGGTACGTTACCGTGACCTGGTGCTTGGGGCCAGCGTGCCAGCTACCCCCCCTCCCCCTTCGCGAAGGACGGGCGGGCGGGCGGGTCATGTACGATGCCGTGGCTAGGACGACGCATGGGATGCGGTGTCACGTCGCAGCAGCGATATGTACCTACCTAAGTACCTACCTAGTTGGGTTGTTTGAGAATATACATGTAGTTACGTGCAAGCCAAAATCAACAACTAACTACGTACATAGTTTTAGTTTTGTGTGTTTTTCTTTTTCTTTTTTTTTTCTTTTTTGAGAGAGAGAGAGAATTGCAGCCAAGTCATGCCCCTCGCGGGATGGGCCACGGGGTAGATGTTTGGGTAGCACAAGACACTATGGAATATATGAATAAAAGCTGGAGAAGACGTAGGTAGGTAGGTAGGTAGATTACTTACATACGCTACATGTACGTGTGTAGTCCTGTATGGGGTTCAATGTTGACTACACACTTGTTTACTACTTGTACGGTGTTTGGTTACTAGCACATGATGCACATACGTTAGGCAATAGTGTACGCATGTAGGTAGGTAGGTGAATATTGTGTCTTGAGCCCCTAAACCCTAACTACCTAATGTGCCTACTCACCTCGATCCTCCGCGCATATCCAATCAAACAAGTTAGAGAATGGGTGAAAGAAAACGAGGCTGCCATGTACGTACATGCATACATACCATACATATATACCAAGTACCTAGGTTAGGTATATACCTACCTTGAGGTTCAATGCTATGTAGGTATTATAGGTAACTACCGAAAATAAAACAAAACACTCTAACACGCCCCTATGTGTAGATGGATACCCACTAATAACGCAGGCAGATTTGAAATAGGTAGGTCGTCGAAGCGACACGGGATAAGGACTTGCTTCGATCTTACCTACTAGGTACATACATAGGTATCCATCCAGTACCTATGTATACCTATGTACGTATGTATGTATGTATGTATGTATGTATGCGGGTCCCAAAGGGTCAAAAACGGGCGATCTGAGCCAATCTTGTGTCAAAAAGGGCGCGGGAACCCGAGGCGGAAATCCCGAGGGAGCTGGGTTGCGGGTGCGGGATGGATTGTAAGAGGATGGATGATGCATACCTAGGTATGTATGGATGCATGTTGGTAGATAGTTACATAGTTAGACGTCGCCTTTTGAAGAAGATGTCGTCCCAAAGGCGGTTGTTTCGATGCTACATCACTAACTACCTGGCAACTGCCTGCCTACATTACATTACATGATACATATAACTACATATAGGCAGGTATTACATCTATTATAGGTCTGTGTCTGTGTATATATAAAGTAGGTACTTGGGTAGGTAGGCAGGTAGGCAAGTACCGTATATTACCAACCAATGCTCGGCCACTTTTCTCTACCCCAGTATTATGAGATGTGACCTGTAGTGTACATATATCCATCCCAATCCAATCCGATACCTACTGGAACCACACACCCCCTACCTACCTACATTAACCTATGTACCTAGTTACTCCGTACAGTACCTACTTACCTGCTATATAACACGTACATATAGGACTGCGTCATCTGCTGCCTGGCCTGCTTGATCTTGCGTCTCCGGGAGTTTGATCTCTTCGGGGGAGGTGAGTGGTTCGGCCGAGATCGGGTTTGCTTTTGTTTTTTCTTCTTTTTTTTGTTTTGTTTTGTTGCTATTCTCTATTACCCACCTATGTAGGCAATTATCTATTAGATACAAACCTCAACGGCCAGACCTTACGCGTCTCGCTCCCTGATAAACCCCGTCGTCGTACCTACACGCAATCAACCATCATCATCATCGCCATCCTCATCCTCATCGTTTTTGTTTGTTCTGCATAGGTGATCTTATATTACGACCGACACAGCCTTGGCACACACACACACACACACCTAGCCTTTTTCTTTTCTTTTATATAGTTACATCGATGTACGATGTGACCCAGTTACACAAAACTACGTTTGTGGAGAAAGTTCAGATGTGCCCGCGGGCCGGGGTTGGGATTGGCTTCGGTATGGATTCCTGCGTAGGATTGTATTGTGCATGTAGTTACATAGATGATTGTCCCTGTAGTCATTTCGCTAACGATGAAAGCAAGTAAGCAAGCAATAGGGTAGCCGTTGTCGAGGGTTCGGCTTGCCGGTCCCGCGGGTTTTTGTATCGTCATCCCCATGTCATTTTTCCTCCAGCATGTTGAGATTTGAGATCCAGCAACAACGTCAACGTCGTTTTGGGGGGGTTTTGTTTCTCTGCCCCCCCCAAATTTTATGTGGGTGGCTTGAATGGACGTATCATATAATAGGTAGGTAGGTACTGTAACCAAGTCCGAGTGTGAGTGTATGAGGTCGCATATGTATGCGCATGCAATACTATGTAGTGGCATTAATAACATAATATAGATAGATATTTGCCTAGGTTACATACCTATGTAGGTAGAATCGAATCTAATGCCATCCGGCCTAGATCAAAAGCGAGAGATCTTACTTGAAACTCGATCTGGCCATGTTACATCGTCAAAGTAACTATCTCTCTACAATGTCTACATCTAACTAAGTTACATACATAGTAGTACCTACATTAGGCATTACTACTAGAGACTAGAGTCTAGTAGTACATAGCACATACCTATATATGTAGCTAGGTAGGTAGCTAATTAATTAATTAACTGTTCGTGCAACGTAAAACGGGAGCCAAAAAAAAAATCGCGGGACGGGCCTCGCGCACCCCCGTCCGTAACGCAGGACCCCATCACCATCCACTTCTTACTTGCTAGGTATTAACTAGGTACAGTAGGTAGTAGAGGTACGCATCCAATCGCCTTGCGTTGTATTACGCCAGTCGTTGAGCTGAGCTTCAGATGTCCAGATGCATTTCTTTTTGGTTTGCTCGGGTACTTAGATACCTACCTACCTACTAACCTAGGTTATGTACTTGCCTGCATACCTACACACATGATGCATGCATGCATACATACTAACACGCATGCATATGCCAGTTTTTTCTCTGTTGAAGAAAACGCCTCATTTCTCCGGGGAGGCATTACATATGCAGACAGGTGGAAAATATATATAAAAAAAGAAAAATTGCCAAAAAAAAATCACGGGATCGAAATGCAAGCACCTGCCATACATGCACATATGCTACAAGCGGCATGGGGCATGTATGGATGGATGTGACCTTCAATATAGATATTCTTGATCTTCTCTACCTAAGTACCTAAGTATCTAGCTTAGATTAGTATGTATTTGGGCAGGTATATACCACCCCCCCTTAAATATACTAGCCTACCTACCTACATAGTATCTAAAGATAGTCTACCTATGTACCCAGTATGTAGGTACCTACCCAAGCAAATCTCAGAGCACCACAAAGCACACACAACGTAGAAGGCATCTCGCTTCTTCTTTCTCTTGAAGTGCTCACTTTATGTTAATTAGATCCCGGCAAAGCCATGCCATGCCATGCCCATGGGGCCTTCCCTCTTTCTCTCAGCATGCAGACCATACATGTCCATATCCCGAAGCTCCCCTCCCCCACCCCCCCTAGATTTCCCCCCATCTACAGCATGTACCTAGGTTAGGTAGGTAGGTATGTAGCCCCCCTAATCCGGGCGTATCCCCAAAGCTTATGCAGCAATCTACCAAACGTGTCCAGCTCTTGACCTCGGTACTACAATCCCCCCCCCCCTCCCCCCCCAAAAAAAGCCAAGTGCCTCCCTTCCTAGCTTGCCCCCTAAGCCACCCGCTCGGGGAAAGCTACCTAGGTACATATAAAAACACACACAGACAGACACACGCACACACACCGCGCACAGAGAGAGATATTGGTAGGTAAGTAAGCAGGAGGGTGTAAAGCAACGATCATGACGGCATCATCATCCCAACTCTTATGTGGGGGCCAGGGTCTTGGAGTAGGGGTAGAAGGAGGAGGATAGGGGGGGTAACGCAGGCCCAAAAGAAAAAAAAAAAAAAAAAAACCTCCAGAGCTAGCCACCGCCGCGCCAGGGCCAGAAAAAGAACCTTAGGTAGCCTCCGTGGAAGTTTTGAGCTCGCTAATATGCCGCCAATAATGGGAATGGGAGTGAGAATGAAACCAGCAAACAAGCAAGCCAACGTCCCTGTCTCGACTCGTTGGGGGATCTCATGTTCGATGGGTGGCAGGAAAAGGGGGGAAGGGATATCCCCCAAGTTTGCGTGGTTAACGTCGCGGCGAACCAGTTGCGCTTGCGAGATCGATCGATCGTAAGTCGTTTGTTTTCCAAGGCTGATAGAAAGCAATGAAGCCACCGGTCCGAACCGAAAGGCTGTATTGTATACCGGGGGGCTTTCTCTTATTCCCCTGAAATCCCAAGGTCCCCCAGGTAAGCCCAGTCCAGACAGCCCAGCCGCCATGATAATGTTCCAAGGATTGTTGTTGTCCAATTCATTTCATCTCAGTCAGTCAGTCTTGCCGGTCCTCCATTTCTTCCCTTTCCTTCCTTCATTCTTTCCCGTGCCCTTTCGATTCGAAAAACCCAAAACCCAAACCCAGCCAATGATGATAATAAAAGATGCTCGCAGACTAGGTATCAATAGCAGAAGACGCAAAAAAAAAAAAAAAGACGAGAGATTAAGAAGGATCATGAGTGAGTACACGCTCCGAAGTACCTAGATTGAAAAAATAAAGAAGAATAAAAAAAGATGGATGGATGGAAATGCAAACGGCAGGACCGGTTTGGTTTGGCGATGATTTGTTGAACTGACTCATCGCGTCGAGTTGAAGTAGTATGTATTGAAAAGCGCACACTGCCGCCCCGGGCATACCGTATTCTTGGTTGTCAGAGTTTCGTATCTTCGGAATCCTTTTTTTCGGGGTTTTTTTTGTTTCGGTTTTTTTGGGTAGATACCTCGATACAATGTAGAATAATCGTAGGCCGGGGCGTATCCAAATGTCTCGCTCTCTCTGTGTCTCCCCCCCGAAACTTTACCCTTCATCCCGGGGGAGATAGATTTGTTGTGCCCTATGCTGTTTTGAGACATCTTTGGGGATTTCGAGGCGAATATATATCCGTAGAACTAACTGGGAGTCGAAAATTGGGCTGGGTTGGGTTGGCTGTCCGCCAATAGTTTTCCAAAAAAATAATCGACAAGTCGGGTATTCATTACGTAGGTATGTTGCTGGGTTGATGACTACCTATTCAGTAAAAATCGTACATAGCTAGCAATAATTTTCGCTCAGGGATAATGATAAATTGCGCCTCCTCTTCCTCGACGACCAGCAGGCGTCGGGTAGGCAAGGCCGTTCTAGTCTTCGCAGGCTTAGTCACAATCCTATTGCGTAGAATGCCTGGCGAGACCGTCGACCTTGATGCCTGATCCCGGAAGGGGCCCTGGTTCGTGGGGCATGTAGCTGGGGTAGTTCGGCGGAGGCGGTTGCCGGAGCAAGCTCGGGTGCTGTTGTGTATCGTGACTTCGTGCCAGGCCGTCGAACGCTCCCCCCATATATTGCTGGGCTTGGGGCATCGCCACGCTTGTGTGCCCTACAAACGGTTGATGTGTGTTACTCGCCTGCTGCTGGAAGGCATATACTGGAGGGTTGTTGGGTGCTGTGGATCCAGTCTGCCAATGCGAGTACATCGTTGGCGTGGCTGGGCTTGTGTATTCCGACTGCGAAGTGAACATAGACGATCTTCTACTAGAATCGTGTGGGTTAGTGTACAGATCGTGAAGCCCTATATTCGTAGGGGGATGCAGTGGAGGTTGACTGCCTTGCATATTAGGCGCCTCCACGAACGTTTGGCGTTCCGTGGTAATATCTGGTCCTAATATCGATGGGTTGTACTGATTATTATTTCGGACTGGCATATCCCCAACGAAGGCATCGCTTGGCATCTGAGGAGTTGGACTCTGCTCCGTGCTATGACTTGGCGCCATCAGTGGTTGCGACACACTAGCTCTCGGGGGTGATGCGCTATCTGAATGCGGCGACAGCTTAGGCTCGATGTCATCTCTCCCTGGCGTGACGTCTTCAGTGTCTGATATGTACCCTTGGCCAGATCGATCATTTGGCATCACATGAACCGAGGTTAGGTGATCTAGGGCCTGGTTAGCATTATATGCTCAGATAGGTATCTACTTAGTGATACTGCTTCGGACTGCTTACCAATTTGCCCATCCTTGTAACGTTCTTCGATCTTAGCAACCCTGAATATTTCTTTCAAGTAAGGTCTCTTGGCCATGTTGCTGGGGTTCTCCTTATCGGTGAAGAAAGAAGACAGCGCCTCGTTGGTGACCTCCTCCAGCTTGGTCACGTTGAGATAGAGCTTTTGTAGGTTTGCGTGTTGTTTGTTGTTAGGTTCCACGATCATCCGAAGAATATGAACCAAGAGATGTACTCGTTCTGCAAGGTCTCATTAGCATTTCTGTCTTCGTCATTTATGGTATCTGTCTTACCGCGCTTGTACAGATGGTCGGGCTCCTTGTGCCGTACTCGGTGTTCTTGATTTGGCCCCCATGGCCTCGGCCACCACTCAGGCGCTTTCTCGTCCCTGCCGGTATATGGATGTGTCGATTGTTTTTTGGGTTCTACCGCTTTCACCCAGGCCTTTGCGATTAGCTTACATGCAGTCTGTTGGATAGTTTTAAACCGCTCCTCGTAGAATGCCCAGAGGGCCTTCTCGTCACTTATGGTGATGGTCCTCTTTACCGGGGTTGAAGGCATGGATTCTTCCTCAAAACTTTCCATCTCGCGCCGCATCAAGCTGGCCCTGGGTCGTTTGCGCGCCTTATAATTCCCGTCGTCTTCAAACCCGGCCAAACTGATAGTCTGGCCATATCGACGCTCCGGAGCCCAGCGTCTTGCTGGATCTATTGGATAACGGTTGACATCTAAATTAAACCCGAATTCTGGATCGGCATACGCTGGATTTGTAGCTGGATACCGTCTTAGTCTGGCTCATACAAATACTGTTTATTGGAAACGCCCAGAACTTACCGGACTGAGCGCGCTGCAATTCGCGACCTAGAGCTTCTACGTTCAAAAACTTTGATATATCAAGCGAAGGTATCGTGGGTGCCGTGAAGATATGGGGCTTCCCGTCGATCACCGGTATAAGCACATAAAACTCCGCTGAAATGTTACAAAACTCGCGCAATGCTTTGTCGATAGCCTAATATCAAACTTTAGTAACGAGCTTTCCATAGAGAAGGGTTATGCCCAACCCACCATTGGGGGTCGCCGTATATCTTGTGGGTCAGCAGCAAAACGGTTCTCGTCAGGAACTGAATCCATGTGAATTCTATCCGGAGGGGTCCAGAATGATGGTGCCCGGGGCTGGAAATGCTCCCTATGCTGGTTGGCGTCTTGTACCATGGCTGAAGAGAGAAAAAAAAGAGGCCCGGAATCAGAGGAGAATAGTTTCTTGTGGTGGCAGGATATTATATCCCACTTCGATGATTCGGTGGATGGCGATGCGAAGTTGCGAGCTTGCAGAGCCTCTCCACTTTGAACGACTTGAATTAATCACATGCAACTTAAGTTGCCTTCGAGGAGCTCCGCTCCGATCCTTCGTGGTAGCGTCGCTGATTTCCGACTTCGATGTTGTGTCCAGGTATGTCTCACAGAGAAGAAGTAGTGAGACGGGATTGGATTGGATCACGATGACGCAGAACCAAAGCACCGGCTGAATGCAGTCAGAAGAGGAATTTCTATCAGAGCTAGTATATGTTGTGACAACCCAAGGAGAGGTGGCGCGCGTGTCCAATATATGTGGGAGGGTGTATATAGATGGAAGAAGTCGTGGCGAGATAAAGAGTGTATGTAGTACTTCGTATTGGTAGACTCAAACAAACGTGGGAGGTAGGTGGTGTAGGTATGTTCTGGAGGAATTGGCGGTGGCCTATCGAGGAAGGGAAACCGAACGGAAAGGCAAAACGCGCATCGAGGGCTGATGACCCTCAGACGAGACAGTCTTTCTTTGTCCAGGAAGGGTAGCGGGAGCTTGCTTGCTGAGGAGGCTGGCTAGTGGAAGCGGACGGGATATGAAATAAATGCTATCAGACCTGGGATGTAGAGAACTAGTAGGTAGGCGGCTGCGAACTAGGCCGAGCTGAACATGGGTCCTGAGCGAACAACAAAGAAAGGGCAATATCGCAGTGTGAGAACCCGATAACCTGTTGTATCCGGTTTAATGAGCTGAAGCTCGTAATGGGGTTCAAACGGAATTATCAACTTGTTGTAGGTGTTGCGCGTGAAGGACGGTAGTTGTCCTCTTCCACTCTTACACAGCTGCAAGACATTGGGCAGCGAAGCCTCTTTCACTTACGTGCGATATACCTTAAGTTGGCTTCTGTGGCTGTTTTAGAATCAGCGAGAGTCGTCATGAGAAAATGCGTAAGAGTTTAGATGGCATCACTTGCTGCTTAGATAATATCTCATGATCATCTACAGCTTTCTGGAGCCTCAAAGCTACCTAAACACACTGTGAAGGTAGCGGTATCAAGGCGGGCAATTTACCAACCAGTTTTAAAGAATGCCTTATCCAGCGCTACCTAGTATGGAGATTGAGTAGTAGTAAGAGTAAGAAGCGACTAACTAACTGGACGTCACCACGAGTGCCGGCAGTATAATGCGAAGGAGGATAGGTGATGCGACGGAGTCGAGCTATTTCGTAAAACCATGTGACGCCCACAGCTCATGCGGCAGGCGGCAGTAGTACTCGGTCAGAGAGGAGTATGAAGTAGCAACAAGATCTCAACTCGGTGCTCAAACGATTGCGATGAGGACGGTGGACCGACTGACATGCGCGAAAATAAGAGTGCGGCAACACATGGGCTACTTTAGCTCATCCCCGTTAATAAACATCGGCGAAGGAGGGAAAAAAGGAAAAAAAAAAAAAAAAGGGACTTCTACAATGGCAACATTGAAGAGGCAAGTGTGTTTGTGGAGAAATAATACCGTGTGTAGTATTTCGTACATACAAGTAGTTCTCGTAAAGTATGTATGTAGGTACTAAGAGAAAAAAAATATACCAACCTAGACCAAGAGTGCACAGATGGGCAAGGATTGGGGAGCGAAGCGAATTCGCGACCCCCTGCCCCTCCTTTCCAACTGTTAATAAGACTCCTTGAGAGCAGGGCCTGTGTATGCAGCTGGGAAGACTACTACTGTATGGCCTTGCCGGAGTATGAGGTAGGTAGCATTGAAACCGTGTGGGTTTAGATACCTACCTACGGATGTAGTGTATGTATGTATGTGTGTATGTATGTACGTATGTATGTATTTGCGAGGGTCTTGCCCTCAAGGGGCATAGATATGACAGGGCAGGGCAAGGAAAAGATCTCTCCCTCTCTCCTCTTTCTCTCTCTTTATCTTTCTCTTGAAGCTCTACCTTTTTAGGTACTATGGTAGCTACTTGGCTACAGGGCACCGTATTCGATGATGGTGGATGGCGGCATCAGGAAAAGCCAACCAGGCCTTGTAATGTAGTGTACAAGTAACTACAGTACATGGATTGGCTTCCCAACCAATGCAATACTCTGCTGGTACAGTGGGGGAGGAACCCAATACAGATATGCCTATGTAGACGGGGTACTGGGCAACCCGTACATAAATCATCCATATCAGCGAGATCTAATCCCATTTGTGTTAGATAGATACATTAGGTACAATACATGCCTGTCTACCTACATATGTACCTACTATCTAGTGATCCTAGATACCATGTAGTAGATATGTACACATTGGTTGTAGCAATTATGTAGGTAGGCTAGTAGGGTAGATAATGTACGGATGTATATATCTTCGTTTGGGATGCACTGACAACCTTGAAAGTTCACGGGAGATTGCCGAAAGAGTCGGAATCTTGACGCTATAATCGAAATCGTTGCTTTTTTTTTTATTCTTTCGTCCAAGATGATCTGATATATTGATGAAATGCCTACCTACCTACCTAGAATATCTGATATCTTGTGGAGATGGGCTAGGTAGGCATCTGATAGTAACCAAATACAGGTATGTAGGAGGTGAATGACCATCGGACGCTGCTACAACTACATCAGCATTTCTGGTTCAAATGTTGTTCTGACCAACGACAAAGAGCATCTCTCTGGAGTGGTTTCCGGTTGTACAGCCAAATAGAAGGGGAGAATAGGAACTACAATAGGAAGAATATTTCAGAAAGCGGGATCAAAAAATACCAAGGCGACAGGCGACAAAGTGGTGGAAGAGTGGTGGAAGAGTGGTCCAAAGAAAGCTTGGGAAAGGAGGCACGCGGAGAGAGACAGATTAGAATAGTGGCAGAGTGGATGAAATGATCACGGTTTGGTGATTTTGCATGATGTGTGGGCAAAGACCCCTGTACTAGGACCAGGGGAGTTGGCTTCTCTGCCCAGTAGTTGCCCCCCTGCTAACCATTGCCAACCCCTGCCACCTCTTCAAGGTTAGGTACTGGGTAGGTACTAGGTAGCTTTCAAGGTTGGCATCAAAAGGTTAGCCTTCAAGGTTATTAGCGGGAAGAGTGGATTCCAAGTGGCCCTTGTACTGGCCCTGTACTGGCCCTGTACTGGCCCTGTACTGCACTAAGTGGGCCATCATAGCTCCAAGTTAGCTGTCCACCTGGCAGGAAGGACGGTTCCGGGGGCGATGCGTTGTGGAGTTTATAGTGGAGGCGACCCGAGAAGGCCGGCGCGGGAGAGATTACTGGGGGAGAGCCTCCCGACAGGGCTCTTTGTTCTACGCGTCATTTCCGAAAATACAAAGAAAATATTATTCTAAAAAAGAAAAGAGGAAGGATTAAACATGAAAGAAAAGGAAGAAAAGAATAAATGTTGAGCCGAAAGGCGATCTAAATCTACCTATCAGAAAACCCAATCTCAATATTCATAAGATGTTGTCCACTTATATGGATGGTGATGGGTGCAGTAGATACTAGATAGATCCATGTAACTAACTACCTAGTTACTTTCTAATATGTATCTATAGTAGTTGAAAATGCATAGAATTCCTTCAAGTTCAAATGTTCTTTACTTAGGCAAATACCTATGTAAGTCGGCATATTTCTATAAAGTGCATGTATAGACATTGAAGATATTCATAATCTTTAATTCATAACACCTACAGTACCACATGTAAGCGCATAGCTACATGATGTACACTAATTACCCCAACTCTACTTGGGTACTAAGTACTAACCTAGTATATCTACTATGTAGTTTACCTTACTCCACATCAAGTTCAATTTGCGAATACCCCTGAATTCTATTCGGCTTTGTTACAAAGTAAAATAGACGACCTTCTAAGGATTCACTATACGACGAAGATCCAATGGGGTGTTGGTAAGTAGTAGGTTAGTTATATACATAGTAGGTAATTAATGTCTTACAATTTGGGCAACTTAAGCAACAATGAACTTAAAGAGCCAGATACATTTGTATATGTGGGTTTGGAATATCCATTCTCCTTAATACATCCACATGCAGTCCGTCAGTCATCGCTTTTCTGAATAAATATTCAAAGCAATATATGTATAATATGTATGTACCTACTTGTTGTCAACAACTAACCTAACTACATATAACAACCAGCAGCCAGCAACTTCAACCCCACGTTGTATTATCCATGTCTTGGCTCTTTAAGATCTCACAGTCCAATGCAGATCAACCTGGCAGACGGGTTTGGCCAACTACTTACTGTATGTAGGTAATTGGGTACTTACTTTCTTCTCTTTTTCCTGTCTCGAACTCATTCTTCAACACAGAAAAAAAAACGTTCAGGTGCTATGAACAAGATGGGGTTCAATGCCAAGATGCAAGTCCGCTCTGGGGTAAATCTGCTTTAAAAGCATTCGGGTTCGCATAGCATGACCTTAAGTCACTTTCGTTATACCGTACGAACCCGCACAGGACAACTTCGATATCCATATGTATGTATGTATGTAGGTATTGATGAATGGGGAGCCCTGGTGGATAAGTAGGATAAAAGATTATGTATCCTATGCTTCTCTGCTTTCTAACAACTTACCTATCTCAATCATTAAGACATCCATGGTATATAGACCTATACCTAGTAGGCATTATGGTGTAGTATGAACCATTTCCGTTATCACATTGGCTATCTGTGTAGCTATCTACGGCATAGTATCTAACGTTGACTTTTCCCCCCCATGTTTGTAACAGATTCGCCCAATCTGTAAGCGAGCAACTTCGATGCAGCCGGGTAAATGAGGTAAGGTTCTATACATGTATTGTAGATACCTAACCTAATACCTACATAATACGCCGTCATGTTACTATGTGGGGGTACCAAGAAAAAGCTCAAAGTGCCAGATCTACATGCATGTACATACAGGTTCTCATTGGTCTTGGCTCATCAGG